TGTAGCCATCAACAACTTAAATGTTATTTAGAAACTGGACAAGAGTATTTATCATGAAAATATATAAACAAGCAATTTTATGCATATTAAAAAAAAAAAAAAAAAAAAAAAAAAAAAAAAAAAAAAAAAAAAAAAAAAAAAAAAAATGTGTATATATTTCTTCAATTTTCCCAAATAGCTTGATAAGTTTATTTTTTAGTGAGCGCAGTCACGTTCTTATCATCAATAAATATTCTATGAGCCTGTGTTACCTTCCATCAGCCATGGGAGGCACTATACAGACGGGGCGATTTTCAGTGCTATTCATAGCCCGGCATAAAACAGGCTCCCCACATTTCTGAAAAAAAAAAAAAAAGGGAAAAAAAAAGAAAAAAAAGAAGGAAATTAAACATTCGTGCCTTTTATATCGTTTTATAATGAAATGTTACACGAGTGACTACTATTTGCATCTTTAATATTATAATAATAATTATAATAATAATAAAAAAAAAAAAAAAAAAAAAAAAAAAAAAAAAAAAAAAAAAAAAAAAAAAAATACACGTAAACATATTCTAATATTTTATGTTATGTTTTTTATTAGATAGATTAATGATACTTTTTTACTTATCGACCGACTAGGACAGTACAGTATATTCTAGTACTATGTATTCAAGCAGTTGCTATTAATCTTTATTTTTTATGAATGAAAGATTTAGTTTAATTGCTGTTTATACGTATTATAAAAATCACACATAGTAAATACAAAATATTCAATAAAATAAAATAATTCAGGAACAATAAGGAACCAATATTGTATAATAAAAAGAAAACGACAATAAAAATAAAGATAAAAATATAGAGATATTTGAGTCATAAATGCACTCCATTACTTGAAATGAGCTGTCAATAAATGATCTATTCTGATCTGATTCAATCTAAACCTTAGCAAATGTTCAAGTTCTATTATATATGATTTATATGATTTACCCCTTATTAAATCATAAAATGAGGATGATGTAATAGCATAGTATAATATATATATGTGTGTGTTGTCTATGACTACCGTTGGCCTTCAGCTAATTAGATACCATTTTAAGCATTAAAATTAATATCAGAAAAAAAAAAAAAAAAGTTAACGTTGTCTAGGTGATAGTAACTATATAATAATAAAGTAATAGATATATATCGTATAAAGGTAACTATATAATTCATGTTTTCACTAAAAAGGCATAAAATACATAAAACACATATAATAGAATTAATAATAAGCATATAAGCCAGTTTTAGCCAGTTTTAGCTAGTTTTAGCTAATTTTAACCAGTATTATTATGCTTTGATTGATATTAATTCATTAGTATATTCCAATAATATCTCAAATACATATTTAACATACATATAAATATACTATGCTATTTTATTACAAAAGACTACTGTTATTTATCAGAAAAAAAAAAAAAATTACACACATATATGAGTAATAGCAGTAGCAGCAATATTAATAGTAATTTAGTCTAATAATAATAACTATTCATTTATTCATTCTACTATATAGATATATGCTCTAAGATAATATAACATATCATAATATAACGTATCACATCATAACGTATTATAATACAATACAATATAATATAATACAATATAGTAAACTCTATTCCTCTATTTTTTACATGTCCTTTGCTATCTTATTCTATCTTGTCTGATTTTATTTTCTCTCTCTCTATCTATCTCTCTTCCTTTTTCCTTCCTTTTTCCTTCATTTTTTCTTCTTCTTCTTCTTCTTCTTCTTCTTCTCCCTTCCTTCCTTCTATAGTAAATTAAATTTGGGGCGGAGCGCGAAATGTGATTTTTATTAACTCCGCGATTTCCTTTTTAGGGTTTTTTTTATGGTTTATTTTATTTTTGAATTATGGGATGTTATACATTTTGTTTATTGATTAAGATATTGCTAGAATTTGATTTTATTTTGTAATTGCTTTTTTATACATCTACTTTTATATGCTTCATTTCCTTTTGTTTACAGACGGCGATTTTAAATGTGCCTGCTGGTTTTTAATTTATTTGTACATAATAGGCATTGCAGTCTTTCACAAAATTGCTTCAATAATCGTTCAAATTTACTCTTTTTCATTCTTGTTTACATATGCTTTTTATAAGAGGTAACATATATTATATATATAGTTATAGCTCTTGATTAAGCTGAAGTTGTTTCTCTTCCTTATGTTTTAAATGTTATTTAAAATGCATATTATAACGCGTGTTATTTAAATGATGAAGTTACTATGTATTGTGATGGAATGTAAATAAAAATAAAAGAGAAAATAAAAAGAGAAAAGAGAACAAAAGGAAGTATAGTTTGAGACTGTTTTTATTCAATAAAAATAAAGAATGTTAAAAGAAAGTTAAAGAAGAAGTTAAAGATTATTTTGTGTCTAAACAACTGCTTGTATTTATATTAATGAATCCTGAATCAAAGAAATAGAAATAACCGTCAAAGAACATGAGTCATGAAACAGTGTTAGTATTCGTATATACGTCTTGTTGATTCAAGAGACTGATCTATGGATTATCTATTGGGTGTTATAATGATCTGATCAAGTTTTAAATAAAAAATTTATTGTTTAATCTGAGTATATGTTCCTGATATCTTTTATGTTTTATTTTATTGGATCAAAGACGACCTGAATCCTTTATCAAGGTTATAAAAATAAATATTTAGAAATGATACGATGTCTTATAATTGATACATCTAGACAATTGGATGTCAATAAGTTTTATATTATTTACAAGATGTTATATACAGAGTTTTATTTCATATTCAGGCTTATATTTTATCCTGTATTATGTAATTCATCTATTATAATATTACTCATGATTATATCCAGAGCTTGTTCTATAACATGTATAATTCTTTTATAAGTTGGGTATTCAGATTCAAGTTAACTATATTTATATCCTGTTTAGCTGCCTTTTGTTTTGAGAGCCTTTTTGATGCGTCTAGGCATAATGCTTTCTTTATGTTTTCTATGTTAATATGCGGTTGTTTTGTTATACGATACATTTAATATTGACAACCATACCTCATCTATATTGATTGTTTGTCATATTTGTATATAGTATAATAATAAAATAATCATAATATCGTTATATACAAAAATAGAGTTAAAAGTTAAACTAAAATATTTATTAACAGCGCTGATATTAGTACAAATACAGTAATAAATAGTTCTAAAGCTGAAGTTAAAGTACTGCTAATCATTATTATAATTTAGCTGTCATATCAAACATAAACGATTGTCAATATACATAAACTAGACTTGATATGATATATCACCATTGTATATAATAAATTAAGATATTTTTAATAAAAAAGGGGGAGTAAGTATTTATTCATTACAACTATTGTACATACTGTATACATTGAACTGATCACTCAAAAATATATAACCCAACTATACAGACTAATATAGTGGAAAGGGGTAATAACGTATAACCTGGACGGATAAACCATTAATAAATCAATTATACAATATATATATATAGCAGACATCTTTATATAGATAATTATCTTTTTCTCAGTTATTTTTGACAAATATAACATTTTTATATTGACAAATTTCGCATATTTTATTTTCGTTTATTTTATACTTCTCTTTCTTAACACAAATACCACAAGTTAAATCAGATCATTATACAATAATAATACCCAATAGATAATCCATAGATCAGTCTCTTGAATCAACACAATGTATATCTGAATATTAACACTGTTTCATGACTCATATTCTTTGATTCAGGATTCATTAGTATAAATTCAGATAGTTGTTTAGACACAAAATAGTCTTTATATCATTCTTTTTACATTGAATAAACAGTCTCAAACTATACTCTTTCTCTTTATTTTTTTTTTATATATAGATCATACCATTACAACTATCACGCACATTATTTGAACTCACATTACTGTTATAATTTTTGTCAATTATCCTCATATATGTGATAAACAACTTTAACGACTTCACTCAATATAGGATTATCCATATCTATTACATCCTTTATACGGATTTTAGCTTTGTTTGATTGGAGACTAGCAATTAATAACTTATCAAAAGCTTCAGCATCCGTCATATTAGAGATATCCAATATTAATTTTTAGAAACTTATGTGTATATTAATCAGAAATGAATGATATTTGTTTTAACGTTAGAATTCGTTCTGAAAACATTAAAAATCAAAAGTGCATTTTTTTTTGTAATGTTGTCAGCATTCGCTATTCTAGGAACCAATTACGTAATAGAAGTTTATCATCATATTATTTTATGAAATGAATAGATTCAAAATATTCCTATGTATGTATGTGTATGCATATATGTCACGTACTTAATCACACTATGATTAAATACATAATACTTGATAATAGTATGCTTTTCCCTAAACGCAGATATATAAATCTGTATTCCTGTTCCACTCCTTTTCTCTTTCTTTAATTATTATAAAAGTACATATTAAGTTTTGATCTTGTAGCTATTTATAAGCTTAATAGTTTTCTATATAAGTCTATATTGATAATATTAGAATAATAATGCTGTGCTTATCATTAACTTGAATTGTTATAGGATTACTGCTTAAAACCAATTCTAAGATAACCCTTTCTGGTTACTGTTAGCAAAATTCTACTACTAATCCATTACTATCTTCAATAACATAAATGTGAACAGATATCATTTATACTTCTTTTCAAATGTATAAATACAAGACATGTAAAGAAAGTTAAGTTGACTATGTTAAAAGGAGTAAATTAATTAGAAGCAATATTACTTCATTCTTAGTAAATATTCATATTTCGGATAAATAAAGTATTTGAAAGCTTCTAATATCTTTACAATAACAATGAAAAAAAAAAAAAAATTGTCAATTAATATGAAAAGAAAATCTTATTTTTTTTCCCCTCCTCTCCTAAATAGGACATTATTATCATTTCCCATTTATTTTTATTTATTTATTTTTATTTTATTCTTCTCATGAATGATAATACTCACAAGGTAGAATTGAAATCCTCAATTGCTGATTTATACGCTGCTTTATTGTTGTCAGACAAGTTGGAAAATGAACAAAATAATACAAACAATAAAGAAAATGAGAATCCTCCACCTATTTCATCCTCAAATAGTCCTTCTTTGGACACACCACTCAAAGAATCCGAGTCAATTTACGAAAATCAAAAAGATTCACTAGATTATGCCAATGTTGATGTTATATGGTACATTAAGCAAATATAAATGTCTTTGTTTCGCTTATTTTAATGTATGTGTATTTTTTTTTTTTTTTTGATACATATTTAAAAGGGTTCCTGCTGATAAACATCCTCAAATTGCACCCATTGAATTTGCTAAATTTATTAAAACTCATGGAGCTAATACACCTACTCGAAGATCTACAACATTACATCGTAGAAAATCAATTTTATCTCAATCAATGACTGTATTAGAACAAAGGAATACTTTAATTGATCATGACGAAGAAGAAGAAGAAGAATTACATCGAACCCTCTCCGAGAAGAAACGGTTATTTTTAAAGAAAGTTATGACAAATAATGAGCAATTAAAAGGTACGTAAGTATATATTGTTGTTGTACATCAATACTAAGATTTACACAAACATATTCATATGCCTTTTTTTTTTTTCCATTTATATTATACTCACAAAATTTTAAATCCATTTTTAGACATAAATTCATCAACCCAAATATTTGACCGTAATTCAACTTCAATAGATGATTCACGTATCATTGCTCCAAGAGCCGATAAATCCCTTTTGCGTAGATCTGCTTTTTCTGCAAGGGGACGAAACAGAAAGACCTTTAATTTCGAAGATAGACAGCAAATGATGCAAAGAAGATCGGTTTCTCAAAGAAAACCAAATGAAGATTCTAATTTTCAGTCAAAAGTAACAGCAGCAAAGCCTGCATGGAACATATCTGAAGGGGTCAGTTTATACGATCAACCAGTAAATATGAGTGAATGGATAGATTTAGGTAGTGTCAGTCTTGAATCAGATGATTCTCAGAGAGGTATTCTTTCACGTGTGCATGATGCAGAGTCACAACTATTACTACAGATTGATGATAAAGAAAAGGCAACAAAAAGCGTCGAAAATAGTCAAGAAGAAAATGAAGATAAAGAGGATAAAGCCATCCATCATATAGAAAAGGAAGAAGCTAGTAATATTATTGAAACAAAAACAGATAGCATTGCCATTCATGAATCACCAAAGAGACCAAAGTTAATTCGTTTGGAGACAGAAACTACGTCGTCTTCTATTCCCTCAATGTCTACTAAACCTGAAAAACGAGTATCATGGCTCGGGGGATTATTGTTTAATGACAAGAAGAATGGAAAAGCGAGTAATAAAAAGGAAAGATTATCAATGACAGATACGATTATTAGTAGTCATAATAATTCACCATTATCAGGATTAGCCTCTATTTTTAGTCGATCGCTTTCTGTGAGATCTAACATAACATACACCAATGATAATTCAATATTATCAAAATTAAAAAACAAATCAAATCATCTATCACCAACTATCACTACTACTACATCTTCTACTATTAATACTACTTCTAATACTACTAATAATAATATCACTTTTAATAATACAACATATGATGCACAAAAGAAACAATCTAGCAGGCTAGATACAGTTTCCTCCCCTGAGCTTAAACTTTTTAATTATAATCGACTACCCCTTCATGTTGAGCGAGCTATTTATCGATTATCTCATCTGAAGCTTACAAATCCTCGACGGTCTTTATATCAGCAAGTGCTTATTTCGAATTTAATGTTTTGGTATCTTTCTATTCAACAAACTGATTTTCAACAATTAGCTGAAAAGCGTCTAGAGATGACTCCAATATCTGATCCCAATACATTACAACAGCAGAAAAAAATAGGTAAAGTAACTCGATTTATTAATTCAGCAAAGAAACGTGGAAATGAAGTAGCTCAATTCGTACAAACTCATCCTTTAGCAAATCATCAACAAGAGACTACTTCTCATAGATCATCTTTAAAACAAAGTAGTGTTCAATTTAATTTAAAGCCAATACCAAGTCATCATCCAAGCAATCATAATGAAGAAGAAGAAGAAGAGGAAGATAACATTCCTTTAAGTCGTTATAAAAAATAAATAATAAAGCGGGCTTTAAAATCCCAATTAATTTATTGTTTCCAAAATAAAATAAAATAACTCTTTTTTTTCTTTTTTTTTTTTTAATTCTTATTCTTGTAAAAAAAAATATATACATATAAATATTGTAAAGGACAAAAAAAAAATATGGGAAATAATGTTTCTACCAAGAAAGGGTTCAAGAAAAAAGACAAGCTGGCAAAAAGAAAGAGCATGCCTTTACCTCCACGAATCGATGTTGAAAATGACCAATCGACGAGCACAGCTCATTCTGTCAATTCTATTCTTTTAACATCTAAAAATAACAGGCAAAACAATACAACCTCAACTCTAACAGAACTAAATCCAGATTACCCTAACAGTAATAATAATGATAATAATAATAACAAAGAATATTTATCTCGAGGATCGATAGACCCCTTTCAAGGAAAGGTACAAAATCCTCAGCAACATAAACTATTAGCAACGTCTGATTTTTGGCCACCACAACAAGGCCTTGTTGGAAATACTCAACAAGAAGAAGAACTTAATCAGCTTACTGTTGGATCTATAAATCAGTTAACTGTTAATTCTATATCTAGTGAATACTCTTCTACAACTAATATTGACGAATATATTCATCGTTTGTTAGAAGCAGGGTATACATCAAAGGTTTCTAGACAATTATGTTTAAAGTCTTCAGAGGTGACAGCTATTTGTAGAGCAGCTATGGACATTTTCTTAAGTCAGCCTGTAATGTAATTCTTTTATTCATATATCTTTAAGCAAAAGCATAAACATGTGTGTGTGTGTGTGTGTGTGTGTGTGCGTGTGTGCGTGATAAAATAGACAAAAAAAACGATTATATTACTTATATTTAAAACTATATATATACACACATATGTATGAATATATAGTCTTTATTAGAACTATCTCCACCTGTCAAGATAGTAGGTGATACACATGGACAATATACTGACACAATTCGACTATTTGAAATGGGTGGATTTCCACCTAATTCTAATTATTTATTTCTAGGAGACTATGTTGATAGAGGAAAGCAAAGCTTAGAAAACATATTGTTACTCTTTTGTTATAAAATTAAATACCCAGAAAATTTCTTTCTTTTACGCGGAAATCACGAGAGTGCAAATGTAACAAAAGGTAGATAACCCTATTTGGTTTATTTTATCGTGATTATTTTACTAATATATAAGCCCAAAAAAAAAAAAAAAGTGTATGGATTTTATGACGAATGTAAGCGTCGTCTGAGTGCAAAGATGTGGCGGGTGTTTGTAGACGTGTTTAATACTCTACCTATTGCGGCTTTAGTTGCTGGAAAAATATTTTGCGTTCATGGTGGTCTAAGTCCTTCATTACATAGCATGAATGACATTCGAAATATTCAAAGACCAACAGATGTACCCGATTATGGATTACTAAATGACTTACTCTGGTCTGATCCAGCCGACATTGATGGAGAATGGGAAGATAATGAACGAGGTGTTTCATATGTATTTGGACAAAAAGTTATAAACAAATTTCTTGCAACTTTTGATCTAGATTTAATTTGTCGAGCCCATATGGTAAATTATACATTCATATATAAAATAATTTCAGTATTATTAAAAAAAAAAAAAAAAAAAAAAAACATTTCCCCTTTCTTTTTATACAGGTTGTCGAAGATGGTTATGAATTCTTTAATGATAAAACGCTTGTGACTGTTTTTTCTGCTCCAAATTATTGTGGAGAATTTGATAATTTTGGCGCCATTATGAGTGTAAGCGAGGAATTATTATGCAGTTTTGAATTGCTTACGCCTGCAGATCATCCTTTAGCAAAAGAAAGACTTAAGCAAAGTAAAAATAATAAACGCAAGTCTATTTAAGAATAAAAATAATATTTAGAAGGATTTTTTTTTTTTAGTTTAATAGAAAACTATGTCCATTATTTACTAACTAAAGGACTTTTATTGGAATGTATTTTTTATTCTATTATTATGTCTCCAAATTGCAATATTTGATCCTAATTTTTCATAGAAATCAGTCTTATAGCATTAGTTATTTCTATTAAAATACTTTAGTGAATTAAAAAAGAAACGATAATAGTGTTTTTTTTATTTTTTTTTTCCCTCCTTTATATATGTGTGGATTTTTGTGTATAAATATTAAAACAATCTAAAAAAGAAAAAAAAAATCCCGAGAAAGATTTGCCATTTATATGCAGTAAAAAAAAATTAACATTTATTATGAAGTACCAGACTTAAGTTCTGCTTCACCATCTTTATTTTCTACCCATGCCTTAGTACATTTAGCCATTGTACTTGAAGCACGAGAAATAGGATCTGTACGGTAAAAGTTCTTAATGACAGATGTCAAAACTTCTCCTGTGCTTTGTGCTTTAGGATTACGTTGAGTATTTAATCCAAGCTGTGATATAGAGGGTGTTTCAATTATATCATAACGAGTAAGGGCAGGACTAATTTCTGAAAGACGAGAGCGAATGGATGAAAGATCATCATAGGGAAGTGTATGTCCTGCAACTTCAGATAAGGCACGAATAATCTTCCAATCCTCACGAGCTGCAGCTGGAGCGTTAACACCAGCACGTGTAAGTTGTGTACGACCTTCTGTATTAACATAAGTGGCATTCTTCTCTGTGAAGGCAGAACCAGGAAGGATAACATCAGCATATTGAGCACCGACATCACCATGATGACCTTGATAAACAACAAAGGCATCTTTAGGAATATCAGAAGGTGAAATTTCATCAGCGTTTAAAAGATAGAGGAATTTGACAGGCGTTGAAGCGGCCTCGCTTGAGGTAGGGACAAAACCAATTTCATAGGCAGCTGTTCTACTAGCAGCACGTTGTAAAATATTAACACCATTCCAGCCATCTTGGAATAAAGTCTTCTTATGCTTTTCTGCTAGTTCAGATACCTTTGAGAGGAGATAGGCACTATCCTTTGCATTTTCAATCACACCAGAGCCAACAACAATCATGGGCTTCTTGGCTTCAGTAAGACGCTTAGCAAAAGGATGAGAGCCATCTAAAATCTTTTCAATGTCCTTTGAACTGGCACCAATATGAGTATATTCATAATTCAAGTCGTCAGGTTGACCAATTAAACCAAGATCTTGTTGATAATGAAGCCATGATTTACGGAAACGTGTATTCAAAATGGGTGCTTCATGACGAGGGTTTGTACCAATTAAGAGAACTACATCAGCTTCTTCAGCACCAGCAATAGTCGAGTTCAAGACATAATTAGATCGGAAATCAGCATTAATAGCAAGAGGCTTAGAACCATTAGGAGCATCAATAGTCAAATTTTCAGAACCAATACGATTGAAAAGATCTTTCATAGCTACCATAGATTCAGCATCAGCGAGATGACCAGCGACAGCCTTGGCGGAGTTACCTTGAGCAGAAGCAAGTTCACGAGCAACACGCTTCAAGGCACTTTCCCAAGTAGCAGGAACAAAACGGTTTCCTTCACGAATTAAAGGTGTGGTGAGACGCTGAACTTTAAGACCGTCATAGAAGAAACGAGTCTTATCAGAAATCCATTCTTCATTAATTTCTTCATTCAATCTAGGAAGGATACGCATAACTTCGACACCACGAGTATCGAGACGAATATTTGAGCCAATAGCATCAGATACATCAATCGTTTCATATTTCTTTAATTCCCAAGGTCTTGCTTTCATATTGTAAGGCTTTGATAACAAAGCACCAACAGGACAAAGATCAATGACATTACCGGACATTTCAGATGCAATAGTCTTCTCAATATAAGTGGTGATCTGCATGTCATTACCTCGACCGGCTGTACCGAGTTCAGTAGCACCTGCTACTTCATTAGCAAAACGAACACAACGAGTACATTGAATACAACGTGTCATTTCTGTATTAATAAGTGGGCCAAAATTTTTATCTTCAACAGAACGCTTGCCCATAGGCTCACGGAAACGGCTACGATCAGAACCATAACGCATACTTTGATCCTGAAGATCACACTCACCACCTTGGTCACAGATAGGACAATCCAAAGGATGGTTGTATAATAAAAATTCCATAACACCTTCACGGGCCTTGTGGACCATCGGGGTATTTGTCTTCACCTTCATGCCAGGTATAATTGGATAAGCACATGAAGCAACTGGTTTAGGTGCACGTTCAACTTCAACTAGACACATACGACAATTACCAGCAACTGAAAGGCGCTCTATAAAAGAAATTGTATATTAATGTTACAAGTTGAATTTTGATTTTAAAATCGTCATTGAATTCCATCAAAAATATAGTTCCCAATTAAATTTTAAACTCGAATCTTTCTCTCTCTTTCTCTCTCTCTCTTTTTTTTTCTTTTTCTTTTTCTTTTTCTTTTTTTTTTTTTTTTTCCATCATCTAATTTTAATTCATACCATGATAACAGAAGCGGGGAATCTTTAATTAATGTAAATGATAGATTAATTAATTCCAGTCATTAGTTTATTTTAAATTTCAACATACATCAACACCAGCTTTTTCACAAGCTTGAATTAAGGCAGCGCCTTGTTCAATCATGACAGACTTTCCATCAATGAAAACTTCTACTTCGTCTTTGACATTGGTTGATGCAGCGAAAGCACGGACTATATTGGATAGATAAATAAACTTAGTTTCGGGGGTTTATTATTGCCTATTATTTATTGTTACCTCCAGTTTTAAGAATAGCTGGTGATCTGCGTGCTACGCTTGTCTTATTAATGACGCGCAACATAATATTTATTCTATTAGAGTGGGGAGTTAAATAATTTTTTTTTTCTAAAGAAGAGGAGGGGGGGAGGAAGTTTAATGTTAAGAGAAAGAAAAAAAAAGCTTCGCTTTACTACAGCAAATATTATGAACTCCACAAAATACACACTATAAATTTAACCCTTGTTCCTTTTCCCCGCAAAATTCATTGATAATTCTACAACCAACTCCTCATTTTCAAGCCCGAATCTAGGAATTTCTGTGACGTAAACTTTTTTTTTTTTTTTTTTTCAACACATCGAAAGCTTCATTTAATACACTCACTAATCTTGAAGAATCTAATACTATCTTTTAGAAGATGTAAGTGGATACCCTATATGGTTATTCTATGTTAGGAGTATATATATCACTATCCTTTCGGTTTAACATAGTTTTTGTTTTATGATTTTTTATTATTTAATAATTTAACAAGTTTGTTTTAACTTTGACTACAAATGAAAACAAACTAATTAACTTTCTTTTTCTCTACCCTTTAATTTATATAGAAAGCTTTCTGATGAGAGAGATATATTTTTTAAAATATGAATATAATAATTTTGCCATTTACATAAATATTTTTATAGCCTCTCATGAAGAAAAAAAAAATTCATGTGAATGTATAGCTTCAACTGTTTGCTTTTGAAGAAGAAAAATATTAAGGCTTACAATGTATTTAACTTGCTTATATGAGCTTTACTTATTCCCTTTCTCTTTCTTTCTTTTTCTTTTTTTTTTATTAATTTTTGATGAGATGCTATCATGCTGTTGCTTTTGCATTTTATGCTTTAACGGATATATAATTAAGCTTCTTTTCAACTATCAATGCGTTATATAACTTTAGAATTTTATAGTTAATACTATACCCTATTGAATGTATAGACTACTTTCATTTGTATACATTTAAATTTGAATTACATAACACAAAACATAAATAAATGTTAAATTTTTAGCAGTTAATACATATTGGTTATTCAAAATAAAATTTGCTTGTAGAAGAGTTTTGCATTCATTCACTATATATGTGATTTGCACGTTGTTTAAGATATAGAATTTACAAGCAATATAGTCAAATTATTATCTATTCTATTATAATTATGTTTCACTGCAGTTGTCTATACATATTAAACGAATTGTATGCATAAAATATTATAGTTAGCTTATTGTATATAGAACTAGTCTTGTGAATTACTAATCCATCTCTAATCTCGTTCGTAAGCATCTTTGATTTGCCTCTTATATCAAAGAGTAAAGTATGTTAACATAAAGAAAAAAAGATAGTGTAAATCAAAAAGCATGAGTATTAACAGCTTAGTGTTGCTTCTATGATGAAAATATCGAAAGATTTTGCTATTTATTTATACTAGAGAAAGGGCATAAAAAAGCACATCTGTCTCAATATTGATCCAAAGTAACTGATTATTGAGGATTTGCAAAAAGTTTTCGTTCACCTGGAGAATATTTCCGTAACCATGTTTGAAAAGAAAAAAAAAAAGAAAGATATTGATTCTAAACAAAAAATAGATATATTTCATTACATTAACAAGCATATTGAGAGGAAGGGAAGGAGAAGGAGGAAGAGGAAGAGGAGAGGTTGATTATTAACAACTACGGTCCTATCCATATTATATATAAACCCTCTCCTCTTTTTTTTTTATTTTCTTTGTATAATTATAGCTTTAATAGAGCTTTTTTTTCCCCTTATACATTTTCCTTTATTTTCGAGAAAACATAATGGAGGACGGGAAGCAAAGCTTTATCTACATATCTTTAAATGATATCACATGCAAAATAAATAAATAAAAATAATACTTGCTGAATATGTTGTACAAAATTAAAAGGGTGAAGACGATAAAGTGGGGGAGGGGAAACTAAATGATTAATTACTTTTTAAGTTATAGTCAATTGACCATTCTATAATTCAACTCCTTAATATTATAAATTACTCATGTTAATCCGAAAAAAAAATAAAATAAATAAACATTTATTATGTTTATGTCATTTGTGTATAATTTTACCTCATATTTTTTGTTAAAAAAAAAAGGAGAGTTCCCAAAATGCATTTTACATATCTTCTATATTATTCGATTTTAAAAATACCATTTAGATATTTCAAGTTAGCGCAAAAAAAAAAAAAAAAAAAAAAAAAAAAAAAAGCATACTTTTAACCTGGATAGCAAAGCTAAGACTCAAAAACGGCTCGAAGAGGTGAGTTTAAAGTAACTATGTCTTTCTTAATGATATTGCTCTTTACCTTAACAGAAAAAAAAACAAAAATATGGTATGATTAAAGGAAAGTGATACAATGTCAATAATAAAAGTGAAATAGATAACCACAGTTTTGATATGCGATCTCCATATTAGATTTCTCTTATTGGATTTAATTTAAGGCTTCTGTAAGCATCTTACAAAAAGAGAAAGAAGACTGGTCATTTTGAAACTCTCCAATAAAGGAACTATAGCGAGTTATTATTTATGATTTTGAAAGACTATATTAAGCAATATAGTTCTTATTTATAAGGAAAATGATATGTTTTAAGAGTATGAAGTCTGAATGATATTAATCTATTATTCTTGCTTAAACACAATTTTATAGAGTAGTTTTGGTTAATTGTCAAAAAGAAAATAAAATGTTATAAGCTCTTGGAGAATGAAGTATGAACAACTCAGATCTATAAAAAATTCTATCACTTAAAGCTGAGTGCTTTTAAATTATTTATAACTCATTCTCATAGATACTTGGGTAAAATTCTACAAGGAAGAGGTTTAGCAGAACCCTTCAGTATATAATTTTATTTTGAGTAAACATTAGTATATATTTAATTTGAGATTTTATTATAGTATCCTATGTTTTGATGGTTATATAACCAAGGGAGTTAGTCAAGGCATTAATAAGGCCTTTATTGTAAGCATTAATTACTTTAAGCTTCAATTTTATTTAACTTATTTTTGACGAAAAATTTAAAGTATTCAAAAGATTTTAGTTCTAGAGAATATGATGAAGGATATACAACATTAAATTCTCCGTGCTCTATTCATATTTATATTGGTGTTGTAGTATCATCCAGTAGAGCCTTTTATCTTTAATATGTAGTCCTATTTGATTAGTAGCTTTATTCTCTCCTTTGTTGGCTTAGGTGATGTATTGTAAAATTCATTTACTCACATTATTGTTTTAAAGAAATCAAGTATCATTAAATATAGACCTTTATTCAAATGAGTTTTAAGGAACTTGAACATAAAATTAAGCTTCTTATGTAAATCAATGTTTTCTATTGACCCTATTCAATAGTGTCTGATGACCATTTCCAAATGTTGATTCTATTATATTTATTATAGACTAAATTAATTTGAATAGTCGTTTCTAATACATCTACATGAGCTCTGAATAATAATACAAATAATTATAAACAAAAGGATATATATCAATGCTTCCCTCTCTAAATATATATGAATAACTTCAACTCAATACACAATGCCAAGAAGCCATTCTTCTCTTTCTTTGTATACCAATCTATTTCTAGTGATACTCATCAATCATAAATACCTATTTGGATTATGATATACCACATTTTCTGAAAATTTGATCATCTTCTTTACAGCACTTCTCCCTTTTATAACTGCTCCCATAATATATACCTCATATCTTGGCTTAAGCGTAAATCCTCCTGATTACCGTCATTATTACTTTTTAATATTCCTATATTTATGTACTCTTCCTTAAAAAAAAAATCCTTATATTCACAAGATTAACCTATTCCATTGATAGATTAGGTTAGTTGAGTGATATAAATGTATAATGTTCATTGCGCGTTTAGATAGAGCATTTGAAAAAAAAAAGGATATACAAATAAAAATTGTTCCTTGAAAAAAAAAAAAAAAAAAAAAAAAAAAAAAAAAAAAAAAAAAGTATATGATATAGTACGATTTACAAATACTATATGATGAAATTATCTACAATAATGACATAATAATCAACAAATATACTCCTAATAACATGAACTTATTATTTTCATTGTGTATAAAGTTGCTATTAAGGAGTAAACATTATAATTTAAGAGATCTGATACTCAAAGAAGTTTGTAAAACAGTAAATATAGTTATCATCTTGTAAATATACCATTTTTTTTGATTTTCTACTGCTATACAAATCAGTACAACGCCATGTATATAAAGAAACATTAAATTATATAGGCTTCATACTTCTCCTTATTTTTGTTTTCTTTTATTATTATTTTTCTTTAACTTTCTATTATTTTCTGTTTATTCTTTACTATTCTAATTTATTGACAAAACCCCTTTTTTTTTTCGTTCACTGTAAATTTTGCTTATAAAAGCTAATAAATATAATTGTATATAGATTTTATTGTAGTTTATTTTGTTTACTTTATAAAAAAAAAAGATGTCTTATTATCAAAACCATTATTATTCTGACTCTAGTAATACGGTTCTTTTCGATAATTCTTTACAAAATTATACTATTCTCCCAATACAGCCGCAACAAAAGCATATATTTGAAATGTCAACGCAAAAACAAAAGGATCAATTTCTACTAACATCAAGTTTCTATCCTTCAATGAACTTTTTTATGAATGATACTATGTATCAACATGCAGATAATAAGGATAGTTCATGCCTTTCTTTTGTTCCTGATTGTAGGAAGCCTATATTTGATTATTGGACAGACATCGATTCATTCTCGTCTCCTTGTAGTTGCTGCTCGTCTTTTCCACTTTTATCTGAAGCCCTTACTTCTACCCATGGTTATTCTGCTAATGAATCCCTTTTGCCAGATCTTGTAGATAGTCATACTCTCTTTTCATCTACTAAAGCTATCATCACAAGTCAGAATGACTGTAGTCGTACAGAGAAACCTAATAAATCGTCCACCATGTCCATCTCGCGCAATCGTCGTACAAAACGACGACAGGAGAAAAAATCGAATACAAAGGAAAAGCCGTTCAAGTGTTGCTTTTGCCCAATTACATTTGCTCGAAAATATGACCTTCAGCGTCATATCAGAGTTCATACTGGACTAAAACCTTACTCATGTTTAAGTTGTAACAAACTGTTTGCTCGAACTGATGCACTTAAACGTCATTTACGTATGGAAGATACTTGTAGATCAAGCCCCATCGTACAAATTATGGTCCAAACTGGTCATAAGCGATACCGTAATTTGTAAAATAATATACATGTTGTATAATAAAAACTTTAAACTTATTATTATTATTATCATATCTATACATGCATGCATGTATCTATCTATACTATCAATCTCATTATATAAATATCAGTTTTATTTTTACCTACCTAAAATAAGGATAAGAAAAATAAAACTTTAATTTGTAGTTGTCAAATTTTATTCTTTTTTTCCTTATTTGCACATACTAGAAAATTGTAGTGCCTATTATATCAAGATGATTTTTTTTTTTTAAAAAAAAAAAAAAAAAAAAAAAAAAAAAAAGCTAATTAAACAGTTTATAATACTAATTTCATTATTTAATGTGCAAAATATTAAAAGATTGAATTTAAAGCTTTATATCAATGGAGTCATAAGGTTCTTTTTGACATAAATATATTTGGCTTTTTGACGCCAAAACTATATAAAATTATTAATAGACATTCTTAACAAAGTGCCTCCTTTTTTTTTTTTATTGTTACCTAAAATATAATAGAAAATTTGCGATATTTGGATTCGATTCCTTGATTTAAAGATTTCATCTAAACGAATTGTATCTTGACTCGAATAGTTTGTTCGTAATTCACTATATATATATATAAAGAAAGAAAAGTTCTATGTCATGCCATTTAAAAAACTATGTGTGCTTTACATTAAAAACTCTTTAGCTCCTCCTTCATGATTGTAATCTTCTATAACTTCTTGATTTTCAATATGAAATGCCTGATCTATGATATAAATAGTCAAATGTTACAAGATATTTTAACTTTTTTTTTTTTTTATAAATATTAATATCATTATTATTACCAAAATTAAGATATCCATAATCGACATTATTATCATCAAAGTCATAGCCACCATCAAATTGATTATTAAATGGCCAATGAGCATTATTTTGTGGTCTATATTATAAAAAAAAATATACATATATGTATTGATAAACGTGATTCTTTCCGGGTACCTAAAACCCAAATGTTGTATTTAATTAAATTACATATGATCACTATGATTATCTCCACCAAGATCAAGATTATTCATTTCAGGAGTTGGAATATCTACTGATAGAAGAACTAGTTAAAACTTTTTTGAAGAGTAGTAATTAAAAGCGCTCTCTATATATTTATATATACCAGAAGAAGAACGTATTGATATATTTCCATTCGTATTATTATTTGTATTCATAAACCCTCCAGAGACAGAAGAAGAGGATCCACTTGTATTACGACGACGATCAAATCTTCTTGACTTTTCAACACTTTTAGCGAATTCTGTAGAGCTGTGATACTTTTATAATAACAATAAAAACAGTTACTAAAAGAGAGAGAGAGGTACTAATGAAAGAATAGGGATATAATATATTGATTTACCTGATGACGCTGTTGTTGATTGAAATAAAAGTATTTATTTTTATTTTGAAAGAATGCATATTCTCCATGAATAAGAAGGGCCCCTTCTCTATTTGTTGCTTCTACTTGATCCGATGTAATCAATCTCATAGAAGGTAGTCGAAGGCTATCTCGAATTTCATCTATACTTTCCTTCTTGGACATTATTTGTAGATTTTCATTCTTTCTTATCACTTTCCCAGTTTGATAATAATGACTAAAAGGCAGGATAGTATCTTCTGCCGTATTCATCATCATACGTCGTACGCATCTTGGATGATGTACCGTAGATGATATTTCAGAAACAGCAATGGATGAATCATCAGGTACAATATCTGGATACATCTCAGTAGATGGGGAATCAAGACTTCCTTCTTCCAGTATAAGTGATGGAGGATGACTATTCCCACTACTGACAGGATGATTCCCAATACTAATACGACCACTAGAAGATGCTTTAATACTAGTTGTAAATGGTGAATATGAATTTGCCTAGAACCAAAAAAAAATAAATAAATATGTCATTTATATATAGAACAATTTTTACAGAGGGATAATAAACTTTTGATGTAGTATTTATATCTGAATGATAAGGTAAATCAAATACTGAACTATCCTCGTTTTTTTTAAAATTTAACAATCTATCTTCGTCTATTGTAAAGTCTTGATGTTGATCATCATCTCTGTAATAATAATAAAAATAAAATAAAATAAAAAAAAAAGGTCAAAATCTTATATTTCCCCTCCACTTTTCTCTCTCTCTCTCTCTCTTTCTCTTTTACACTCCAGTCTCAATTAGATCATTATCAAATAATATATTATTTTCTTGAAGGTTAGATTCTTGCTCAAAATGTGAAGCAGTTGTTTCGAGCATATGTGACGGATTCTGTTGTTGTAAAGAAAGACATTGGTAATTATAATATACTCCTTGTTGAGAATCTATAGTAGGTAAATTAAACGAGGAACTATGACTCATGAATTTAAGGATAGAGCAAATGCTTTCATCAATTTCATTTAAGCCTTTATCTCTTTCACTTAATCGAGTTCTATTGTCAGCAAACTATATAATATATATATTATTAAAATCATCTAATAGACAGTCATATATATATACATATCATACTAAGTTTGAAAATAAAGGGGCATCCTTTGATGTTTGAAATTCTATTAAATCATCATTTTGCTGTAATAACGTTAAAGTATTTAAACTATTAAGAAGAGAATAGTAAACAAACATATACAATAAAAAAAATAACATGATAACTAATTTTTTTTATATATATACTTTGCTATAGGCTTTTCCATATCGATGTTAGCAGTCTTTAATGGGTCAGTTAAGCCAAATTTTAATTTATTACATAAAAGAACAGAATCCTCTTTTTAAGATAAAATGAATTGATATCAATGTATAAAGGTTATAATAAAAAATAGATATACCATATAATATACAGGTCTTTTGTCTCATAATTTTCGATATACCATATAATAGACAAGCTTTTGTTTGAAGTAACATTGGTTGTTGATATTCATAATCAATTAAATTGCTTGATATGATAATTATGTATTAAATGATATATTTATATGTGTATATAATTTTTGATTTTACCATGATTTAGGTATGTCAAAAGATAAGATTGTATTACGATTTATTCTTCTTTTAATTCTAGTAGGATGTAATCCTACAGTAGCTGCATTCCTATTCTACTTGTTATTACTTACTCACAATAGAGTCTAAAAAAAAAAGAAAAAGCAAAGGAATACTTTCCATGCAATTTTAAGATATTTATTATGTATTTCATCTTGTTCAACTAAGAAGTTCATAATAAATGAAAGAGAAAGGAGAAAGAGAATGATTTTTTTTAAAAAAAAAAATGATATATTATAATTGAATTAAATAGTCTTCAATAGAACGTGATTTCGTATTATTATTTGGTATAGACAATGCTGTAGTATTAGAATTTGACGACAATAAGTGTCTTTTATATTTCTCTAATTCTTCAATCTAAATATATACAAATATGTAAATAGGCCTTCCATCTTTCTGTTATAATCTATATACCTCTTTATCTAATTCTATTGACTTTAAGTCTAATATATGAGTTGTAGGAATAATCATATTATCTATTAAACTTGTAATAAATTGACCATAAATACTTGTATTATATAATTGAGTCATCATATCAGGTAAACTATCGTCTTTATCTGATTTATTCATCTTTCTTAAATCATATTGGACACAGTTATTTGATAGAATATATTCTCTTTTTTGTTCTTCATACATATGCTCTGATAATTTCAAATGTAATTCTTGAATAACACTAGTAGGATCATACTCTTTTGTTACCGTTGAAGGTTCAATAATTAATGGTACATTTACTTTTATTGCTGTATTTGTTTCCTGATCCAATATTGATTGAAAGCAAGTAATTTGAATCTTTTCAGTCTATATAAAAAAAAAAAAAAAAAAAAAATTAAAGGAATCTTCTTATACACATCTATTATTTTGCTGTGTAATTTTTTTTTTTTGTTTTTACGTTTTCATTATTTGAATCAAAGCAGGATACAATAATACCAAAGAATCTATCATCCATTAGTTGTTGTGATAATTGTGTCTTAATGTCTAGAGAGGAGGATATGATATATATATATAAAAAAAAGGTTCAGGTCAAAGCTTTTAAGACTTCTTTAATATCGTTACTTTACCAACATGGGAGGGAAATACTGTTATATGCGGATGACTATGATACTTTGTAAAAGGTTATATTAGAAATAAGAATAATAATAATACAATTGGATAAAGAGTATTGTCTAGCTTTACCCAACCAATGACCATCATTGGTGTACCTATTTGCTTCCCAAACTCCTGAATTGATATGAATCAAATAAATATCTATTTTTTTTTTCTCATATCTTGGATATCAAGTCTGTATACTTACTTCTGCTTGTAATGCTGCTAAATGTAGATTTTCAGGTGCTATCTCTACTCTATCTTTACGTTTATCCGACCGAGTCAAATATGAGATATATTTCACACGAGCAACTGACTTGGTTCCAATATATGGGTTATTACTAGTTATTGTCTTTATATTATTTATTTTAATTTTATATTCCAACTTTTCAGCTCTTTTTTAATATAACCATTTACCTCCCAATGACCAATTAACATGCCAATAATCTCCTCCTATAAATGATTGTTATTGAAATGAATATAGGCACATACACAAGAAGAAGAAAAGAAATAATAATAATAATAAAATAAAAAGAAATAAAATAAAGATTATTGCAGTCTTACATTTTCAGTTGAATAAGCATGGGATAGAATCAAGTGGAATATATTAGCAGGAACAATGACTTGATTCAACATTTTAATATATCTTGAAGGGAAAAGAAATGAAATAAAATGCTATTTTAAATGTTATATCAACCAATCAGGAATATCATTATAATATTTAACCTTTATTTTTATTTTATTTTATTTTTTTTTTCTGCAAAAGTATTTTTTTTTTTTTATATCAATCATGTCAATTTCTGTAATGTCTTTTTCTTTTCTTAAAATACATGTATTTATATAAATCAACATATTTATATTCTTATTTATATAATTAGGAAGATTATAAAGAACGTATGGATAAGCCTGAATGGTACACAGATGCTCAAAAGTACTGGAACGGCGTAACACCCACCATCGATGGCATGTTAGGCGGCTTCGCCGTCATTGACCCTGTCGATGTAAAAGGCTCGCTTGATTTTATTCATGAATATGTCTATGGTAAAAAGGGAGTCAATAATACTGTAATTAAGGAGCCTGTCATGAACGGAGAAAAATATGCATGTGATTGTGGTGCAGGCATTGGCCGGGTTACCAAGAATTTTTTATTAAATGTACCATTTGAAAAAGTCGATCTTGTTGAACAAGCTCCCTCGTTTGTAGAACAGGCTAAATCGAGTTATTTAGCTAAAGAAATTGAAGAAAATAAAATCGGTAATATCTTTTGTCAGGGTCTTCAAGATTTTACACCAGAAGAGGGCAAATATGATTTGATCTGGTGTCAATGGGTACTCGGTCATTTGACAGATGGTAAATTGTTGATTTGTTTAATTTAATCTATTGTTATGGAATCGCTAATACCTTCTGTGTTAGATCACTTTGTTGAATTCTTTAAGCGTTGTGTCCGAGGTTTAAAACCTAATGGTCTAATTGGTGTAAAAGAAAATAATGCAAAAGTGGAGGCTATTGTAGATGATGAAGACAGCAGTGTTACAAGAACTAACAACGACCTGAAAACATTATTTACTAAAGCAGGCTTAACTTTAATTAAAGAAGAACTTCAACAAGGCCTTCCCTCAGGTTTATTTGCCGTTAGAATGTATATGTTAAAACCAACACAAAAATAAAAAAGGAAAGAAAAGAAAACTAATAATAGAAAAAAAAAAAAGGAAAAAAAAAAAACATTATGAATTCATTTGAATAGTTGTTTGACTACTACGATCATCATTAATACTTGATTCAGTTGGAGTAGAGAACTGAGATCTAGAAAGTGTAAGAATATTAGTTGCTACTCTCTTTTGTTGTCCAGGATCATGAGAAATCCAAATGCAAGTCCTTGACTTTAATGTTTTTTCAACTAATTGTACTGATTCAGGATCCAAAGCAGAAGTAGGTTCTATATAATACGTAAATAGACTGAATAATATAAAATAATTATATTGATGATTGTTTTACCGTCAAGTAATAAAACATCCGGATTCAAAGCTAGTGCAATAGCCAAAGCTACTCTTTGAATTTCACCACCAGAAAGATTACTCCATTTTTCCTCAAAATGACTTTGAGATAAATTCCATTCACTTCCAATTCTAACCTAATATTAAAATAGAATAGAAAGAATGAGATAGGATAAAAGAAAAAAAAAAGTAGATAAAATGACAAATTATACTAACAGGATCATCCGTCTTTTTATGTTTTTGACTTTTATATTTTTTCACCATGTTAAAAAAATCCATTGGGGTACCAGAATGAGCTGAGGGTCTTTGAGGAACATACATGACACGAGACCTCCAAACTGGGATTGTATAATCACTAGCATCTTTATCGAATAAAGTAGAATAGCCTGATTGATAAGGAATAAGTTCTGCGATACATTTTAATAATGTTGTTTTTCTATAAAACTGTATTTTAACAATTGTCGTACGAAAAAAAAAAAACAAGTATTTACCCTACACCACTTGGACCACGTATAATTAAAGTCTCTCCTTCTTCTAAATCAAAAGATACATCCTTAAATAACCATCTACCATCAGGAAGTTGCATAGAAATATGATGTGCTTGAAACATGACCATTTTTTTTATCTTAATTATATATGTATATACAAAAGAAAAGAAAAAAAAAAAAAAAAAAAAAAAAAAAAAAAAAAAAAAAAAAAAAGAAAAAAAAAAAAAACAAAGAATTAATAACATTCTAAACTAAGTGCACCCTCTATTCTTTTTGAAATTGATGAGTGACAAATAAACATATTATTACAAAGTGTTTTCTCTTTCCATAACTTTGATTTAATTACATTAATATATATTATTATGGCCAATATACAACGTGCACTGATATCTAAGATACCATGTGTCTTTTTCATGGATCATATACATTAGCCATACATATTACTTTTTGTATACATACATAAATAAATAAATAAAATAAAGACCTTTCAATGTGTATATTATATGTGTATATTTAATTTATTACTACAACATTAACTTAATTTACAGTATTTATTATGTAATCTTTCATTAAAGTGGTGAATGCATACCAAGCTATATTAGCAAAAATAAAAAAAAAAAACAATTAGTATACAGGAGATAAACATTTTCACTCTCTCTTACCTTTGTACTGAATTCTAGTTTTGATCTCTTTTGGAATCTTGTAAATTCTTTATTATCATGCATCTTTACTAATTCTTGTACAGGAATTAAAACGATAGGCCAAACAAAGCCCAAGAAATAGACAAACCATGGTATTCTTGATAGCTCAAAAGGTCCATGTGCAAGAGAGACAGCGCAGAAACAAAACTGTAAAATAATACTAATAAAACGGAATCAGTAATCGTATATTCATTCAACTCTTTACTATCATACCTTAAAAAGAACGCGCCAATCCATATTCTATTCTTAAATGGTATAAATTCAATAATTGAAGAAGTTCGATGAAGGAAGGAAGGGGATATACATGCTAAATAATACATATTAACAAAATAGAACATTATCATCATTAATAATAATAATAATAAAAAAAAAGGGAATATTTTTTCATTTTACCAAAACACCAAACAAGTGCGACAAGCATAAAGTTTTGTGCATATAGAACTGCCCATTGCTCTTCAACTGTCCAATGGTACCATCCCTTTGATCCAAATTTGCCAAATACATCCTTTGTGCTCGTACCTAACGAATAGATCAATGTCCTTTTATATAGATGTGAGTTAAAGTCTCTATAGTAAATTAAATGGAATCTTCTTACATTGCATAAATAGCTATAGACATAGCAATCAATAATATAAAACGAAGGATAAAATAGGACATAAATCTCCAAAAATCAGTAAGATGATCGATATTTTTGCCTAAATAAATAAATGATATTATTATGTATACATAATACATATATGCATAGATATATATATATATATATATTACCTGGCATAAGAAGCATAATACCATCTCCATGTGGTGTAAAGAGCATAGACATGGAGAGTATAGGTAAAATAATCCAAAGTAGCCATAAAATCTGATAACCAGTAAAAATAGGTGGTAACAATAAACAAAAGCTAAAAAGCAGGATTAAGGAAATAGACATACAGCCTGCAACATAAAAGCAAAATCCCTATAAATAATGCAAATATCGGTAAATTACAGAAAAATAAAAAAATAAAAAAAAATTAAGCTTACCATTCGAACACAACTCAATAATCTTCTAGCATCACGAATAAGTTGAGTCACAGCATACAAGCTTGTCTCATATTGCATAAACAATCCACATGGTAAACTACATAATGATGCCCCTACTGCTAGAGGAGGTTGACGATCATTTGTTGATAGACGACCTTTAATTTGAGCACGTGTATGCATAGGTTCCATTGCAATACTAACATCAGACTATATAATATATAAGATATGTGTATATAAATATATATAGATATAGATATATATTAATTATTACCAAAGCAAATGACTCTGTATTCTTTGTATTCAACGCATTTCCTATTGAACAAACAACTTCACCGTTTTCTTGAAAGATACGAATCATTTCTTTCATTGCTCGAGGCGTACATTCTGCAAATAAGGAAACATGAAGAGGAATATCATCTACATTTTCCAAATGGGGTCGAATTTCATCTATACCTCGAGGCAATTGTGCTTTAATATCATGCGTTTGAAGATATCCATTTCCACAATTTTCATCATCAGGATTTGATAATAAGATACAGCTATTCCAGTCTGTCTCTAATCCAAGACGTTCAGCAAAAGCTAATATATATATATATATATTTATATGTATTTAATTTATATATTAAAAAAAAATAGAGTATACAGCAATCATAATATACCTTTAGATTCCCTTTCAGCGGTAGGTGAGAAATATACAAATCGTATTCCTGCTAGGCCTAAATCTTCAATGAAATCAACAACATTCTATATCAACCATATATAAAAAGAGTAAATATATATATACATATATAAAGATATATGTTAAATGACACATTTTTTTTTTTTTTTTACATTACCTGCTTTGGTTGATGACACATGGCTGTCATACCAAGAAAAATTTGCCCCTTAACTACTTCTTTATAAAAAGCAGCTTCTTCTTGTTCATTAACAGGTTCATCTTCCTCAAAGGAATAATCACTTGTTCCAGTTTCAGAAGAACTACTACTACTACTACTTGTAGAAGTACTTGAGGATTTGGAAGAACGACGAGATTTGTTTATCATTTTATCCTTTCTGTCATCATCCATATCTTGTCTACTATCATGAATTTTCTCAGTAAAAGATGATTCAGTAGAAGATTCAGACATCTCGCTACTACTGCTACTACTACTACTACTACTGCTACTACTGCTACTGCTACTGCTATCTGAACTCGGAGGTTTGTAAGGTAGAACAACAAAGGCACATCCAGGATCTTCATCTTCATTATCAGAAGGATTTAAAAATGGGATTCGTCCATCATTCACAGTATTTATAGGACGATAAGCGTAAGCAATACATTGCATATCATGGACAAGTGCATTTTGAAAAAAGTCATTGATCTTTTTTTCCATCTATAAAGAAAAAAAAAAAGGCTTAAATTTAAGTATTCAAGTAATATGTATACATATCTCCTATTTACTGTTTCACTCATAGTCTGAAGCGAGTTGCCATCCCAATAATCAGAACATTTATCCATAACTAATGATGGATGCCCATCTGTCAATAATTGATAACTTCCTATTTTATACATAATAGACATTGTAAGAAAATAGAGTTTATCTATTTTTATTGTATCTATATACCTGACGTTCGTTCTTCAAAAACAGTTGAAAGGGCATTAGGGACTTCAAAAGGATAATATTTACTATACTTGTAACGTGGTGTATTTAACATTTCATGATAAGGTGCAAAGGTATAAATTTCAGCTCTTAAAGCAAAAGATTGAAGTGCCTCTTCTTTAAACCCAATACATTTACCTAGTCTACAAAGACATGCTAATACATAACGTAATATTAGACTTATTTTTTTTTATCAAATAGAATAAACTATTTTATATATACTACACTTTACATTGTCTTGCAGGTGATGTTTTACCGTAAACATGAAGCTTAGAACGCCTACGATGATATTCTGATCTTTTACGACTTTGAATTACACCACAATTGGTATTAAGCATAAAATTTAAACCTAAAGGCTTCAGACATCTAAAAATAAACAAACAAATTAAATTAGTATAATTCAAAAAAAAAAAAAAGTATAGCTTTACGGTAAATATTGTTTCCAATCTTGATCTTCAAATTTTAACCCTGTTTCTTCATCTGAATCTTCTTCAACATCCAAATAAGTAATATCCTCTTCGTTATTTGGAAACATTAATTGTTCAACTGTAGGAAAAGGCTGTTTTTTTTGGAAATAATTAGTAACAAAGATAATATATACATATATATATAAAAGGGGTATTTACATTAGCTATTGTCCCTTCTCTATCTAAACAACAAATGACTGTGGTGTTTCCAAGTGACTCCAATAAATTAGTTGATCTTGTTAAAGAAAGTTGGTCCCACTTTGTCAGTAAAGATAAAAATCTATCCCAAACAGCATCTAAAATTTGGAATTAATAAAGGAAAAAAAAAAGAATGATTATTTCTTTTTTTTACTTGGACTCAATTGTAAATCTTTTGTGGGAGGGGGTGCCTCTGCATCAAATTCATCTACTTCATCATCATCTTCATATTCAGTTTTAGAAATCTGTAATGCCTCAAACAAAATAAGTAATTGAGCATTTCCAAAGCTACGAGCAATTATCCACATACTAGGTATACATAAAGGTAAAAGAGGAATAATTGAGTAGATGGTCATCACGAAGACTTCTTCAATAAGTTGATCAGCAGGAAATCGATTTAGCAATATACTTCGAAGACCAAATCTTAAAATATTAACAGCAAACGCTATGCCTAATAGAATCCATATCACATATTTGTAAAAGATACGCATAATTACTTGACTTTCATTATGCATGACAGTCTTTGGTCGACTTTGACTCAATGCCTTTTTTAAATTTTTTTCTAGAGGTGTCTCTAACAAAATGAATTGATGTCGACCTCTTGAGCGCATATATTCTTCCATTAATCCAGAGGGAGGTGGGATACCAAAGAAGGATGGCTTAAATGTTTGATCCTTAGCAATATAATACTCCTTTGTATTTAAAGGTGGTTCACTATCATTTGTAGTTGTATCCATGAATGAAGGTGGACTAGGGTGATTCATCGTATCTTCATTATTGGATAAATGCAAGTCATCATCTTCAGTTGGGGTCGTTTTATGCATATACTTCATTCGACCAGGGGCTACATCACCATATAACATTTCAACGATATCACCTTCAACTAATAAATTGACTGGAAAGATTCGAACAACGCCATCACGTACCACTTTTGCAACAGACATAGAGGGTATGAAAGGAATTTTAGTATCTTGAACCATATTCATTCCACTTCTTTCTAATGCACCAACAATGGATAAAGCTCTATCCGTCATTTCTCGATAAGATAACTCCTGCTCTCTATAAAATATATACCCATTCCAAGCTGTCATTGCTAACAATAAAATAGATTCGACTAATAATCCAGTAATACGAAATTGATATGGTTCACTTTTAAGATAGGCAACAATATATAAAATCAAAAGACCTATCCCACCGATAGTATTCAAAAGGACAGCGGGATTACAAAGAAAAATTCGAAAGTCTTTTGTAATAGAAATAAGTTGGTCAATACCTTTCCTTTTATGTATGTATATAAAAACCTTACCAAGCATTTTATGTATTCGTGCCCGTTCACCATCAATAATACGATTAGCTAAATATAATAGTTTACTGTAAATTTCATACATATATGTATATGTATATACATTAGTCTATGTTCATTCATAAATTCAATACAAGTGTCAATAAATAAATAAATAAATAGTTACGATAATGCTTCTTCACTTGATAGCCCAGGATGTCTATTTGATCGTAAACTTTCTCTTCTACTCCAAGATTGAGATTGTAAATTTGTTTGTAATACTTTTTGTGTTCTTCTATGCAATCTACGAGGAATAGATCTTCTTGTTAACCCTCCATTTTGATGTCGTTGGTTACGTCTCATCATTCGTTCACGATCACCTCTCGGCATTTCATCTACAAGATCATCTTCTTCTTCTGTATAGACAGTAACGATTCCTTTATTATTGTTTGCTAAATGACTGTTCTTTATCGTACCATAATCTCTTATTTTTGGCGTACGATGACGATGCTTATGTCTACGATGTTTTCTATTTGCATCCGCTCCATTATATTGTACATCATTGACTTCTTTATGAACTGTATTGTCGATAAAGGGAATACCTTTTGAAGTTCTTTCATGAAAAACAATGTCTTCCTGTTCTTCTTCATGATTCTCTCCTCCTCTTCTTCTTTCTTCTTCCTCCTCGTCTTCTTCTTCTTCATCAGCCAGATCAATATCACCCTCGTTATCTGTTATATCATCCATATCATGACTATCGTGTGAAGTATAATTTTCCATCATGTATAAATTTGAAGAGCGATGATCAATATGACTTGAAGGGAAAGAATGGTGTTGTTGTTGCTGACCAAGTGAATCAACGTCCGATTCTCGTCTTACAGGTGAATAACAAAATGCATAATCGCTTTCTGATTCATCATCACCTGATCTCAACAAATGAGCAGCGCTTTTTTCCATTCGACGTGGTATAGAACTACCATGATCAATGACGACTTGAGCAGAAGCACTAGAATCAGAGCTACTACTACTACTACTACTCGAAGAAGAAGAAGAAGAAGAAGAAATACTTTGATTGTCACCGCTATGACTAGTATCCCTTTTACGTCTGTGACGTTTTGATTTTGTGGTGTTTGATTGTTCTTGATGGATCGTCTCTTGTTGCTCGTTTCCAACATCAAGTAAAAAAAATGTTTTCCCTTCTTTTTCTACTACAGGTTCAGGTAGAGCATTAAGAAGTGGTTCAGAATTACATGGAGATGGGCGATGATGCTCTAACGGAGAGGACGATGATGTTGCTGTTTGCTGCATGTCATTAATTTCTTGATTTTTAGACATATTAATGTATTACACGTATACATGTATATATATATAAATATATATTGTATATATTGTATATATATATATATATGTGTGTGTGTGTGTATTTCTGACAGTCAAGTAATTAATGTAAGTGTGTAGGAATAAATACTACAACAGGTTTGAAAATTGGTATTTATTATATTATACAATGAAAGAAAAAAAAAAAATACACATGTATTTATTTATACATTGTACATCTCGAGTTATGTACCATAAATGAAAATTGGCAAGAGATCGTGAGCGTGACTATTTTTTTTATAAATGCACGGACTCCGTCATTTTTTTTTTTGAGATTGTTAAATCAAAGACAGCAGCAGCAGCTGATTGCAAAAAAAGGGGGGGGGAAACAAAAATATATCTGAAAATAAAGCAAATTTATTTTATCAACAAAATACATGAGAAAAGAAAAGGTATGAACAAGAAAAAGGATAAGGATGTTAAAAACGGAAACCATAATTATTCTTTTTATGCGAATACGCACAGTCCGTAAGATAAAAAGCCAAGCCAATAAAAGCAATAGTAGCAGCCAACAAGGCTACAGTAAGGATGACTCTTAACGAACTATATAATAGTATTATCATATTTATTTATTTTTTCAAGTTTATGTATAGTATTTTACCTCGAATATTCAATCATAACAGGTGACAATGTCCGCTTCATTAATTTATCCATACTATTATTGCTACTGCTACTACTGCTACTGCTACTACTACTACTACTACTGCTTCTGCTGCTGCTGCTACTGATACTATTACTAGATACTTTCTTTCTCTTAATGCTATATCTTAGTTGCCTATTCATTAAACTATCATCTGCATCGTTAATAATCACATCACTTCCATCTTGGTTCAAATTGATAGATTGACTGAAAATTTTTCTTTTTCTCCTTCCTTGATGTTCAACTTGTTGCTGTTCTTCTCCTTTTCTTGTATAAACTTTTAATTTAATAGAAAGAAGAGATTTGTAAGGATGATGACGACGACGAGGATGACTTGGTTTATTCATAATTCTGTTATTAGAGCCAAGTTGATCAGTAGTAGTAACAGATTCATTGTTGTGTGGAGGTATAGGAGTATACCTTGAAGAGGAAGCAGTATCAGGAGAAGAAGAAGAATGATTACATGTATTATTATTATTATCATCATCAAACGACTTTTGTTCTTTAGGAGGAGATGTTGAAGAAAGAGTGGACCGTTGGTCTCTGTGATTATTAGAGCTATGAAAGTCAGTATTATCATCTTCCTCGACTTCTTCGCGTATAACTAAATCATTATTATTATTATTATTACTAGTTGTATGAGAAACGGTTTGCTGTCGTTGATTATTTAATTGAATATAGGCTTCTTCAAATTCACCATTATTAATGCTTATTCCGTCATAATCATCTTCTTCCTCATCCATATAAATAGTATTAAAATTTTCAAAATCACCTTCAGGTGGAGTAGAGCTACACATATCAGATATAGAAGAAGAAGAAGAAGAAATACTCATATGTAATTTTGAATTTTCTCTGAAATTACAGAAAAGACATAAATAACAACGTCTTTACATTTCAAATACTTACTTTTTTATATCAAGATTCATGCGTAGTAGACACAAGAAAAGAAAGAAAAAGAAGTAAAGATGTATAAAATATTTATTTATTACAAAAAAAAAAAAAAAAAAAAAAAAGATTGATTCACCAATATAGTTTAAACGTCATAAAACCTTAAGGTTTATAAATATATTAATGCATTATATATCTTTTTTCTTAATAAACTATTGATAAATTTCGCACTGTCAAAGGACTGCCAAATTAGTGTCGGTACAAATTTTTGAATAAATTTCCTTTTCAGCAAAAAAAAAAAAAAAAAAAAAAAAAAAAAAAAAAAAAATAAAAATAAAAAAATATAAAAAACTAATAATAACAATAATTCATTCTATATAATTAAAATGTATACTAAACGACAACGAATTCTAAAAGAACTTACCTTAGGATCATTTAATGAAGAAGAAAATGTACCATCATCATCACAACAAAGTGTAGGCCGTAGGGCTGCCCATCCATTACCTGAAATCTATCGACCACGTATTACACAACGTAGAGAGCGACCAGCAGGAATGTTATATAAACCACTCGAGTTAGGTTATAAAGCGACCATTATACCTACTCGTAAACGTGAAGATGGATATGAGCAAGCAGAATATGATAAAGGTAAACTAAAAATAAAACTGGATTAAAAAAAGGCATTCCAAGTAAATTCATACTACGTGAATTAGATGTAAAAAAGACGATTCCAAAATCAGTTGATTGGCAATTAATGTCAGATCCAGTTCGGAAACAAGTACGACACATTCTTTCTGATAATTATGGGTAATATATGCAATAGAGACCCATTTAATATATATATATATATAAATAAAAGTAACATTCATGATATATAGAAAAGTATTAGCAGAGGCAGAACTAATCGATACAAATGGTGAAGTAACACATATTGGAGCAAGATACTTGAAGAATATTGCTTCCAAAATTGATAAAAGTTTACGTTCAACTATGCTACCAGGAGCTATAGATAAAAGACTATTTGATACAGATTTAACTGAATCCACAGTAAGTTTATTAAATGAAATATTATAAATTCACATATATTCAATTGGAGTCAAATAGATAGAGCTTGATCAACTAGTGAATGATCAAATAATTATGGCAGCAGAATTAAATATGAAGGTCATTGAAAAAGAGAAAGAGTTAGTAGATAAGAAAGGATTACTTGAAGAATTAAAACTAAAAACTAAGATTGCGAAAGAAGAGGTAAATAAAAATAAGCACACACACATACACACACATTTATATATATATATTATATGAATAAATGTGTGTGTATATATATATGTGTGTGTGTATATTTGTATGTATATATGTATGTATATATGTATATGTATATGTTTGTATGTATATGTATATGTATATATATACATGTATACACATATTACACATATAATGCTCATACACACACATATATATATATATACATACACATATATACAAATATACACACACACATATATATACACACACACATATATACACACACATGTATATGGATTATATAAGGACTCATATTTTACATAATAGATAAAAAATACACATAGAAAGACATTGGATGACCCACAAGATTATGTACAAATGTTATTAAAGAATCCAAGCTCGAAAGAATATTAACGGGAAAAAAAATATACATATTCATATACCCTTATCATAAATAATTTTCCAATAAAAAGGCAGCAGCAACAACAACAGCAATTCCACACATAAAATAATAATTTTCTGTTTTTTTTTCTTTTTTTTTTTTTTTTTTTTTTTCCCTTTCCCTCTTCTCTTTTGTTTCCCTCTCTTTTTTTCTTATTAATAAATAAACCGAGCAAATAAAACAAGCTTTTCATATAAATCTAAAAATGACAACAGAAAAGAAAGATTGGAAATCAGAGTTTTATAAAAATGGCATTCCAAAAGAAGTGATTGTCATTGAAGATACTCCACCACCTACAACTACATCAAACAATAAATCAGTTAATTATCGTATAGAAAAACAGTCTATTCCCTTTTTGTTGGATCCACCTGCTGCTTCTACACGTTCAAAGAGATTAAGAAAAGATTTTATTTCAAATAATACTATTTTACCTCCATTTACCACAGCAGGGCTTCCTCCTCCTCCTTCTACTACTACTGCTACTGCTACTACTACTGCTACTGCTACTGCTACTACTGCTATTACTACTTTTCCTCCCACACAAAGTCAACCCATCAAAAGAAGGAGAAAGAATAATACTATTCCTAATCATAATATAGTAAGCAAATTATATAATAATACATACAATATCTATAACACCTTTTATTATTATTATTTTAGTCCTGTGATGATAAAGACGGACATTATATTATAAAACCAAATGAATCACTTACACCACGATGTAAGTTAAATATATATACACTCAATCATCATAAGGATATCAAACATATTATTATTAGATAAAATGATGAGATTGTTAGGACAAGGAACATTTGGAAAAGTAGTCGAGTGTTATGATAGAGTGAAAAGGAGTTTTTGTGCAATTAAAATTATTAGAGCTATACCAAAATACAGAGATGCAAGTAAAATTGAAATAAGAGTCTTGAACAGTTTAAAAGAACACGATCCTATCAATTTAAAGTAAGTTAACTGTACACATGCCTATATACATACCTATACGCACACACACACACACACACACAACTTTATTAACTTTAAATATTAGTAAATGTATACATTTGATAGAATGGTTTGATTATCAAAATCATATCTGTATGGTGTTTGATTTATTAAGTCAATCTGTATTTGACTTTTTAAAATCAAATGAATTTCGTCCTTTTCCACTTCATCATATTCAACAATTTGCTAAACAAATACTGACAAGTGTAGCCTGTAAATGTCTTTGTTTTATTTATTTACCTTGGGTTTATTATTAATATTGACTTTATATAGTTGTACACGAATTAAAATTGATTCATACTGATTTGAAACCAGAGAATATCTTGTTAGTGGACAATAGTAGTGTAGAAGCAGGGAATGTAATTAGTGATACGAATTATAAAATTTATATTTATTTATTTATTTATTTATTCATTTATTCATTTATTTATTTATTTATTTTAAATAGTCTTATTTTGGTGTCGATCCAAAGTCAAAAATATTAGAAAATACTGACATCAGATTAATTGATTTTGGATCAGCTACATTTGAACAAGATTATCATTCCAATGTAGTCTCTACAAGACATTACAGAGCACCGGAAATTATATTGGGTCTAGGCTGGTCCTATCCTTGTGATATATGGTCTATTGGATGTATTCTTGTAGAATTTTTAACAGGGGATGCTTTATTTCAAACTCATGATAACTTGGAGCATTTAGCTATGATGGTCGTTGTGTTGGGTAAAATACCTCAAAAACTAATAAAAAATGCAAGGTAAATTTTATCCTTTTACATAAATGAACATATTTAATTAAACTCCTTTTAACTAGTCCTGAAGCTCAAAAGTTTTTTAAAGATGGAAAACTAAAATACCCTGATGTTGATACCACGAAACAAAGTAAAAAATATGTTCGTGCACTAAAATTATTAAAGGTAAATTAGACCTGTAATCATTTATATCAAAATTAACCTTTTTGTATATGGCAGCATATTATCAATCCACATACAAATGCTCAATTTCAGTTCCTTGATCTTTTATCAAAAATGTTAGTCTATGATCCTACAGAGAGAATTACTGCAAGAGAAGCATTAAGGCATCCTTTCTTTATGATTAACTTTGACAATTATGGCTATGAAATTAAATATAATAATCATTAATATACTGCTACATTTATCTATTATTATTTTTTTTTTTTTGCATGAATCAGAAGCTACTATTGGTTTATTTTATTTTTTATTTTTTATCTTTATTTTTTTTTATTTTTTTAAATTTGGTAATACCCAATTAAAATAGCGTGACAGCTTTTGTTGTTTAGAGAGTGAGGAATAAATCGCAGCAACTCTGGTCCTTTTTTTTTTTTTTTTTTTGTCATTCACTTTTATTAGAGATGGGGAACGACGGAGGATCAATTCCTAGACGTATTGAGCTTGTCAAAGAGAAAGCAAAAGAAGTTATTATTAACCCTGATCTCGAAAGAATCGCTGCTTGGTTTTATTGTGCTTTATCCAAGGTTAGTTCAATTATTTATATATTCATGTATAAAATGAAATTATGAAATGGTTGTTCATTTCTTTTCTTTTTTCTTTTTTCTTTTCCCTTTCTCCTTTCCCCTTTTCTATTATTATTATTATATATAGCGTTTACTTGAACAACCTGTTGTATCATGTGGGCTGGGGAAACTATATAATCAAGATGCCATTATTGAATACCTTTTAGATCCAAATACATACGGTGATGGTGACAAGATTTGTTCTCACATTACTTCTTTAAAGGATACCACTAAACTTAACTTGACACCCAATCCAGCCTTTAATAATGATAAAGGAGCAACGACAATGGGTAATTTAGAAAAGGATATAAAAAGTCCATTTATTTGCCCTATCTCGATGAAAGAAATGAATGGTAAACATAGATTTGTTTATTTGGATACATGTGGTTGTGTTTTCGCAGAACAAGCTTTAAAAGAAATTCCTACAAAGGAATGTGTCAGTTGTGGTAAACCTTTTGAAAATCAAAATATAATCATCATTAATCCAAATAAAGAAGAACAAGAGAGAATGAAGGGATTGATGGAAGAAAAGAAAGCAAAGGCAAAGGCAGAAAGGAAGGCAAAGAAAGCTAAAAATGGAGATAAAAAGAGAAAGAAAAAGGATTCACCTGATATAACAACAGAGACACCAAAGAAGAAATTGGCTACAGCTAACATTCAATCTTCAGCAGCAGTAGCTGTTTTAGATAAAGTAGCTCAAGAATTAGCAGAAAAGCAAAAGAATAGTCCAAATTTATCAAAAGCAGTGAAGAGTATTTATGGTTCTAAAGACAAAAAAGACAATGGAAACTATCTCACCAAAGGTACATTTACCCGTTACTAATAATAATAAAATAAAAGTCTGTAAATAGTATCAAGAATAAAATAGATATAAGCTTTTAAATATGAAATGTATAATAAAGAGGGGAAAGAGGAGGAGGAGTTTTTTTTTTTTTTTTAGATCCAAGTGTCAGTATTGGTAATATCCTCATAATAACTAATATCAAATGTATTCATTTCTATAATATCCTATATACAAGTAACTAGCCGTTATAATAACATCATTACTACTAATAAACCAAATCAACTAATCTCTCTCTCTTTGTATGTCCAGAGTTATCTTGATTTGCCCTATTTATTACTATACAGAATCCATGTTCTCTTAAATTAGATCAATATGCAGGAGTCAGAAGAAAGATATTATATCTTGTAGTAGATTAGTAATAATTATATGTGTTTATACAAATTTCTCATCCATTTTTCATTAGCAATTTCAACGCCACAAAATGCGGCATTCCTTTTTTTTTTTTTTCCTCTTAAACTCTTTTCAATAGTCCAAAATGGCTTAATAACATTAAACTCAAGCAAATAGAAAGAAGAGAGAACGGTTGGCCTTAATGAGGCTCTCGTTTTTCATTTTACTGAAACAAAAAAAAAAAAAAAAAAAAAAAAAAAAAAAAAAAAAGGCAATGCCACTTCGGGAAAAGATGTATATCGATCCAATATACATGATTTACACACAGAGACAAACGTATAAAATAGTAGGCTATCCTTATTTCATAACTTTGCTTTAACTATACGTATATATAGCATGTGTATAAATACGTTTAATAATAGTATAAATGAAAAAAAAAATAGAATAAAATGGCATATTTTAAAAAAAAATAAAAGGAAAAAAAGATAGGAGTTTGCAAATTCCTGTTACCCTATATAAATCCTCCTATCCTTTATCGTGTATATATATTTACTTGTGTGGCGTGAAAATAGTATACATGCATTCATATATTATGATTGTTGTTGTTGCAGAGAATTGGTATTGTTATTAGGAAGAATCAACGATTTCCAATTTCTCATTAATTGTTGACAACGCTGGCTAATCTTGTATTCATCTTCACCATAATCATAAGAACATGCACACTTCACAACCTTTCCAATCTTGGTATACTATTCACATAGATTAATTCCTTTTCTTTCTTTCTTTCTTTCTTTTTTCTATAAATTAACCACTTACTCTTAATAGATCAAATGTCATTTGTGATTCCTCAATTTCTTTAACAACTTGAGATATTTTAGCAAAATCTTCTTGACGAATTTCACCCTATAAATGACCAAAGTTAGCTACAATACAACTTATACTGTATTTCTTCTTCTTATTTACAGGCTTCTTTTCATAAACTAATTTTTGAAGCTTATGTCTAATATGATAAATTCGTTTATATTCAGGTGTCTTTTTAAAAGCATCAATATCCTCTTGTGTTTCAATATGCCCATTATAGTGATTACTTTCATTTGGTTCTTCGGATTTGTTTGATACAGTAGAAGATTCTCTTTTACTTTGGGTGCTATCTTCCTCTTGTTCTGTCGATAATGACTTGCGCTAAAATCAAAATAAATCACGTCATAAATTTGACCTTCCTTTATCATTTTTATTTTTATTTTTACTTACTCTCTTTTTTAAGTCAGTATTATCAAGTTCACTATTATTATTATTATTGCTATTATTATCCCCACGACTACGTTTAGTTGCTCCTGTTATTCTATTATTTGTAGTTCTTTTTCTCTTTGGTTTTAGTTCATCTTCCTCCTCGTCATCCTCGTCCTCATATGTCTCCAATGCTGTCTTTTTATAAGTACTTCGTTTCTTTGTTCCAGTTGCCATCTTTTTCTTTTTATCACTAGATTTAGTAGTACGCCCCTTTCCTCTCTTTCTCTTTGTCATAACTTCATCATCATCATCATCTTCTTCTTCTTCTTCTTCTTCTTCATTTTCTTCTTCCTCAGCAGCAGCAGCAGCAGCCGCTGCAGCTTCAGCTTCTTCTTCAGCTTTTAAAAGAGAAGGATCCAATGCCTGATGAATGGCCAATTCCAAATCCTTTGTTTTAAATTTTTTTGCTTTTAAATCACGTTCAACTGCCTCACGATCAAATGGACGTACGCAATCTGGTCCAAAAAACCCGCTATAAAACAATGTTAACATGCTAAAAGGAAAAAAAAAATATTCCTTTTTTTTTTTCCTTTTATAATTCAAATACTTACTAATCTCTTGAACCATAAAAAAATACAGTATATAACACTCCCTTTGATTTACCTTTTTGTTTTAATACCTTAGGTGGAATATCTTCATCATTTTCAACCTAGACAAAAATAAAAATACATTACTTAATTTTTAAAAAAAAAAAAAAAGAAAAGAAAGAAAGGTTCATTTCGCTGTAACTAGCTTTACTCTTGCTGGCCACCAAGGATAACCTTTTAGTTTTGCAAAGACGATATCACCAGGTGTATATTCTCTTGGAGACATTTCTCTTTTTAAAGTAGGAAAAAAAAATTTAACAAAAAAAAAAAAAAGAAAAAAAAAAAAGAAAAAAAAGAAAATATTATTGAATGTAATAAAATTTAATTTTGACAAAAATAAATACATGTATACACATATATATATTTTTTTTTTACGAAGTCCAATGTTTTGATAATTTAACAAAAGAATCAAGAATTGATTTATGCCTGAATAACATAAAACCAAAGATGCCAATAAAAGCACAACGATATAAAAGAGTTCTTGTGATTATAGCTTGATTATAATTTGTTGTCATTGATTTAACTGATTCTTTAATTGTTCCTGCTTTTAACATCTTACGGTCCTGATCTAAGACAATCTTTAAATGACGTTCAGGTTGACTATAACCTTTATCCTCTCTATTTAAACCTTCATAACAATTCGACTTTTCACCTTTATCCCCATAACCAAAAAAGCCTACTTTATCTAATCTTGGTAAATAAAGTTCATAAGCTGGCATATAACTATCAACAAAGGCTCTGACAGCATCATCCGATAACCCACTTACACCACGTGTTTCTTTCATATGATGTTCTTGTTGTAGTCTCCATTCATATACTTGCTCTAAATGTGCGGGTGATAAGTGAATAAAGATATCAAAGAAGGGATACAATTCCCTTTCGTATCTCTTTAATTCGTTATTTAACACTTGAATATCTTCTAATTTCAATTGTACAGCACTACTGTTTTCTCTATGAATCAATTCGACATCACTTTGTTGTATTTCATTCAAGGATTTGAACCCGAGCATCCAGCCTTCAAATAAAATAATATCAAAGGGAGCCATCGGATATTTCCATTGCGATTTATCTAACCTATCACCCTGACCTTCATATAACGATTTATCATAAACTGGAATAGGCACTGTTTCACCTTCCTTTGCTGTTAATAGTAAATCTAGTGTCTTTGTTGCTAATGTTAAATCATGAGAACCTGCCTGTCCTCTTTGTTGATAGAGCAAGTTTTGATTATAGTGTTTTGCCAACTTGAGCTGATCTTCATGCTTTAAATAGACATCGTCAAGAGAAAAATTAACAATACGTAAATTATAAGGTTCTTGTTTAAGTAGATGACTTAATGTATTACAGAGAGTAGTTTTACCACTTCCTTGACAACCTGAAATGCCTACTATCATTGGTACTCCGTGATGGTCTTGTTTAAATAATTCATAATGATGCAATATATGTGAGAGCGATTCTTTTGTTTGCGATAGCATACTATATTGCATATATTGAGACATTATGAATCCGTTATTCTTGAATAACTTGAAATAATAAAAAAAAAAAATAATAATAATACTAATAATAATAATAATAATAATAAATCAATCCCTAAATCTCATTGGATGCATTTTTACAAATATCAAATTGTATTTTCTGAATTGAGCGAGAAGCAGCCATTGTTTAACCTAAAATTTGTCATTTATTATATGCTTATTATTATTATTCTTTGAATCAATATGTTTTAATTTAGAAGCTTCTTGATAATCTACAGCTTAACTAATTGTATTATTTGATGTAAAAGCTGTTTTGGTTATAATAACGATGTCAGGCTTACATAATAACTATGGAATACGATATATGACTATCTCTGATTGATACAGCTTCATTAATAATAACAAATTATTTTCCTTTATTCGCAGTACTATTTTTTTCACGAGTAAGTATCATTTAATATTTCAACTTGGACTGGACTAAAGATAAACTTGTATGGAAAAAAAAAAGTGTCTTATAAATGGAAAGGGTGATAGTCCTCAGTATTGTCTGCCTTATATTGACGCTGGATATTCAAATGTAAGGCCATCTTTATTCGAGATACTAAGAAGCATATTGTCTATGCACGTATTGATTATTATATATCTATATGAAGTCATTTGTTGGTCACTCAAAGTGTAAATTGAATTTCATTAAAAGTATCAAAAGGATTATAATAAAAACGATTAAGGAAGGCGTCATCTGTTTTCATTACTAATTTATCCTTTTGATTAATTTGCTCAACAATGGCAATTGAGATACATTAGAATTGATATAAATCTTTGTTGTAGGCGGGGGGGGAGTTTCTTATCCTAGTATGGCAATGGCCATTTGTTCCGAGTCCCTTTGACAATTTGGATACAAGTGAATTATTTATGCATAGAATTCCTTGCTGTCATCTCAATCTGGAGAAGGAAGTAAGGCTCTTGTAGAGAAGAAAAGTACTGTTTTCTTCAAGACATTAGTGTGTAAGCAATTGAAATACATATACATGTCAAAAAGGTATTTCATTAATTCTAATGATAGCAAACACAATAAGCAGTTATTTCGAATCTTTTATAAACAAATATCCTTACTTTGAAATCACAACGAAAATACGAATGACATTCATCATGGCATAAAGCTCACTTGAGTTAATTGCTAGTATAAAATCATGGATTTTCTTTAATTGAAAATATTAAAACATACAAAGTATCAAAATAAGTTTGATCTGCTGAATATGAATTAAAGAAAAAAAAATTTTTTTATATATAAATATTGAATCATATTAAGGATAAATTAACATTTAGTTTAGGTTTCAAAGAATAAACCCTCTTCAGATCAGAAGATATCAACTATAAAGATAAACGTGAAACACGTATATATAATTACTCCTACTATCTATGATAATATACTTGGGAGTCTATTGTCTAAAAAAAAAAAAAAAAAAAAAAAAAAAAAAAAAAAAAAAAAAAAACTACTATCTTTACATTGTCATATTTTATTTTACTATTATTTTACTATATTGTCGAAAATAGATGTACTGTCTTGAAAGGATTAACAGGATTTAACGATAGCATTAGACGATGTATATATAATACATATAATAAATAATATTTGTATGTATATGTATATGCATATATATTATATAACATAAATATATTAGTACCGCGTGCTAATTTAGACAAGTTATTTTGCTCCCTCACTCCATTTTTTTTTAAAAAACCGCTTGTATGTAAGGTACAAAACCCAACTTTAGTAAAAGAGCTTATATTGATACATACTCTTTCAGGTAGCTTTGTATTACTGACTATTATAATTTAAAATCCAATAAAAATATCGACAGTTACCTCCTGCCACTCTTCAAATACATAATTGTAAAAAAAAAAAAAAAAAAAAAAAAAAAAAAAAAAAAAAGGCAGCAGTAACAGTGATGTGGTAATATTTAATGACAACTATATTTGCATTTTTCTACTTTTTTTTTTTTAAGAAGAAAAAAGATAAAAAAGGATAGGAGTGTTACCGTTAATAATGCTGCAAACAACACTGATGTGGAATCTGAGAATCCATTTATAGAGACAGCAGAGGTGCTTTAATCAATTGTTTATGCTTCATGTTTCTTATTTTAAATAAGCACCTTTTTTTTTTTTCCTTACCAACTAATTGTTAAAGGATAAAATAGGTACTAGTTTCAAACATCTTCCAATCATATCATTTCTCCTAACTAGTTAATAATGTTATAAATGATACCCCTAATTATTTCTTAATATGTAATTATAACTCACATTGCTAGTCTACTTGTATTCAATAATAGTTTTAAGGCTTTACCTCCCTTCTTTAAATGATACAGTCATGACAATCTCATATTCTTTGTCTCAAACTACCATCTTAGACTTCTACACTGGTGTAAATTTATAAAGCGTCCTCTGGCAATGATGTATTTCAATGTTAAATACTTCAGATCGTCCACAATCCTTACAAGATAGCTTTACTTGTCTTTGTAATGCTTTCAGCTCCAAATTGATATCAGCTTACTGTCTTTCTTTGATTATCAATAATCCATGTTGAACGTAGTCATGTCCTTCGTTGACGACTTGGTTGACTTTCCAGTGGATATTTCTAATCATATAAATGATAAATTTACCTGTGAATACTCCATTCAATGTTTTTATAAGCGCCGTCGACTCCATATGCCATACACCATTACTAATCCGCTTTCCTTTTTTTTTTTTTCCTCTCGACTCCTAAGAAGCTCTTATTACCTTCTCTCTATAATAAAGTTGCTCTGTGCTAATTGGTTATTTTTTATTTTTCTTAATAGATAAATCCTTTTAATCATAGTGGCTTCTTTAGATACAATAAAGAAAATTCATTTATTCTTGTGTCAAATTATTATAACATCAATCAAGTTCATTTATTACTTGTTTGACTAATAAAGTACGACCCCACTTTTATCCCTTTGTCCTTCTTTAGCAATTTAGAATTTATTAAGCTTCTAGATCCTTTATTCTACTCTACTTGATACAAATTTTTACAGTTAAAGTTACTCAACAATCAAAATACGAAGATTTGAATATTACTCCTATTCATGACGATTAAGATACTATTGCATCTTCTCTTCTTCTTCTTTTTTAGACATTATTATCTCTTTAACTTTTGATACCTTTTTTTTTCAATTTCTATATCTGATGCTCATTTATGGGTGATTTCAATTCCTCAACTACGCATATCTTTCTATTTATTCGTAAAGATTGTTTCTAGCAAAAGTAGGACAAAGAATATCCATTTGAACTTTTTAAGGAAAAATTCAATTTATTGAAAATTAAAATATAATTGGCTGTTTCACTGTGTTTTTTTTTTTTTTTTTCTTCTTCTCCTTCTTTAAAATAATAAAATGCAATTGCCTCCTGTATTACGTGATCCAGCTATTGGGATTATTGGAGAAAAATGCTACGTCTCGCTTATTGAAAACTTAAATATTGGAGATAAAGATTGTATTAAATATGTCATTAGCAAAGGACTTGGTCTTGGTATTGTCTTGGGTGGATCTATCGTGAAAATACCTCAAATATTGACAATTCTTAGAAACAAATCAACAGAAGGATTGTCTTTTACAAGTTATTTAATAGAGACACTTTCTTATTTTATTACACTTTCTTATAATTTACGACAAGGAAATCCATTTAGTACTTTTGGTGAAATCATGTTTATTTGCATTCAAAATGTTTTGATTATGGTTCTCATGTTTCAGTTTAGTAGAAAGATAACTAAACTCGTGTTCACTCTATTGTCACTAGGTAGTTTATGGTATTGTCTTAATGATCAAACAATTATTTCCCCTGTTTTGATGAGCACTTTATTTGCTACTACAATCCCTCTAAATTTAGCAGCTAAAATACCACAAATTTATACAAATTTCAAAAATAAGTCAACAGGACAATTGTCAGTATTTACTGTTGTCAATTATCTTGCTGGTAGTTCTGCTCGTGTTTTTACAACAATGACAGAAATTGATGATCCTTTAATGCTATTTGGATCACTTTTAGCAGCTATTTTTAATGCTATTCTTGTTCTACAAGTCTTTATTTATTGGGGCAATAACAAACATGTTAAAATGGAATAATAAAAATTTTAATTGGACCAGATTTTTTTTTAAAAAAAATATTAGGGCAGACGGAACCTTTTTTTTTTTATGTTTCGTTTCTGTATCAAACAAAAAAAAAAAAAAAAAAAAAAAAAACTCCTACTTACAAATTTTAATCATTTTGACCTGTTTTTTTGCGCTCTTTTTTTTTTTTTTTTATTTTTTTTTTTTATTTATTTATTTATTTATTTATTTTATTTTATTTTTTAACTTGCAATATTAATAGCCAACAATCAAGAAATTCTTGACTTTTTCTTCTTCTTCCTTTATTCTATTGTTTCTTTTTTTTTTGCTGTCTCTTTTTCTTCTCTTATCTAAATGAGTCGCCTAAGTTCGCCAGCCGAATGGGTTGCGCCCTTGACACCAATTATTTCTTTGGCTCTCTTACCTTTAGGCCCTATCTTTTTTCCTAGAGCTTATATTCTCTTTCTTTTCGTTTACTTTACTGGGTTTTTATATCAACAAGTAAACCATGTTTGCAAATTCTATCTATCATCTGTACGCATTAGAGCTAACATTGACAAATGGAACAAGATGAATAAACATAATTTTAATGATAAATCTCAAGATGATAAAGCCAAGATTGCTATGGATACTTTTCAAACAAACCGAGCAAATACCCGTGAACGTTCTCAGTATGTTGCCGAATTTAATCAAGGTGATGATGAAGAACAACAACAAAATCAAGCTCTTATCTATCAAGAGCCTCAATACGTTCATACCTTTGTTATTCCAAATTATAGTGAACCTGAAGGTCTTTTAAAGGATACGATTGGCAAATTGGCTGTTCACAGGTACTTATTTAATTTACATTTATATACAAATATTTATGTTTTAAAAGACCGTTTATATTGATTTTTTTTTTATATGTGTATATCCATTTGTATATTTAGAAATGCTAGTACCAATTACGTTATTATATTAGCAATGGAGGCCTCAGAAAATGGTTGGGAAGAAAAAGGGAAAAGATTGGAAGAGTTTTTTAAGGATCGTTTTCGTAATTTTATAATAACAGGACATCCTGCTAATATCCCTGGTGAATATCGTGGTAAAGGCTCTAATGTAAATTTTGCAGTACGCAATGGTTGTGCAGAAATGTTAAGACAAGGTTATGATCGTCGCAAGATTATTTTAACTATCATGGATTCTGATGCAGCTATTCCTGAACTATATATTATGAATGTCGAAGAGGCACTCAACAAATCAGATGACCCTTATTATACTATCTGTGCTCCTCCTATTTTCTTTTCTCGTAATTGTTATCAAGTTCCTGCTGCTGTTCGTATGACAGATATTACTTGGGCCGCTTTAGTCATGTCTAATTTGAGTAACTCAGATGGTTTATGTGTCCCCTGCTCTAATTACAGTTTATCTTTTATTTTGGCTGAACGTGTTGGATACTGGGATGTAGATGCTGATGCGATTGGTGAAGATATGCACATGTGGCTTAAATGTTTCTTTAAAACAGATGGTCATGCTCGTACTGCACCTATTTATGTACCTATCAATTTAACAAATGTACAATGCGAAGGTTATTTTGCTAATATTCATGCTCGTTACGTTCAAGCCAAGAGACATTTCCAAGGTGTGGCTGATTTGGGTTACACTATTCGTCAAATGATTGCCTCTTATAAAAATAGAAAGAACGCTCAAAAGGGCTTGTTAGATTGCCACATGGCTACAAGTGGCTTCTATGATAAATTGGCTGCTTGTTCCGTTATTTGTGAGGCCCATATGATTCCCGCCTCTTCTGGTTGGCTTATGTTTGCTGCTGTACCTTTAATGCAACTTATTTTATTTCCTCCCTTTTCATGGATGGCCATCGTCTCCCCTGCTAATAATCCACTCTTAGTATCCGATTTCTTTTATAAGCTCTGGACAGTAGTGAAGATGATTACCGTCTTTTTACCCTTCCCTTTATTTGGCACATTAGCTATTTATGAACATTTGCATCGCTATATTGATAGAGAGTTTTATCATAAATCGAAAACTGAATCGCGTACTTGGAGGAACTTTTTGGATTATATTTCATTACCTATTGCTGCTTGGCTTTTCTTAACTTGGCCCTCTACTCTTGCTTGTGTAAAACGTCTCAAATCAGGTGATGATGCTTATATTGTAGGTGCCAAAATGTTTAAAGAGGAAGATAATGATGAGGCCATAGTCATGAATGGAAAAGAACGAATTTCATAATTTCTTTTTTTTTATATATATACATATATTCATATATACATGTTATTTGTTATAGATTTTTATTATTCATGTATATATTTTTTTTTTCGTTATACAACTTAGCTATCTTATTACTACTACTACTACTACTATTACTACTACCATTATTATCACTATTATTACCACTATTACTACTACTACTACTACTACTACTACTACTACTACTACTACTACTACTACTACTACTACTACTACTATTAATACTATTAATACTATTAATACTATTGTTACTACTAATAATTCTAATCTAAATATATTTCTTGCTCTGTTTTCTTTTATTTTATTTCATGTTATTTTCTTTAATTTTTAATCAATTACAAATTTTAACGTAATAGTACTTTACAATGTTTCATATTGACTAATTTTCTAAAAATATATTTAATCTATAGTGTATTCAAAAACAGATTCTTTTATCGATGAGTGAAACGACTATTATCGTTATCAATAAATGTCATATTTTATTCTTTTTTTTTTATTTTTATTTTTTTTTCTCACCCTGAATTTATTACATAATATTTATACATGCATGTTAAACAGAGGGGGACAGTAAAACAGGCTCAGATACATAAAAACAATCATCTATACAATCTGCATTATATTGTATAGTGCGAGGAATACTTCCAATTTTGTAATTTTCATATGTTAGTTTCATGTGCACATTCCATTTTGTAGTTAAGGACCCCGTGGTTGAATTTTCTGTCCTTGTTTCAGCGGGGGAAACATCCAGAACTTGACCATACCAATAAAATTCTGTATAAATGATATACGCATCAAACGCAGCGGGGACATTTTCAACGGTGAAAAAAACATCAACTAATTTTTCTGATGATGGTCTCTTACTAGTAGTGTTCTGCATTTGATAGAGTGTATTATCCAAGTTCTTTAGTGCTAAATTACTCCGACCTATCTCAGATCCCGTTTTCTGCTTTGCTTCTGCTTCTTTCTCTTTACGATTTAAGAGACGATGTGTAACTGCATCGCTAAGGAAATTAAGTTGTGCGACTAAATAACAGATATCCTTCATATCAATGTCAGACATACATGGATCATCTAATAGCTTTTGCATATCTGTACAAGGCACTGTCGTTAATTGCTTTAGAGAATGACCATTTATGTCATCTGCTGACGTTGAAGGTGGTTGATAAGAGATAAGCTTCTTGACTAAGTTTAATATGGGTTTTGAATCCATGTTATCTGTAGTATCATTCGTTATCATTTTACTAGTTGAACTTGATGTTGGTGTCTCTGCAGTACCAGATGAAGAGATTTGCTGATCTTCATTATTAAAAAATAAAGGTCGTAGTTCAGTATCTCTGTTACTGTTCTCAGTATCATTGCTATCAAGATCTGAATCCTCCTCCTCCTCTTTATCATCATCATCAAGATTTGGAAATTGTAGTGGAAAATAAGTGGGCAAGATCGAGATTTCTTTATGATCCATATTCTTTATCTCTTCTACTTCATCCGAGACCTCTTCTTCTTCCTCGTAGTACTCACCAGTGAAAAGTGCTTCTGTGAACTCATCTAATACTGACTTTACTATTTCTGCTGATTCTTTTGATCTTATGGTCTTTGTATTATTATTATTATTCTCTTCTATTTCGTTATTATCTGATAAATAGGGTGCTAACCATTTAATAAGTTGCTCTTCTTTACTATTATCATCATCATCATCCAAATATCCAATGACATGGTCTTTGGTTGTTGTTGGTGTTGTTAACTTTGTTTCTTGTTGCGGCGGTTGTTTTTGCTGTAGGCGTATTTCTTTATGTTGTTTTCTCATCTCTTTAGCTATCATCTTCTTTTGTTTTCGTATTTGAATTCGATAATCCAAACATTGTGTATCTATAAATCGTGGTAAATTAAGTTGTTTATCACAAACAGTTGCAAAAGAAACATGCTTCATCAAAAGCTTTGCTGCTCGTCGAAACTCTTCTAAAATTATGGAGAAGCCTACTGATGTACATGTTCGACTATATATATATATATATATAAGATATGAATTTCATGTATAATAGATAATACATATATATATAAACTTACGCAACATTTTTAGTTAAAATAAAAGGGTCTTGAACAATAATAGGTCGCTCGGGCCAAAAATTCATATCAATATTACCAACAGGCTTACCATCATCTGTAATAATGGAAACCACATAGTTTACAGCATCCGAATAAAAGAGAAAGAATTTAGTTACCAATTCAGCCACTGTATCTTTGTTATTTCCTTCCCATAGAGTAACATCATTATTTTGCTTTTTTAAAGGATAACTTCGTTGTCGAATACAAACACAATCATGATAACGAACATCACAATGTATGATATGGTTGTTATAGAATACAGGAATAATTTTGTTAAAGGCTCTTGAATTACATGATTTATTTTCACATCTGACGTTTAAATTCTGTAGACTAGGGATCAAAGGATTTTCCAAACCAGCCATTAAGAAATGCAATGCCATAATAACATATGCATAACTACTAAGTGTGCCTCCACGAGCTAAAGACGACGACGACGACAACAACAATGACAAAACGAAATTTTAGCAAATTTTTTTCAAAACACGTATACAAATGATAAAAACTTACGATTATTAATATCCTTTTGTTTAACAAAATATTTAATAGCGGATAAAAAGGGACGGATACGGAAGTCTAAATCAGCATAAATACCAATCAAGTTTGTATTTTCAATTCCTAAAATATTATGTGTATTGATATCACAATGAAGATCTGTTCTAGGGTCATAAAATTTACAAATAGGAACTGTAGCAGTCGTGATAGCCTCCACATCCTTCATACCATAATTTCTTAATTGTTTTGCAAGATAAGTCATGTTATATACTGAGTTGGGTATTTTGGCTAATCGATTTCGATATTTCTTCAAGTCTTTTTCATATTGCGCATGAGGAACAACAATGCATAGATCAATATCTGCATCCTGAAGACCTAAACGGTTTGCTGCAGACCTTTATATATATAATAAATGAATAAATAAATAAATAAATACTATATATTTGTATATTTTTTGTCATCGCTTTAAAAAAATCATTTATACATGCATATATATATATTTATATATAAATAAAATATTTGTATAAATATATATATATACCCAAATATAACTACTTTATAATTCATATCAGGCCATACTTGGTCTATTAACTTTTGAAGTCGTTTCACTAATGTATTTGCCTGAGTGAAAAATAATTCTGTTGGACTATAACTCTGACAAAGCTCGAGTATTTCACGGCTCGCAGGATCAGCTATTAAGTTGCTATGTTTATTAAAAGATTCATGATCCGTCTTTTTTGGCTTCTTTTTTAAAAGCGCTCTCTCATGTTCGAAGCGTCGTTTATCCTCCTTTTTATAAAAGACAAACAACAATGTATCATTTGATAATTGTTCTGTAAGTTTTGAAAAATAACGATGCTGGTATCGTTTATCATCATAGTAAGTAGAGACAGTCATGATTTCATAATTCCATGATTGCCAACGTTGTAACGCACCTGATCTCATCATTTCACGTCCTACTGTCCTGAAAAAATTTTCAGTTGTACTAAACTGTTGAATAACATTGATATAATCATAGGTGGATCGTTCAATTAAGCAAGATGTTAGGAAATCTAATGTAACTACACGAGCTTTTTTGTTATTAGCATTACTGTTTGGATCTAATGTTATGGAATCGTGAAAAGCTAATGCAGCACAATGATCAAGGAAATCTATTCTAAAATCTGTATCCATTATTTTAAGGTTTGCCTTTTTTTTTTTCAAAAAGAAAAAAAAAATTGGAGGTAAAGTCTATTTAAGCTGTTAAAAAAAAAATGGTAGGATAATAGGGGTATATTTAGTGTTATAGGAGATAAAACAGAAAAAAAAAAAAAAAAGGTTTAGAGAATTCGGGATTTGCTTTGCTTTGCTTTTTTTTTTTTTTTTTTTTTTTTTTTTTTTTTTTTTTTTTTTTTTTTTTTTGCACAAAGTAGCTTAATGAGTAATAATTAATGGCCGTTGAAAGTAAATAATATGTTTAAACAATAGTTTTTTTTTAAAAAAAAAAAAGAAAAAAGATACTAAAAAGAAAAACTCTGTTATAGTCAAGGGTAAAAAGGGTAAAGAAGGAAAGTAATTAAAATGGAACAAAGTATAGCTATGATACGAATAGTGGAGAAGAAAGAGAGGGGAAACAATTAAGGAACTGTAAAGTCAATAAAGGGAAATTTATATGGGGAGAAGGAAAAATTAATCAAGTTGGTTATACAAGTAGCTAACAAATGGACAAACCAAGGAAGAATATTTCAATATAAACATGATTGGTATGCTGTAAGCTTATTCAAAATAAAGGAGTAGAGAGTTCTGTAAAGGGGGGGAGGGTTTGGGATGATAAGTTGAATGACTATTAGGTAACTACCCCAAGGTACCAATAACTACATAAATTACATCCAACAATAAAAGACTTAGAAAGCCAAAGGATAGGGTCTAATCTGTTGTTTTTAAGTTTCTGGTGTGTGTTAAGGACTGTACTTTAGGTTGACTGGATTAGTTGACGATAGTTTCAATCATTAAGATTTAGTTGCAGAGTCCTGTAATGATTGAGATAAAAGTGCATTTATAGTTCACTTTATTAGTTGGCATACTTGAACTGCCAGATATCTTTATACTGTATATGTTTTGAGCATCTTCTAATTTACAGCACTGAACTGAAGTAATTTTAGAAATAGCTAAGCCATATTCAAATCGAAGTTGAGTCATTTGGGAATAGAATCAAAGTAAAAAAAAAAAAAAAAAAAAAAAAAAAAGGCTGTTAAATCTTTTATTATTAAATCCTTTACTGTTAATATCAATGGCTTATGTTTAGTTCATAGTTTCAAAAGCTTCGGTAGTGTTACTAAAGATAAGTTCAAAAGTATGAAGGACCCCACCTGGGCTAAATGTTACTCTATCATAGGAAAACAAATCATATCCCTGAATCGGAGCATCCTATATTTGTATATATAACATATAATTGGGTCAAGTATAACACATGGAGTTGGATTCCATCTGTATCCCAGCTCATAGCAATACTATTTACAATTTTGAAGTAGCTTATGTATTCTATTTTGAGTTGTGATAAGAACTACATTATCAGCATAGAATAAAGAATTAATTCGAGATGCTGTGTAAGTATCAGAAAATTGTTGAGAACTTTGAAGAAGCAATTATTCATTTAATATAACGTTAGTTGTATCTATTATCAACCATCACAATACTATTCTTAAGATAAGCCTGCATTTCCTTTTATAAGACAAGTAATATTTATTTTGCAATGGTATCTTCTGACTATAAACTCATTTTGCTATGCTATTAGATCTTTATGTTAAGAATACAACAGTTTTGGTTTCATACATGATATTCCTTGTAGATAAGCAACGACTCTGTGTAGAGTAACGAACTGCTCTAAGGTTTTTGATTTATATATCTCTGATATAAACGAATAGCTTATCTACTAACTTTTTTTATATTATCTGTCTAGCTTTTTTTTTTTATTCCGTCTATCATAAATAACGATTTTGATTGGGGAGAAATAAAATAAAATGACTTTAACTTTTTTTTCCGGTTCTACACTACATATATTGCTTGGATCTTAAATTGTCTTTTTTATTTATTTATTCATATATAAACGTTTATTTATTTAATCGTCTTACCAATATATTATAGTTATCTAAACCTAAGCTCTTAAAGTCTATAGTTATTTATACATATACATATATATATATTTATATACATACATTTATCATTTATTTGTTTTTTTTTTCAGATCAGAAAAAAAAAAAGCACCAAAATCATTTAATCCTTATTTTCATCTATAAAAATCGTTTTTTTCATGCCCTTTAAATTTTTGGAGAAAGGACGTTACAAATTAACTGTAGGCAAGTCGTTTGATGGAAAAATTAAAAAGAAAACGCAAAAGTTCTTTAACGTTATACGTAAATTCAAATAAAATTCGATCTTGTACATGTATATATTGTTAACTGGATTAACTCATTTAATATATTTTAGACAAAACAAGTTCAGATTTTAACATCTTTGGAAAAGAAGCCAAATTAGAAAGAAAAAATGGCAATTGTCAAATTGAAATGAGGAGCTCAAATGTAATGTTCTTCATATTTTTATGATAAAAAAAAAGAAGAAAAAACTCTTAATAATAGTTATTATTTCTTAGAAACCTAATGTTCTTTATGATGCTCATGTAAATACTAAAGATGAGCATAATTGTATTCTTATTTATGATGAAGTAGCAAAGGTAATTTACTTTTTCTTTTATATGTGTATTCATAAAGGAGAATGACTTGTTCTAACTTTTAAATATAGACTTTTACTATTGAACTGCAAAGTGCAGAAATCAGTTTATCAGATAGAAATGACACATTAGTTTTACCTAATAATCATACGACGCGTTCACCATCCGTTGCTAAGCAGCCAGTTTTACAAACACCACCTGTACCTGTAAAAGTATCTGCATCTTCTGTACCTGTAAAAGCACCAACGCCACCTGTACCTGTAAAACTACTGACACCTTCTGTACCTGTGAAAGTATCCACACCACCTGCTCCTGTAAAATTATCCACACCACCTGCTCCTGTAAAAGTACCATCACCCGCCCCATCTCTAATGTTGGCTGCTGAAGATACTTCTGCAGGTGTGGATGATTTTGATTTTGATATATCAAAAGATATGGATGCTATTTTAGATAGCGAATCAGAATCTGGATCAGATACTTTTGAAGAAATTTCTACTCCTAGTATCCTCTCTCGACCTCAACCCATCCCTACTCCCTCTCCTTTAGTAAATGTTTCAGAAGCATCTACCCATATATCCTCTCCTAGTGTTCCCATTAGTTTGACTTTACCCAACACACCCATTACATCTAACTCACCTGTTAGTCAAAGCAGTCTAAATACTGCATCTAACAAGTCAACGCCAAAGAAACGTAAATTAAAAATGGCTTCAGTACCTATTCGACATCCTGATGCTATATCTCCTACCCTATCAACAACAGGAACACCTACTATTAACACCCCTATAAATCATGTTCTTCATAAAACAAATTCAGATGAATTTGAAGATCGTAGTAGAATCAAACGTCTAAAAGTGACCAATAAGAATGAGGAAATCATTGATGAAGATAGTTCATCCTCTTCTAATGAAGACTCTAGCTCTGATTCTGAAATGAGCAGTAGTAGTTCAGAGACAACAGATTCATCAAGTGGTAGTGGTAGTGAAAGTGAAAGTGGTAGCAGTAGTGATGATAGTAGTGATGACGAAGATCTTGAGTCCTTAGCTAACGATATTAGCATGAGTCTATCCAGAGGCGGCCCCTCAGCACCAGGATCACCTCAAAATGATACCCCATCGGTGCCTCCTACTTTCCAATCAGCGCCTTATAATACATCTTCTTTACTTCATACACCAACATCAGTTAGACCACCCAATGTAGTTAATACAGCCGGCGCAGGTCCAATGTCTCTCAGGGCATTATTCAGTAAGTTAAATAAATTGAATATTTTACATATCTTTATATTAACAGTTGTTTACACAAATAGAGGATGAAGATGAAGAGAGTTTATCGGGTTCTGGTAGCTCGTCGGATAGCGATGATTAATTACGCCATCATTGTGTTGTATACATTTGTTTATTTATAGAGCAATTATTAATATAGCTCCTCAAAGCTTTATTGTATTAAATAATAATAATAAAAAAATAAGTTTATTTTTGTTTTATTTTTTATTTTTTTTTATTTTATTTTATTTTATTTTTTTTATTTTTATTTAGGCAGGGATATCATTCCAAGCAATAAAGAACATTAAACTTAAACCAACAAACATAGCAATAAACTCTGTAAAGGCTTGCTTTTTATCCTTCTTTATATTGCCTGTAACTTCTAATAATTCAGGAATAACACCTACAGTTGCAATATAAAGGAAACCACCTGCAGCAAATGGAATAACAAGATCTCCCCAACGAAGATCAGTACCAAATAAGCCTACTACATTAGTCATATTTGACTTTATGTCAGCTGCTCTATTTGCAAGAGATCTTTCTTCAATTATGATACCAATGATGGTACCTAAGAAGGCACCTACAGCAGTTGTGAATTGAGCCATCATAGCTTTTTGCTTGCTAAAGCCAGATTGAACTAAAATAGCATAATCACCTACTTCATGAGGAATTTCATGAAAGAAAACAGCTACTGCGGTTGTAGCGCCTACAGCAGGAGAAGCATAAAAGGAAGCAGCCATGGCGAGACCATCTGTCATGTTATGTGTGAAATCAGCAAGTAAATTAAGATAGGCACTTAATTTAATTCCCTCTTTATGTTTTTCATCCTTATCAAGCTCCTTTTTCACTTGTTCAACAACCTGTTTACGTTGACGAATAGCACTATTATCTTCCTTTTCGAGAGCTGAAGTCATAGCTGATGAAGTAGGTTCTTCGTGATGATGATGATGTTGATGACTACCGTGATCATGACCACTACCTCCATTCACAATACGCATCATCTTATCCATAAAGAAAAAGAAAAATAAACCAATAAAAATACCTGTACCTATAAGTACATTCTTTTGATTATCAATCTCGACGAATGAATGTTCTTCTGTCTTTTCACCCAAGAAAGCATGAGGAAGTAAATGAAGAAAGACGTCACCCAAAAGTCCACCTTTCCATTTTATATATATAAAAAAAATAGTATAATTAGAGGTGAACTTTATTTATATGAAGGCATATATGTATATATAAAAATATATATTTCGTTCTTACCAACAGCAAAACTAACTAACACGTTTAAAGCACCTGTATTAATATCAGGAGGAACAAAATAAAGAAGAAGATTTGGAAAGATAGAAATATAAGCTGTAGCTAAGATAGAATTTGTCATTGCATTTCCTGGAAACAGAAATGCGAATGCGGTTGCCTGAAATGACATGATGTTAATCTTATTTTATATTATAATAAAACAAAAGAAAAGAAAATAAAAGGTAGCTTGTTAGTAGTAATAGACGATGGTAAAGCGCGGACTTTTTTTTAAAAAAAAAAAATAAAAAAAAAAAAATAAAATGCTCTAATTTAAATTCAAAGGCATATCTATACGATTACATGATTAAATTTTTGATCTTTATGAGCACATAGTATCTAAATGATACTGGATCAGCTTAATAAAATAATAGAAAAAAAGAACATAAAAAACCATTGTAAGAGACGCAAAATAAAGAAAGAGATGGGGGGAGGGATGAAGTAAAGGAAAAAATATACCAATGTTATAAAAAATGAATAATAATACATTAGCTTCAGTTATTAAATAACCATTGCAGCAACTTGGGACCAGGATTTTCAATAGGAAGAGGGGGGTACGGAAGAACTAATTAAGCCATTAAAATATCAATTCATAGAGATAAAAGAATAGGGGAAAAAAAAGAAAAGATATATAATCAGCCAAGAGAAACAAAATCTTGTATTTCAGTCTTAAGCACCCCTCTAAAACGTCTACTACTAATAGTATGGTCATAAACAAATTAAACATAAATTCTAAACACTAATATAAATCAAATTCGTTTTTTATTTAAATAACAAAAATGCCTTTCTTAGTTCTTATTGCAAAAAAAAAAAAAAAAAAAAAAGCTATGATTAACAGAACTAACCACGAGAAGGTGAAAGCTTATCTAACTTGAAAGATTAAAAAAAAGAGGCGAGAAGAGGATACTAGTTGCTATGTCAGAGATCCCCATACATAGCCTATTCACCTAAATCCCTATTGTGTAAGCCAAAGCAGTTTTCCACTGCGAATAACAAAGCACGAAGGCTAAAATAGCTATTCAACCAGGGCAATTCATACGAAGTTGTGCCATGGTAGTTGAATTATGAAGTTTTCCGCAAAGAAAAAAGGTAAGTATGGAGACAAAAAAAAAAGCAAATACATAAATTGCATGACCTGAATTCGAAGTTGAAATAACTCCTTTTATATATATAAATATATAGCCAAATGGTGTTTTTATTTTTATACATTATAAGAGAGCCTCATATGAATATCGAAACCGGATCTATTAATAAAAATACAATTTTTAATATAATCCTTGTCTGTTGAAGTCTAGTATCGAAACCTTTCATATCTCTCATTTATACATTTTCGACACTTCGAGCAACAGGCTTCTTAATTGATAAATTACATAAAATTATTGACTGTGGGTTCTTTTTAAATTAAAACTCTTAAATGCTGCCATAAGACTATCAGCTGTCGTAAATGATTTGTCATCATAGAACTTAATCAAAATAGTATTGTTGCTTCTCCTGCAATTGGATCTCGGGACAGTTAACTAAATGTGTTTGATTCTCATATATATCCTTTTCAAATTTATTTTTAATTATTTTAGCCCAAGTCTATACAGTACGTTCAATATTGCCCGCCATTCTTCCAGATTTTGCAACAAAAAAAAAAACTTGATATTCAAATAGTAGAAAAATAAAGTCTTTTAATCGTTGGTATAGCTATTATATTTATTGACAGCACGTAATCTATCTTTTTTTTTTATTTTCTTTACTTTTTCAGCTACAACTTCCATTCTATTTTCTACATTTTTATCTTCGGGATCGAGTTTAATGAGAATGGGCTCCGCTTCTTTATGTGCTGTTAAATTTGTTAAATTCTTCACTCCCTTCTTCAATAATATATCCATAACATCTTCACCATCTTCTGTGGTGATTCTACCTTGGTCCTCTTCCATTAAAAAAAAATTCTTATTATACTCATGTTTAAAATACAATGTATAAAAATAAAAACGCCATTTGATTATTAAAAAGCTTTTACCTTTTTTTTTTCAGAATTGCTATTTGGGAAATTTGAGCATACTTATTGATTTATTTTATTACATAAATTGAGGTTTTAGCTTCCGCTAATTAGAATTTTTAAAAACGTTAATTGAACTCATCAGCGCTGTATAAGGTATAAATGCATCATAAAATGTGCCTATAGTAACTATTTAAAATAGAAAAATGATGAGGAATAAATAATAAAGAAAAGAGCTTATAAATCTATTGTTAATTTAATATAATGAAATTCAAATAGATTATTGTACTTGTCAAAAATAATAAAATCCTTATTAAAAATCACAAAAAAAAAAGATGCAACAGCAGCCGCGTGTACTTGAAAAAAAAAAATATTAACAATAAACATAGGATATTTTGTCTTATTTTATTTTTTTTTTTTTTGTTATTTTTAAAACAAAAAGCTTAGCTAAATAGTAAATGACTGAACAATATAGAACAAATATTGAAGGTGAATAGAAACATTTAAAATAAAAAAATTAAAACATCAATTAACACGAAATAACTATATAGCAATATTGAAAAACTCTGATCTTTCAACGATTACCACAAAAAAAATCAGAAAGGAATTAGAAGCTCAAATTGGAACATCTTTAGATCATGTAAAAAAGGAAATTAATACTTTAATTGAACAAGTTTTTTTGAGTTTCCAACAACAAGCTTCTACTTCTTCGCAAGATTCGGAACGTGTTTTAAAGAAAAAAGATACGTCGATTAAAAAGACGACTGCTCCTACTATTAAAAAGGAAACCAAAAAAAAGAAGCAACAGCCCAAGAAGCCTATCGATTGGCCTGTGTATAAAGTGACTTCACCTTTAAGTGACATTATTGGAACCGATATAGTAAGTTGTTATGTTCTTGTTAATCAGCTTCTTATGTATATACTTTATTTATTATTATTTTGTTCTAGTGCTCTCGTCCTCAAACTGTTAAAAAGATGTGGGAATATATTAGAAAGCATAACTTACAGTCAGAAACAGATAAAAGAATCATTAATTGTGACGATAAATTCAAGCTTTTGTGTGATAATTTAGAACAAGTGAGTGCATTCACTATTAACAAATATACACAAAAATATTTCGAAAAGATTCCAGCTGAAGAGCAAGCCAACTATAAAAAGATTCTCCAAGATAGAGAAGAATTACAAAAATAAAGCGCTTTTCCACATCAAGTAATTTATTTTAGCTTTTCTTTTCTTTCTTTTTTTTCCCTCCTTCTGTGAAAGAAGAAATATATGATTACATGTATATAAATTGTTCTAAAGTTGAATTTTAAATGTTTTTCCTTGAAGACCTTGCAGAAGACTCTGCTAAAGATAAAATATACACCTATTTTTTTAATAACGCACCTTTGAACAAAGAGAATGGTGTTGCTTCTCCCCCTAATGCCATTTGTATCAAGTAAAAATACATGTTATATAAATATATATATATTCATGCATATAAGACTATATACAAACTATTCTATATGTTTATTCTTTTTGTTTTGTTTCTCTCTCTCTCTCTCTTTCTTTCTTTCTTTCTTTTATTTAAACTAAACTATTGACTCATAAATGTAGGGAAAGGAGGGGGGATGGATTCCTTTGGAAAAAGCTTTTCGCCGCGTAATTTGACAGCATCTTTAATTTTAACGAACTGATCATCAAATCCAGGAATAGAGCCCTTCACATAAATTAAATTTAATTCAGGGTCAACTTTGATAACTTTCAAATTTTGAACTGTAACATTTTCGCCACCAAGACGACCAGCCATCTTTTTACCTTTAAATACTTTACTAGGCCACTAATCATATATATATAACAATCATAAGTATATTTTCATATTCAAGTGTATTATAACTTATTCTTTACCTTACGTTGGCCTGTTGAACCACCTGAACGATGTGTTAGTGATACACCATGAGAAGCAGGAAGACCTTTAAAATTCCATCTTTTCATGACACCAGCAAAACCTTTACCAATTCTATATAAATAAATATATATACACATATATACATATACATAAGAAAACACCTAACTAGATACTTTTTATGTGTTTATATTTTATTTATTTCACTCACGAAGGCGCTGTCACATCCACATATTGACCTGTAACAAAATGATTAGCTGTTAATTCAGTACCAATAGGTAAAAAGGCATCCTTAGTAATTTGAAATTCAAATAACTTTTGTCGAAGTCCAACTCCCAACGATTTAAAGTGTTCAATTAATGGCTTTGTTACGTTTTTTTCTTTCTTTTCTGTGCATCCGATCTGTAAAGCATTATAGCCATGTTTTTCTTCAGTACGAATATCTGTAACAATCACGTTTTCTAACTAATAATATACATATGAGTGTCATGCATAAGATTATTAAGCATTAACTTTTTTTTTCCCCCTCCCCCTATTTACTTGTAAAACAGTAACAGGCATACGAATACCAGATTCGCTCCAAACAGATGTCATGCCTTTCTTTCTAGCAATGACGCCTGTACGAACAGAGTTAGGTGTCCATTGTGATGAAGCAGGGGTTGCATTAGCTGAGAGAGGACTAGTATGAAATGCTGCTGCTATAACAATGCGTGATGGATTTAGTGCCTTATTAGTTGAAAAAGTTAGATGTTTAAATAAACTCAAAGACATTCTATTCCGTTAATGATTAAGAAATAGTTGTATATAAATATATGTAAATATGTAAAAATATAAATAGGAGATTTTATTCCTTTGACATATTCAGAATAAGATAGTAAGTATGGGGTAGGGCACCCTATACGAAACTCTATAATTTGAAATTCCGAAATTATAAAGGAGTAGCAGTCACCGAAATAATGTGGCTTATAACTACTTCTTGTGTTTATATTTCATGTGTATTTTTCAAATAATTTAAATAAAAGTTTAGAATTTTTTGAAATATAAATAAAAATTAATTAAAATATCAATTAGAGTTATTTGAAAAAAAATAAAAAAAATTATTTGAAAAAAAAAAAAAAAAGTAAAATGAAAAGGTTAGCGAGAGTGATAGATAATAATATAATATATACTATGTACCTGTTAAGTAAGGGATGCGAATCCGTTATAGAGCTCACATACATTTAAGAAGATCTTTGAAATTCAAGAGGTCTTTTTATTTTTATGTTGTGACATGTATGTAAAAATGTAGTTTATGTTTTTAGCAGCCATCACGTCACGATTCCATACCGTACTGCTTTCTTGACCTTAATTTATATTTTATCAGTTTTTACTTTATTAGTTCAATATAATGAAACTTACTTGTTCTCTTGCGAAGTTTTATTTGAGGTTGTAAATCATCGTCAGAGACTTCTAGGAGTTCATCATAGTTGGCAGTAGTAGTAGTAGTAGTAGCAGGTTTGGGAAGAGTTTTACTCGCTATTACAAAGACACCATGAGTGTGTATACTATTAAGTAATGATTTCCCTATTCTGTTACATACCTCTTTTTTTTTAAGAGTGACCTCCTCTTCCTTAGGGTCAGAGAGGAATTTCCTTTTACGTTTCATACTATGATAGCAATAACAGGTAGAGAAAAAAGAAAGAAAAGGTGATAAAAATAAAAATTTTACGGTTTTTATAAGCAGACTTTGATATATTAAGTGTTGTTTGTTGTAATTATTATAAAATATAAGGCCAAAACAAACCCTTTTGATACTGAATAATTACATACGGAACACATAAAACAGTTTCAACTGTATTATTAAGAAGCCGGTTTTATTCTTTGAGTGAAAAAAGTATGTGGTTATAGTATCTTTAGAAAGTAAACGGAAATCTAGTTGTTTAACTTTGTTGTAAAAATAATAATAAAAAAAAGAGAGAGTCACCCCCCTTTTACCCCTAACTAAATTAGTATAAATATATGGCGAACTGAATGACCTTTTGTTAGTCTTTAGACTAAAACATATCCTTTTTTTTTGTGTCGTTCAGCTGGTGAACAAAGTGTCTTAACAATTTTATTAAATTTCAGCCTATTTTTTAAGATCCGTAACAACTTGACTTTTTTTTTCAATTAATTACGTTTATCTTTGCAAATAAATGGAATTTCTATTTCAAATAACTTGAATTTGTATTTCAAAAAAATCAAATTTATGTTTCAAATAATTTGGAAAACACAATAATAATTGATCTATAGCATCAAATTGTATAATAAATAGTAAGTTATGTTCAAGGAAAGATTTTTTTTTAATAAAAGACTATAATTTCATCATGACTGAGTTGAATCTTTTTATTTTCTTTATATAAATAAAAAGAGATAAATAGCTTACCTTATAATATTACAATGCATAAGCGTAAAAAGAAATAAAATCCTGAATTAGTTATAGTGATAAATCTTGAATTAAACTATACAAAATAATCTAAAGCAGCCTAACATGTTAATAATAACAACAGTCATGAAAATTCTAGGATCTAAGGTTATTTTAGCTGATAAAAAATAAGTTTAACCTCGGAAGAATAAATGTAAATTATGAGTACTTTATAACTGTGGTAAGCATCATTTTATTACTAAAGAAAACTTGGTAATTCTTTATTAAAATAAAATATAATAAAAAAAAAACTCAGTCTGAAACCTATTTTTTTTTTATAAAAGAAAAAGCGATTTTCTTTTCAAACAGAAGATAATTTTTTACAATAATTTTTTTCGTTATATCTTTTTTTTTTATACCCGATTTCCTTTTTTACAGTTAATAGACAAAATACGAGGAGAGAAGAAAAAAAAAAAGGATAAAAAATAAAGCAATTTGAGTTTAGACCATAAAACAATGCCAGAATGGACGACTCATCACCACCCACGCCAGAATTACCGGAACGTAAGAACCGATTATCTTCGAACAGTGGAATTAAACGAAACAAAGTGAGTCGGGCATGCGATGAATGTAGAAAAAGAAAGGTAATTTAACTTCAATGTAAAAGCCATTTTTTTTTTTTTTTTTTTTACTTGGCTCCTATTTTTATTTGCTCGTACCTTTTTTTTTTTTTTTTTTTTTTTTTTTTTTGACTACCTGATATAATCGCATTATATAACTGCATATTTTTATTATTATTTTACACTTTCAACTCGTCAAGTTTCACTGAGCATAATTCCATTTTTTTTTCTTTTTGATCATTAAACTCAGCGTAATTTACTTATTTTTAGGTGCGTTGTGATGGAGCTCAACCTTGTGCCAGGTGTCAAAAATCTTCAACAGAATGTATCTTCTCAAATGTCACGCCTAAAAGGGGACCTCCAAAGAAGTATTTGGAGCCTTTTGAAACTAGATTAAGGACAATTGATAATATTTTACAAATACTTGAATTTTCTTCAAAAGATATACATCCAGATGTTCATAAAAATTATGAAGAAAAGGGTATTTATTTATTTATTTATTTTTAGAATTAATAACCAAAAAATGGAAATTAATAATTATTTAGATCCTAGTATTGAAATAAATACGCATCTTGATGTTACTGCAATTGGGCATGCATCATATATACCAGACTATCCAGCACGAATAGACCGTATAGAGCCACTGTATAACACACATATGAATTCAGAATTAAATCAACCTATTATATCATCCTTGCCAACCGCTATACGATTTGATCTTGTTCAAATCTATTTTGATCATTTGCATCCTTCAATGCCTTTTATCTATAAAGCTTTTCTTACGCAACCCCAACCATCTATTTTATTGTTGAATGCTATTTATGCAGTCGCGTCAAAATTTGTCCCACAACAACAAGTAACTAATGATCCTCCAGGATGGTCTTTTTATAAAACAGCACTTGGACTAATTGATATGTATTCAGATAGTCCAAGACTTTCGTCTGTTCAGGCATTTTTATTATTAATTAAATATCATGAAACTATTCATAGACCGGGCTTCTTTTGGAGAACAAAATTTTTCTTACAATTGGCTGTTAAAATGTCTAGTGATCTAGGTTTATCAAGAGAACTACCTGATAATACTCATTCAACTTTTGGTGAGTATGAGCTGGAATATAGGAGAAGAACTTTTTGGGCCCTTTATGCTTATGAAGTTTTAATGAGGTTTGATTAGAGTAAACAAGTGAATAATTAATATATCTAAATTGAATAATACGTACATATATATATGTATATATATATATATATATATATATATATATATATACATAAATATATGTGTGTTTATGTATGTATATATAAATATATAGTACTGAACAGGGCTTGGAATTATATGATCAAAGTGAAAAATGCACTGTCAACTATCCTCACGTCCTTCCAGATGAATCTGGCAATGATTCGAACGCAATTTTTAATTTTCATTGGTTATCCAAAGTAGTGCATATTCTAGCATCTGTACTTCAATTGATGCGACTCAAATATGGAGGCAGAAACGAGAATAATAGAAACAAATCTAATGAAATCAAACAATTTGCCAATTTAGAAAATGCCCTCTCAAAATTAGGAGCTAGTATACCGGATATGGGAAAGGGAGACATATATGTTTCCTTCATCCATTTAATATACCATTTGGTCAAAGTTCTTCTTTATAGACCATACATATTAACTGATAATTACATGATAGAACAGCATAGCACATATATCTCTCAATGCCTATCCTCTGCTAAAAGTATTCCCCATATCGTAGATTATATCATAAAAAAAGAAGGGTTAGATATATTTTATAAATTCATACGAGGACATCAGCAAATCATTTATTGTTTGACAGCTGCTATTACAATTTTACGTGCTTCTCGAAATATATATAACATTTCTGAGCCAATAAATGATATTTATGAACAAACATGCTCAATGTTAAAAATTATTATCCTCAAATCGCCAGTGACTGAATTAGAAATGACAACCATTGAGCATCATAATTCTTTAGATCGTTCTGAACTACATATTGCATCGCCTTCTAACACTTCATCGACTCGATCTTCACCACTAATGCCTTCTGCATTAAATTCGCCTCATAGTCCAAATATGCCTACGCCTACTGTAAGAAAACGTCATTCTAGATCGTCTCTTCAATTCCCAGTATCCGATGCATCTTATCTTATGCAATCAAGCGCTGTATTTAATTCCTCAGAAGTTGCAAATCATCGTATGAGATCAACGGGTAGATCACCTTATGCTAATAATAGACTCTCAGCACCTTTATTAGGATCTATGTATCAACAATCACCTTATTTTTATCAACAACAAATACAGCAACAGCAACAGCAACAACAACAGCAACAGCAACAACAACAACAACAGCAACAGCAACAGCGAGGCATAACAAGCTATTCCCAGCCATCATCACCTACCACTAGCCAATTTACTGGTATTGAATTCAATAGCAATAATAGTATTAATGGAAATCCTCCATCTATGCTTCCTATTACACCACGACGAACAACTTCACTTTCAAGAAAATCAGTATTACGACGTAGTGCCTCTTCTATTGGTGAATTCGTAGTTCCTTCTCAAAGAACAAATCGAACCTCATCTCGACCCTATATTAACCCACGTCGTCACACGTTAACAAATGCAACGCCTCCAGATTTAACCAATGTGACGGCATCATCTACAAACAATGTGTTATCTATAGATCCTACTTCACAAAATTTGCATGCAATAGCAGTACGGAATAATAGATTCTCGGCTCCTGTGATGAGCAACAATACCCAAAATCCATATATGATACCAATTACTACGCAACAACCTATGATGATTGATCCTTCTTCTTTTCCTATGGACCCAGTTATCCCTAATTCACCTAATGAATCCATGATGGAGTTATTATTAAACCCTTGGGATTTCTCATCCCAACAACAACCATAAAAAATATGTATACGGTATATTATATATGTGTATTTCACTTTTTTTTTTTATTTTTATTTTTATATATATAAATATGTATATGTATATAAATATATATATATTTTTTTTTACCTTTCCTTCTTTATAAATACATGTCAAAAAAGATGAATATTTTATTCTGTATTGCATATTTTTTGTTAAACTGTCAATCAATGTTTTTTTTTCTGGGAAATAAAATTTTGACATATTTCATGCCTTTTTTTTTTTTTTTTTTTTTTTTTCGGCGCTAATTTGCTCCTTCTCCAATTAAAGGAAATAAAAGCCATGAAGTAAATGTGAAAATACACATATATAAAGGTATATCAGACTCTAGTTTTTTTTTTATTTGTTTTTCTCTTATTATTTTATACAATAATAATAAAAAAAACAACAACAAAAAATGAAGTTTAACAAAATTATTATTGCAGTCTCTATGCTTATTGTTGGTGCTATGGCACAAGAGTCCTTTAATTTATCTTCTATTAATGGCACATGTAAATGATTCTATATGTCTATGTCAAAAAAAAAGGCTTTATTTTATTTTATTTTCTTTCCTTCTAATCTTTTATATATATATATGAAATTATAGGGTATATTGCTGGTATGGCAACCTCTATGTTATTCAAGTATGATATTATATCTCAACTTTATAATATGAGTGTTAGTTGCCCTCAAATATATATTTCTGGTAACAACACGAATACTGTATACATTCAACCTTCTTTTGAATTTGGATGGTACAATATGACAAGCAAGGCCTCTGAGAGTGCTAATATTACCTTGAGTGGCCTCATGACTCTTGAGAATGGTTCCTCTCCTACCGATGCCAATTTTACTGCTCTGTTCTCTATCCCTTCTTCTTCTTCTTCTTCTAAAGGTCGTACGACTAACCACCTCGAGATGCTCAATACGGTATGGAAAAGTGGTAACTCTAGTAATCCTTTACCTCATGGTCCCGATTTCAGAGGCAATATTAACTTCAAGCTATCTAATCAAACAAATGGCAACTATAGTACCATCTTATGTTCAGCTTCAAACTTTTCCTTTGTCACAAATAAACCCAGTAATGGCAGCAATCACTTCTTTGTTCCTCGTGCTATAAATGAACAAACTGTCGGTCAAGTACTCCTTGTTAATAGTTCTGATGCTCTTAATACTCTTAACGATACTGCTTTCCAAAATATCATTACTACATATGGTAGTGAGATTGGTAATTTTACTCGTTTGAATAATACTTGTAATGCTACTGCTCATTAAAGAGGTGGAAGGGAACGTTAACTATCCCAACCTAGTATTTAGTGATTGAATATGTCTTTTTTTTTTTTCTTTTATATATATTGTTATTATTAATAATAAAAATTTTTAAAGATATTTTACATAATGTTTCATATTAAAAGAACATAATTAATAAAATTGCTTTTATATACAAGTATCATCATTATTATCTATCATTGACATAAAGAAAAAAATATATATATATACAAATAGTCAAATTTTATATCGATCTTTTTTAATAATGAAGTCATAATCATTTGTGATTGCTACATGAAATTATTTGGATATTATGAATAATTCGAAACAATTTGTTGTATTAATAATGCTTAAAGTAAAAAAGGTTTGTTCTGATTACTAACTCCGTTTGGCTCATTAAAAAAGGGTAATCTGATACCATATATACACATTTAGTATAAGAGTAAACCCTTGATGATCTTGATCTTGTCTTATGTAATTATATTTGATAACTTTATATGTCATATACTTTATTTTGAATGAGTGAAAAAAAAAAAAGATTGGAGATAGCGGTGAAACCTTTTTTTTTATGACGATCATTTTAAATTATAATTACATTAGAGATAAAAATGAATTGTAATATTAAAAAAGGGGATTCTCTCTTATAAAGCTTGTTGAGCATATCAGTAGTTCTACTGTAATTGTATAATGACTTTACATAGGCTTTTATACTTATACAGAAGAATTCCGCATATATTTTTAATAAGTTGAAGTAATTGATAAAGTAAATGAAAAGCTTCCTTCCTTCTCTCTTTTTTTTTTTTCTCTCTCCCTGTATCTTCTGTTATTCTAAATATAAAAATGAATACTATACTCGTCAAGCTGTACTATATAGAAGAAAAAAAAAGTCGTCATATACTGATATACATATATACGCCTTTTTTTTTTTTTTTTTTTTTTGATAATACATACTGTAGCTTTTAAATAGACAGTAATGCTTTTTGGTCCTTTTTTTTTTCTTTTATATATTAATAATATGCAGGAATCAAAAACCACATATTCAGTTGTTTTATATTTGCCGGATAAGCATTATTAGGAAAAACTATAATCCATAATATGTATGCATCTGTATAATAAGAATAATTACTCCTCAGTAAGCTTTTTTTCTTTTTTTATTTTTTATTTTTTTTTTTTTTTTTTTTTAATAAATAAATGTGTTATTTTTGGTACCTGGGAAATTTTGGTTGATTGTCATTTTCAGAAATGTCTCCACAAACTCTTTTGTCCGAGGCCACAAAGTTAAATGGTAATGGGCGCAAAGTGAATGGCAGTGGGCACAAAGTCTAAGGTCAGAGACCGCGAACTAAATTTCTGAAATCGCTAGAACACTGTGCACTTATTTTTTTTTGTTTTTTAGCTAAAGCTTTCGAATACATCTGCTACACTATTTTTAATTGGGACTCATTTTATAATAAAAGGTGCTTGGAGTATTATAGGAAATAAAAGGAAAGTAGAATATACATATAGAAATTTTAGTTGCTGAAAAGACAATCTACTTTAACCCATTTAAAAATGAATAATATTGATTCTATTTAGAAATATGTGTTTACTATTTATGTATTTGACTTGCTAGACCCTTTCATTCTATCTATATATCCTCTCATTTCCATAAAAGCCTATGATAAAATAGAGTCTTATTTTTTTCTTTTCTTATTCATAATAAGACTATTACAGCATTAGAAAAAAAAAAAAGGAAGACATACAAGGAACTTTGTAAATTATTGAAATACTATCATATAAATATTAGTTTATCTATTTGTATACAAATTGCAATAAGCTCGCAAAAAAGCCAGTTGTTTATATTTACAATCATTTTTTTTTGTTTGTTTTTTCCATTAATTTATCTTAATAACTAATCTAATATAGACCTATCTTACATACTAACCATAGATACATCTGCTCTTATATTTTAAAGATACATTTTATTACACACACAAAAAAAAAACATATAAAAACAAAAAGATAAGAATATCATTATAATGAAATAAAAAAGGGAAGAAAGGGGGTATTATTGTTTTAACCAAAGTGACGAGAAAGTGTTTCCTATATTCATATAAATGAGTAAAAAAAAAAAAATACGTATATGTGTGTATAAATACTTACATAAGTCAAGAAAATAATAGCTGATGTTGGCGCACTACGAGCCACTGTAATACCGCAACCTCTATAAAAAGCTCTGTAGCCACCTACTGTATACAGTTCTTTTGCTGTTTGGAAAAAGGAACGTTGACAATTACCTACCAGTAATTGTTCATCCGTCTGCATTTGCGATTTTATCACATCCACAGGGAAAAGAGACATGTTATAAGCCATACCGCCTAATGCACCGCCAAGCATCAATTCTGGAGCAGATAAATCTTTCTTGGTTATCATCTCTCCTGTCCTTTTTTGTCTATATTTAATAAATTCAGCACACGTATATTCATAAGCACCAAACCAGAAAGCACCACCACCGGCCTCTCTTAAAAGAGTGGCTAAAAATCCTCTATAAAATCCGGGTAGTCCATGAGTTTGCATCACATGACGAATGACATGAAAGGGACCCGTGAATCGTACACCTTGCACATTAGTTTGATTACCTAATTGAACCTGAAGTTTACATTTAATTAATTCTACAGGTGTTAATACAAATGACGCGATTGCGCCAGAGGCTGCTCCTGCCAATATTAATTGACTCATTGATAAAGGGGGTAGTTTATCTTCAGGTAAATAGAGCATCTTCTTGCGTTCCTCATCTGTCATTGAAAAGTCTCGAATCATACGTTGAACTTGACGATAACCAACAAATAATGCAGCATTTTCTACCATGGATCCTATCAATGGAGATGATAAACCCTAATATATATATACATATATACATGTGTAACATGTCAAAATAATTGCTTATCATATATATATATACATATATACATATGTATAAAAAGAAAATAAACTCACTGTAAATAAACTTTTAAAGCCTTCTTGTTTAATCGTCTTTTTAAAACAATCCCAAGGGCCCGAAAAGAATGGTTGATCCAAAGGCTGTGTTTGAAGTCTAACTTTAATGGTATCAAATGGATACTCAACGAGTTTTCCAATCATGCCAGCAATCTATTACATGTCATTCATATATACAGATATATATATTTCACAGATATACATATATATGATTATTCTTTAATAAAGATTAAATACTGTTCTATTTTACCGATCCAAATATGAGGTCATTTAGTTGTTGATGTATTGTGGATTTTTCTTTTCTATTTTGCTGTGTAAATGAAAGTTTATCTGGCTGTATTAATAATGTAGTAGGCTTAGAAGCCACCTGTTGAGTATCCATTCTTTGCTTGTTTTAATTAAAGAATAATTTGACCTTTTTTTTTATTATTATTATTATTATTTAAAAATAAATAAATAAAATAAAAATAAGCAAAGAGAGAAGGGAGTAATTGAACCGAGTCGAAACAAAAAAAAAAAAAAAATATAAAATATATAAATAAAAATATAACTTGAGTCATTTTTACTAAAAAAGAATCCCAGTCACGAACCTTTTTTTTTTTTTTTTTTTTTTTTTTTTTTGTTAGGAAAGGAAAAATACGCACTACAATAAAAAAAAATCAAGCTGAAATTTACCACGTTGGTGTCTAGTGATAACTAGACAGGAGTTAATTAGCATCTTCGTCTTGATTTTGGACCGCTGTTTTATGATCTTCTTCTACAGCGTCTTCTAGAGACAACATAAGGGCACTGGAATTTCATATAGGATGTAAAGTACGGTGACTTGTTGTAGTTTGAGCATAATGATTTGAAAGACATTCAGTTACCAATAACCTATTTGTTAAATACTCGCCAAATATTTCTAAAAATAATGTTCGAGAGTTTTGTAAGGTTCTTTCCGCATCAAAGACAGCTTGTGTTTTTTTTTTAGATTTTCTAATATTCGACGATACCTGACTCTTTTCGGTGACTTGTTTAGGAATGGCTTGGAGTACCCTATACTTGATGAGCTCTTCTAAAGTAGGATTTACACGTACAAAATACAATAAGTCACGACGTCCAGGGTCTACAGTAATGTATATGCCAACAAGATCTGTATAGTGCTGTATATTTATTTCATCGATGTACTGAGCCTACTCCACTTGAATACTATATCGTGTTGTGTATCTATCAGCCTTGTTTGTCTGTTCTTTTTTTCTTTTTATTATTATGGTAACTTCCACACCATCTGTCTAAATCGTTCCTTTAAAACGTAATCCTCCTTCCTCTTGTGGTCTAATCTCAGGAGAATTCATGATAATGATGGTTGCTCATAAAGCGAGTTTATCTCCGGAATAGGTAGTGGTCCAGAAATGATCAAGAATGTTTTGACATAAAGTTTTTGTTAAATAATTGAGCAAGCTTAAAAAAAAAAGGTCTTAAAATGTTCAATTGGATTTGCTTTCACATCATAATAAATATTGTTTCTCCAGGATTGATATGATCTTGGATATGACAATAACATAGGTATAGGAGCGTCTATGGCACGAATAAAAATAGGGTAAAAAAAATTGGACCCTAATCTTGCTGGTTACCGTTATTCTTTTGAATAAAGCTTGTTTAAAGTTAGAAGCAAGGGGAGTAATGGTTCCATGAATTTCATTTAATGTCATTTCTGCAAATACACTTTCTGCTTCTCTTTTTGATTTCAATTCGGATATTCAAGTTAGAATAGCTGAAAGAACATTGATTACACATCGAAAATGATTATCAAATAAGATTACATGTGTACTCCATATATATATCTTTAATTCCTTTGATTAACGAAGTTTGTTGTCCGTACAACAAGCTCATAGTTTGACAAGTCACAGCAATCTTGAAGGTATTGATTGATGAACTCACGTCTTTCTGCAGTCAGAATACTAGATCCTCTTCTTTGGTAAGCAGTTAACGAAAGCCAAACTTCCGCAAAAAAAAAATCTTTGTTAAGACATCTTGTGATATAAAAATTTTCATCATTCTGCAAACACACGAACAAACATATATTTGCTGAAAAGAATAGGTATGCATAGTTACAGTATGTACAATCTTTACAAAGCCTTCTCATATTTAAATATGCTTTTCTCTACAACCAATGCTAGAAATAGATGACTTTACAGATAGAATACGGGCACCTGGTGCCAAAGGACTATCGATATTTATAAAACTGGCTGGCGTACCAGGAAGAGAATTCAATATCCATTTTAGTGGGAGGGGCTACAGAATATTATTAAATAAAATAATCAATAGATATGGTATAATAGACTAGGTAATAAGTGTAGTGGTTTAGATGAGTTTTTTTTTTTTAAAGAAAAGGGAAGGGAAGAGAACAAGGTAAAATACTCTGAGACCTTTTAATATGTTTATTAAGGATTAAAGATTTATACATATACATATATAAAGACTAAAACGAATTGCTAGCATTATATATATGTATATGATGAATATAGATGATTGCCTGAAAATGATATATTATTATTGTACAATACAACTGGTAGAAGTATAAACAAGACAAAAGAATAGTATGTGTTATGATTGTAGTAGTTTCTATATAACTAAGACTGTAGAAATAAACTATCATTTATTACACAATAAAAATAAAGGGATTATTCTATGAAGCTTAGAACATTTAACTGACATACAGAACTCAATAACGAACATTGTTAAATAAGAGCATGTAAATATAGTATTTTATTCTTTAGGTGATGATAGAGCATGCTAGATTATAATCATACGTGATGTATCTTAGAGGGTATCGTACATATTTATATATATGGGCTTAACCTGGGGTAATTACATAGGATATTACTTTTATGGTAATGACAGCATTTCCCATAAGATATAAATAATTGCATAGGACACTTGATTCAATATCCACGTGGGCAACAGAAATTGATCAGTTAGACATGAAAATACCAAATAAGAAATGTAATTTATCCTTTTCTCCCTTTTTTTTTTTTTTTTCTTTTAACTACCTTCGATTAAAGAAGATCAAACTATCACAACAGCTAGCAAAATACATATTTCTTTACATTTTCGCTAATCTTAAAATAAAGAGATAAAAGCAAATCATTTATGTTAGTTAGGACTTGTAAGTTTCAACCAATTCTAATAGAATCTATTTTCAACTTTTTAAATTTTCCATAAATGTAAGACTATTTCAACAAATATGACATCTAATATACATTTTCTCAGTGAGACATCATTATGAGAGAGGGTGTATAATAAAGCAGCTAACGTGACTGTAAAATGAAAACTATAACTTTCAATTTTAACTGTAAAAATTAAGCAAATCAAAATTAGATAAGGTATGTTACACTGTTTTCCTTGATTTCCAAATGTTCCTGTATCGTTTTATTTGATTATAAATGGTATAAAAAAAATGGATATTTATGTATAATAACCTTATGTTTGTATATACAAAAAAATAAAATAAAATAAAATAAACTAGAATAGAATAAAATACATGCATCATCTAAGAGGTTGAGATATCTTTTTTTTTTCCTTTTCTGTTATATATATATATATATATGTGTGTGTGTGTGTGTGTGTATGTGTGTGCGTATATATATATATGTGTACATACATATATTTATATACTCATTTTTGAGACTTCTCTGCTGATGAAGAAGATCTTGTAGAGGTCAAGTCTTTCCACACAAAACAGGAATTACCAATAATATGAGTCTTTGGCTTTCTACCTCTTTTTTTGCGTGGCATATGTAAAATAGTATCCATCTTAGAATTTGTAAAGGCAGCCATTGAATTGTTCATGAGAGAATCGCCTCCTCTACTTTCATCATGTGTATTCAATAGGACTTGTTTATTTTCCTTTTTTGAAGAAGACCAAGACATCATTAATTGTTGTTCCTTTTGATTCGCCTTTAACTCTCGTTCTTTTTGTTCTTCAGAAATGAATACATCCCATACAGTAGGCGTTAGAAAAGTCCAGCTTTTATTATTATTATCTTCGTTATCTTGATTAGAATTGCTACTTATATTTTTTGAGATAGGAGGTCTACCTCTTCTTCTTTTTTGTTTTGGTTGACCAAAAGAATCAAATACAAGTTGTGTAGAGGCCACAGATTTTGATGACATGACCGTTTCTTTCTCTTCTACTTCTTCGTCGTCGTCGTCGTCGTCGTATTTGTCTTCACGATCATTTAGAGTTATAGTTGTTATTGACGATTTTGTACAAGGAACAGGCTCTGAAACAGTTGAAGTTGATCTAGGTCTATTATATTGAGAAGTCGCACAAAGATATTCAGAATCACTTATTGTTGAATCCTCTACTATCATTTGAGATGACTGTGGTGAGTTTTCAATCATAGTAGTAAAAGAGGGAGTATGATGAGAGGAGTTCCATGGATTAGATGATTTTTGATTGTAGGTATCATTAAACAGAGTCTTTGGTGAAATAGGCTGATTATGATTGTAAATGGATGATGTTGAAGGTAAACGTAATCGTTGTGGGGGATCGTCCCCTTGAATAGGAGGAATAGTCTGACTTGTACTGATTGATAATTGCTGTATACTTGTATTCAGGAAAGTATGTGTCGGTGAATGAATTGGAGACAATATAGGTGAAATAGAAGGCAATCTTGGTGAAGAAAGATACGAATTAAATGATTTACTAGAATGTGGAGGCGTTGAAGGTAAAAGAGGTGAAGGAGGTGATAGATTCAGAATAGGCGGTGAAGAACTTAGTAAATTTGAAATAGACGGTAATTTACTATTACACTCTTTCTCTGGCTGATATATCATTATATGAATGAAAAGAAGAAGAAAAAAAAAAGGGAAAGAAAGAAAGATGAGAAAGGAAAGGAAAAGAAAGAAAATAGATTTATACACACAATACAAAGAACATTGAGAAAGATATTTAATCGACCAATGAAAACTCATTCTTCCTTGTACTTCTCTAACCCGATAATAATAATGAAGATCCTTTTATACCAAAATTAGTTATGTTTCATACTCATCTGTATAAATAGATAAATTTTGTTTTTCTATAGTCCTTGCTTTTGTCGTATCTAAATTGGGACTGCATTTGTAAATCATGTGACTACACCTTATTTATCTTTCATAGAATGAAAAGAAATAGGTAAATCGCTACTCTTCTTAACCTTCTAATTATATAAATATAAACTACATGTAGTAAAGTTTATTATCAAAAAAGTAAAATATATATTAAAAAAGAATAGAAGGAAACATTTTTTGTAATATTTACATACTGAAAAATGTAACAGAACAGATTGTACTTTTCTATTTGAGTTACTATGTACCCCATTCAATAATGCAAAAATGTAATATTTCCTTATTTGGTTCCTTTTTTTTTTCTTTGGGATAATATTATGTCAGATCCTTATGGATAATAGTGTATCATTTAATTTACTATTTTTGGAAATCTTTGCCTCACTAATCAATTTTCTTATAATTGCAAGTTCATGTACCACATATACAAATAGATATATATGTATAATACAAGGCATTTTTATATGTGTTGTTGTTGTTTACAATTTACCTAATTAAGATTGTAGTGTATGCTAAGGAAGTATTATATAAGACTATCACCTATCGTTCTTTCTCCCTTGCTTCCTTTTCTTTTTCGACGTTTTATCATTAAATGAATACTTTTACAAACGATTCGTATGATCAATACGCAGATCAACTCTTGAATAGTGCATTTCATAACGCAAGACAATCTAATCATGCATTATTGACTAACAATGATCAACCACTTATTTTAAACAGGTTATTGCAAGATCAAGCAAGATTTTCACCTGTATCTTCTCTATACCCCAATACTATGAATGAGTGGATTTTACTTTATCAATTACAACAACAAAAGGAACTTCTAGAAAGACAAAAGCAAATACAAACTTCAACTACTCCATTTCCTACAAATGATACTCATTCAACATGCGTTGAAACCCCTTTAGAGCAAACAGAACAGGATAATATAAATAAAAATACACAGAAAACGGATGAAAGGTCTTTAGCTAATGACGAAAAGAAGAAAATTCCTCGTGTCCCTGTACAAAAAGAGCAAGTCACTACTGCTACTACTACTACTACTGGTCATCAAGAACAAGATATCATCATAAACGATCACTCTACACTAAATGACACTATAGCAAATCCACTTGAAAGTATATCAAGGAATTATGCTAGCACTCATAATAAACAATTAAACACGAAAAAGAATTTCTTGTATAAATCATGGTCTACAAGTGGCTTCAGACATAATAAAAAAAAGCCAATAACACTTGAATCTTCTCAAAACGATACAACACATAATTTAGGATATAAGAAAACAGAAAAGACAAAATCAACTTTAGAAAGAAAGCCTTCATTTTGGAGACCAAGAAAAGAGAAATTTAAAAAACAGCAAGGTGATCACGAGGAGATAGTAACGACGATTGATGACAAAGAAACTAAAGCAGCACTAACAAAGAATAGATCAAATAAATCGTTTGCATCACCTGCTCGTAAAATAAGGACTCCAACTGTTAAAAAGCCAGCAGTAGTAGTACAGCCGAGAGGTCAGAAAATGTCTTCTGTTAAAAAAGGTGGAACAATCAAAGCTAATACAAAAAGACAAATGGCATTCAAATCACCTACAGTAAAAAAGAAATCAGATAAGGTTAAAAATAAGAAATCTTCCAAGAGTGTTCAAAATCCAACAATGTATTATATGCCTCAACAGCAACAACCTATGTTTTATTATCCTCAACAGCCTGTTAATAATGCTATCATGCCTTCTTCTTTTACTAATTCAGTTCCAATCTTTGGACATAATCCATTTCCTATTCAACAAGAACAAAAGATAGCAACAGCAAGTAATAAAAATACTTCTTCAAAAAGAAGCACTACAATTTTAAATCCAAGAGAAACCTCAAATGATAAATGTTTAATCATGTAAAAGGAAACAAAAAAAAAAATGTAACTGAGATTAGTTGTTCTTTTTCCCTTTTTTTTTTTATATATATATACATCTATGAATAAAGATGGTAAAAGATTTAACTTCAATGTCTATTACTTTGTCTAAATATTATTATATAGTCGGTACATAACAATGATCAATTGCCCATATCAAGAACTAGAAACGAAATTCAGTCTTCAGGGCTTTTGTCGAAATGCATAAAGCAAATGACATTGGGATTTGAATGGTTGCTCTGTACATTTTTATTAATCAATCTCATCATAATATCGTATATTGTAGGCGCTTTTATCGATTTATTTTGGTACTGAACAAACACCATTGGCATCTTTCATTTACTTTTTGCAATATCTATTTTTCTAATAACAGATTCTAACATGGCCACAAGCTATAATAATAATAATAATAAATTAATTTCTCATTAAAACAAAAAAAAAAAAAAGAACATAAACCGAATAGACATTACTATTGCATCTTCAATTGAATCGATGAATTCACGTTGATGATTAATAATTTTTTCAGCTTTTTCTAATTCTTTCAAATGAATAAGATCTTCTGCAAAATAGAGCCAACATTTACACTCTAATATAGGATCCTTTAGTTTTTTAGCAAGTTTGATTTGCTCAATTGCTAACGCTCCAGCTTTATAAGCCTATTATATATTATATTAAATAACATAATAAAAAAAAAAAAAAGAGAGAGAAGGATACGACTTACATATTTTGTGTTACTTTTACCCAGTGAGCAGAACGCACCACCTAACATTGAATAATATACACCAGTAACTGCAAGCAAATGAGCTTTTGAAGCAATAGCCCACATGCGTGAACACCAAGCCTTGTCAATTATCATGGATCGCTGAACATATTTTATATCTAACATTATAAACATATTTATCGAAGAAATAGTAGTTTGCTGTCCTATTTTATAATCATCATGACAACTACCTAATAACATGGTAATAATAGATGGTGTCGAATGTTTCAATAATCTTTCAAGTATTTCTATAGTTGAATAATCGTAACAAATGACAATGTCAAGTATCGTTGAACTATAGTCTTTTTTAACACTTTCTTTATGAATCACATGGCTAGTCAAAGTTGGATTAGAAGGATTTGAAATGTATACATTAACATGTTTCACTAAAGATGAGAATTTTTCGGAATATTTTAAATTATTATAAGAAATAACTTCATTGATCTTTTTTCTTTTCATGGTCAACATTAAGAAAAATATAAACACATATAAATATATTTATGTCTATATCTGTATATAGTGTATAATATAGTGTGGATTCAGAAACGACATTCGATTCACTTGGTTGTTGTGAGATAGTAATTCATTGGAGATTTAAACAGCGACTTTTTTTTTTTTTTTTTATTATATAAAGTCTTACTGTTTTGTTCGAATCTTTCTCTGTTAAAGATATAGATATACATATGTATATGACAATTATACAGCATAAAACTTCTCAAGGAAATTTACTATTATCAAGATAAAAAATGAAGTATATATAATAGTGTTTATTTAAATTTCTTATATTTCCTACAAGGAAAAAAAAAGTCTCTAATCTACTTTAATAACAAGTTTACCAGCAGGGGAGTCGCTCTTAAAAGTCTTAAAGGCTCTATGTACTTTATCTTCAGAGAACCCAAATACTTTTTTTACAGATATATGATTTTTTTTTGACATAAACAAAACGAATAAGCTCCTCTTCAAGTTGCCTGCTATCTAGGATGATATCACAAAGAATAATATTTTTTTTTAGTATTGAAGCTTGATAAAGTAATTAGTAAAACAGTGTCAAACTTTGTGGGATTATGGATCAGCCTCACTCACAGCTGTGGAAAAAAAAAAGAAAGGTTCCTTTTTGGATATTAAAAGAAAAGGAAAGAAGTTTCCATTTCTTATGCTACTTACTAAGATTAAAATCTTTTAAAGCTAGGAGAAATTTCTTTATCAAGCTTGCTTGCTTTACTTCCCTTATTTTGAAAAATATAGCAAATAAAAATACTAAATCAGTTGGCCCAATAATGCGAATACAATTTAAAATTACGCATATTTAAAAGGGAAAATCCTGTATCAATCATATGACTAATAAATGTCATCATTATCAATAGTGCTTGTATAACACATCCATTCATGCTTTCAATTACATTTTCTCTCTCTCTCTCTCTCTCTCTCTTTTCTTTTCTTTCTTTTTTTTTTTTTTTTAATACAATGAGAATAAGGATTTTAATATCATTAATTACATGCTATTATTTTATCGCACTTACAGTTCAACAGCAACAGCAGACAGTTTTAAGTGAACCTGAATTCGCTATTCAAAATGAAGTATTGCAGTTGACTGACAAAGTTTTTCAAACAAGTTCAATTTTTACTTCTTGCAGTAGTTGTATTTCTTTACTTCAAATTCTTAAAAAAATTTCATATATGTCTGAAGGGTTTTTAATACAAACTTTAACAAAAGCATGCAAAAAAACCGGAAAAGTAGATGATGAAGTTGTAACGTATATAAATATATATTTATATATTTGTATATATAGAGCATCAGTATTAATAATTCTATCGTATATACACACACACACACATATATATATATATATTCATCTAGTGTGAAGGTGTGATTAGAGAACAAGCACCAATCATTCGTAGTATTTTACCTGTAAATATATTTATCATTATCATTATCATTTATATTTTTGTATATTTATATATAATATATAGTCAATGACCATATCAGGACGAGATGGACATCTTTTATGCGCAGCTGTTTTAAATGTTTGCCCTTATCCAGGTATATATATGCATATATAAAGAAGTAGTGTATATGAAAGTTTCTTATGTAATATGTATATACATAAAGAGGTGGAAGAATGGAATGTTACGTTCCCGAAACCGAAGCTTGATGAATCCATTTTAGAATATAATTATAATAGCAAAAAATCTATTGGACAAACGTTTACAGTTTTACATCTTAGTGATTGGCATATTGATCCACAGTATAAAGTATATACACATATATATATATATTATTGTTGATATACATATATTAAATATTTTTTCTTTCTTCTTTCTAGTCAGGCGCAGAGACAATGTGTGATAAACCCTTTTGTTGTAGAGCCGAGTATACAGATTTTACTAATATAACTAAGCCTGCCTCTAAATGGGGTATGTTGCGTATAAATATAGAACCATTTATACTACTAATATAATTCTTTAAAAAAAGGTGAATATAGTTGTGATACTCCTTTAGCACTTATTAAATCATTATTGGAATATATTCCAACTGTTGAACCTAATATTGAGTTTGGTATCATGACAGGTGATGTACCACCTCATGAGGTTTGGAGTACTTTGCCTATCTTGAAAACGAAATTAATTCAAGACGAAACATATCATTTATTGCATCGTTATTTTGATTATTCTTCGTCATTTCAATCTGCTCTATATCCTGCCATAGGAAATCATGAAGCAGCACCAACAAACAATTTCCCTCTATGGTCATCCAATCTTCCTAATGAAGCTGAAAAGCACTTTTATGATTTAAAATGGCTTTACAAGAGTCTCGCTAATAGTTGGAGTCGCTGGATATCATCACCCTTAAATAATATTGAGACTAATATGGGTAGTTATACCATCAGGCCTGTTAAAGGTCTTAAATTAATCAGTTTAAACACGAATTTTTGTTACACTTTAAATTGGTGGCTATATGAACATCCTATGCAAAAGGTATATATATATATATGTATGTATGTATTTTCTAAATATAATTTTGGATAATGCTATGATTAGGACCCTAATGGTATTTTATCTTGGCTTATTAATGAACTACAAGACTCAGAGGATAGGTATGAACGAGTATGGATTATTGGCCACATTGCTCCAGGAGACAATACTTGTCTTCATGATTATTCCAACTATTATTATCAAATTGTAGATCGATATGCTCACGTAATTGCTGGCCAATTCTTTGGTCATACTCATAAGTAATGTTATGTATACATACACCTATATAAATATTTATATTTATATGCATGATTCTTTTTTTTTCTATATATTATTTATAGAGATGAATTAACAATTTTCTATGGTCACAACAAAAGACAAATAGCTAAAGAAGCTATTTCTGTTGGTTATATTGCCCCGTCTATTACACCGTTTTTGAATCTGAATCCTGGATTTAGGTAAACGCATATAATATATATATATATAGTTGTATGAACTTGATCATTCATAATATACTTGTAGGATTTACAAAATTGATACAAAGACATTTGAAGTAGTTGATTCAATAACATATATAGCTGATCTAAACCAGGCAGATACATGGTCAGATGGACCTGTAAATATACATACAAGCTTTAAGCAAAGTTTCATTATATAATTAGATCTAATATATATATATATATATATATATTTATATAGAATTGGCATGTTGAATATTCTGCAAGAGAAGCATTCAATTCAAGTAGAGCTAAGCTTATATCTCCTACATCACCCTTATCAGCAGAATGGTGGCATAATGTAACTGAGGATATGGAATCAAATCAAAAGACGTATGAAGAGTATTACAAATATAGCTGGAAGTCATCTCCATTATTAGATCAAAACTGTCTTTTTAATGATGAATGCAAAAAAAATATCATTTGTGGTATTCGCGCAGGTAAATCAGAATTACGCTGCGATTATGAACCAGATATCTTCAATAGTGAAAGAGAAGAGCGGTATGATGACGTTAAAATTTATAAAAACAAACCATTTTATTACAAGCCTGAACCTCATCTTTGTGGCTTGAACTTACAAAGTATTCGATCTAAATAATTAATTAAAAAATGATTTCATCTATATTGATGTATATATGTATATACTCTTTAAAGAGAGAGATAAACTAAATGGAGCCCATTTTTCTCTCTTGTATGCTGTATAATATCAGAATACTGTTTACAATAATCAGCCAATTACATCTTGTTAAAAAAATAAAATAGGTGGCTTAAAAAGGGGTGTCAAAATTTAAGTTTGAAAAAAAAAAAAAAAAAAAAAAAAAGAAAAAGTTACTGCATGCATTATGGTCTCAAAAAAAAAAAAAGAATCATTTTGATTTTTTTTTTTTATTATTATTTAATATATTAGATCTACTTCAAAAAAAAAAAATGTCAAACATGGAAATTGCAATGAGTTATCCTGCCTCTAAATTTGAGGCTGATAACTCTTTAACCAACCCTTCTGTTTTAGAAAAATATTATGCCTCAGCAGACATTATTAATGGTAATATTGAATTCTCTCGATCCACATAAAAAGAGAAAACAACAGATCATTTAGAATGATTGATGAATCCGTTCATTAACCCGATCTCTTATAGGTATTCTTTCTATGGTTGTTAGTAAAGTTGCTGCTGGTATCTCAGTTTGCGATCTTTGCCAATATGGTGATGATCTTATCAATGCTCACGTAAATTCTCTATTTTTTTTTTTTTATAAATGCATTTTAATTTTTGTTCTAATTTATTTTGTTTTTCTAGACTAAAAGTAAATACAAATCTGCTGAAAGAGGTATTGCTATTCCTACTTGTGTTTCTGTCAATAACCTTATTCAATACTTTTCCCCACTTGCTGAAAATGATTACAGCTTAAAACCTGGAGATGTTGTTAAAATGTAAGTATATTAAATAGGCTATCCTTATTCCTACGAGTAAATAATAATAATTATACCTCAATAGTGAAATGGGTGTTCATATTGATGGTTATATTGCAACAGCTGCACATACAACCGTTGTTTCATTAAATAAACAGCAACCAGTAACTGGTAAAGCTGCTGATGTAATTGCAGCTACTCATTTTGCTTATGAAGCTGCCGCTCGTATGCTTCGTCCTGGTGTTAGAGTAAGTTATATACTTTTAGATATGAGTAAAATAGAACATAAGGGATAACGATTTAAATTTTATCTTTTTTTTTAGGCATCCGAAATCACTCGTGTTATTACTGAAATTGCTGCTTATTTCCGCTGTCAACCTGTCGAAGGCACATTCTCATCTCCTATGAAGCGATTCGTTTTACGTGCTGGTAAAGATATTGAAAATCGTTTTATTGAAGATTTACTCGTTCAAGATTTGGATAAATATGATTTCGAAGTTGAAGCTAATCAAGTATATCAGTTGAATATTGCTTTAACTACAGGCGATGGTACAATTAAGAACACCGAGTACAAGCCATTTGTTTATCAAAGAGACGTTAATAAATCATATCAACTCAAGATGAAATCAGCTCGTCAAGCATATACTGAAATTAATCAAGAGCATACCGTTTTTCCTTTTGCTACACGTTCTTTATCTAGTAACACAACTCGTCTTGGTGTAGCTTCTTTATTGCAACATGAGCTTATTACTGCTTATCCTGTTATGCGTTCTAAACTTCCATCTGATCTTGTTGCTCAATTTAAGGGAACAGTTCATGTTACTGCTGAAGGTCCAGTTCGATTTACTAATCCTTTACAATTACCTTATGTTCATTCCCAATACTGCATACCTGAAGGTACGACTGCTTTTGCTGTTTTGAGCACACCTGCTATCAAAGATATTAGACAGTCTAAACCATTACCTGCTGTTGAAGTTACTTTTGGTGAACGTCATATTGAGGTAAGAATAACGATAAAAACTAGTAATATATAATGTACTTATATATATCTATATACTTATAGAAAGAAGATGTTGAGATGGATATGGAATAATTACATAGACAGAAACAAATTTATTGCATTTTATCCCCCCTTTTTTTATTAACATGTAACTAGTATAATATATGTATTAATGAATAGAAATTCAGTTAATTTAAAAAAAAAAAAAGGTTTATTTTTTAAGATAATTATACATTTCTAGAATATGTCTACTCAAATATGTAAAATAAGAAATATATTTAATTTTAAGCATCAAGTTTATATATTATAGTATGTTTAAATAATACATGCATATTAATGCTATAAGTCTATAATTCTTATTCTAATTATCAGACATACTACTATTAGAATTTTAGTGGCAAATTCAATATTAAGGAAAAGTATTATTAACTTCTTTTTTATTTTTTTTTTTATTTTCTTTATTCCTCTCATGTAATATATACATGTTTTAGACAGTATGACCAGTCGCTATCTATTACTGCACTGGAAATAATCCACAAGTATCTTTGTTATGTATATTAATGCGTCTTTTTTTTTCCAGATTGCTATAGAGCAATAACAAAAAAAAAAATATTATTATTCTCTTAACCTGTAATAGATAATCAAGAGTTATCTAAAAGTGATGAACATGAAAAGCATAAAGTATCATGTTAATAATAGCAAATGTTCCCTCTCCTAGTACAAACCCACTAGCAACAATGATAATGGCTATTTTGCCTATAGCTTTGTAAGGCCTATACCAACTATCAAGAAAACTTTTAGTTTCACTATCACAATAATGACTCCATACTGTGTAAAGATAGCCACCAATTACTCTTGCTAATGTAAAACTAGGAGGATTATAGATACCAATAGCAAATGCAATCCCATGTGGAATAAACAAACGCCATTTTAAGGGTCCTATCTCTTTGACTACAGTGAGCACCCCAAAGACAATTGAAAATAGAACCATGAATTCAAAAGCATGAGGAGGGAGTGAATGACCATTAACAAGTTGAGCCATATCAATCCAAACCTGAGCAGTAGGAGCAGGAAACTCAGGACCGGGTATCGTATAAACTGATTTATAAAGAATATATGCAGCTGTAGCTATAAATGAACTCACCAATGATCCAATAAGTTGACCATAAAATTGTGCTCTAGGTGATGCCTTCAACAGATATCCTGTTTTCAAATCCTGCATCAAATCACCTGCTTGCTGAGCTCCAGCCTCTGCGATCCCACCAGCGATTATATTAGCAATTATGGATCCAGGCATAAGAGCAGCAAACAGAAGTTGACTAACTTTACCGATACCACTCACAGGATTCAAATCAGTTTCCCCAAGGGCTCGGACGCCCAAAATACTCAGAAAAAGAGCAAAAAGGATGGAAACAAATGTCATTCCTATCGGCATAATGTCATTTCCAAACACAATTTGAACCATCAGCATACACAGTAAAGTAGATAGAATTAAACCTAGCAGTACTATATAAAGTGGAACTTGATATTCTGATAGTAAGTCTGTTTCTTCTTTTTCATTCATTTTATTATAAACAGTATTTTGCATTGCTGAAGCATCATCATCATCATCGTTATTATTACTATTACTTAATGTTTGTTGATCGCCATTTACATCATCGTACTCACTTAGAAAGCTTTCATACTGTTCTTGTTCTTCCTCATCAATATCCACGTTACTTTGTCTTTTATTAAATAGAGAAATTATCTGTTTAATAAAAGCTATGAAAAGGGAAACAATTGATTCGGAAATCATAATACTAAGTGAGGACCATAATATCCAACCTTTTGATCCTGTTTTCCAATCATTAACTGGACCTGGAGCCCAACCAGAAAAATACGCAACAGGTGATAATATACCCCAGCCTATAAAGCATCCTAATAACATCGATAAAGTTGTTGGAAACCCCTATATAGCATATATTAACCTCTATATAAGTATATATGTATATATATGTATACCATAATGATTCCTTGCCCAACATAGCTTAAACTAGGCGTAAAATACCACTCCCATGCCTTGAAATCGATAGTATTTAATGTCAACCAATTAAATATCGGCAACGCGTATATAATAGGAAAGAAATAAGAAGCAAGAGTATAAATAGAAGATACACTAAAAGATACAAGTAATGCTTTGAGCTTTAAATGCCATATTTGCTCAGCATCCACATTAAACATGGCGTCCTGTGGTGGAAATAGATTTTCTTCGCAATAGCGACTTATTGAATCTACAGAATGAAACGATTCATCTTGTTGTTGTTGGTTACTCATTTCTAAAGAAAATAATTCAATTCTATTTCCTTCTTCACGACTATTCCAATCATCATTATACTCCTGTATATCGCTATTGAAGTTTCTTCTCCTTCTAATCAAATTTTGCCTACTCTCTTCATTTCTAAACTGATTATGTAATACATAAATCATCTCTGCAGTTGCTGTGCCGGACGGAAATTTTAATTTTTCTTTAACTATTGTTTGTTTTCGAAGTGGTACAGCGAAAAACACGCCAAAGAAAGAGAGACCCAGGGACCATAAGATAAGTTTTAATGGTGATAAGGAGAAGAGGGAATCATCTTCAGTTAGCTGATCTAACGCAGGAATAATGCCTACAAACCCTGCTGCTAAGGGCATAGTAGCTGTAGCAACTGCTACAGTCTGCAAATAAACGTTCTCTTTAGGACTAAATGTGGATGATACTCCACTACTGATAAAACAACGGCATAAAGCAGATTTAAAGACAGCGAATCCTAAAAGCGATGCCTGTAAAGACATCATGGAGATCCAACCTGTTTGTAAACCAAAATACATATTAGAGAAACACATGAGGCAACCAATTAATAAGCCAATTAAAGTCGATCTAATCTAATTGTAATTGTAAATGAATAAACTAAATTTGAAAAGAGTGAGTAGCACTAAATGTTAAAATTAGATCGCATACCGAAAAGTTGTTTGATGATTTACATTCATTGCTTTCTAGTGTATTATCCATTTGAATTATATCCAGGACAAAAAAAAATAAATAAGAAATAATAGCAAGAAAGAAATAACAATAATAATAAATAAAAAAAAACAAAAAAGATTAAAGGGTATATTACTTGTAGTTAAAGGCATTAGTTCATTTTTTTTTATTTTTTTTTTTTTTGCCTTATCTTACATTATCATTTGTTATTTATAAAATAGAAATATCTATACAAATATGCGATATATAGAATAGATAATATGTCAAAAATACATATACATATATATATTACGTAATTGCACGAAGTATTATAGAAAAGACTATCTATAGCTCTTCTACATTTCTTTTATGTAAATTATAATATAGTCTGAGTCAATATAACAAACCATTTGCAAATTCTGATTTTATAGAGGGAAATGATTTAAACGAAAAAAAAAAAAAAAAAGAGGTGAGAGATTAGAGATGAGAAAAATATTGACAATTGTCGATTTAAAGATACTGATATAAAATATTAAAAATATGTATACACATGCCCAGTGCCCTTCAAAATGAAAAAAGAACGGAGTATAAATGTAAACATGTTGATTGCTAGATTCCAGAAAATGTCTTCACTCAAAGTTAGGATTGAACAAAATTCAACGCATGTCCAAAGGCAAAAACAAAAAAGGGTAAAACATGAATCATCAATATAGACTTTTGAGCCATTAATATAATGAATTAGTAAACGAATGACATTATGGGTATTAATTACAGATAAATATTTAACAAATAATTTATAATCGCAATCCTATCTAATAACTATAAGAGAAAAATCTTCAAAACATCAGTATTTTTCCTTAGATAAATATGTTGTTGTTGTTTTTGCATATTTCCATGACGTTATATGTTGTGTTAGCAATAAACATAATGGCTTGTATTTGTCAAACATTACAAGTCAAAGAGCGAAAAGCCGAGGATAAAATTAGCAGTAAGAGGAAAGAGCTTTTTTTTTTTAAACAGATTGTAATACAGAAAAACAAGAAAGCTAGAAAGTTTCCTACTACGTGATATAACTTATAGAATATGTTTAACCAGTGTAATACAAATAAAAGAGGTAACCAATTGTTCAAATTTGGTAATACAAATCAATGTAAACCACAGATTCTGTCTTTTTTTAGCCAATCATCCGCAAGTCTTTGTAACTTTTCTACTAATTCCTGTGAAAGTTTTCTAATAACCGTAAAAAAAAAAAAAAAAAAAAAAAAAAAAAAAAAGAGAGAGAGAGAGAGACAGGAAGACAGATGTTAAAAAAGTCACATTCAAGTTTGTTTCATATATAAAAAAAAAAAAAAAACCATAAAGTCTCCTCTAATCCTCTTCAATATCCTTTTCCTTTCTTTTTTTTTTGGAAGTATTGTATAATGGTCCATTTAGAAGCAAAAGAAACAGTCCCCATTGATCTGGAAGAAAATTGTAATTTGGAAAATCAAAACCAAAAATTGAAGAAGAAGAATAAGAAGCGATCTAATGTCGCATCCTTATCGCCTATTTCACCTTTTTATGAACAAGCTTTATCTTCATTTCCCATAAAATTGAATAATACAAAGGCTAAGGGACGTCATGCTGTAGCTGTAAAGGATCTTGAAGAAGGTACAACAGTATGCCAAGAACAAGCTGTGGCCTTTGTTGTTCGATCTGATTATCTTGATCAACATTGCCATGTATGTTTATCTGACTTGTCTGAAAAGATGATGTGCTCTGAATGCAAAAACGTCTTTTATTGTTCAAATGAATGTTTAGAAAAAGACAATGAAATGCATTTATTAGTGTGTCAAGTTTTTAATCAAATTAATACTATTGGTCGTGCAACAGATGTGGATCCTGATTTGCTTCGTTTGATGGTTTTATTAATGGCTCGTAAATATCTTGACGAAAAAGAAGAGGAACGGGATTCATTAAAGAGGTCTACACCTTATTGGTGTGTTGAAGATTTAATAAGTCATAAGGAAAGTGCTGAAGCGTCATTTATTCAAGTTCTTACTCAAGCCTGTAAGTTAATTATGACTAAATTTATAAAGAGGACTTTTTTATTCATTTTTTTTTGTTTTGTTTTTAATATATATATACATACATACATACATACAAATGTATAGCTGAAAGATTGTTATTTGAGATGCCAGAAAAATTACATTTCTCGGTCGAAGATATGGTAACACTTGCTTGCAGGTAAGTCATCTCTTTTATTTTTATTTTTAGAAATATGCATTACAAAATATTAACATTTTTTTTTGTAGAATAAATTCCAATGCTCACGGCTTAGGTGATAATTATTCTCGTAACACAGATGTAGCATTAGGTCTTTTCCCCCTTGGAGCGCTTTTCTTTAATCATAGTTGTAATCCAAATACAACATTTATTGGCGTACGTAACGGTCAACTTGCCTTTCGTACCCTTCGTCCAGTTAAAAAGGATGAAGAATTAGTCGTGAGTTACATTGATTTATATTCAGATCGTGATGAACGAAGACAGGACTTATTAACATCCAAGCATTTCTGGTGTAAATGCAAACGCTGTAGTAGTCCTATGGAGAGATCTGTGGATCGTTTTCTTCAAGGCGTTAATTGTATGGAATGTGAAAAAGATGTCTATATGATTCCTCCTACTCCTATCGAACATTTATCAAAGGGAAGACGTAATTTATATATGGATACAACTACCAACTTTCAATGTTCTTTATGCAACCATAAAGTAAAGAAGGATATTGTGTGTAAGCCAATAGAAAAAGCGAATAAGGAATATATGCTGGCTATGGCAGCTATTCGTCAAGAGCGTAATTATAGAAAAGGGGGTGAAAAGCTAAGTCAACTTGTTAAAACAGATTCAAAAAAAGCTGGCAATCTTCATATGTTAAACTCTTATAAATTTAATTCACTCATTCCATTAATGAATTGTCAAAGATACAATGGTGACTTAAAGGGAGCTATTGAGACAAACAAAACTATACTATATATGATGGAACAATATAGTGAGCAGGGTTCACTGCCTGCAAATACTTCTGAAATATCTGATTTCTGGCAGAATTTAGGTGAATTGTCAATGAAAGTAATGAATGAATTAAAAGGTCGTAGTTCCGTTTTAGAAAAGAAATGGCGCAACGAAGCTAAAGATGCCTTTTCTAAAGCATTAGCAGTGCGTAGAGTAGTCTTTGGCAAAGACCATCCAAAATCTCAACATATAGAATATTGCATTTCAATGTTATAGATAGATAAAAAAAAAAAAGAATAGAATAGAAATATTTTGTTAATTATATTGATATACGAGTTTTTTCTTTATTAGGCATATCCTTCTAGATTCATGTTTTTATGGGTCAACTACCCCTTATTTCCTTTATGTTTAAAATAAAACTTTTCTTGTTATACAATGTTTTGTATTTGAAAATAGAGCTTTTGGAAAATAAAAGTAGAATTTCTTATCCTTCCTAACCTGATATAATACTACATGCTCTCTGAGCTACGCTTTATTTTCCTTGAAATATTATAAAATAAAAAATTTCTCTTTCAAGCTAAGCATGCACACAATTTTTTCTCTTTTTAGCTAAGCATATAATAAATTATAAGAGTGTTCAATGGTTCTTTAAGATATGTCGAAAATTTCGAAGAGACTTTCGTTAAAATTTTTAAATACCTAAAGTTATCCAGTTTGTATGATTATAATTGATGCCGCTGAAGAAAATAGGTTGGGGCAACTAATAAAAAAGCAGGATGTTTATATATTTAATTATGGCCACATCTCTTTACTTTGTTTTCTTGGTATTACATTAAAAGCCTTTTTTTTTAACTTATCTTTTAACTTTTTTTTCTATAACATGAGTGCTAACATTAATATGGGCGGCCAGATCGTGCCTGTTATTGTCCAATCTTACATGGATTGGGAAAGACCTGCAGCAATAAACGTTGAACAAAAAAAAAATGAGAAAAACAAAATAGTGCATCTTCCAAAGTAACTTTGACAGCTGTTACAAAAATGCAAGGGTCGTATATTTCAAAAAAAAAAAACAAACCAAAGGTAGTAAACCTGATTAATTTAATGCAGGAATTTGAACACTTGTCCATTAGAGAAGCGGCTATCAAGGTAGGACTTTCAAAATCAACAGCTGCATGCAAGATCAAAGAATGAAACAAAATGACAAACGGTTCTGACCAAGGAGGTGTTCCTGGTACCATCAGCCCCTAAGGAACACAAAGGCCAAAAATTGATACTTAAGGACATATATACTGTCTTTATTTTTGAAATATTATTCATAACAGTTGCTGAAAAAAAAAAAAGTGTCATCTCACTTGTAAATGTATTATCCTGCGATATTTTGCATGAGACAGTGAGGAAACCGTAATTAAATCATATGATATAGTAAACTTCTGAATTCACTAAAAAATAGATTTTATGAACAACTATGTGTTTATTAATGAGGCTGAATTCAATAGAAATACGTACCACTCTTATGGTTGGTATGAAATAGGATAGGAACACCTAGCAAAATCAAAGTTGGAATAAAAGGTACCAGATATCAGTATTCTAGGTGCCATATACAAAGATGGTTTTATTACTCTTTCATGAAAGGAGAATATCACTACAGCAAAAACAAACTGATGACACGCTAGCTGTAAAAAAGAAAAGGCACAACTAGTAACGACTATTTGGATTTCATAAAGCAAGTTCTTATTACATTTCATGTAGCTAATATAAATGATGAGTATCTGGTGCTTGATAACACATCCATTCACAAGGATAGCCTTGTTATCATGATCATCATAAAAAGAGCTCAATTGTCATAATACAGTAATAAGAAAGCTTAAAGCCTAACTATTTAAAAGGCATAAACCGCCAAGAATATTTTGTACAATTGAAAAGAAAGCGTTCTGCAACAAAGCTAAAAGGGAACATCTTGTAAAATTGTAAGAAAAAAAAAACATCTAGATTGTGTGTATGTGTCTAAAAATAAAAATAAAACTGCTGTATAAAATGACATTTTTTATATTATTGATAGCTTAACTACTCTTATTCTTTTAGAGAATATATAAACATTATGCTCTTTCGTGTAACTGCATTTAACTAGTTTTGGCTTAATTATTTTACAAGAATACTCAGCAGATTCACATGAATATATTTATGTAAAAAAGTAAACAAACTTCTTTTTTCTTACTTTCTTGCTTACTTTCAAAGAAGACAGTAATGCTTTACTACAATCAAATAAAAGGCAAAAATTATCTCTAAAGTATTAAAAAGAAAAGAGAAAAAAAAAAGACAAGGGAAAGGCAGGAGAGAAGATTTATCGCAAAGTAAAGTAAAAACAAAAAAAAATACGCTAAAATTAAACTTTAATAACTTCTCCTTCTTTTCGTTTATTTTTTTTTCTCCTGAATTTTACTATAAAAAAAAAGCACATTTTTCGTTTTTTTTTTCCCTTTTTTTCTTCTTTTTTCTTTAGCTTTTTTTTTTTCCTATTCTTCTTTATTTTTACTTGAAACCGTAGATAGACACTGTCAGGGTTATGAAGTGTGCTCAAGTCACATAGCTTGGCTTACTTGAGTTTGTAGAACTGTCCGTTTATAACATGGCTAAAGGAGAGGGCCTAGACTCTCTTTTGGTTACTACATGCATATCCGCCTTCACCTTGGGTTATTGCAACCTTAGATAATTGATGGGACCTTATCGAATTTTGACTGCTCAAGTTTGATTTATTTCCAAAGGAGGAGGGAAATAAAAAGGATACTTGGGGTTGGAAATTGTAAACCTGTTCCTTTTTTAGGGAGATTAGCGTACTCTTTGTCTGCACCATTGAAAGGGCTTATCTCAAGGTTTAGTTTTTCTGTTTTTCTTTTTGGAGGTTTTTCCTTCTTTTTATTTTTATCTAGTTGCTGCTTATAAAATAAAAATAGATAAGGATGCACAGCTTACGTTTCTGACCGTGGTTTTTTCATCTATTTATTTAGTTGAAGAATCCCAACTTGTATTTACTGTTAAGTCAAAAGTAGATGCTAGGGGTCAAAGAAGGGACATTCTCAGGTAAACAATAGTCAGGTCGTGCACTTCATGTATCTGGATTCCTTCCACTTCGCCACGCTACAGGTCAGAATGTTTAGCCCGGCTTCCAGTGAAACTTACATCCAACTGTATTTTTTATTGGGTTATGGGGTGAGGAATCCTATCTTTTTCTTCTAGCAAGGCTTGGGCCAGGTTGGACTTTGCCAAGTGTCTACTAGTTGAAATTGGACGTTTATCTTTCAAGTAGAAATTTAGAAGGAGAAGAAAAAATTACAGCCTGTATCAATTTGTATGGGTTGTAATATTATTTTTGGGATTAGATATGCTTTCACCTTCTCGTGGTTAATCCTGTTAGTATCAAGTCTCTTTTAAAGAGATTTGAGAACTAAGAAAAGCATCTTTTTTTATAATATTAATAAAAATGAAAAATAATTTAATAAAAATCGTTTTATAATAAAGCTGCTTCTCTAATAATATTTAATAATTTAGCGTATAATTTTTTTATAACAATAGTGATGAAAGACTATAACAGCACAGTGTATAAATATTAAAAAGTTCTGTACGGTTAAATAAGTTCAGCATCACTAGAATGTAAATTGCCAAAATAAGACTAAAACTAGTCAACATTCATAATGCGCATTCATAATCTGATTGCTGTACAAAAGACTGTTCATCTTCAGGGTATAGCTTGAAGTTGTTTCAAGCCTTGCTTTCATAAATACTCATTATTCTATCTGGAAACAAACTAACTTTGGTTTTCCAACTAGTGATTTGTTTTTTCAACACAATTTTTTTCAACACAATTTTCTTTGGGTATTGATTATTGAGTAGTTATACATGTAAAGACTGAAGGTGATTATTGAGTTGAGATTGAGATGCTAAATTTTTCGAATTGTTCAGCTAACTTCCCCCACTACATCACCCACAGCAAGCTGGGGGGGATCATCGTACACTAGATTCCTCAAAAAGTCGTTGTGATCGTCGGTGAAAGAAGACGAAGGACTAGAACTTATAGAAGACTTTTTTTTTGTAAGGCACTTCTTCCGTTTCTCTGTACATTTTCCATCATCTTTGAGCCACATACGGTTCGATCCCCAGTCCTCTTGCGAGCCGGGTAAGCTAGACCTCTTTCCTGAGCACTTTCAATCAATCATTCTGTCTCGTTGCCTGTCACGGTACTTTCTATATTCTTTCTTTGCCGACTTAATTAGCATTACTTTAGCTATCTTTTCTACAGCAATCCTCTCAGGCAGTTTTAGTTTTCTCCAAGTGCTTTGATGGGTTAATCTTTCAAGAACCATATTAGGATTGGTTATCTCAGTTAGAACACTCTCCATTGGATCATAAACTTTCATACCCTTCTCGTCGTACAGGTTATCACGCCCATTTTCGTAATAAAAAGATCTCTCCATGACTCAAACCAAAAACAAAAAATGTATTAAAAAAAAGAAAAGCTCAAGAAGAGGAAAACACTACGACAATTTAAGTTAATCTGATGCGACAATATGCTTTTCCTAAAACAACAATCAACAAAAATAAAAACGACAAATTCAAATTTCTTTTGCAACAATTGTTTCTCAAATGCTGACAAATATTTTCTAATTGGCGACAATATCCATCGTACTAGCTGTATATTGGAAATAAAGCGTGGTTTGGAAAGCCTAGTACTACACTTTCAGTCTTCACTACAGTAACATTTTGTGTCAAGAAAATCAGAGCGCTGATTGGATGATTTTATCGACAATGTTGCCGCAAATTTATTTTGTTTCATTTTACCAACGAAAATGACTGATATTCATAGAAACAAACTTTTTTTTTTTTAGGTCCATACTGTTTTAAATGCAAAAGATAAGAAAAGAGAAAACAGAAAAGACAAGTCCATGAAAACTCTGTATAGTTTATTAAGAGAAAAATTAATACAAAAATTGTACCAAGAAAAAATAATATGAAAAAATGACAAAGGCTATTTATATGTTTTGACAAGGTAAGTGATATTAATAGAAGTATGATTTGGATAAGTGAATACTGCTATAATAAAGTATTACACATAAACATTGTCTCCGAACAATTCTGCTTGTAATAAGATATATTTTTATCTTTAATCTCCCTGAGCTGTCGCTGCTACTAATCATTACTTCTGGGGTAAGCAACGCGTTAATATTAATTCAAGTGAATATTCCCGCTATAACAATACATGCTACTATTATCATTATCATCCTCTAAGATGTTATTACATAACAATATTCAACATTATAGATGTATATAGAATATGCATGACTTATATAAGTGATTATGTAATTGCATATAAAAGCCATAACCCTATTGAATCCTTATTATTACATAATACAATGGACATAATTATTTTTAATGCTCGTATACTCTAACACTGACTGTTATTAAAACTGAATGTTGGAGAATGAATGCTATGCTGTAAAGTACAATATACTAGTCTTATTTGAATAACCTCTTTATTATGGCTTATTTCTATTAACTTAGTTGTAAAGACGACTATAATCATAACAAACACCATCAGATAAACTGCTTTTGTAAGTTTCGATTTCATCATTAGTATCATCTCTTTCTATAACTTCAGCGTTTTTTTTCCATCAAATCAGTGGTAATGACTATTTACTTAACAAGAGTGAGAAGTTCTTCTAACAACTCAAACAAATTGCTTTTCGTTAAGTTTGTTGAGTTGCTCATAAGCATGTGTTATTTCATTGTTTACTTTTGCTTCGGGCAATTTTTTTCTTATTTCAGCTGTTTGTTTTACGGACTCATCATTGCCCTCCACAACTATCTTTTTTTTCCTTACTACTATAAACCAAGTTAGCATTTCTTCTTAGAGTTACCTGCTTCTTTCGACCCTCTTATCTATATCGTATTCCTCCAGCTTTCGTCATTACTTTTGATGATCATTCTGTTATATCCCTTCAAATACACTACGTTAAAGAAAAGCATACTTGTAATTGTATCTTTAAATCCTTCGTTGTTAAAATCGTTATGGAGTTTCGTCTTTATCGTGTGGGTGCTTACTTAATCTATCATGATAAAACACTTCAACTTTAGAGTTATATATCATTTCATCAACTCTTTACATCCATATTTATCTCTGAGTGTTTGAATTTATTGTTTGTTCTCTCTATCTACAGTGGAGCAAAAAGCCTTGATCTGATAAATTGCTTCACCTCTAGTTCTTTGGGCTGGTCTCACTCAGGAAGATATTGAGACTATGAGTAACTGGGCATCATCAGCCACTTTCAAAAACTTCTATTGTATCGAGCATCTGTCTCTCTTTAACTTTACTACATGCACTCTAATGACTGCAAATTCCGATGACTAAAATGGGGGAGTTTTTTTTTTTATAATAATTTAGATACTTTATCTTAAGCGATATCATCTTTATGAGCATGTACAAACTCTCTAGATAAGTAATCATATTTCTTATTTCATAATCAAATGCCTTAATTAATTCTTATAAACCCCACTTTGCCATTTGAACTGCTTATTTATACATGATAATATAGAATAAGAAATATGATTTCTCTTTCCTTTCACTCTATTCTCCGCATTGGAAATCAATTATATATGCGTATAAAAATAGGCTTATTGAAGTAAATAAATAATAATAATAACAATAATAATAATAATAAAAAAAAAAATCGCTGACATTCAATAAAAAGAAGAGGATTAAGCAATCATATTCTCATGTCTTAAGAAATGAGTAAAATTTTCTAAATAGACGACAATTTTTCCCCGACAGACTGTATTTGTATTTACGCATACATTAACATATTTTTGCTTTATTTTACTTATTTATTTTCAAATTATTATTTTGTCAATTCAACTATACACAAAAACAAAATATATAATAATGGCTTCATTAACACCTACATATAATACAGCCTTTCCTGAATTACATTCTACAGGTCATTTACAAACTAGACCACCAAATCAACATAGGCGTTCATCTGGTAGCCATAACTCCATCCAACGTTCTTTAATTCCGCCTAGATTCCCCAGTTATTTAAAGCAAACACTTTATGGAAAACTAATCAAAGAACAATACGAATATTATCAAACCAAGCATGATGTTAAATCTTTGATGAATAACAATACCCATTTCTCGTCAACAAATAATCACAAATCTATTATAACACGTTCAGAAGAAGAGCAATGGAGTGAACTCGACTTACTTTTGCCTACTTGCTGGAATCCAAAAGACAAGTCAAAGAATATAGAAGTGGGTAGTAATGGGTTGGATTTAACATATATTGGTAGGGTTTTCTTTTTATGTATTTTTTAAAAGAATTTTCTATTCTATTTTTTTTTTTTTTTTTTTTTTTTTTTTTTTTTTTTTTTTGCATAAAATAACATGAAAGTATATGTATATTAGGTCCTGGAAAACAAGAAACACATGCTGCATTAGCTAGGGCTAATTTTCCTATGAGGCCTCAATGTGGATTATTTTACTTTGAGATGAGAGTTATTTCAAAAGGTGATGATGGATATATAGGAATTGGATTTTGTGCTGCGACCAATAAACTTGAAAGGCTCCCAGGTAAGCTAGCTTATCAAACTAACATATAAAAAAAAATACTAAAATGTATACATAAAGGATGGGATCCTGATTCTTGGGGTTATCATGGAGATGATGGACATTCATTCGCAGGTTCCGGTTCTGGTAAAGTTTATGGGCCATGCTTTACAACAGGAGATGTAATTGGATGTGGTGTTAATTTTGCTGATAATTCAGCTTTTTATACAAAAAATGGTAAATTCCTCGGTAATGCATTTACAAAGATAAATTTGAATAAACCAATGTTTCCTGCCGTTGGTTTACGCACTCCTGGTGAACAAGTGACAGTTAATTTTGGACATGAAAAATTCGTATTTGATATAGAACAATATATCAGAGTAAAATAAGATTTTATCTTGGCTTTTTTTTTTTTTTTTTTTTTTGAAAGAAGAATGACAATATTGACTTGTATTTTTTCTTTCTTTGGACTTTATTTATTTATTTATTTTTATTAGGATCAGCAATTGAAGTTTATCAATGAAATAACTACAAAAAGTGATAATATAATTGATACAACAAAAATTGAAATAAAAACATATTCTAAAGAAGTCATGGATCAGTTGATTTTATCCTATTTAATCCATCATGGTTATACTGGTACTGCAAAAGCAGTTGTACAGAACGTCGGTCATGTTTCTGGTCAGGAGCTCTTTTTATCCTCTGACAATAAAGAGATATCAAAAGAAAGTGAAAAAGATATGGAAGAAAGACAATGTAATGATACTATAGTATAGTATAGTATATTACTAATATGTAACTTATGTTCTATTATAGTGATTCGTTCAGCTATTATACATGGTAATATTGATGAGGCAATCGAACTGATCAATAAATATTTTCCTGGTGTCTTACAAGAAGAAGGACGTGGACAGGAATTACAACTTGCATTAAAATGCGGCAAATTCATTGAAATGATGCGTGAATATTGTGAATGTAGTAAGACAAGAAGGTTAAAAACTAATTCAGTACTGTTGGGGTCTGAGTCAAGATCATCAATAAATGATAACTCATCATTAGACATAGATAAGCAAACATACTCTAAACCTATTACCATTAATAATCATCCTATCCCTTCCAATTCGGCTTCTTCAAGTAATGGAAAACGTCGTTTAAGTTATGCCGCCATTGCTGCATCATTATCACCTTCAAATAGTACAGAGACGCCCCAAAATCGTACAAATGGTGATATGATGGAAGTGGATGGTAATGAATCTAACAATAAGAATAATAATGAAACTATATCATCATTAACTGAATCTATGAATGGTCATATATGGACAAGAAGATCAAGCATAACAAATAATAATACTATATTCAAGGAAGATTCTTCTTTAGCAAATGATAATACTAGTAATAGTAATCATACTGCAAACTCATTAAGACTTGTTATGCGTTATGGACAAAAATTACAAGAAGAATATCGCCACGATACTCGGGAAAAAACAAGATCTAGTCTCGTGGTAAAAAAAAAAAAAAAAAAACATCATAAAAGGAAGTTTATTTATTTATTTAAATCTATAAAATAGGAAATATTTTCATTATTAGCTTACCCTGATCCCTATTGTAGTCCAGTAGCTTATTTGATGAATATTTCAAGACGAGATTCTTTAGCTACAGAAGTAAATGCTGCTATCTTGGGTAATATATATATATATAGTGAACATATTTATTGATGTCTTTTAATTTACATAAGTCTAATTCTATATATATAGCTTTTCAACATCGACCTGAGATGCCTGCTTTGGAACGTATTTATAGACAGATTATACTTTCTAATAAGGAACTTGCATGTGAAGGTGATGGAAAGGCTGCACTGGTTAATATGGATGATTATTGTAAAAATGATATTGGGAAAAACGGGGAATATTATAATAGTCAGAATACCATATAGAAGATTTATTATAATAATAACATAGAGCGATTTCTATCTATCATAAATAAAATAAAATAATTGAATAGAAAAGAATAAGATGATGTATGCTTATATTATTACTCATACTCTCAAACTTTGTCACTCTTTAATATAAGGCCAGTCCTTTTTTATAGGGTGTCCTTTTACAAGACAAACTTTGAATTTTATTTGAATAAATAGCTACTTCAAATTCCTTATAGTAGTGGTAATATAGGAAGATAGAAAAATGAAAGAGCTTTATAGATTATGGCCTTTTTTTTTCTTTTCTCTCTTCCCACAAGTCTCTTATTCATTAGTCATCGAAAAAGGCTCATTGCTTCCCAATTTACACACTATAAACTCTGAAAATGATACAGTGAAAGTACTTTCTTCAATCAAAACTGGCTAGAAAATCATTTAAATCCAATTTTCGTTTTTAACAATGACTTTTCTACTATTCATTATTCCTTCTAATTGTCGCTGCTGAGTCGAGGCCTTTCTGTTGTTTGTCATGGATAATGATGGTGCAGAATTGTATTTAACTTCATCTCTTGCAAAACATAGTAAATAGTGTCTGTTTTCACTTTTTGCTATTTGCTGTTGAGTTGGCTTGATTTGTCTCTGCCACTGTTTACTATCACCATCAGCAAAATCAACTACTGTAATTTCTTTGATAAACTCATGCAGTTTTGGATTCTGCCTTATCTTTGTTTGATAACAAGCAACTTTATTTTCCCTTAAACTACTGATCCTTTTAAATCCTTTTATAGATAAATAATGACAAGCAACTTCTTGTATAACATTTGTATAAGATAGATCAATAAATAGAAGATTCGTAACCTTTGGTATATACTTTAAACTTTTATCGGTTATTAGCGGTAGACGGGTTAAATAAATCTCTTCTAAAAATGGTAATCCAATGAAGGTATCCTTATTGATGATATTATGAGTAGCCATATTAGCAATATGTATCATAGTATGATCTGTAATGTCTACATTGTCGGTTAAATCCAATATTTTTAGATTAATAAAGGCACGTAAAAGAGGAATATGTGTGTCCTGAATATGACAGTTGCTCAGATTGAGACATGTAATAAATTTAGGAAAGCAATCAGATACTGTTTTGAGGGAAGCTATAGCAGATATGGTGAAAGCTTGTGATAGATTCAAATAGGTCCAGTCAAGATCTGCTTTCCTCAATTCTTGGGCATGAGATTGTGAAATAATAGATAGAATAGATGAATTTAATGGAATTTTAGATTTAAATAAAAAATCTAAAAGACTTTCTACTACTGGGCTGAATGGAATACCTTCAAGTGAAGATATGTCTTTTGTATGATTTTTAATATAATTGAAGCATATTGTATATAGAGTTGAGACAGACATTTCAAAAAAAAAAAAAGAAAAGTTTGAATTTGTTCTATTGAATTAATGTCGCGAATTAAAATTCTAACTGTATTTTATGATATAAAATAACTATGTTCAATTTTGCAAGCAAAGTTCCTCCTTCGCTCACTGGAACTATCTAAAGATACTTTATTACAACGTCTATTGATACATATCTAGACTTCTATCGGCCGTTCCCATTGGTATAAACTTACAGAGTACCTCCTCTGGCACTTCTGTATTCCAGTATTAAATACTTTAGATCGTTGAACTCTCAAGTAGTTTCATCAACAATTCTTACAAAACAGCTTTGCTCGTCTTTGTAGCATTATCAATTCCGAATCGATTTCAGTTTACTGCCCTTCTTTGGAGTCTTGGTTATCTTCCTGGTGATATTCATCAGTCGTGTTGTTATTATCCAAATGATAACTTTACCCGTAAATGCTCCATCAAGTGTCTCTATATACCATTTATTCATCATTGCTGATCTGCCTTCTTTTTTCCTTGACCAGTCTCTCATAAAGAAAATAAAATTCCTGCAATTAGTTTATTAGTCCAACGATTTGTATCATTTTACATGAAATAAATTATCTTTTTTTGTCAAGCACTTCATATTATAACCTCTACTAACTCTACAATTCTAAGTATTTACTTCAAATTAGATCCTAATCAAAGTTCTTTTAAAAAAAACCATCAACGGCAGTACTACCTTCATACTTTCAAGTGAAAATCACTTAATAGCTTTTACAGCAAACAAAAAGAAAATTAGCTGTCCTCACTGCAATAAAATAATCTCCACTTTATAGATACGGGTCTCTTCCTCAACGCGATTCAAATGGTTCCCTTGTACTAAACAAATGCATGCTTACAAACTGCACACTACTCTCTGTAATACAATGAATACTAATCCCCCTTCCACCCTTCTTATTAATGAACTCCATATCCTTCTCAAAACTGAATAATAACACTTAATTAACTACTTTTTCTTTCTCTCTAAAAAAAAATGCCCTTAACTTATCGACACCTGGTAAGAGATCCAAAATTTGAAAAAGTTTACTCCAAGGTCAGAATGCTCAGTATAACTTGGTTTTAATCACCAACCCCCCATTCCATGTACCCCTACCACCGCATAACCTACACTCTTCTCAAGTGAGGATTTCACCTCTCCTCCTTGACGTGACCCCGTCAAAATCATACATATTAAAAATTCCCTCCCTCGTAATAACCATAAGCATCGAGTTTACAAAGCGGAATCGACTACATACTTCTTCCAGTCACTCCCCCTCCCCCCTCCGTCAAAAACGTATTCGCAATATCTTTTTTTTTAAAAGAAAAATGGAAACATCTTACCCCTATCTTGAAAAAGTTTTCATAAAACCCGTATCTGTAATAAAATTAATCTTACTCCACCTCCACCTCTTCTTATGCAGATAGAATAGTTTCTTTTCTTTTTTCTATTCATATTTGAAATTACTCTTTCTTCCTCCTTTCGCTTTTCTTTTTCTATCTCTTTATAGTATTTTTTAGTCTCTTTTCTTTTATTTTTTGAGCTGGTCCGGATAATACAGTAAAATTTATTATTATGCATTCATTTAGGTCGTTTTACTTTATTTTATTAACTAAATCATGAAAAAAATAAATAAATAAATAAATAAAATAATAATTCCGCTGGTGTTCGGGCCGAACTATTACTTCAATTCCGCGTTTTTTTTTTTTTTTTTCTCTCTGTGTAGTAGGGACGGGAGTAACAATTGTGTATGTGTGCGTGAATTAGATGATGTGAGAGTGCGACAATAATCAAAAGCAGATTTCCTCCACACAGAGGTTTTGTTTCCTTCTCTCAACCTAAAGGTAAAGAAAAAAACAAGAATCCATCCATTTTATATAACATCAAATTGAATACTAAACCATTCATTATTTTTTTTGATTGATAGTACCGAAAATGGAAGCTGTACAGACATTCGGCCGTAAGGTGAGTTCAACAATTCCAAATTAGCAATGATGGACAAAAAAAAAAAAAAATCAGCAATTTTTGAAATGAATTTAAATGGAACGAAAAAAAATAAAATAAAATAAATACTAAACTCGACATTTTGCATTACTTGTAGAAAACCGCCACTGCTGTTGCTCACTGCAAGCGTGGACGTGGTCTCATTCGCATCAATGGTTCTCCTCTCGAACTCCTCGAACCTGAGATTTTGAAGTTCAAGGTTTATGAAGTTATCCTTCTTTTGGGTGAAGAACGTTTCGCTGGTGCTGATATTAGAATTCGTGTCAATGGTGGTGGTAAGTAACAGAGATGCATGATGATAATTTTTGATGATCTTTCAATTAAATCGACTACTTTCTATAGGTCACACTTCTCAAGTCTATGCTATTCGTCAAGCTCTTGCCAAGGCCATTGTCGCTTTCTACCAAAAGTTCGTCGATGAGGCTGCTAAGAAGGAAATCAAGGAAATCCTTGTTCAATACGATCGTACCCTTCTCGTTGCCGATCCCCGTCGTTGTGAACCCAAGAAGGTAATGCACATAAACTGATCAATTGAAGTACCTTTGAATTATACTTACATTTTATTTTATTTTTTTAATATAGTTCGGTGGTCCAGGTGCTCGTGCCCGTTACCAAAAGTCTTACCGTTAAGCAATATATTTCTTCATTATTGGAGAACGCATATATGTGTTTTGGTAGATTTTTTTCGTTTCTAATAATAAAATAACCGCATTTTTTTTTAAAAAAAATATATATGTGTATACATGTATATGTGTTTACATATTCTGAAAGAAAGAGATTAAGATGGAAATGATAGTTATTGGAAAAGGTTCACTACAATGCATGTAGAGTATATTTAGAATTTATTGACCAAGTGGTTATATGATAAATAATGCTCAGAAACTGTTATTATTGCCTATTGAGGTGTAAAATAGTATTTAATTCTTTAATATTATTTACTAACATGTCTATTAAGTTTAACAAGAAGATCTCTTGAATATTAATTTTTATATTTAGTAATAGCAGCACGATGTTAATTTGACAACGAAAGACTTTCTTTGTTTTTTTATTTACGTAATATTCCCCCAATAAAAATTTGCTCTTTTTAAATCGAGGACATTAAAATGAAATTAACTATTTGTACAGTCAATTGAAGATGTCAATTACAATTACATCTTATTCTGCTTGAATATATCCAAAATGTATTCAATACAATTTATACATCTTCTAAAGAGCGGCGGTTTTCTTTATGGTTGCGCTGATGAAGGGTAATTTTTTTTAAAATTCCTTTATTACAAGCGGTGGGCATATAAGGACGTGTTTTTTGTTCTTTTCGATTCTTTGTATTTAATACCACCAATAGAAAAAAAGATTTTTTTTTCACCAATAAATAAACCTAAATAAATAAATTTTTATTATCTTTTTTTTTTTTTTTTTCAAAGTATTTTATTTTTTTTTTTTAAATAAAACATGACTACTGTAAGTGATATTATACTGTTTGGGCAACAATAGACAAAAAGAAGAAAGAATAAAAAAAAAAAATGAGAGGAGAGAGAAATACATTTTGTTATTTTTTTTTTTAAAAAAAAAGAAATCTACCTTTACTTTCTCTTCAATTTAACTTTCATCTTTTTTTTTTTTTTTTTTTTTTTTTTTTTTTTTTTTTTGTCGAGATGTCCCTAAATGTTAAGAAAATAATAGAATTTATTCACTCCTGTTTTATTTTGTATTAAATAGGAACGCGAAAATAATGTTTATATGGCTAAGCTTGCCGAGCAAGCCGAGCGTTATGACGGTAAGCACTTTTTTTTTGTTATATTGTGAATATATGTTTTAATTAAATACGTGTCATTTAAAAAAAAAAAAAAGAAATGGTTCAATTCACCAAGGACGTTGCTAAGGTATAATAAACATATTATATATAAATATTAGATTTATGTAAACTTATTATATATTTATTTTATTTTATTTTTAGATGGGTAATGAATTGACTGTTGAAGAACGTAACCTTTTGTCCGTTGCTTATAAGAATGTTATTGGTGCTCGTCGTGCCTCATGGAGAATTGTTTCTTCTATTGAGCAAAAGGAAGAAAGCAAGGGTAACACCGCTCAAGTTGAAAAGATCAAAGCTTATCGTCAAAAGATCGAAAGTGAACTTCAAGAAGTTTGTTCAGATATTTTGAACGTATTATCCGAAGATTTAATCCCTAATGCTCAAGGTGGTGAATCCAAGGTCTTTTATTTCAAGATGAAGGGTGACTACCATCGTTATCTTGCCGAATTCCTTATTGGTGATGCTCGTAAGAGTGCTGCCACCGAAGCACATGATGCTTACAAGAAGGCTACTGATATTGCCCAAACTGAATTGGCTCCTACTCATCCTATTCGTCTTGGTCTTGCTCTTAACTTCTCTGTCTTCTATTACGAAATCCTTAACTCTCCTGATCGTGCTTGTCATCTTGCTAAGCAAGCATTCGATGATGCTATTGCTGAACTTGATACCCTCTCCGAAGAATCTTACAAGGATTCTACTCTTATCATGCAATTGTTAAGAGACAACTTGACCTTGTGGACTTCTGACTTGCAGGACGGTAAATAAGAAATATAGTGATTTTAGTGATTTTTGGATTAAATTAATATACTAATATTTATTTTTTTTTTATTTTTTATTTTTTTTAGAAACTGATAAGGCCGAAAGCAAGCCCGAGGATGTTGAGGAAGCAAAATAGATATATTAAGAATATAATATTAACGAAATAAAGGATTATTTTATAAGATCGTATAGTGCTTTCATAAAAATAATTTTATTATAGATGTATAATAAAACTAAACTGTATCATATAGCCTATTCACGTATGAAGAAGTTATTATATATTTATATAAATATTATATTTCTGTGTCGTATTTTTTTTTTCGCATTTAATTGTCAAAGTCTTTATTTTATTTTATTTTTTATTTTATTTTTTACTTTATTTTTTTTTTTTTTTTACCATGAATCAAGATGTTCAGATTTTTAATGATAATCAAGAATGCTTAAACAATCAATATCTGACTGCTGAAATGACAAATAAACTACCAATAAAAGAGGAACTTGAGACATTAAATGGTAACGTCAATGAGGGTCCAGCAGCAAATGTTCCTAATTTATCTTCTCTTCATTCTTCGACTGAAGATCGAAAAAAAGAAACACTTAATTGGGCTCATCCACGTTTTGCAATGTGTCAATTTCAACTTTATGAAACTAAAACTGTAATTGATAACTAAAATACATATTTATATATATATAAATATATGTATTTGAAAAAGAGGAGAGAGATAAAGAGGGGTATTATGCATATATAATAACTTTTTGTGTATGATATAGAGATATTATCTTGTTGGCACAAATGAATCGAAACAACGATATCGCGTCCTTCAAATTCATCGTACAAACCCTACAGAGCTTGTTGTAATTGAAGACGATGTGCTCTACACAGAACAAGAGATGACACGTCTTCTTAAAATGATTGAAGATGGTAATTTAAGTGTAGGAGGACTTCAGTTATCACCAATGCGTATTTATGGTATCGTTGGCTTCGTACGATTCACTCAGGGCTGGTACATGATTTTTATAACCAAGCGCCGACGAGTAGCTATCTTGGGTGGACATTACATATACCATATCGATGAAACAAGGTTAGTCCCCATTAATCCTGGAGAGACAGCAGCAACGAAGATCAAGATTGATAAAAATTCAGATGAAGCACGTTATGTAGCCACATTTCAAAATATTGATCTGGCCAAGAATTTCTATTTTTCATATACATATGATATTACTAACTCACTTCAAAATAATATGACACAACCACCATTAACAACAACTAATAAAAATGATGATACTCCCGGATTATTACATAATGACATGTTTGTTTGGAATCATTATTTATTAAGTTCTGGATTTAAGAATTTAAATAGTCGTTCAGGATGGATTTTACCTTTAATATATGGATTTATAGATCAAGCAAGTAAAGTACTAAATAGTATTTGCTTTAATAGTAGCTTCATTTAATTTCTTTTTTTTTTCCCGAATTATTTTATCATTAATAGAAATCTCAGTATTTGGCAGAAGTATTGTAGTTACACTGATTGCTAGGAGATCTCGTTATTTTGCTGGAGCTCGATTTCTTAAACGTGGTGTAAATGATAAGGTATACTTTATTGGTCTATGTAATATAATAATTTGAATTCATAATTCATAATTGAAAAAAAAAAAGGGGTTCGTTGCAAATGATGTAGAAACAGAGCAAATTGTTGCAGATATGGCAACAACTTCATTCCATTCAACAGATTATCTTTATGGGAACCCACGATATACATCATATGTACAGCATAGAGGCTCTATTCCACTCATTTGGTCTCAGGATACCACTAATATGTCACCCAAACCACCTATTGAATGTAGATATACAAAATATGTATATATATATATATATGTATGTGTGTGTGTGGATGGTATGAACTAATGTTTTCTTTTGAATAGTAAATGTTGTGGATCCCTTTTTTTCAGCAGCAGCGCTTCATTTTGAAAACTTATTTCAACGATACGGTACACCTTGCATTGTTTTAAATTTAATTAAACAAAAGGAAAAAACAAAAAGAGAATCCATATTAGGAAAGGAGTTTGAGGAAGCAATATCTTATTTAAATCAATTCTTACCAGAAGACAAAAAGATTAAATACATTGCTTGGGATATGTCAAGAGCTTTTAAAAGGTATAAACGTTAAACCCAGCAGCGTAAAAATAATAATAATAATATGTTCCTCTATATATATATATTCAAACAAGTCATGATCAAGACGTAATTGGCTATTTAGAGAAGATTGCAGAGGAAACAATGGATGCTACAGGATTCTTTCATAGTGGAATTCAATCAGATAAAATCAAATTAAGACAGTCAAGACAGCATGGTGTGTTAAGAACAAATTGCATTGACTGTCTTGATCGTACAAATGCAGCTCAGTTTTTAATGGGAAAATGTGCTTTAGGGCATCAGCTATATGCATTAGGAGTGATTGCGTCGCCTAAAATTGATTTTGATTCAGATGCAGTTAATATCTTTACAGAAATGTACCATGATCATGGAGATACAATTGCTTTACAGTATGGTGGGTCACATCTTGTGAATACTATGGAGACATATCGAAAAATTAATCAATGGACAAGTCATCCTCGAGATATGATTGAATCTATACGACGTTTCTATGCCAATGCTTTTTCAGGTAAGGATTCCTTATTGTGACATGCATATATATATATATATATATGTAAATGGTAACTAATAATATATATTTGTATATAGATGCTGATAAACAAGATGCTATTAATTTGTTTCTGGGTAACTTTGTTACTCGAGATGGACAACCTATGCTTTGGGAACTAAGCTCTGATTATCACTTGCATAATCAACATCCGTTAGAAAAGGCAGAGCGTAGAGAGTATGTAAAAATATATAAATATATGTATTATATTTTATGTATATTTAGACTTACTTTATTTTAGTTATCGCTATTGGTATAAAAAAGAAGTGTTAGAGGACAAGATAGATGATAATCAAGATTTAGATTTATTCAAGATACCTAAACAGTTTCAAGTACCTGCTTATAACCCAGATGCTAGTGATTTATATCAAGGCTATTGGGTTGAATATTATAATCATGAACACTATACAAGTTTAGATAGTCTCTTTACATTTAATATGAATGGAACACTTAAATATAGACCAGTTAAAATATCTGCTCATTCAAAAGAAATAAGAGAGTAAATACATTATACACACATACATATATATATTTATATACATTGATAGACAATTTATTTTAATTATTTGTTTCAAGGTTAACTAAAGCAGAAGCATTGGATATGAGCCCATTTACTGTTAGGGCCATGATAAAGACTACTGCGGCAATTAATAATAATACAGCCACAACTACAATATTATCATTTAATAAAGAAGATAAAAATGAAGAAAAAGCAGATAAAAAGAGCAATATAACCAATGGTAATGAAATATTACCTTCACGGACTATTGAAAGCATCACGCAACGTAACTTGGATCCAAATATAACTCCTGCAGAATATAAAGAATACAAAAGGTTTTTTTTTTCCTTTTTTGATATTTTTATGATGGAGCTTAACAAACAGTTTTTCTATAGATACACTCAACAGTTTAAGAATATCGAGAAGCTTACTATACCAAATATAACGACACTTACGTCAGAAGAAGAGAAAAGCAATATAAATTTCCCTGAATTTCAGCAATATTTGAACCATGTTCATAAAAATGAATTAGATAAATATCCTAATGCTATTGAAACAATAAGTATTGATCGACAAGTATATGAAACTTACGTTATGGTGCCCAAAAGAGCCGCTTATTTAGCAATGCAGACAACTAGCAATAACAATAATAATAATAATAATAATTCTAAAGTTTATGCAAACTACTTGAGAAATTATTCTTCTTATTAAGTAAAATAAATACCTATTTTATTATATACATTAGCACGTATAGATACTAATTCCACATTATTCTCTTCTACAAAATATGTATACTATCTATGTATATTTACTGATTATTTACGAAAAAATTATATGGATAGATAACTTTATCAAGATTTTTAACCTTTATTATATGAGAATAAACTTTGCTTGTTTATAGTACATCATGATGGGATATGAATTGTTATGAATAGACGGCTAAAGAAAGCAATATTCATTACAGTAATAAGTCAAAATTCTTAACTAGTTTCGAGCATCTTATATGCTTGCTTATTCTCATTGTTTTAAGGAAAGGTATTAATTGAGAGCACTATTTTTTTTTATTAAAAGGGTACAAAGGACTATTGAATTTGCTATGCTTTGAGGATGTAGTACTCCTTATCTAATCGAATAATAGTAAGTATGATAGAATAAGTAATAGACTATATTTATAATAAGATGAATCAAATAACAAATGAGCTGTATATAAAAATCAATAATATCAAATTATTTTGAATGTAAACAACTTTAAAGCGTTATCCTAAACAGAAGATATAAGTCGTTTTATATATTTAACGAAATAAACTCTTAAACATAGGAAACATTTGCACGTCATATAAGAGAAAGCCTATAAAATTCTACATTCTTCTTTAATTCAAGCACTATTTATATACTCAATAGACGTTAGCTCATTCTTTTTGAAAATGATTTTATCGCTATCTTTCTTCTACTTTATAATGAATAAACAGCCTCAACATATACATATTGCTTCATATTTGTATAAGCTATATTGTAGCATTAAGCTCATCGTGCAATATACATATTCTATCTTTACGAATTCTTGGACACTATTTATTTATTATCAAGTTTAGCCAATAACTGGAGGAATATAAATAGTGTAGATCCTATAGAATTCATTTACTAAGAATTAAAAGTAACTAAATATGATTTGAGGAAGCATTTATTACTAATCATTAATAGTATCTCTTCTAAAATAGAGTCTTCATTAAGATGATATTATGTGATAATAACTATTATTGTTAAACGTATAACATTATCCTTTAACTCTGATTATAATAGACCAAATTATATGAAATTAATGACAATGGTGTAAAATTCACTGTTTAAAATAAGATATAGTATTATTTGTATATGTATGTAGCTATTCCAATTATAATCATTTCCGTTATATGCTTTATTATGCTGTAAAGTTAGTGAAATTTAGGATTTATGTGTAAATGCATATTTAATTATAATACTACCAATTATTTCCAAGTGGCTATTCTATCATAATTAGTGAAGAAAAGAATTATATCATTCATGTTATTAAAGCTAGTATGGATAATCGTAAAATTCGTTATTTTAAATGCTATAAGAAACAGTAGTTTAGAAGCCTTTGTTTATTATTACATTTTTATTCTTTCTCTGCCATTTTCTTCATCAGTACTATTAAAAGAAGAATATTGACTGAAAATTTAACCCAATGTCAAGAAAAGGCTTTTAAAATATAGGTCCCCAAACTTATTACAATTTATAGAAATATGTTGGAGGTAATCAAATTTCCTTTTAAAAATTTAATCTCAGATCGCCTTATAAGTCAAAAAAAAAACTGTTACAATAAAATTGACAAGGCTCATTATACTTCATACACAAATATTCTCTTTTATTAATATATAAAATGATATATGAACAGCTTGAATTGTAAGAACTAAACATTATAGAGTCTTTTTTTGTTTTATATGTTTATCTGATTATATCATGTTCACATGTAGATGCATAACTAATGAAACATACCACTTTACACCATTAATAGAACCAGCCAAAAAAGAATCGTCGACTATGATACATCAACTAGAAACACTAACAGTGTATAGGAATTCTGGTGAAATACAACTTAATGGTAAATATATATGCATATATAAATATATGTATTTATAAATTAAATTCATATACATTTGTCTTCATTTACTAATACTTAAAAATAAGCTCCACAAATACAAAACGCAAAGATAGAGAAAGAAATGATAGTTTATGGTATATTGGGATTCATAAGACTTCAAGCAGGTATTATCAATATAATATATACGATAAGAAAATTATTCTTTATTTTAACTTTGTAAATAGGGGAATATATGATTGTAATAACGAATTGTCATAGAATTGGTACACTTATGCATGGAGCAGATATATTACGTGCAACAGCTTTCCAAACTTTGCCTCTTTCACGACAAGATAATTATGGACTCACAAATGAGCAATTAGATGATGAGCAAAGATACATTCAATTAATAGAAAATCATTTGAAGCAAAATAATTTTTATTTTTCTTATAAATATCCTATTACTTTACCTATTCAAAAGCAACTGGAAATGGATAATAGTTGGAGACATGTAAGTTGGATAGTAAAGATGATACTATTTAACTTACCCTTATTTAATAGGCAGATACAAGATTTTATTGGAATAGATATTTAAATGAGAAATTAATAGCTGCAACTGTTAATTCAAAGATACAAAGAGATGTAAGTACTTGTATTTTTATATTATGTATATTTCACTATAAATACAAATATATTTTCAATTTATATAGTTTAGTTCTTTTATATTACCTGTCATACAAGGATGTAAGGAAGAAAGAGAGACATTTTATATATACATATATATGTATAAAGACTTGAATTTTTGATTTAATATGTCTATAGTTGTATCAATTATTCCTACTGTTATCAATAATAGAGCAGTAACTTTTGCTTTAATAAGTCGACGTAGTCAAGAGCGTGCTGGTACACGTTATTTTAGTCGTGGGTTAGATGAATTTGGTTTTGCTTCTAATTTTGTAGAAACAGAGCAACTTTTATTCTGTGATCCTTCAAAATCACTTGTGCAAACTAATTCTATTTGTGCTTCTTTTATTCAAACTCGTGGCAGTATACCAGCGATATGGGGTCAAATACCCAATACACGCTATACACCAAAATTATGGATGAATGCAGATCTAAATGATGATAAGGTTTTGAACACTTCTAGGTTACATTTTGATCAACAAATTAAGCATTATGGGCCACAAATACTTGTTAATCTTGTTAATTCAAAGGGGTATGAACTTCCTATAGGCCAACTATTTGCTACTATAGTACAGAAACTTGCTAATCCAAATTTAAAATATATTCATTTTGATTTTCATCGAGAATGTTGTAAAATGAGATGGAATCGAGTTCAATTACTAGTTGATCAGTTGGAACCCGATTTAAGGGAACAAGGATATTGTCTTTATAATTCAATGTCTGAACCCAAATTGAAAAGAAGACAAATATCAGTAGTACGTACAAATTGCATGGATTGTTTAGATAGAACAAATGTAGTTCAAAGCACATTGGGTAGATGGGTCCTAAATAGACAGTTACGTGAAATGGGTATTTTACAATCAACAGAAGTTATTGAAAATGATGAGCAGTTTATGCAAATATTCAAAATTGGTATGGTATAAAACAGAGATATAAATGATATACGGCTAAAATAGTAGGTATTCTATAGTTTGGGCTGATAATGCTGATGCCTTAAGTGTCCCATATTCTGGTACAGGCGCTTTAAAAACTGATTTTACAAGGACTGGTAAACGTACCCGGCTTGGGCTTCTACATGATTTTAATAATTCAGTTATGCGATACATAAAGAATAATTATTTAGATGGATCAAGACAAGACGGTATAGACTTAATACTTGGAAAATATAAAGTCATGACATCATCACATATAACAAGTCCTTTCAAATCAAATGGTTCATTTTGGATTATCAAATTAATTCCATTCTATTGTTTAGCATCACTTGCATTATTCTTTGCATTATTATTTTCACCGAATCAATATCTTTTTTACTTTTTTGGTGACTCATCATTAGCTTATATATCAATGCTTTCATTCTCCTTCACCGTCTTTCTTACTTGTTGGCTATTTATTCAACAAAATGGGACTAAATTTGTAGACTGGCCAAAGCTTTTACCTGAAGCATATAATAAGATGTTTAACAGCAATGAGCTTTTATTTAGTAATCATTATAATCAAAGCAGTAATATAGTAGGAACTATTCAGAGCAAAACAAATGATTTAGTTCACAAGTGGACTACAAGAAGAAATAGTACAGCTATTTTGAATCAAGTAGAGCAAGGATATGAATTAATGCCCCCTTTAAAAAAGACAACGTAACACAATAAATTTGCATGATTTTATAAGCTATAAATATCTATATGTTTTTTTTTTTCGCTGTGAACTTTTTTTTTTAACACAAAAGTAAAAGAAAATGCTTTTAATAAAACCAGGAATTCAAGCTCATCCAACAGAGCTTGTTTGGTATTTAACAACACACCAGTCCACTTATGTCATTGGTGTTGACATCAAGACAAAAACAGTTTTAAATCTTTATTGGGGTCCTCGTCTCTTGACATTAAACGATGTTGAGCTTCCCGTAAAACTTCCTCGAGAAAGAAGTTCACAGGACCCTGCTATAACTTCTGCTCCAGAAGAATTTCCGGTTTTTGGTGGTCTTCGTTATGGACCTGATGTTTTGAGAATCGAATTCGATAATGGTACACGTGAATTAGACCTTATATATACAGATGCCATCATTAATGATTCACAAGAACTCATCATCACTTTAAAAGACAAAGTTCATAAATCACTTGAAGTAAGACTTCATTATAAGTTAGATGTAAAAAACAACCTAATCCTTCGTCATACAGTGCTAGAGAACTTGGCCAAGATAACAGAAAATGAGTCTTTTAGGATTTCGAAGGCACAAACTGCAGCTTGGCATATTCCTCCTCCCCCGTTAGGTAGACAACGTGAATTGGTCACATTAGCAGGTGCTTGGTCAAGTGAGACGCAGGTTCAGAAACATTCAATTCAACCTGGAACATCGCATCTTCTTCAATCAACTCGTGGAATCCCATCAGCACAGGTATACCCTTATTTTGCCATCAGGGATCCAGATATAAATGAAACTTATTTTGGTACACTAGGTTGGAGTGGAAATTGGGAAATTGAGATACATACTGATATCGAGAATCAAACAACCATTACAGGTGGAATGCATGATCGTGACTTTGGCTTTATTTTATCACAAGATCATCCTAGTCTTGAGTTGCCTGTTTTCGTTGCTGGTTTTACTTCAGAGGGTCTATCAGGCGCACGTCTATCACTAACAAATCATATTCGAGATAGTAAAAATACCGATGGTAAGAAAAAAGTGGATTCGATCTTTGATGACGAATTAATTGCACCTGTGTTATATAACGGATAGGAGGCTTTTGGATTCCAAGTTGGATACGCAAATCAGAAAAAGATGGCGGAAAAAGCTGCTGCATTAGGAATAGAGCTGTTTGTTGTCGATGACGGCTGGTTTCATGGACGACACTCAGACAAAGCAGGATTAGGAGATTGGTTTGTAGATAAATTAAAGTTTCCGCTTGGTTTAAGACCATTAGCAGATCATGTTCACAACTTGGGAATGCAGTTTGGTCTTTGGTTTGAGCCTGAAATGGTAAATCCAAATTCTAATCTTTATCGAAAACATCCTGACTGGGTTTACTTTTATCCCGAACGAACACGACATGAAGCTAGGAACCAGCTTGTATTGAACATCTGTAAGCCAGAAGTGCAGCAATACCTTTTAGAGTCAATTGTAGCAATTGTGAATGAAGTAGGTGTAGATTATATTAAATGGGATATGAATCGACCTATATCTGAGGCAGGAGGATCTCCAGAACTGGGGAAAATAGTTTGGATTAATCATGTAAAATCATTTCATTACTTGATTGAGCAAGTAAAACTACGGTCCAATCACCCAATTAAGATAGAATCATGTTGTAGTGGTGGGGGTCGAGCTGATTTGTCAATTCTAAAGCGTGTACAATCTTGCTGGCCCAGTGATAATACTCGACCAGATGCACGACTTCTGATCCAACATGGAGCATCTTTAATTATGCCACCTAATATGATGAGCTGCTGGGTGACAGATTCCCCTAATGATGATCCTCATACCATCATTCCTATTCCCTATCGATTTCATGTCTCTTTCATGGGCGCTCTTGGCATTGGATCTAACCTTAATAAATTAAATACAGATGAATTTGAAACATATAGACGCTGGATTGTGCTGTATAAAAGCATTAGACATGTTTTACAAAAGGGCAATTTGGATTGGCTAGTAATACCAACTATGAACAATGTCTCTTGTTGCATTACTCAAACAACAACTCAAATGGGTGATGAATCAGTTATATTAGCATTTAGACAAACAAGCCCCTTTTGGTTTCCCTTGCGACCTATTCGATTACGTCGCTTGATTGCGATCGCCATGTATGATGTAAGAATTTGGAGTGATGATCCTCTCATTCCTGTATTTACAGGCATTATATCTGGAACAGCTTTAATGAACAGAGGTCTTTCATTGCCCTATTTAACTTCAAAAGCATATAGTAGTGTTGTTGTACATATAAAACAAAAACTATAAAATTAAAATTAAGAATATACATATATGTTTATTATTATATAGTATATATGAATCAAAGGGAATAAAGAATTGTATTTATAGATTCGGTTAGAAATATGTTTTTTTGTTATTAAAAGAACGGAAGGAGTAACAGTTTATTATTGTAAAAGGTGATTATTGTTTGATTTTTTTTTTCATTAAGATAAAACCTCTTTTTAACCTTCTAGGCTTGAAGGAGAAGGGAGTAAAGGTAATGTGATATTGTTTTTGTTTTGTTGTTGTAATAAAGGATAATAGTTTGAAGAAGTATCATTATCCTTTGTTGAATGATGATGAACTAATGCGCCTAATGCATTGTTATATGCGGTATGCTGGTTGCCATCATTAGTAGTAGTAGCAGTAGTAGACAATACATTATTGTAACTGATAATAGTAGAAGGTGATTTATTATTTTGAGGAGAAGAACCCGTTTCGGATACTGGGTTTTCTCGAACACTACTCTCGCTAAATAATAGAATGAGAATTAATGGTCTTATTTTTTTTTTTTCATGCTTTTATATGCTACAACTACCTCATAAAGTTATGATGATAGGGTAAAGTATTTTGATTTGATAGACGCTTATTATCTTGTTCATCATAATACAAAGGATGAAAATTATGATTAGTGTCCATAGGTATAGTAAGTTGATGTGTCAAATGAGCAGCAGTTGAATGATATGGTCCAAGAGAACCTCGTCTTCTAGAGTCTTCCATATGCGTAATAGTTTCAATCTTTGATTTTATATGTGGTTTATTGTTATTTTCAATTCCATTAGGCTCAAAATTAGCAAGTTTACGTGAATGTTCTATTGCTATAATTTAATAATATTTGCCCCGTCTTTTTTTTAGTACTTTTATGAAAATATATACATATCTATTTATATGTATATGTAATAAAAAATATTACCAAGATAAGCATCATCATAATTATGGTTAACTCTTGGCTGATAATAACCTTCATGACTTGAATATTGACCTAAAGCAAATCTTTTACGAGAATTTGGACCATTGAGAATTAAGTTACTAAATGATGATGAGGAAGACATAGTTGAGCTGGATGATGAAGGAGATAGGCTAGGCCTCTTCTTCTTATGGCCATTACGATTTTTCATAATCATAAACTGTTGATGTTCTGCATATTCAACTGATGGTTGAACTCTAAAGCTTTGCTTCAAGATCAACTCGGGTGCTATTTGAAGAGATGATAACTTGGGAATAGATGACGGTGTTACTAACTCTTTAACTATATCAAGGACATCAGATGTTGTATAATAATTAATTAGATGTTGTGTGGTTCCATTAATATGAATGCTAATGGTCTTTTTAATCAACCCATCCTTTTTAAATCTGTAGGTATCGGTTAAGGATCCTATCAAACAACGTTCTCTGCTATTAAGATTAGATTTTGAAATATGTTGACGATGATAACGATTTTGTTCTTTTAACATACTACTCAGAGCTTGTTCACTATGACTAGTACTAATGTTATTGATAGTATCTTCTTTTTCATTACATTGTAATTGATTTAGATTATTATTACTGCTGCTACTGATATTCTCTTCTCTATAAGCTGATGAACTGTATTTAGATAAAGTATAAGCAGAAGAAGAGCGTTGCTGACATTCATTATTGTTATTTGAACTATTATTTTGGCGTTTATTTCTTTGTTGGTGCAATGTTTCGCGACTTTCAAGCTCACGATATATTAAAAAGTTACCGAGAATTCGAGATGGGCTCCAAATGAATCCATCAGTCCATCTTCTAATACCTATATATATATATATATTTCCCGCGTAAGTTTATGTATATGCATTTACAATATGTATAATTTTTTTTGTTATACCTGATTCTCGTTCATCAAAAACATAAACAGCTCCAGATCGAATAGAATTTCTTTCACGATCTTGCAGTCTACGAGTCACTTTTGGTAGCATTCCTCTTTGGCAAGCTTCAAAGATTAATAAAGCATCAGTAGTAGTTTCAATAAAACCATGAAATGTTTCGTTTGCTGACATACTATTGTATATAAAATTAATAATAATAAAAAAAAAGTATAAGAAGAAAAAAGTAAAAAGAGAATTATTTTATGCTTTGATTTTTTTTTTTAAAAAAAAAGGAAGATATTGTATATGTATAAAAATAAAAATACGGAGACTATCATATAAATCAAAAAAATGAGGTTTTATTTACCTATTGTGAAATGTAAGGGGGCACTAAAATAGGAAAATAAAATCATTTCTTCTGTTATCTTTTTAATCATGGTTAATGGATAATTATACACTAGATTTGTAAATACATTATTTGTGATATAAATATATATTTATATGCATGCTCAGTATCTTTTTCTTTTATCAATTTAACAAGTATCATTTTATCATAAGTGTATCAATGTAAATTCTACATTTAGAATATCTCGTAGTATTTATATACATGAATTAGGCACATAGAATTCCTATTATTTTTTTTTTTATTTGTGTACTTGAAATGCATCTAATTTACGTGTATACAAAAGTAAGTAAACTTTTTCATATATTACATAATAAACTTCGTTTCATATACTATATATATCTGTGCGCTAGATTATAATTTATTATTCTCATTTATAAATTGTTGTGTATATCTTTGAGTTTTTCTTCCATATTGACAAAATCTAATTACATATAATATTTGCCCTTAAATTTTTTAGCGATTCTCGTACATATAATATAAAAAAACAGAAGCGCACCAGCAGGATTAAAAGCTGAACGAAAAATTCTTTTTAATCCTTATATTACTCAAGTTCTTTTCTATTACGAAAATAAAAGTATCTATGTATGTAACTGCTGTCCTCTTATACCTCATCTCCTTTATATACATGTAAAAGATTTTGGTATATATTTTTTATCTCCAGGATAAGTCCATTTTTTGTTTCTCCTCTTCCCCCTCATTTCTAAATTAACCTCTCCTTTTACATGTCGAAACAAAAAAAAAAAAAAAAAAAAAAAAAAAAAAAAAAAAAAAAAAAAAAAAGATGATGATGATACTATACACTACAATAATTTTTAATATTATGTAATAAGTCAAGATAGTAGATGGTTAATACAAGTATATAGCACAATATCATATGTATTTTATATATATATATAGATGAATCAAAATACATGACAGAAAGCAAACTTCATCTACTTTACAAAATAACTTTTTGCATTATTTTTACTTTATTATTTATATGCATTTTTTTTTTTTAAAAAAAAAATCTCCTTAATAAATATGAAGTTTACAAGTAAAATTAACTTTTTATCTCCTTTTGTATATATTTTTTTTCTTTTTTCAAAGCTACACTATAATAAAAAAAAAAGCTTCTACATCTCCTGTCCATGAAAATGAAATGTTCTAAAGGAGGAAAAAAAAAAGTTGTACATAGGGTTCAATGAAATATTCTTATTATGACATATGCCATCAGATATACATACACCATACTTGTGTGTATACATATTTTACATTCTCTATATTAAATATGACGATTGATGACGATAATACAAAATATTTACAAGAGTCTTTAAGGAATGTGTAGTGTAAGCTATCTACTTTAACTTAATAACCATAGTTTAAACATTAAGCATATATAAACATAGAGCTTTTATAGTGTATACATATTAGTCCTAATTGAAATATATAATTTACATTATACATTTGAAAGTGTAATAATAAACATATACATATTTATATTTTCTTTTTAAAAATAAAGGTATACATATTGTATAGAAAAGTTGATCTTATTTATGTTAGTATACAATATCACATAAATTTGTTTTTAAAGCATAACTTATCTGAATAAGTATAAGCTTAAACGTATAATATTATACGGCAAATAAATTAACACTAAAATATATAATGATATTTAAAATAAGTATTATATAATTAGTAAGTATAGTACAGATAGTTAAAGGGAATAAGTTATTGAATATAATATTCTCTAGGTATTCTTTGATGCCGAAGAAGGTCGACGAAATTCATGTCGTTTTACAAGATAATTCAACACATCCATTACTTCCTCTAATTTTTTTTTACGATCTTGCAATATCAGATGCTTTTCTACAGACGGATTTTCTTTAGCAAAGTCTTCAATCTCTACAGAAGACATGGGATGCATAATACGATCATCAATTACATCCACAGGGAGATTGAAAAAGAATTCATTCAATAATTCTACTTGAATAAACATAACAGCCTAATGACATTTTTTTTTTCATAAGTAAAATAAGTTATTATTATTATTATTATTTAATCTTACTGTATATGTTAACTTTTCTGCTACAATATCCAAAAAGACTTCAGGACAAAATTGCTTATTTTCAGAAGTTTTACATTGTCGACTATTTAAAGCTGCTAATCGATATTTAAGAATCATGGCACGATCTTGTAAAAATAAAGCCTCTTTTGCCTTCTCAAATAACAACTGTGATTGTTGATTATTATTGATTTGATTGTTATTTGTTTTTTCATTATCCAAAACATATCTAATTGCGCTACGTAACCGTTTTCTTCCAATACTCTTTTTTAATGTCCAGAGCATATCCTCACACATTCCTAGTTCTTTCTCTAATAACTTAATAGTCCTTTTAACACCATCTTTCCATTCATCTTCAGTTACTTCAACCTATTACATTTAATAAGTCGCATTACTTATATCTCTTTATCTATCTATTTATACCTCATATTTATAGGGTTTAATTGTATTCTCCACTTGATCACTTGTTGATAAGAACTTTTGCCCAAGCATTTCTCCAGTATATTCTACAATCTTCTTTTGAATATGAGGATGAAATTCAAGGGGCTCAATCTGAACTAAACGCTTCATATTATTCATAATCACATCTATTACAACTTGAGTCGTTAAGCGCCCAATGCCACTTTTAGTCATAGCTGCAGCAGCTAAATCTAATTTGTATGGCCAGTAGAATTCATCTGATGAGGGCAACCCCTTTGTGATATTTAATATATTAGGATCTGACCAATATTGTTCAGCACAAATATTAAGGACATTTTGTTCAACAAGCAAACGACGCACTTCAGATCGTAATTGAGGTTTTCCGAGAGCATTTGAAAATATTTTGAAGTGACGTTTAAGCTCATTCATTGTGTCTGTTAAATAGGAGGCAGCTGTCATTTCTCGATCATTGTATACTACTTTGAAAATATATCGAGTTTCCTCTAATTCATTTTTAACTGAATTAACTATGCTATAGATGGAACGTCCCATAGACTGCTCGATCATACTAAATATTTGATGGCGAATAATATGATGCTGCTGCTCTCGGTATTCATCTGCTGCTTGATTAGGAAAATAATGCATGGTTGTATCAATATAGCCCAATAATAAATTACGTGATAGATGTAAATCATAATCATTTTTATTGCTAACGACGGTAGCAGGTTCCTGATTTTGTTCAACCTCATTGACAGCAGATGTCGTCTCTGTGTTGTTGTTTTTGGTTTCTATTCCTTCATTTTTTGCTGCTGTTAATATCCCTACTGTTCTTCTACCGAGTGGATCAAATTTTTCACATATTTTCAATGTAGGGTTTTCCTTTAAAGGTATTGATGTATCACAAACAACCATAATTATTGCCTGAGGATTTTGTTTAATATATTCTTCATATAACGTTGTATTACTGTTAGTGTTATTGGGTAAATCATAGAGATTAAGAAAAGGCACATTAGGTGCAGAAATAGATATTCTAATTATATCGTCATGCTTCTTCTTATTTATTTGTTGTTTTATCAACTCAGATGCTTCCTTCAAATCAAAATACTTTTTTCCCTCTGTTTGTTGGCTGGATAACAATTCTACTCTAGGCTCTTTTAAGTCTGGGTCATTTACAAATCGAAATTCAAAAACAGTATTATCGTTATAAACTTCCCTAAAATATGAGATATAAGTATATATGGCACGTATATAGAACATAACTAGCTAGCTTTTATATATATATATATATATATATATATATATATATACCTCGCTAATAAGAAAGGTTGCCCTAATATAGAATCTACTATGGTAGATGAATTATCTTGATCATCAATACCTCTAGACCCAATAATAACCATAGACGGAATGGCAGGGATAATAGGATGATGAATTGATAAAAGTGTGTTTCGTATATTTGCAAACTTTTTACACAAAAGTAAGAATTGTTGATCTTGATATTTCATTTTTAATGCGGCATTTTCTTCCTGTTCCTCTTCTTCTTCTTCTTCTTCTTCTACTACTACTACTGCTGCTGCTACTACTTCTTCTTCTTCTTCTTCCTTCTCCTCTTCTTTTACAATAGACTGTGGTATTATGACTGTTTCTTTTTTCTCAGTTTCTGCTAACGGTTGTAGAATAATATTTCCTTCTTTCTCTTGAGATGTTTCCTTTGTGTTGTATGTATGGTTTAACGACGATGATTCTTCAACTGATTTATCCCTTTTCAATATGTCACGAAGAAGATCTGATAGTTTAATATTCATCTCTGGTATCCTGATATCAATATCTTCTATACTTTCCCCAAAACTATTCAACTTTCCCTTTATATCCGATATAAATTCATGCCCTTTATTTGCCAACTCTATATTTGATACACTTGTTAACTGGTAGAGTCTATTATATACATACATATATATATATATATACATATTCATATTATTATTGTTATTACTATACCTTGGAATTTATCTGAGGCTGCACTTGCACCTGCAAGAGCAGTTCCAGTGAGAATTAAAGGTAATCTAGTAGCTTTAAGAGTTGTTCGTACAATGGTAGGTATAATCGATATCGAACGATGTTGTATAAATAATGTATTATTATTATTGGGTATCATAATCCTAGGTCGAACATTAGGTCTTATTAATGGATAATGTCGTTGTAGATGAATACGTCTTTTCGCTTCATTTCTAATGTTGCCTCTTAATTTAGCACCAATTTGAAACATAATAATTTAGAGTTAAAAAGAAAAAAAAAACACACACATACACACAAACATTCCTTTATAATTATAACACAGGGAAAGCTTATATAACAGGACTAACGTCACATAAAAATAAATAAAATAAGCCACATAGTAATATTTATGTTATATTTAAATATTTTTTTATTAAGGGATCATAAACAATATATTATAGTCATGATAGCTCCCAAATGATTTTACATATTTATAAAACCTTGGTAAAACCGTCAGAGTAATAATTTTTTTTAAAGAAAAATTAGAGGTTCAAGTTTGTTAACATGACAAATGAACATAATGCTTATATAATTGATGCCCCTTTATAAAAAAAAGGACCCTTCTTAGAAGAGACGGTGGGGCTTACCCATGGTGGACTTCAAGTACAAAGACTTGATGTTTTGCCAGTGCTTCTTCAACAAGGAGACGAGGAAGTTGACAGCCAACATGATGTTAGCAACCAATTGATCTTCAGTCATATCGAGGTGACCAACAGCAACACCGAGACAGAGAACCTTCTTAAGTTGGAACTTGATGGTGGAACGGATTTCGTTGGCCTTGTCGGTCAAAGAGTCGTTGTGAGAGACAGGGGTAGGGAACTTACCGACCTTGTGAAGACCAGGACCCAAAAGACGAGGAATTTGCTTGATCAAAGCTTCAGAGGCCAAGAAAGCATCATACTTCTTAGCGAGCTTCTTGATGAGCTTCTTGTTCTTGTTGAGCTTCTTAAGATCGTCAACAGATTGGAATTCCATACCGGCACCCTTGGCTTGATCACAGTGGAAAGCATCACCAAGAACACAGACGGTCATACGGGGACGAGCGATGTTGGGCAACTTGATGGTACCAGAGAAACGCTTATCACGTTGAGGATCGTAGTTCTTCAAACCAATTTGAAGTTCAACGGTTTCAGTGAAGTTACGTTGCTTCTCCTTGGAAGCAGCTTGGATTTGGTTGACAATTTCTCTGACGGTAGCAGCGCTGACTTTGCTATAATGTTTTGTAAAAAAAAAAAAGAGAAAAATGTCAATATTGCTATTTCTTTAGAAAGTTTACATTATCCATCCATCCATTTGATAAAGATAATAGAAAGATTTATATTTAAACAGTAAACAGATGATGTATTAACATAAGTGAACAAATGGATGGATGGATGGATGGACGTATCATTTGGATATTCCTCTTTACCTCATTGTTGATAGATGAAAAAGGGAAGGAAAAATAGAGGTACTGATTTTAGTCCGAATTCATAAATCAAATCTGAGTTTAAATTATATGAATCGCCTTTTTTTTTTAAAAAAAAAAAAGAAAAAAAAGAAAAATGAAACACAGCAAAGAACAATATATTTATTCAACGAGAAGATTTATCATTTTTATCGTTGTCCTTATGAGATTTAAACCATTTAGCTGTTTTATCTTTCAATTCTTCAAGTACAGTTTCGGGTTCTCTTTCAGCTTTAATCTTTATTTTTTAAAAGACTATTAGCAACTGCCAAGTAAGTTTAGATATCAATTACTTACATCAGCTTCACTTTCTGTAGCCAACTTTTCATTCCACTTTGGAGCATTTTGCATCAAACTATCTGTATTATCAACTAAGATAAATGATGCTATCAATAAAAGTGAGTAACTTTACTCTATTTATCTACTTTACTTTTTTCCTGGTTAGAGTTAACATTATTCTTTGAGAACAAGCAGTATGTGAAAGACAAAGATCTATCGTATATATTTTTTTAACAAATACTTTTGTTTTGTATTCAATAATAAATGATTTGTACCTAGTTTGTTGAGAAGATAACTTGGGTCTGAGTGAAGAGAATTTAATCAATCTATTCATTATATATTATTAAATAATACAGAAGAAAAAAGTAAAAAAAAAAAATAAATGAAGCTCATGGGTTATTTTTGTGTCAAAATGCATAAAAAACAAGCAGTAAACTTTATTAAAATTAAGAGGAATGCCCATGTATTTCTGATTGTAATTGATGTACAAGTCTGTAAAAAGAATATTTTAATATGTATACATTTATAAAAAAAAACAAACGTTAAATGTTTACTTATTTTATACCTGATAAGATGTGCATTTTCATTAAGATGTGCCATACAACCTTTCTTTATATCTTGAACGAGGATTTCGTTATTCTTCGAAATTATTTCCCAATGAGTTACTCTATCTTTTAGCTTGTTTGATTCTTTTTCATATTCGATTAGTTTATTCTACATTATATAAACATGAAATATTTGTATTTACGGTCTTTTTTTTTAAAGCATCAAAGTATAATACTATATACATATATGTGGTTGTATAATAATAATGTACAGCATGTTATTATTACTGAATAAACTTACACACACACACACACACACACACACACACACACACACACACAGAGATATATACCTTCCATTTCTCTTCATTAACAATAATAATAAAAAAAATAGGGGAGAGGGGAGGGTATTTTCAAAGAAAATAATAGATCTTAAAACTCACCTCATAACCTTCAATGTCTTTTTCATATCTATCAATCGTATGATTTGTTTCTATTTGTAATTTTTCCATTTCTTTTTGCTTTGCAGCAACTAAAGCTTTTATACGATATGCATAATCTTCTAATTCTCTATTTTTAGTGTTTACAATGATTTGATATTGATCGTGCATCATTTTAATTTCCTTTCTGTGTTGTTCTGCAATTTTAATTAATCTCTTTTGTTCTTCCTCATTCTCATGTAGATGGTTAGTAGATTCTTGATGTCGGTTAATATTAAGGGGACGAGTAGGTGAATGAGGTGGTGTTGTATTTATAGCTAATTTTTGTTCAAGTTTTCCAATTTTCTTTTGAAGTTCCTGTAAAGCATTTACCTTGTCTTGACCTAAACGATTAATTTGTGCCTCATGGGTTTCTTTAATTTCTGCTAAATGTACCCTCAAATCATCTATTTCCTTTTGTTTAGCTTCCAAACGATTTTGACAAACTTGATGATCATTATTGAGATTATTTGAAAGGTCTAATCGCTCATGGTCGTTTTCTGTATCATCTCGATTGGATGATACTGTTTGACTACTTGAAGACCTTTTAGTAGATGTATGCTGTTCTAGTCGAACTGTAGCAGCTTCTAATGAATTTTGTAATGTTTCAACTTGATAGAACAAGTTTTCAATTTGTCTTGACTGTTCTTCAAGTTGTGATTCTTTTGTCTCACAAACTTCATTTAAACGAATCAATTCCTTTTCATGAGTTATCTTGAGTTCATTGATAGCATGTCTATACTGTTCTTCTTTATTGTAAAGTTTATCATGAAGTTGATCCAATTCTTGTTGCGTAGATTTTGTTTTTTCTAGCCACGCCTGGGCTGTATCATCATTACCTGTTTGTAACTGGCGTATTTCTTCTCGATGACGACGTTCAATTGTCTCTATCTGTTGGTGAAACTGGTGCTTAAGCTCTTCGAGGGCTGCTATAGTTGTGCTGAGCTCATTTTGTAGCTTCCGAACATGACTATTCGTTTGAGACTCTTCTAATACATCTATTTGTTTTTGTAATTTAGATAGTGTAGATTGATCTTGTTCGTATGATAGTTTCTGTTCTTTCTTTTGTGTCTATTTTATATACATATATGAATTTCATATTATATATATATATATATATCATGCTCTTACCAACAATGCCATTTCATGGTCTTTTTTCAACTGTTCTTGTTGACGTTCATGTTCCAATTTCATATTCTGGATCTTTTGCTCATAATCTGAATCTAATTCAATTCTAAGGGCTTTGAATTTTCTTTCTTGATTTTTTAGTTCTATTTGATGTGATTCGAAAAGCTCATTTTCTATTTGCTTTCATAACAATAATATCATATTAGGCGGGGCAAAAAAAAAAAAAAAAAAAAAAAAAAAAAAAAAAAAAAAGAAGGGGGGAGTAGGGAAGAGAGGTGGAAATAAATGATATAAATTTATATTTACCTTTTTAAAAAGCTCTGTACTAATTTCATTATTATCCACTGCCAAAGACTTAAAAGGAGAGGGAGGAGAGAGAGAAGTAAGTATTCAATATGATATAAACTTTAATTATTTATCATTACTTTATTTTTTAACTCTTCTTTTAGTTTTTCTAATTCAGCTTCAAGCATGGTCACTCTTGTTTCATGCTATTATTCTCTCTCCTTCAGTAAACTATTACATTATCTTATATGTATATTCATATATATTACTGTACCTGTGCTTTTAAAAATACTTCATTTTCTTTTAATCTTTGTAGTTCTTCTTTCTATTCATTCAGTATATATTTAATTAATTTAAGTATGCAATTTTCTTTTTATGTGTTTATATTTTGTTTCATTACTTGTATTTCATTTAAAGGCTCTAAAACAGCTGATAAAGAAAGTCGTTTATGGTTATTATTTGAATCTTTTGATACTGTTGAAGAAATGGTGTGATTGATTGATGCTCTACGAACTAACGGTGACACAGGCGCTACTGAATGATTATTCGAATTACTAACTAACATAGATCGACGCTTTAGGTTGCTACTTAACCTAGGTGAACTACTAGTGGTAGGTGACTGAAGAGGGGAAGAAGATAGAGGAGGATTCTTAACAGAGGAAGGTGAAGTAGTCCCTACTATTATCTTTTTTTTACCATTATAATTTGGATTAGTTGAGCTATTTTTTGAAACAGTGGGTGATGCGGGTTTATTATTGCTCTGTATGGATGTTCGTCTAGCAGTATGTGGAGCTATCGTTGCCGGGGTAATAACAGCAGCTTTCGGTTTATTTGTCGGCAAATGATCATCACCTGCTGGTTTAATACCTAGTTCGGCCAATACTGACTTTCTTTTCGTACTCGTTCGTCTTGCTAAAGTTGAACTTTTGTCAGACATTTTTTTCTTTCTTTTATTCGTCAACTAATACGAGAGTTAATTCCAAATAATGAAATAAAAGAATGAAAAAGAAGATCTATATAAAATAAAATACAAAAAAAAAAAAAAGAAAAAGAAAAGAAATTACAGACAGACTGCCATTAAAAAAAGGGGGTGGGGATAGGTAGGTGGGTAGGTGGGTAGACAGTTAATACAAAAATAATAAACTTTTTGTATTAGTGCAACATTGTGCTTACTCTTTATTTTATTTAAAGTTACATTTAGAGTATCTTGAGTATCTAATTTGGGAATAGGTACACGACAAACTTCAAGATTTTTATCCAACCAATCAAGAATTTTTTTAGTCCATAGAAAATTACCAATGTTGCCGAAATGAAGCCTGAAGATGTGATAAATGCTCTCTGAGTCATGGTTTATTTTCCCTTAAATATAATATTATAAAATAGCGTTTCCCTTTCTTCCTTATATCTTTCTAGTCAAGTATATATGCATTTGTAAAATTTTATTTTTATTTTTAGGGAGCGAATAATTCAAATTCATATATAAATAATTATAATATAAATTGATGGGCTCAACGAAACAAACTCCTGTACCATAGACAGATATATAGTACCACATCTTCAGTCTTCATTTCTGCAACATTAGTATTGCTTGTCGCTCCTAACTCAACCCCAGTTGCCTCCACTTTGACTTTCAATGTGGTCTGCCTTTCTCGCAAAAGAAAAAAATTGAATTGGTTATGACTGTTGTACTTGATGATGGGTGTGATGAGAGCTTGTAATAAATCTCTTTTTTTTTCAAGGGTATTTGAGCTTAGTCTCTAATTAGCATGTTTATTGATGTCTTCCATAAAGTGCCCTAATTCCACAAATTTTTGTACTCAACACTACTCGTAAAGAGTGAACTTGAAAGCTACTCATATCAATCCCTACACCTTCTATTACTGATTTGATCCAATTTGCTATAGTGGCTGGTCTGACCAATGTAAGATTGCTTTTGAGAACCTCGTAGATATGTTAGAATTAAAGTAGGATCGTCCTGTCAATTATTTTCTAATTGGCATAGTGATTTTTTTTTTTTATGAATTCAAATAATTATTTTGACTGGACATAAACCCACATCTTCTTTGTTTTAACCCAAGATAATTGGTTTGATTTGAGCCTCCTTTGGAGTTATTGCATGAATGAGAATACTTAACCTTGAATCATCTATCTTCAGAATAATATTCCTATATCGCAACCTGGCCAATGTCAGATCTTGGTCTTGACGTAGTAGTTGTAAATTATAACAAAATGGTCTCGGGTTGAAGTTGTTCCAGAGATAGACTCTTTGCAAGAGACAAGGTAGTTTTCACATAATTAATAAAATAAAAAGAAATTAATATCCACAAGTGTACTAAAACTGAGAGCAGAATAAATATTATGCTGTAAAGTACGCTATACTAATTTTATTAAAATAATCTCATTTATTTTATAATAAATGATGGTTTATTTCTATTAACTTAGTTAAAAAAGTTAACTACAATCATAACCATCGCAAAGATGGAATCAGCTTCAGTAAAGACGAAGCTGGCAAATACCTTGATTTCCTAATAGTACTTGTTTCGTATTTTTTTTATTTGCTGACAATAAAGAACAGGAATTAAAGCTGCGGTTCCACAATGCATCTTATAAATGCCTTACATTGGAGGCAATATCGTATACAAATCGAAAAAAAAAGGTTACTCTACTAAACAACAACAGAAAGTGGATGTTCTAATGTGTTGTTAATGTCTGAGTGAATCAAATTCTTTTTGTTTATTTATTATTTGCTGAATTACATGGTTCTAAATTAAGAGCACTAGTTTTTGCTTTTTTATTTTGTGAACTTCGAAAAAAAAAAGGGGGAGGGGTTACAAAGAGCTTCGGCATATTTATAATTTAGCAATCCCAATTCTGTAACTTCTGTTCAGTATGAATATCATTACTGGACTAGTCAAAGTGAAAAAGAGTAAAAAGTAAATAAATAATGACAAATAGCAAAAGGGAATATTAATCTTTATTTAATTCTGACAGTCTTATTGAGAAATTCTTTCAAACCAAGAGCATAGATGTAGTTTTCTACCACTCTATAGTAGTAACATTATTCTGAAATATGTATGTATGTTACTAAATCGAATCATTATTTTTCTAGTGAATTTATATGTAAATAATATACTTTTTTTTTTGTTTTATAAAACATGTAATGTACAGGCCATAATACTGTTCCCATCTGGGCCCAGAGCATTGACAGGAATACAAGTAATAACAGGCAAATACTCTGAACGCTTAAGAATCTCTAATTGTAACAAGTTTCTACAAGTTTGATTTGTGATATCTAACTTGTCACAATAAAAGACTCTCAAAGAAAGTATTTGCTTCCATTTCTTTTCACATTGATTTAAACTTTCTTCAATAGTTTCGATAATATGCAAAATAATTTCTTCAAAATCAGTAGCGCTATCTGTAAGGCATAGTGATTAATTTATGAAAAAGAAAAAGACTTTATAAGTGTTCTATTTTACCTGATGACTGTAAAGCAATTGTAGTAAAATTCTTTTTAGGTAATATTCTGCTAAAAACATTAGGAATAATATTGATATCTGTACAAAATAGTATTAAATGGTTATAACTCAATATATAACAAGTAAATATTATTTCAACTATTTTTTTTTTACCTAAAGAGCCTTCTCCAAATTTTAGGGAATCTAGTCTTTTAATTATCTTTTCTTCTTCTTCATCCGAGGTATCATCATCATCTTCTATAAGGTTAGGTAAAGGAGCATTCAAGATAACCTGCCATTCTATCATTGCTCCTTTGGGAAGAGATGGTACAGCTATATATAAAGTGGGAGGAATTTGATTATCGCTATTTATATATGCCTTCCATGCAGCTTGAGCAAGTGGTAAATAAGATGGGTTACTAACATAACAGCAGCAAACAGCTGTATCTTTCTTCAAATTTAAATCAAGTACAGATACAATGTTTTCTAAATTACGTAAAGATAGAGCTGCTTCTTCTGCAAATGAACCAGGTGAAGGTAAATTTAACTTATTGGGCACAAGTCCAATTTGACCGGCAATAAAGGCATGACCTTGTGTCTATTAAATAGATTTTAAGCCTATAATATACTTATTTATAACTCTATTAATAATACCATAACACTTTGCGAATAAGGCCCAATATTTGCAGGTGCCCAATAAGAAATGCCTTGTACATGCATTGTATCTCTCTTTATATTGTCTAATGTTTTTATAGCAATAAGATCAATTTGCAAACGTGCAGGACCCTTTAAATGTGCAGCCACTAAAGCTCTAAATAGAATTCAATACTTGACGACTATCTTGGCATCATTCTCTAGATGTCTTACCTAGGAGCAGGATTTATATCAAAAAACTTTTTATAAACTGCATTAATTCTTCCAAAGTCATTCATATCAGTTACAAATACATTCATTGTAACGACGTCTTTCCAATCCAGGTCTAAATTATGTAACTTTTCCTGAACAGCTAACATACAAGCTAATGTCTCATCCTCAATTTTATCAAAATGCTGTGTAGTATTAAGTCTATCATCATTAAATGCAGTTGTTCCTTCAATAGCATAAAATGGTGCATGTCGCTTCAAATCATTGAAAGGTATTTTTTCTTGTTGCTGCTGTACTCTATTTAGTTTAACCTGTTGTATCTTTGGCTCAATGATTGTGTTTTCCTCATTTACTGCTGAAATGATTTTGTCGTATGAATTCCATTCTTTCCAATCTTGGATAATGACTTGACCCATATTCATTTCTTCTTGAGTCTTTTCTACTAAAGAACACTTTTTAAACTTTAAATAAGCCACTTGGGCAAATGCATCATCAGAATGGATCACTGTCTCTGTTTCCTCTCTAAATAAAATGGTTAATACTCCATACGTTATTTTTTTTTTTTTAAAAAAAAAGAAATGATAATAGTAAATCTACTTACATAACAATTCTTTTTTAAATAAAGGACAATCTATAGTGAATGTTTCGTATTCTCCTCCTTCACCACAAATATGTAAATCATATAGCTCGTTCTATAACTTGAATAGATCAATAAAAAAAAGAAAAGAAGAGGGAGAAGCTACTAGTAAAAAAAAAAAAAAAATATTACCATTTGACATAAGAAAGGATACATCTGTCCAATAGATTTTCCAAGATGAACTGGTTTTAATCCAATAGCAGCAATTTTAATAAGAATGGCATTCACGCCTGCGTTTGCCATTTCAAATAAAAGTTCCTTTTGCTCTCTTCTCCATAAGTAAGCATATGAAGTAAGACCCAAGCGATTACATCTATTATATAATTTAATACCTGTCTAACACATTCTTTTTTTCAATTTGTTTATATCTATTTACACATGTTCAACACGAACTCTTTGGTAATTTGATAAGATGGCACCTACTGAAACACCTTGAATGTCAGGATGGTGTTCCTAATACAATATGCATATATTTTTTAGATCTACTATTTTCGTCAACATACTATAAGACTCACTTACCAATACTTCTTTCAAAAGCATATATAAATCTTCAGTTTCGTCATTAGCAGTAAAAACATAATCGGATCCCTGTAATACTGATCCACCTATAATTTCTCGTCTGTATAAAGGTAGATCCATACACTCAGAATATAAATGAATTGCATCATGTCCAACAGTTTGATACATAAAGCTATCAAGCTCATCTTTTATATCAATATAAACAATTTATTATCATTATTAGTTATCTTTTACAACGATCTATTCATATAAACAATTACCCTTTCCTGATTGACTTGGTGGTTTCAAATTGGCAAGAGCGACAATTTCATGGCCATTAGCCACACATTGCATCATGTTATAACAACTATCTTTACCACCACTTTATTCACGTTAAGGAGACTTATAATATATATATATATAATCACAAGTTATCCTTACCTTACTAAAGCAACTAATTTCATATCACAGGTAATAATTATATTAAAAAAGAAAAAGAAAAAAGACATGTAACGCATAGAACACTGTTGCGTTATTTAAAAAAAAAAAAAAAAAAAGATTAGATAAAGTAATCAGATTGCTTACCCTTCACTCCCTCTTTTACAAATAAAAATAGGGTCTGGACAATCTAAAACGATAGATTACATAATATGTAATTCGATTTACTACTTAAGCTATCATGATTAGGTGTATATTATGATTTGATGCAATTTATTCTACTATAGAATACTCATCTCTTTAATAAGGAAGACTTATTTTACTTGCCGATATTAAACTGATCTTGAATTATATATAATTTTTTTTTGTTTTAGAAAAGAAAAAAAGTTTATTTAATGAAGAGATAATAGTTTTGTTAAAAATACAAAACGATATATATAAAGGAAGGTGTTTAATTGTTACATTTTTACAAGTACAGCATATTTTATTATGTAAAAAATAATTCCAATAATGAAGAAAAAGTAAAAGTAAAAGTAAAAGTAAAAAAAAAAAAAAAGAAAAAGAAAAAAATCATATCAGTGACTTTTATCTGTCAAACACGGATCCGATAATTGATCTCTTCTCTTTCTCTCTCTCTCTGCTCCCCCCAAAAAAAAGAGTCTTATATATAATATATTTATTTTCCCAATTATTTTAAAAAGATTCTTTTTTATTGTTTTTGTTTTTCTTTTCTTTTCTTTTTTTTAACTTACTGTAGAAAATAAAACATGGCTGATAATAATAAGCAACTTCGTATGGTCATTATGGGCCCCCCAGGTGCTGGTAAGGGTACACAAGCTCCTGCTATTCAAAAGAAGTTCAACGTTGCACACTTGGCTACTGGTGATATGCTCAGAGCTGCTGTTGCTGCTCAAACTTCTTATGGTCTTGAAGCTAAGAAACTTATGGATGCTGGTGCTCTTGTTCCTGATGAAATTGTTGTTGGTTTGATTGAAGAAAACTTGAAGAATAATCCTTTATGTGCTAATGGGTAAAGTAGTGTGTGTGTGTGTGTATGAATATATAAAATTAATGCATTTTTTTTTTTTTTTTTTTTTTACAGTTTCATTCTTGATGGTTTCCCTCGTAACGTTACTCAAGCTGAAAAATTAGATGCTATGCTCAAGGAAATGAATAAGCCTTTGAATAATGTTATTGAATTAGTTGTTGATGATAAACTTCTTGTTGATCGTATCTGTGGTCGTCTTGTTCATCCTGCTTCCGGTAGATCTTATCACAAAGTTTTCAAGTAAAGTTTCAAATTTAACATAGATTTTGACTGAGATATAAAAAAAAAATAACTAACTGAAATTATTATTTTTATTTTCATGTAATAAATAGCCCTCCTAAGGTTCCTATGACTGATGATATTACAGGTGAACCTCTTATTCAACGTTCTGATGATAATGAAGAAACTCTTAAAAATCGTCTTAAGGCTTTCCATGAACAAACCGCTCCTGTAGCTAAATATTATAAGAAGCAAGGTGTTTGGTATGGTGTTGATGCTGCTCAAACACCTGAAGCTGTCTGGGACTCAATTAACGCTATTTTTGACAAGACTCTTTAAAAAACACGTGTGATGGCTTTTTTTTTTTTTTCGTTATGAAAGAAAAAAAAAAGAAAAGAAATTGTATATAGACAAGCTATATTTTTTTTTATTCCACAATTATGCATATCATAATTTTCATATTAATTTCTACATTTTTTTATACTATTTGTAACTCTAGATTTATTATCATAAAAATTAAAAACAATTAAAAAGAAAAAAAAATTGTTTTGTTTTACTTTGTTTTGTTTTCGTAATTTGAACTTCAGAAATCTGCTGCAGTATAAAATATTTCAAGTCAGTTCATATTATATTGGGTATAATCATTATCCAATCAGATGCATATTATAGTGATTAGATGCTTCCTGTTATTACAATATTTTTATTGGGTAAATGCTATGAGACATTATTGGTTGAATATCATTAGCAATTGATGATAGTTATATAATGATATAAGATTTATAATTGAAGTCTACACCATTAGTCCTTATCGTAATGTTGTTGAGAGAGGTCAATACAATATAAAATTTTACTTTTGACACAGATTCAAGTTAATGTGACACTTATTCTAACAAAAAGCTAGTAATAGTGGCAAAAACCTCGAATTGAAGAACTGAAACAAACTTTATAGAAGAAAAGAAAATGATAATGGTAGAAGAGGATACTATAACACGGCGGGTAAGATAACTCTTCTAGTGGAAACACTTTAAATGCTTTCTATCAAACACAATTCAAAAAAATAAAAGCAAAGAGTTTCTATTGAAGTTCCGACTACAACAGGAGAGATAACATTCACGATGCTTAGTGATATATCTTATCAGGACATAATAGATATTTTCGTAAGGAAACTAGCTTCAATATTAAAAGTAAAGTGAATAAACACACACATAAGGGGAGAAGTAATGCTAAAGAAGCTATAATGATTTTTAAAGTAGTGAGAACTAGAAAACTGAGTAGGATAGATGCCATATAAAAATAGTCTTTTAAATTTCTATGAATCATGTTCTAATAATTCATAAACTAGTTATTGCACGTACCTTTATTGAGAAACAAAGTTATAAATGTGTGTATTTTGTCTTTATATTCATCTTTCCTGAATTCTATTGATGAATTTTGAACAATAGTGAAGTGATACTGAGATTAATTTTATTCCAGGAATTACCAACGTAATACAAGAAGACTGTAAAGAATGGATTAGCTAAGTTGTTAGTCTTCTTTTTTTTTTCTAAACAAGAAACAATAATGTTTAGCTTTAGAAGAAAGCTATTTAGTGATTGTATATTGCTTCCAACGAAATGTCTATTTATACACATAGATGTCATTAACTTGTATTATTCACTGTGACTTTTCTATTTAAATAAACTTTTTTTTTCCCTCTCTAGTGTACCCATGCTGGTAAGAATTAAGATTATTGATTCATCAGGATTATTACTGTTGTACACTATTTACGTTTAGTCTTTTTTTTTTTCTTTTATTATAATTATTGTTATTGTTTTCTTTTAAAATAAAATAAAATAATAATGACACTTATTATCACTGAAACCTTGACTGCTGAGAAACTTGGTAAAGTATTTGATCATGCCATACTCCGACCTGATCAAACAACAGAGGACGTCGTTAAAGGATGTGAGATCGCTAAAGAATATGACTTGGCTTCTGTCTGTGTCAAACCCTGTGATGTGAAACAAGCTAGTGAATTACTTCAAGGCACAAATGTAATGGTTGGTACTGTCATTTCCTTTCCACATGGTAACTCAACTACGGAAGCTAAGATAGCTGAATCTTTACAAGCCATTGAAGATGGTGCATTGGAATTGGATGTCGTCATTAACATTGGTCATCTTAAATCACGTCTTTATGATCAAGTTGGTCAAGAATTGAAGGATATTGTCAAGATGGCCAAAACAAAATTGCCTAATGTCATCATCAAGGTCATTTTTGAAAATGCTTATTTGACAAAAGAGGAAATTGTCAAGGCTTGTGAATTGACTTGTGCTTCAGGGGCTGAATTTGTCAAGACTTCAACTGGTTTTGCATCAAGCGGAGCTACTTATGAAGATATCAAACTGATGAGAGACAGTGTTCCTGCTTCAATGGAGGTAAAGGCTTCAGGAGGTATTAAAACATTAGAACAAGTTTTGAAATACCTTGAATTGGGCGCTACTCGTATTGGCTCATCTTCATCAGATAAAATTATAGAAGAATTTAAAAAATTACAACAGTAATCATTGTCTTTTAATAAATATATAAATAAAAAAAATAGCAATTGTAGTATGTTAAAAATCTTGAATTAAATGTGTTTGTTGCTCTTCTTCTTCTTCAGTAGAGCCATCGTCTTTCTTTCCCTTTTGATGTGATTTAACCCATTCATCTACTAATCTTACTGCTTCCTCTGGTCGTTGCTTATATCCCATTAAGAAGCCTTGAAGATGAGCCATACTGAATGTTTCTTCAGGAATCTTTGAGGCAAACAAAGCAGGAAGTTGAGAGTCACTTTGTTCCAAATTGGGATAGAATTTTCTAAATAATTCATCTGCTTGTTTACGCGTAGCATTTCCAAAATGAACACGTACGTCAATACGACCAGGACGAATAAGAGCATCATCTAATTTTTCTATATGGCTATCATGTATATTAAGTAATTCATAGTACATTGGATGCTTCCAATAATATATATATATATATATATATATATATATATACGTTACTTTGTAGTCATACATAAGATACGACCTTCCTGTGCAGCAACACCATCAATTGCATTTAATAATCCTGAAAATGTAATTTGGTTAGCTGCAGTTAAATCTCCTTTTACTCTCTGAATAAAAGCTGCGTCAATATCTTCTAATAATAATATACATCTACTAGGCGTATCCGAAACGAGTTCACTTAATGTATCATCTGTCATACTCTTATTACTCAAGTTAACGACATAGATATTTAACCCTAGTTCACCAGCCAATGAATATACAAAACTTGTCTTCCCTGATCCAGGTGTACCATATAATAGATATCCTCTTCTATAAGGGATACCACGATCACTATACCATTGCTCTGAAGAAAAAAAGTCCAATGCATCGTCTACTAGTTTTTGTTTGACATTTGTAGGGATCACAATCGTACTTAACGGTCTCTTTGGTCTTGATCGTGTTCTCCTCCAAGCTCCGTATTGATCTGCAGCAAATACGACTGTTCGACTCTTGTCACGTTCAATAAATTTCTTTTGCGCCTCAAATACAAGACTTTGCAATAACTCGCGTGATTGTCCAAATGTACTTATTTGAATTCGCTCAAGTAAAAATGTATTTGAGTTATTAGCCTGGTTCGATGTACCAGGACGTTCTCTTGTTAACCATAAGAGACGATTTCTATAAGTAAAAAAATGCATACCTTTTAATGTATAATAAAATTAATATTACTGTATTTGTATGCTTTTTTATCATTATTTTTTTTATTCTTTTTCATTGCACTAATATACCTGGAGCAGGCAGGAAATAAACAGGAGGTAACATTGCGTCGATACCTTCGCCTGTTAATCTTTGTCCTGCACGAACAATACTTGTTGAAACAGAAAATCGTGAAGTCTTTTTACTATAAGGCTGCTCACTTAACCAATTCAAAATCCAACTTTATGCATTTAAATAGTTAATAATTGTATCAGGAAATTACTTGTATATTCACTTTACCTATATGATTCATCTCTACTATCAAAATCAGCTGTAACGATGGTCTTCTTCTTTAAGAATTCGAAAAAATAACTACCAAAATATCTAAATCCAGCTAGTACACCTTTATTTATTTATTTTAGTGAACATTCATTATTGTTAAAATAACACACATAACAACTTTTCCATACCTCCAATAACTGCTAATTGAAGACCTCCAGTAGCTAATCTAAGTATATATATATATGTTTATTTAAGTTTTAAAGTACTTGAGGAATTCAGAAATTGACATACTCTCCTACACCAAGTTTTTCTGCTATAACTGTAATGAGGCCTCCTATTGTTGTACTAGACTCTGTTGAAGAAGAAAATCTTCTTGACGAAATTGCATTTGTCTTTAATGCAAGTTGAGGATAATTATACGGCGATGTTAAAAATAAGTTTTTTCCTGTCACTAATGATCGTTGATTCATGTTGTCTATTAACGAATTAGGTAGTGAATTCACAACAATTTATGAATAGAACTCTTCCCCAGTTTATAAATTGTCGTATTTTAAAATTTTAATACCTCTTGCATTTCGTCTTTATTTTATTTTATTTTTATTTTTTATTTATTTTTTTTTTTTTTTTTTTACGATAGCGCTGGCTCCGTTTTATATCGAGAATAATGTAATCACCGCACAATGGGCAACTTGTTATCGCTGTCACTACTTTATCAAAGAAAACAGTCTATAAACATTTTTTTTTTATTATTATGTACTTTTTCTTTTCACAGAATTCAAGTATATATGTATAGTAATAATAATAATAGAAAAAAAAAAGAATGATGAAGGAAAGGATAGAAATCTATGATACATGCAAAATAGTGATAATAATAATAATAAAACTTATTTAACAAAATCAAGAACAGATTCATCTGGTTTCAATTCAGTATAAATATTTTGTTCTTTAAGATATTCATCACTCCAAAATTTAGTTAAATGGCGTTGGCCAGAATCATTTAATAAGGTCACGATAACATGTCCAGGTCCTAATTTCTTTGCTGCTCTAACAGCTGCAACGCAATTAACAGCAGAACTACTACCGATAAATAATCCATCCTCACGTACAAGATAACGTGACATCTTGATTGCTTCTTCATCTGTCACTCTAAAGGCGTCATCAACCAAATGTCTTCCTTTATCAAAATTCTGTGTCAGACGATTAATACCAATTCCTTCTACTACTGTATCCACTTGATGTCTCCTTCGATTTCCTTCTTGTTCAGTAGGAGAATACATGACGTTATATTTTACTTTATTGTATAATCCAGAGCCTTGAGGGTCTGCCAAAAAGACCTTCAACTTTTCAACACGCTCCTTTAAATAACAAGTAATACCCGACAAGGTACCTCCCGTACCTGCTCCCAACACTAATGCATCAATGCGGCCTCCTGTTTGACGGTAAATTTCAGGACCTGTAAAAGTATAATGTGCTTTAAAGTTTGCCTCGTTTTCAAACTGATCTGCAAAGTATCCTTTTGCTTCTCCCTCATGAAAGTTACTTGCTCGCTCTCTGGCCAAATTAACAAACTGTTTCTTATCAATAATGCTGACAGGTCGAACCTTTTCAACTGTAGCACCTAATTTTTCAAGTAATTGATATTTTTCTTTAGCTTGGTCGTCAGGCATCACAATCCAGGCCTTATAACCTTTAGCACGAGCAATCATGGCAATAGAGATACCAGTAGAACCTACTGTACCTTCAAAGACTGTACTTCCAATATGGGGCTTCAAGATACCTTCTTCCTCTGCAGTCTTTATCATGTTAAGTGCAACACGGTCTTTAGAGCTACCTCCTGGATTCAAGAATTCGGCTTTTCCAAGAATTAAGCATCCTGTAGCTTCAGAGAGACTTCGAATCTTCATAAGTGGTGTGTTACCAATAAGTCCATCGACACCTTCAACAATGTCGGGTTGTTGTTGTTGTTGTTCATTACTGTCATCTAAATCGTTGTCTTTCTCCTTAAAATAGTAAAACAAACTTGTTGCTAACACTGTTAGTGCGGAACCAGTAAGTAGGCCAACAATAAGAGCTTTGTTTGAAGAAGCCATGGCTAGAGCTATGTATACATAAAAAAAAAAAAGAAAAAGAAAAAGAAAAAAAAAGGTTTACATATTTTAATAATTGTGACTTTTATGATAAAAATCGGAATTCTTTCTACAATCCTCATCCAGTTTAGTTAGCCTATTTTTTTTTTTTTTGCTTACATGCGGTTGGATAGCTCGTACAGCTCTCTTGTCTTCTTTCTGATTAGAGTTTAGAAATACCGAGAGTAAAAAGATGAATTCCATTTCCTTATTCAGATTAATAATACATTAATTCTGAAAGCCAGTATAGCTTTGTAGAATTATAAAAATAGAATCAGGATATATATTTTATATACTGTTTCTTGTCCCAAAAAAAGAAAAGAAATGTTCACATTATATACACATTTTATTTATTTATTTATTTACATTGAGGATAGTTTATCAGTTAAAAAGTTGACAAGGTTTTCTCTTCTCATCGCCTTTGCTATAGGTATTAAATAAATTATAACATGTTGACATTGCTCTCTTGATTTCGTTTCATACATGTCTGCAAATGTAGCTATAAAATTCGATTCATTATAGTGAGCTGTCTTGATTTGGCGTACAAGAGATAGTTTTAATGGCCACAGTGACATGAAACTATAAAAGGATGAAGTTAAGTGTGCGTTTTGTTTTGATGTCTTGGTCTCTGTTAGCTTGTGTAATTTAGCTGTTTCAACTACATAAAAGAATACAACTTAGTTTAAGGATAACGTTTATATAATGACTATATCAACACATACCTTGCTTTAGAGATTGTAATCTTGCACGTTTTTTACCATTAATGTGTAAGGTTGATTCAGCATCTGAGAGATAATTTGTATCTTCTTCATTCGATTCTAATCGTGCTCGTTTTAATGAATGTGTTGACGCTATCGAAAGATCCTCCTCTTCCTCTTTATGTTCTACATTTTGTTCTAATATTGGTGTAGTAGCCATTGTCGTCTCCATTGAAGATGTTGTATCGGATGTTGGTGTTATTATTTCATCACTCCAAAAGACAGTTCGTAATCGTTCAAGCACATTAAATAATTCATTACGTTGTACATCGAATATATTTTCACATAAAGGTGGCGCATTCTATCATTATAATGTTATTCATTCAATTAGTTAAATGAAACACACACACACACACACACAATTCAATTTTTTTTTTTCATGCATTTACCTTATTTGAATCTATACCATCAATTGGACCTACTACTTTGGATAACTTATATAAAGAATAAAGGTAATATTTAATATGTTTATAATATATTTTATATTATCTGAATATTGACTTACTTCATTGAGATCTGGATACGTCGCTTTTATAATAGGCATTGCTTTTTGTTTATTTATTCTGTAAATTGTGAAATAAAAAAAAAAAAAAATAAAAAAAAAATATATTGTAAAAATATAAAAATAAGTATTTATTTTTTTTTTTTAATAAATAAATCAATGTTGATCCTTCGAGTAATAGTTATTTATGAATTAACTTCCTGATTTATACATAATAACAAGGCATGTTTATTTTAATATTTATATTATCTGTATAAACTATAAATAAGCTGTATAAACTATATGTGTGTACGTATGTATATATTTGTATAATATTACTATAAATTGTATATTATGCTGATTTAACAAACAAACAAACAAAAAAAAAAAAAAAAAAAAAAAGAAAAAAAAAGAAAAAAAAAAAGAAAAAGAAAAAGATAACCATTTTAATTATCTCTTCTACAAGTAGCCTCACGAGCAGCTCTAATAAGGGGAGTAAGTGTATATAAAGGATCAGCATATGCTATGAATGGATGCTGGAGCATTTTCGCTGCTGTTGGACGACGGTCTACATCAACTTCAAGACATTTACTTAAGAAATCACGAAATACACCAGATAATGCTTCTGGATTTTGTAATCTTGGAGTACCATTATTAGCAATCAAATACAAAGCTCTTAAAGGATTTTCATTCAAATAAGGCGGTTCTCCTTCAATCATTTCAATCGCCATAATACCTAAAGACCAAATATCTACCTTTGAGCCATATTCTTTACGTGCCACTACTTCAGGTGCCATCTATACCAAATATATATATATATAATTCGTTAAAAAAATAAATAAATATACATACACATATATATACATAGGAATAAATAATTGGAATATTTGTTTTTTAATGCAGTTTACCCAATATGGAGTGCCAACCATAGTATTACGCTTAGACTGCATTTCATTCAATTGTGCACAAAAACCGAAATCCGCTATATAAAACAAAACCAACCAAGAAATATATGAATATAAATAATGTATACTATGTAATTATAATTTGAAATTTACTTAGTTTAATATCACCAGCTGAACTTAATAAAATATTATCACTTTTGATATCACGATGAATAACCCCTTTGGCATGGAGATGTTGAAGACCTTCAAGTACTTGCTTACATACGGCAGCGATTTGTCCTTCCATCATCATGTTATTAGTGACGACATCAGTTAAACTTCCACCTTCCATATATTCCATAACAACCCAAAGATCCCCTCTCCACAAATAAGAATCAATAAAGTTAACAATATTTTTATGCTTTGATTCCTTCATGACTAATATTTCATTAATAATAAGCTCCTTCTTCGGTTGTTGTTCTAAATTCATTTGCTTGATAGCAACTGGGAAATTACAGTCATTAGAATAAGCAATGTATACTCCACCAGAAGCACTATGAAAAAAAAAAAAAAAAATTAAAATTAAAATAATAAATTTAAACAAAGTTGTATTTTCATCTCATATTTATTAGTTTCCCTTACCCTTGGCCAATCTTTCGCATATTTGAATATATTAAAGTTGGATCTGCTTCTTTACAAATAGATCTTAACTTGGCAATTACTTCTTCGTCTCTCATTGTATGTCTACGTTCCCTAACCCGTTGTTTAACAGTACCTGGAGATCCAGTTAATGATTGCTTAGGCATCACCAATTTAGGTTGTGTATGTTTGTTATCACGTCGCTTCGAACTCAATTTGCGTTTAATATCATAGTCACGCGCAGCATGAGGGTTAGGGGTCGATGATTTGAATTGTTCATGAGCTAGTCGTTCTTGTTCCTTTTGTTGCTGCAAACGAATTCGTTGCAAACGTTGTTGATAAACTAAAAACTCTGGTGTTTGACGCTGCATATGCTGCTGATGTGCTAAATATGATACATTTTTTTTTTAAATTTTAACCTGTCAATAAATAATTTATATATAAAATACATACTTTGATCATCCACTTTTCCTTGCATATTTGATTTCTTAAGGGAAAAAAAAAAGGGACATATAAATAAATGTTATCAAATCATTCAATTCTTTTAGAAATAGTATACCTCTTGTAGAGTTGGTAGAGTATCTCTTTCAAGTTCGTCTTCAATCTCTTCTTCGTCTTCATCTGTTTCTAATGCATGAGCTCTTTCCATCTTGTGATAAACTGATTCATCATGATTTCTATTCTCTTGATAAAATCCAATAGCGTCCAATACTGCCTAATAGAATACACACACATATATATATTTTAGTTGAATTTCAAACACAATAGAAATGTATTATTATTTACTTGAGGATTTTGATATTGTTCCACTTTTGATATACCGGAATGTTGCAAAAGCGTCTGCCATTCTTGAGGCAAACCAGTAAATTCTCCAGTTTTTGCATCAAATCCTACATGTGTAACATGTTTAGTATTGTAAGGACCTGATATCTCCATCTCTTGTTCCTGATTTGATTGTTTATCCTTGTTAATTAAGTCTATATTGTATATATTAATATATTTATATGTATATGGTTGAAATAATAATAATAAAAAACGAGACCTCCCCCCCGCTAACAATAATTTACCATTAAAGCTACCAACAAATTTATCAAATACACCTTTAAATGTGGATCTATCTCTTGCCATTGATCCTTTTGGTAACAATTCTTTAGGCGGTGATGATGCATTCATGCTGTTATTATGAGTAGGGGAAGCAGAATATTTTATCTGTAAATGGGATGCCGTATTTGGTGTGCGTTCACTCTGTGCTCGATTTAATTTAGTACGTCCTGTTGAATGGGATCTGCCCTTTTTTGCATTATTTTGTGATAACGTTCTTGATACGAATGATCCTGAAGGTTTATTATTTGGATCACTACGTGCTAAAAAGGAATGTTTTCCAAAATAAAAAAAAAAAAGTAAGTACAAAATAAAATAAAATATGTTAGAAATCCAACCCATATCATTCTCGGAAATATTAGATGACTTTAGAACATTATATTCTGTGTTATTAAGGTTAAGCCTTTGAAGATGATTTGAGAGTCTTCTATGAAGTCCATTTCCATTGCTTGGTGATGTCATGTTTTATTTGTTACTGTCTCTGTTTTGCTGTTTAAATTGTAAAAAAGAAAAAGAGTGATTAGCAAGTTTGAGTGCTGAACTTATATTTGTATATATATAAATATATATGTGTGTATATATATCAAGAAGAAAAGAAAAAGGAAAGGAATAAATAAATAAAATATATAAGGAAGAAGAAGAAGAAAGAGTGTGAAGGCTTATTACAGAAATGTAAAAGAACTAAACTAAAAGAAAAAAAAAAAAAATAGAATAAATAAAAATAAAAATAAAAAAAAAAAAACCCAACTTAATGATTTAGCGGAATTCATATTTAATCATCAACAATAACTTTATTATTACAAGCTAAAGAAGGAATGCTAGTAATATTGTACAAAGTTTATTTTATTTTTATTTGATTTTATTTTTATTTTATGTTTTAACAAATTTAGAATTAAAAGGTATTCATTGCAGTAGAAGACTTCTTCTTTTTATTTTTATTTTTTTTTTTCAAATGAGAATACAGTAGAACTTTTATTATTTATATGCATTTATTTATTCAGTTATAATTGATTTGCAGCATATAATTAGTATAGTTTAAGATGTAAAAAAAAAAAAAAAAAAAAAAAATATTTATATACTTTTTTTTTGTTTTTTGTTAATTTGTTACCATGGAATATGCATTGTTGCTTCCTTTCATAGAATACACTATTTTGCCTTTGGGTTCACCTCTATTATTATAATTGTTGTTATTTTTCAATTTTTATGTCAAAATGTAAAATACATTGTTATAAACAACAGTCGGCCTCTAAAAATGCATTACTTATTATTATTATTATTATCATTATTACTCCTGCTAATAATTAATTTATTAAGCAACTTTTGAAACGTATTTAATTTGCACGGATGACATAGTTTATATTCAATCATTTATTGAAACATGACAAATAATAATTTATCATGCCATATTACTATTATTATGTGACAAAGTAGTTATCATATTTATATTTATATGTATGTTATATGTTATGTGTATATAAGGGGGGCGGGAACGGGGATGGGGAAGTGTTGGTAATACGAAAAGGAAGTAAAGGGAAATTAAATAATTTAAACATGTTTAAATAGGGTGAGTTTTTTTTTTCTTCTTTTTTCGTGTGGTTTCATTTTTATTTTTTTTATTATGGATCACCAGGAGGAATAATACCAGGTATAGCATACTGTTGTACACAGGCCATTGCACCTACACAACAGACTAAGAAAAGTGAATGTAAGATGGTGCGTCTCAAGACTTTTCCTTCTTGACCTTTCAAACCAATAGTAGAAACACCAGTTGTCAAGTTTTGAGGTGAAATCATCTTGGATGTGATTGCACCACTTGAGTTTGTGGCAGCCATCAAGACTGCAGATAAACCAATTTCTCTAGCAGCCACGACTTGCAAATTACCGAAAAGGGAGTTAGCTGATGTATCACTACCTGATAAAAAGCAAGCAAACCAACCTAACCACGCCGACAAGAATGGGAAGGCACGTCCAACAGAAGATAATGTTAAGCCGACTGTGTAGGCAATACCAGAATAATTATAAAGGTATGCAAAGGACATAATGAAGGAAACAGTAAAGATGGGTAAGAGAAGTTGATGGTATGTTGCTTTTAAGGCGAGCCAAAAGATCTTTGGATGAGAACCATTCCAGAGAACAATAGCAGCAAATGGGAAGGCTGAAACAAGAATGGCAGTACCAGTTCCTAAAGGTTCAAAATTCCAAATGGCACTATAACGTTTACCATAAAGGGTCAAATAGACTTCTTCATGGAGATGTGGCCATTGGACTAAGGTACGTCCATAATCGGGGACCTTGGCAAATGTCCAAATAATAACAACAAGGACAATCAGAATCCATGGGCTCCAGGCTAATAAAGCTTCTCGAAGATTAGGCTTCAATACCTCCATTTCCGAAGGTTTTTCTTTAGTTTTATAAGGACCCATATCATGATCAGCTTGAGAAGATGTTTTATCAGCGATATTTTCAATAGCGTTTCCTTCCTCTTGTGAGTTTGCAACTTCAATTTCAGATGCTTCTATTTTACTTGATGTAGTGTTTACTCTATCCAATTGATTTTCATTACAATCTGATTGTGAATTATTATTATGGGTATTCTCTTCATCTATACTAGATGACTTGGTAGTATGCATCGTGGCATAGTATTCAGGTCGATATTTAGGTCTCCAGAACTGAACAAAACCAATAACAGCCACTAAAGATACAATACCAGCAATTAAGTCTGGCAATTCAGGACCCACTAAATTTGCAAAGATACCCTATATTATGATGTATTTAGAAAAACGAAAAAAAAATAATAGTAATCGTTTTTATACTATACCTGAGTAACAGCAAATGATAAACCAGCTACAAGTGCAACTGGCCAGCACTCAATAAGACCAGCTCTAAAACCTATATAAGATATGGTTTGTAAATATTAGGAAAAATAAAAAGGAGGGCACTTTTTTTTTCTCTAAATGTAAAATCAACAAAAAAAAAAATCTCCCATGTTTTTTTTTTACCTGCAAAAAATATCATTGCATAGAAAGGAAGGAGTAAACTTAAAAGGGGTAATTGACGACCCATCATGGCTGATAAACTCATTACAGGTAAACCTGTGATAGATGCTAATGTAGTGACGGGAATACCCAAGGCACCAAATGCTACAGGTGTTGTATCAAATAACAATGTATAAGTTAATGCATCTAAAGGATCAAATCCAACAGACACCATTAATGATGAACAAATAGCACCTGGTGTACCAAAACCTGCCACACCTATTTGTAAAAATATGAGTCAACATGAGTTTCTTTTTATATATATATATATGCATACACATATATATACTTATATACTTTATTATGTACCTTCTAAAAGAGCACCAAAACAGTAACCGATAATCAATAAAATAATTCTTGTATCAGGAGGGGTATAAGCTAAAATCCATCTACGAAAATAATCAAAAAGGCCTGAAAACACGGTTATATTGTATACAAACCTATAAAAAGAAAGGAGAAAGAGATAGAATATAAATATTCTGGTCTCTCATATAAATTAAATGTATTTTTACATCGCATTCACGACGATCCACATAACTGGCCAATTAGCAAAGACAACTCCATTTCCAATTGCTTCAAAAGCTTTTTGTGCAGGCATATGCCAACCGAAAATTGCAATAAATATACTGTAGTATACAGAAGAAAAAATTAAGTGTATTAGACTCTATCTTTGTATCTCTCTCTCTCTCTCTCTCTTTTTTTTTTTTTTTTTTTTTTTTTTTTTTTTTTTTTTTTTTTTACCAAACAATAAGACCAGATAAGGATGAATATTGGGCAGGAACTTTAAAAATGCCCAACAAAACTAACACTAATAAAAGAGGAATCAGGCCGACAAAGAATGAACCGATAAGACTATTGCCAATAGGAGTTAATGGTTGAACAAATATTCCTTCAGCCTCGAGGCCAGCAGGAGCTGTAGGTATGTTGACCATTCTTTTGTATCTTTTTTTTCTTCTAAATAAAAAAAAACAATAAATAAATAAAAAAACAATCAATAAAAAATTGTTTCTTAGGGAATTTTTATATGAGTTGCCTATAGCAACTGATCTGAGATATTGTGCATAAAAAAAATATTTTTAATTTTTTTTTGGGAAGTTAACACAAAAAAAAAAAAAAATTAAAATTTTAAACCTTTTTTTTTTCTTTTTGTGGGGAAAAACTGGGGAAAAAAATAAGAAAGACTCCGAGTAATTTATAACAAATGATTAACTATTATCATTGAAAAGAAAAACAATAATAATTTATTATACATCATTAAATACATAAGATTGAAATCAGCATCTAATTTATGCACCATTATGTAAAATAAAAAGGAAAGAAGGATCATAAAGTTATTCTGTTTAACCATAAAAAGCTCTTGTATTTCTCCTATTTTCCTTTTGTTTTCACACCTGTAAAAAGAAGTTTTTTTTTTTTTTTTTTTTTTTTTTTTTTTTTAATAAATTATATAATAATATAGAATAAAAAAAATAGCATAAGGAAATCCACAAATAGACAAGAGTCAAACTGATTAATTTTACTATAAATATACATATACATGTATATGAATATATACGTGTGTGTAAGTGTGCATACATGTACATATATAGTTCTAATTATAATTCAAAATACAGTATAAAATCCCTTTTATATACATTTATATACATACATACATACATTCTATGACAAGATACAGTTATCATATAGAGCACAATGTACAACTGAGCGGATTTACTATCATTATTACAGCCACTAAACTTTATGTAGATCAAAATTTTTTCACATATTGTAACTGGAACCTTACACATTGGGTTTTTATTTTGCGGGAATTTGCTTCTTTGAAACTTATAACGATGTTTGATAGGCGCATTCATTTGCTTTTTTTTTTCCTTCCAATGAATTGTCTATGACTAAAACTCAAAACCTCTCACAATACTCTCTACAAAAAAATAAAAATAAACAGCTAGTTATTAGTTCAAGCAACAGCAAATTATTGACAGGAGTGAATAGACATAGTAATATATTAATAGATGAAACATATTTTTATCAAAGCTTTAAAGTAGTATGCTTCACGGTGAAACAAGAAAACACGTATTGTTATTGTTTGAATACTCGAAAAAAGTAGAGTAAAAGTATCAATTATTTCTTTTCACACAGCTTTAGAAGCTAAAATAGCACTAGTAGCGAAGAAAAAAAAAAGAAGATAGAAAATGAATGGGCTAGTAAGTCTGACAATGTATATAAAAAGGTAAGAGTAGTACAGATGATACTAATCACAGGTTTAGCACTTTAGGAGATATAGATAAGCATGAAAAAAAAATTGAAGAATGTTCTTATTTATGTGCATGTATTAAAAGTTGTATACCATGTTGTTACTAACGTCAAAATCAGTTGAGCAAATTTAATTCGTTAATAAAAGATAAGCTTAAAAAATGATGTGCTTTTGTATGAAAAAAAAAAGCACTAATTATAATATGAATCCGAAGAAGTATCTGCAATAGTGTAACTTTAAAGTGTTTCCGAGGGTTACTGTAGATATCATCATGGAATAAAAGTATATTTGTAACAATAAATTTTGCATTAAATAATAGCTTACTAAATATTATTGAAAGAGAGGCTCTGTTTGTATGTTCATTAGTTGTATACATTCTTATCCTGTTTCTGTGTAATTTTTAACTTATTGATGGCTACAATAATATTATACGCAAGCAGAATGGTGTTGTTTTTGTTTTCTTTTATGATTGACGAGTATTAATATTTAGGTCCCAAGTCTTTTAGAATAAGTAATTAACATTCTTACAATGATACCTTCGTTTGTTATTATTAGTAGGCCAGTTATTAATGGGTACAAGGGTAGCTTCGTTTGAAAAGCTATTGTTTATTACGATGTGCCTAATAGTTTCTAATGGGAGTGTGGTCATGGAAATTACTAGCAGGCTCTCAAGTATCATTCCTTTCATCATAACCTTTCCACCTGGACTTGATATAGGTAATTACCAGAGCTGTCTTTATGATTAATTACTACTTCCTCTTCATAAGTATCAGTTTCAGTATTGCCCAATTTAACTTCATGCAATATAATTTTAATATAGGTAGGAGGAATATCTCTTGGTAAGAGTGCCCTAGTACCATCAACTAATACATAACTTCCACCTTGAGTTTTCCTTTTAACAGTGTAATTACCAACATAGAGAGTGAACACTCTTATGAATACAATTCATATTCTTAATCATGACTTGACTACCAGTGGGTATTTTGGTTTAAATCTTAAGAGTTCAACTGAACTCGTCTTGAGCAACTCCCTGTAAGGTTTTTATTTTATTATGAATAGCAGATAAGACAGTATTATTAAACTTGTTGATTTTTTTGTTGTTGTGACCTTTTTTTTTTTTTGACAGCAACATACTATAACTTTACATAGCTTGATAACACCCTTAAGATTGATGAAAATAAGAATAGAAAATTGTAAAGAAACTAAACAATAGTCCATTATTTTTATTTATGACGATATTAAAAGATGAGCTATTCATATAAACATATAGGGAGCATCTAAAGTGATTGATGACTGAGTAATATTTAGTATAATTAAAATCATGAATAAGTATAAAATTAAGTTAAAATCAAGCTATTGTTAATCTAGGGTCAAGTAACTTTGACTAATTTATTTAATACATACAAATAAATATTTATTGAACCCTAAAAGATGTATCTATTCGTATTTCTTATTACTAATGTAATACATATTATATTAACTCATATTCTTTTCAATTCAAGAGTAGAGTAGACACGTTTAATAATCGTTTCAGAGATATAAGGTCTCTTGCTTCAAATGACGTACCTGATTTACTCGACTCTAAGAGAATATGTAAACTAAGATATACAATAATACATCATATCTTTTTTTTATCTATTTTATGCAGCATGAAGGTAATTAGTGACATAGTAAGGTATCACTACTGACTTTAAAGAAGAAAAAATGTATAAAAAAGACAGAGTTCATTTTGTAACTTTTGGTAAAACTTGGGTTATTAAGAACAACTGTAACGAACGTTCATAAAAAAAATGGTAATAGTAATATACAAACTTACTATTTATATTGCCTCTAATTATTTAATATTAAGTTCAAGAGATATGTAAACTTAAATCAAATACTTTTGTTAAACATTGTAAATTGTCTATTCCAATTAACAAAAACATCAATAGAATGAATATTATTATGTAATCTACATATGTAAATAGTAATTCATTTAACACCAGGGATGAACAAATTACGGCAACCGTATAAATGTACTTTTAGTAGATGAAAGAGAATGTTTATACATACTATAACATACATGTTCAAAATGAGGTAGAAACAGCATGTACAATCATGTGAATACATAAAGTAAAATAAAATCCCGCGTTTTTTAAAAAATAAAAAATAAAAAAAAAAAAAATGAAAAGAAGCAATAATTGTTGAATGGTGGGGAAAAATAAAATAAAAATAGAATTTCTTTTTTATTCTTATTTTTTTCTTGTCTATTTATTATGACTTCAAACACAATCCCACTCTCAATTTCAAGTCCTGAATATAAAGGCATTTCTGAATTGAATATTATTTACGAAGCTGGTAATGGAGAATACACGTAAATTAGTCATTTTAAAAACATATTTCCTCTATTTAGGTCTTGATAATGAAAGTCGTCCAATATTAGTCTTATGTGCTAATAACTTGCCTAATCCTGATATATACGATTATGATTTAATATTATCGTAAGTTTATTATTATTGTTACAGTTTCATTTACTAGTTACTAACACATGATTACGTAATATATAGTTTTCTTGTAGCTCGATTGTAATATTTTACTACACACATACACACACAGATATATATATCCTTGTCCATACTTATATATGTATTTTTATTTTATTTTTTTAGAGATGAATTTGTTGAAAATGATTATGTTTTGGTTTTCTTTTCTTCACCTGCAAAACATCGACCTGGCTGGATGTGGCTATTAAAAGCATATCGATTACTGGATCGCAAGTAATAAAAATAGCTTCGTATTATAATTGACATGTATTTCTAAGAGAGGGGAAAAAAAAAAGAAAGCTAAAACTACTTTTATTATAGATATAAAAAGAATCTAAAGGCGCTTTATGTAGTTCATCTTTCAACTACCTATAGAATTATCTTTGATCTTGCTAATAAAGTCATCAGTCCTAAATTCGCTAGTAAATTACGTTATATTCCAAATTTAGAAGTATTACAAGATCACATTCAATTAGCCCCACAATTTATACCATTAAGCGTGATTAACTATGATTCACAATTACCTTCTACTATTGCAAATACACATCAAAGACAACAACAAAAACGACCAGTCCCTTCTTTGGCATTTGGTAGAAAGCTAGAAGATTTAGCTTTATTAGAAGGAAAAGATATAAATGATAATGACTTTATACCAGCTTTTATAATTCAAATTATAAATCATATAAAAGAAAAAGGTGAGCATAAAGTTTTTTTTTTTTTTTTTTTTTTTTTTTTTTTTTTTTTTTTTTAAAAAAAAAAACTACATAATAAATAAAGTTCTAACAATAAAAAAAATTGGGAATACAAGGATTGGATAAAGAAGGTATCTTTAGAAAGTCACCTTCCAGTGGTGAATTACAATCTGTCAAATATTTATTTAATTACGGTAAAATAATTTATCCTATCATAAGAATTAAAACGAAAAAAAAAAATTAATTGTAATCCATAGGTAAAACTGTCAATTTACATGAATATGATATTAATGTTTCCGCATCACTATTAAAAGTATTTATAAGAGAATTGCCTATACCGTTAATCGACTTGAAATTTAGTGACAGTATAGCCGCATTATTAAGTAAGTTAACGTATCTGTTCTTCATATACATTTATATTAATATATTAAAACTTCTTTTTCCGAAAAAAAAAAAGACACAGGTACTTGTACAAATGATATCATTTCAAAAGTAAAAGATAAACTCTTGATAGAATACGAGTCAAAACACATTTATTTCAATTTATTGAAGTTTATTTGTCATTTCTTAAAGCAAGTCTCGGATCATGCAAATAAAAATAAAATGACTATATATAATTTAGCTGTTGTATTTACACCAAATATGATACGAACAATCCATGAAGACGTACATTATATGAAGATACCTGACACGCAACAATCAGTAATAGCTGATTCGGCTTTTTATTTAAAACAAATGAATCAAGGCATAACTCTTGTTCAGTTCTTTATTGTAAACTGTGATGAAATATTTCGTTAAATAGTAATAAAAAGCTGCCCTTATTGTGCATACGCATGTCTATTTTTTTTTTCTTTTAATGAAATCCGATAAATTGAAGTTAATGTAAAGTGAAACCATTACTATTCTGACTTGTAAAAAAAAAAAGGAAAAAAAAAAAGAAAAAAAAAAAAAAAAGAAAAAGTTAAATAAATTTGTATACATCTTTATCTTATCCTTCTCACTTCCCTCCTCTTTGCCCTTTTATTATTACTATTCATAGTAGTAGTAGTAGTTTTTTTTTTTGTTTTGATCAATGTCTGATCCAACAGCAGTTCCTCCTATAACCTCGGAGGCTATTATCGAAGAATCCAAAGAACTACATAATACAATAAATAAAACAATCCAAGCTACAAGTGACACGCCTGTACACGTCTTTGATCCTGAGATGCCACCTGAAAAGAAGGCTGATTTAGTTTCATCTACTAATACAACCCCTATAAAAGCACCACTTGCAACAGATATTGGATCTGCGGATAATGAGAAGGTAGCAGAAGCTATTGTAAGTAAACCATCATCGCCACCGCCACCACCCCCTATTCATAGTACTAAGGATATAAATACGCCACCTGGAGCTTACGTGGATACACCTATTAGTAACAACGGTCTGCCCTCCTGGTATCGCGTCGGTTGGACAGCCCAATCTAATTTACCTAACCCGGGAGATGAAAAGGCAATGTCAGAGTTTAGTCAAACCCATACCGCTGAAGAAATTCAACATATCTATAAAGACCGTTATTCACGTCCTTCTTCTTCTTCTTCCTTCAAGCCTAATTCTATAACAAACCAACAAGAGGACCTCCTTACTGAATTTATTCCGGATAAATATTATGGTGAATGGTTTCATAACTGTGGTGTTGTCTTTATTTCCATCTTTTTCACTTGGCTTTTAACCAAATTACGACTTGGTCTTATGTCTTGTTTGATTGTAGGCGCTTTTTTTGGTAACATTTATATATAATATATGAATACATGTATATATGTATATATGTATATAATTATATAATTATCGCCGAAATTAATTGTTTTATGAACTTTTTTTTTTTTTTTTTTTTTTTTTTTTTTTTTTTTTTTTTAAATAATAGCTACCTATTATCGTACATCAATTAAAAGAACAAGACGTAATGTACGAGATGATATGCAACGTCAAATGAGTTTAAATAAGTTGGAAACAGACATCGAGACAGTAGGATGGATGAATCATTTCTTGGATAAATTTTGGTTAATTTTTGAACCTGTTCTATCAGCCCAGATTATTAGTCAAGTGGATGCTGTTTTAATTGAAAATACACCTTCCTTTTTAGATTCAATTCGTTTAAGTACTTTCACATTAGGTACAAAGCCACCTCATGTGAATGGTATTAAAGTCTATCCAAGCACTGCCCCCGATGTTGTGGTAAAGATATACTATATATATATATATATATATATATATATATATATTTATTTATAGGCTTTTGAATCAAAATAATTGACATATATTATATTTAGTGTATGGATTGGCAATTCTCATTTATTCCAAATGATGTACTTGATTTGACAGCTAGAGAAGTACAAGCAAAGGTAAATCCAAAGATTGTCTTGACAATTCGTGTTGGTAAAGGTATGATTGGTGCTGGTATGCCAATTCTTTTAGAGGATTTGGCATTTAGCGGTCGTATGCGTATCAAACTTAAACTTTTTAGTGAAATGCCTCATGTAAAATCGGTTGAATTATCCTTCTTGGAAAAGCCTCATTTTGATTATGTCTTGAAGCCAGTTGGTGGAGAAACTTTTGGTTTTGATATTAACAATGTATGTATCTATTTCATATCTACATTATATATATATTTTATTTATTTATTTATTTATTTTTTTGGTATACATACATACATACATACATAGATTCCTGGTTTAGAAACATTCATTAAGGATCAAGTTCATGCTAATTTAGGACCTATGATGTACGCACCCAATGTCTTTACCTTGGATATCCCTGCTCTCATGTCAGGCGCTAACGATCTTGAAACAGCGAATGGTGTCTTGGCTGTCACCATCTATTCTGCACAATCACTTAAACCTAACGATTTCCTTGGTACTCTAGATCCTTATTGTACCTTCCATGTAAACAACATAAAGACACCTGAACTCGCACGAACGAGCGCTATCGAAAATACATCTAATCCAAAATGGGACGAAACCCATTTTATCCTTCTCAACAACTTGAATGATAACCTCTGTTTCCGAGTCATGGATCGTAACACAGGCCGTAACGATGTAGAAGTTGGCATTGCTAACTTGAACCTCAAGGAGGTAGAGGATACAGAAGAAAAGGCGATAGAGGACCCTCAGTTGATTGTCTTGCGTAGTGGTCGCACGGTAGGTGAAATTAAGGCAGATGTTCGCTATTTCCCTGTTGCAAAGCCTGAAAAGAAAGAAGACGGTACCCTCCTCCCCGTTCCAGAATCCAATACTGGTGTCATGCGATTTTCTATTTTGGACGCAAAAGAGCTTTTCAGTCATGATGATAATTCATTATCAACTGGATCTTCTTCACATCGTAATGGTGGTGGTGGTGGATTACCTCTTGTTGGTAGCTTACCCATCGTCAGTAGTGTCCCCATCATTGGCTCAGGTAGCGGTGGTAGTGATGGTGTGAATGCGTATGTTATCCTTAAAGTAAATGGTCAAGAAAAGCTGCGTACAGCACCTTTCAAACGTAGTTCTGCACCACGTTGGAACAAATACGTTGAAGTCTTTGTGGCTGATAAGGCTAACGCACAACTTGAATTGATTGTTATGAATAGTGTCGACTTTGGTGATGATACCATCTTGGGCCGCTGGAATTCGAGCCTGACAGAGATGGAACGTCAATTGCAGGTCGACAAGAACGATTGGTGGCAACTCAAGAACAGTAGTGGTAAAATCCATCTTGATATGACATGGAAGAATGTACCCCTGACAGGTCTCTCGGCTAGCTTGATGACGAAAGGTAGCTATCGTCATCCTATAGGTGTCGTAAGGATCAAGTTGAACGGTGCAACAAACCTCAAGAATGTGGAAATGTTAATGGGTGGGAAATCGGATCCTTACGTGCGTGTCATGTCAGGCTTACAATCGCGTGCTCAAACCGATGCTATCCTTGATAATTTGAACCCCGTTTGGGATACCGCTCTTTATGTCCCCATTCATAGCATGCGTGAAGACCTTGTGTTGGAGGTGATGGATTATAACGATATTCAAAGTGATAAGTTTTTGGGTATGTGTGAGTTGTTCATGAAGGATTTGGTGGTTGAAAAGAAATTAGAGGATGGTACAAGTTATTATGAAGCACTCCCTGGAGTGAAAAGACAAGTTGACTTGATGAATAAGGAAAGAAGAACAGGACGTGGTCGATTGGATTATGAGGCTTGTTTCTATCCTACCTTAGCATTAGCTAAACAACACGAAGAAGAGAAGATACCCCCATCTGAAGGTAATGAAGAAAAGGCAACAACAACAACAACAACAGAGGAAGAGACTGCTGTTACTGCTAATAATAGTAGTAGTACACAACCTGAAAAGGACCTTCATGGTGAAGTCATTCCTTATACAGAAGATAACAAGCTTAATATGCTCAGTTATACCTCGGGCGTTCTTTCTGTTAAAATTCATGAAGTCAATTTACCTACCAAGGAAAAGGCAGTTACTGAAATTCTTTTGGACGCTAATGAGCCACAATTCCGTACTTCACCGCTCAAGGGCACCTATCTTCCATTTAATGAATGTGGTGATGCCTTTGTGAAGGAAATGGATTTCTCACGTCTCATCATTCGCGTTCGTAACTCTAATACTGACTACAAGGATGAAAGCCGTATCGGTTTCTGGACCTCCCCTGTACGTAATATTGTTAAATCCATTCAAGAACGTCAAACCTCTTTGGACATTGAAGGCGAAGCAGACGTCGTTGAGGAATATCAGCTCTTAGACACCAACTCGGGTACTCTTAAAGTTAGCTTTAAATTTATCCCTGTCGTTCACTTCCAGTTAGATCCCGACGAGAGTCTAGAAAACCAAGGTCAATTGACCATCACCCTCGTCTCTGCCTCTGGCCTTCGTGCTGCTGACAGGAGCGGCACCAGTGACCCTTACGTCGTCTTTAGTCTTGATCGTCATAAGGTTTATAAATCACAAACCTACAAGAAGCAATTGACGCCCGTCTTTGATAAATCTGAAAGATTCACTGTCCCCGTTCTTCATCGTGCTAAGGCTAATTTAGATTGTAAGATCTATGATTGGGATCAGATCGGCACTAATGAGCTTTTGGCAGAAGGTGGTATTGATATCGCTGACTTGCCCTCATTTGAAACGATCACTAAGGAATGTACTTTAAGAGGGGGTACGATTCAGTTACGTATGAAATGGGAACCTCAACTTTTAGCACGTAAACGTGAGGGTACATCGTTATTAGGGTCAACGACACGTATATTGACAGGTGCAGGTTTGGCAGGTGATGTAGTTGGTTTAGGTGTTGGTGCTGGTGGCAAAGTCTTGAGTAGTAGTACACGTATGGTAGGTGGTGCCATTGGCGGTGGTACAAAAATTGTAGGTGATGTTGTTGGTAGTGGAATGGGTGCCCTTGGCGCCCTTGGTCGAGGCATTGGTAAATTTGGTGGACATAGCCAAAAGTCTTCCTCCACAGGATCTTTAGGATCAGCTAAAATTATGACACCCAATCTATCATCATCATCTGTTGAAGCAACAGTATCAACTATAACAAATGGTTCTTCTACTACTCCTATTCCTTCTGTTCCTGCTGTACAGCAAGAAGATAATAAGCCTACTATTTATTCTGAATCAAAAACATCATTATTAGCTGAATCCACTGCTAGTCATCGTAGATCAATTTTTGAAAATAAAGAAAGTAAGAACATCAAAAAAAAAGAAAAAAAGAAAAGAAAAGAAAAAGTGGTTTACTAATAATACATTAGAAAATGTTACAATTAGAGTCAGTTTGATTGAGGCTAGAAATTTGAAAGGTATGAATCGTGACAAGACAAGTGATCCTTATTGTCGTGTACGACTTGGAAAACATTCTCTTTATAAGACAAAGTATATCAAGAAGAATTGTAACCCTCACTGGTAACAATTAATTATAATAATAATTCGTAATGTTTTACAATATATTCATTTTATGATTTTATTAGGAATGAATCATTTACAACTAAAGTATTTGGTACGTCAGTCCTTGAATTTACAGTCAGAGATCATAATACTTTAGCAGATAATGATATTGGTGTAGCCACATTTACTGTAGCTGAAAATGTGGATGAGAGTGAACCTTTTGATGGCTGGCTTCCATTAAATCCCAGTGAAAATGGTGAAATTCATGTTCACGTTGAAGTAATAAATGTATAATAAATGAATAAATAAATAAAAGGACAGCATATTTACGGTATTTAAAACACCGTATACAAATAGAGTCTTAAGTAGTGGAGCTTAAAAAAAAAAAAGCTTTAAATTAAAAATTAAGGAGAGTAAAATTATAAAGGAGAAGAAGTTCTTTTATTTTTAAAAAAAAAATAAAAAAATAAATAATAAAAATAAAATAAAAGATGTTGTATAATTATTAGTTTTTTTTTGATTGGTTTAAATTGTATCTTTCTATGTATGTTTAATTATTGTATTTATGCACTTGTAGTAGCAGTAGACATATTTGCCCAACCGTCGTAGAATCCGCTATCTACTTCCCTTGATTTACTTCTGCTACTACAGCTATTTGCTTCTTCTTCTTCTTCCTCAGTCACAATTAAATCTTCATCCTCGAAAGGATTATCATAGACCATCTGATGACTTTGATTATACTCAACCATTCTTCTTAATCTATGACGCAATGCTCTATCTTCCTCTAGCTCAATACGAGGTTGAAAAGCATTTAGAAATCCAGCTCGTGTACTATGAAATATATACATTGCATCTCTTTCTGAATTCTGAGCCAAACTTGACTCACTTTCTAAACATTGTTCAATCACTTCCCTAGCCTGAGCAACAATTTCATCATATTCTTTATCTTCATGATTCCCTACTATGACTTCACCTTTTTGCCGTCTCTTCTGTTCTTCTTCTTCTTTAAATGCGTCTTCCAATAAGGTCTTCCTCCTTTTACGTCGGTACTTTAAAGCATATCGGACCGCAAAATGAGCTTCCATCCCACCTCGTCTAGTCAATTCGAGACCATCAGATTGACGTTTCAAATCATCTTCCATTCTTCTCAAGAAGTCCGCTCGAGTCGTTGAATCAGAAGGTAAGACAAACAAGATGTAATTTAAAGTATAAAGACGATGAGTGACCAGACGCCAGAAGCTGCTAACGCATGTTGTATGATCAAGTGATGACAGCATTCGTATAGGGTCTTGAAATTTAATAAACTTATTTAATGTTTGTTGAAGTCGTGCTGCCATAAAGAGAGCACGATGTTGACAACGTTTATCATTAAAAAAGAAACTACCAAAGACATCATCGAATTGAGTTCGATCAGCTTCTTTAGTAATAGCTTCAAGTGTCTCTGAGAAAGTAAATAAGGAGGGTTTATTAGAAACAATCGTCTCTATCGATTCAGGGGTTATCCCAGATTTACTTGTTGATAAAGATGTTGTCACTACAATTTCTGGACTTGGTAATCTTTTATTATTATGTTGAAAAGGAAGCTTTACAGATTTCATACGATTTAATTTAGATGAAAAAGTAGGCATTTTTTTTTAAAAAATATTAATTTTGATAATAAATATACAAGAGAAAAAAAAATTAAAAAAAAAAGAAAAAAAAGAAAAAAAAAAAAAAAAAAAAAAAAACTAATAATTTTTATTATACACTTTTTTATTAAAATTAATATGTTGCACTTGAAAAGTTTAAAATGTCATATTTTTTGGAAAAAAATAATGCCGCATTATTTAGAAAAAACAGTGATGTATTATTGAAAAGAATTTTAACGTATAATGGAAATAATACGTTATACAGTGTATGCTTTGCTTTTGGGATAGTTCAAATCATTTTCTCCTAGTAGACTGTCCTACAAAATGATATCTTTTACAAGAAGCTTGTATTTCTAAAATCATACGTTTTGATCTATCACCAACTAACTGGTTTTTATTATTTTAGATTGTATCAATTGAATTATACCTACTACAGTTCTTTTTTTTCCCCTCCTATTTTTTCCCTCGATTTTATGTAGCTATTATAATTTGGTACAGCCTGTTGTAATCCTTTTACGTAAAGCAACTAATAATGGTTGTAATTTGACATGAGTATAGTTTTAAAGCATAATGTTGATTATGTTGGAGGTAATCATGTATCCAAATTGAATCATAGAGATTACATAAAGATATAAATTAGTTCTGATATAAATCATTCCAAATGAAATATAGTTATGTTCTAATATAACACATATTAAAATACAAAATCAGGAAGTAATATCAGAGGGAAAACATTAGTCTTCTAAATAGTATTCAAATTGTTTAGCTATTCTGATTAAAAAAAAAAGAAAAAGCCTAATAAGCAGTCCCAAAAAAAGTGCTTCTTCTATCGTATCTCTGTTGATAATAAGTGTTTCCATTATATTTATTTATTGTAATGTAATGTAATGTAATCGCCTTTTAATGATTGTACATGTGTCTTGTAATTGTTTTTCCTTCCACTAAAATGAATGACAATTCTCCCCCATTGGCTTCATGAGTATTAGTAGTTTTTTAGCATCTTGTGATCGGATTTTCACAGTAAAGTGCTCAATTAATGTTATCCGTTAAAATTCCATACTTTGAAAACGATTAAATAAAATAACACCCACATACTTATTCGTGTAGTAAATACATGTTTTGTTTTGTTTTTCTCGATAAAGTAGGACTTTTCTTAACGCCCACTACATTAGTTGAAATTGTAATTAGCACTCGCACCTTGGAAAGATATGAATTTATTAAAATATATTTACAGGAATGATTGCTAGATTGTAAATTATCAACGATTAGATAGGGTCAACAAAGTTTATCATTCATCACATCAGCACTATTCAAGAAGAACATGAAGAAATAGCTGGATGCTATGTTACTGCTGATCCTGAGCGGTGTTGTGATCTATTCTATTTCGGTAACATTATCCGCTTACTTTTGTGAAAATGGATATCATCCGTACCAGATTTCAGGTATTCTTCTGCCGCACTTACTGACAATTGTAGAAAAAAAAGAAGAGGAAGACAAAGACAAGAGGATGTGTCAGATCTGGAAATTATTTCCATTATATGTCAAAATTCTTTTCAATAATACATCACTGTTTTTTCTAAATAATGCGGCATTATTTTTTGCCAAAAAATATGACATTTTAAACTTTTCAAGTGCGACATATTAATTTTAATAATATTTATTTATAAACGAATGAGAGGAAACCTGCCAAAAAAAGACAAGTGAGTTGTGTTATTTTATTTTTTATGGATGATTTTGCACATCAGAAAAAAAAAGGAATCCGAGAACATTTTTGATAAATCTGCAACATAAAGAATTGAAATTTATCAAAATAAACATGTTTTCTTGTTTATAATTGATCTATTTTATAATGAGAATAATTATTTTACAATAATAATAATGATAGGTTCAATTGATTTATCACTACATCATTCCAACAACAGTAGTTTTTTTTTTAAAGAAAAATATGACGCAAAGAAGTTTTTAGAAGTATGATGCTTTTCATAAAATATTGATGGGATAGGCTAATCAAAGATATTTCTATTTTTATATGCTTGAAAGCTATTTATAAAACAAATGTAACAAATCTAATATTAGAAATACCATAATCTACATAAAAGGATAGTAACCAACATTCATATCGATACATGAATGTAAGTAATAGACCTTCAGTTGAAAGAGAAAGAAAAAAATATATTTTATTATCTTATCAATACTTTACAAATCATTCATGATGGTTTCAAGAAGAATCTAATTGAATGGCACGAAGATAGAGGATAATAATATGACTTCTTTTGTTATATTATTATTTATTGATTTGATTATGCATTCCTAATTTGCTCTAAAAAAAAGAGAGAGAGAGAGATTGTATCCGTTATTGTACTACGAGTCTTATACATGGAGATTCTTTATGGAATAAATTCGTTCAATGTCATTCTGATATCATAGAGCATCTTTACCTTTGTTTGTTAAACAACAATGACTGTTTGCAGAATCTGGTTTATTTAGCCAATTCTTACTATCTAATTGAAATAAATTGTAATAATTGATTTTGTTTATCAAATAAAGGTTCTTTCTTGAGAAACCCTAACCCTATTCAAATATTATTAAAGGCTGTGCTGTGATATTAGGATATCTAATTAATAATGAGATTTATACGTAAAATACAAATCATTATAACTTCAAACTTTACCTTATTTGATTTGCCCTACAACGTAATTATTTTTTTTTCCAAGTAACTAATTAATTAAGTCTGATTCCCGGTTGTGATGTCTTTCCAAACATATACATTTATTTCCCTCAAGCTCTAGAGGCTCTAGAAAGAATACTTTTATACACTGGCACATAAAACTATTAGTTATACAGCTACAAGATATAGTAGAACTAAGAAAAGTGACGAGATAAAAAAATAAAATAATAAGATATTCATTTACACAAGTATTATATCTTCAAAACTCTATTTTATTATAACTATCCTTAGAGCTTATTTTGAATTCAATCGACTTACTCGGTGGTTGACGGTGCCTTTTTACGACCTTGCTTTTATCAATCATTTAAACTAACAAGGGCTTATTTCGTTCAATATCTTTAAAGGAAATTAACGCCTACACGTATCACATAGAGATAGAATATACCATTTTATACATCTTGAATCAATTCACAAACCTATGTGTGTACTTTTACAATAACTATTCAAGTTAGCTATTATACAGTACAATGATAGCTATGATTCTTATGTTCTGCGAATATTGCTTTATAGAATCTTTCCCCTTTTTTTTTTTTTTTTTTTTTTTTCTTTGTTGGACCCTAACTTTAGAATGACCCTTCTTTCCTGTCTCTATACATTTTCCCCTTCTTTTCTAATAAACCGGTTTGAGGTAAAGTTACTGATTAAATCACGTACGCTCTATTTGAATGTATACATACAACAAATGAAAGGATCCATTGTCTAGTACACTGTGGTTATATCCTATAAAGAACATGTATCAAGAATAACTTTGTAAATTTCAACAATTCCAGATATATACAAGTCCTTTTTTATTTTTTACTTTCATTCATATATAATGATCGTATTAGATACGTTAAACTAAATTCCATACTCTTAATAAAATGCATTATTTTGCTTACATTCATAAAGAAAAGAAAAGATATGAACATTATTCAATTAGCTGGGTATTAGAAAGATGGAAAATAAATGAACAGACACTTTCCATGATGAATTAGTCGCAATGCCTTGAAATAAAGTTGCAAAACTTGGTAAAAATAGGTGGTATTAGCTGTATGTAATGTGAAACTAACTCATTTTAACATTGTAAATGTTGTAAATTTTTATTTCATTTTTATATACAACACGTACGATTCTTGTTAATACAACTTTTGTATTTCCATAGAATTTTGTTTCGTTTTTTCTTTCAAAAGAAAATACCAAGCTTTAACCTCGTTACCAAAGATTCTTTTTTCAAAAAAAAAAAAAAAAAAAAAAAAGTAAAATACAACTGTGTATTTTTATAAGTTCAAGTCTTGGAAATTGTTTGTTTTGTTTTTCATTTCAAAAAAATAAATAAATAAAAATTTAAAAATTTAAAAATAAAATTTTGAAAATAATAAGAATGAAAAAAAAAAAAAAAAAAAAATGGATTATTCTCTTATTACTGTTGCTTAATATTTAAATTCAGAAAACTATGTAATTTTATCCTTTTTTTTTTTTTTTTTTTTTTTTTTTTTTTTTTTTTTTTTTTTTTTTTTCCTTTTTCTTTAATTATTTTCAAAATATGATTACACTTGGAACTGATGATAGTTTAAATTCAAGAACGGCTAATACGATTGTTAATTATTCAGAATTTAGTTACCACCCCATACCTCATTTAACACAGGTAAGCTATATACTAACATGTATTATAAACATATTTAGCTTATTCAAAAAAAAAAAAAGGATAGGAATTGGGACTGTGGGTTAGCTTGTGTGGTCATGACGTTAAGAGGACTCGGTTTTAATTGCACATTAGAAGAAATGTCTAAACAATGTCCAGTGGATAGTATTTGGACTATTGACTTGGCTTTCTTACTTCGTAATTACGTTCATGATTTCACATATTATACAAGTTATTTGGGTAGTAGAAAAGAATATCAAGATCAAAAGTTTTATCAGGATAATTTTGATGAAGATGAAAAGAGAGTAAATCGATTATTTGCAATAGCCAAGAGTTGTTCAGTACATGTTGTTAGAATGTAAATAAAGTAGATACGATCTATTTTTTTTCTTTTACTAAATAATTAATTTATAATAGGATGTTACCTTTGGACGACTTTAAACGATTTCTATACTGTAAAAAGTTTGCTATTATCACTCTAGTAAATGCTCGTTTATTAAAATGTCAATTATGTCGAGTAAAGTATGACGACAAATACCTTTTATTTTGTTTGTTTGTTTGTTTCATTAACATTTATATTAGAAACATCATGGATGCTTAGGAAGTATGTGTGGTCAGTTAGATTTATTATTAGAAAGATTTAAAGGCAATAATTATTTAGGTATGCATACAGATACATGTGTATATATTTTACCAAATCTCATTTATCTATTGAATTATATGATATTACATAAGGCCATTTCATCGTTTTAATTGGATATGATCCAACAGAAGATTTATTTATTTATCGTGATCCAGCAACAAATGATGAGTTCTGTACCATATCAGCTGATGATTTAGATGAAGCAAGGCAAGCAGAGGGAACAGATCATGACTGGTAATATATAATAACAATAACAATCATATCTAAGCTAAGCTTCTTTTGTAATATTAGTATTGTTGTCAAATTATCATAAGATAATACCAATTTATATCATCTATATATCCCCAAATATATATTATCGATTCCTCTTTTCCCTTCTTTCACACTCACATATTCATATACACACACTCATGCTTACATATACAATTTATTATGTATCTTACTTGTAAAGTAAATACAAAATATATATACCTATTCTATCCAATTATACAATCCTATAATTCATACTACGTAGGTGGGAAAAAAAAAAGATACATGAATATACTCAGACAACAAGCTTAAAAATAGAGTGTATTTTCTTGAACATAGATACAGGCAATTTACTAATTATTGTTAACTATTTTTAACTATTATAAAGCACACTTTTTTTTTTTTTTTTTTTTTTTTTTTTTTTTTTTTTTTTTTTTACTTTCTTTTATTTTCTTATACATGTGGGATTAGAGTGTCATCATATTGACTTTCAGCTTGATCCAATATGTTTCTAGAAAAAAAAAAAAAAAAAGGGGAGGGGAGATTTAAAAAAAAAGTCAAGATGTAAATAAAGCAACATTCACTATAATGAAACATCTATACTTTATTTACTGCGCTTTATAATACATCTATTTTTGTTCTGCCTGTTTGCTAGTCATGCATATATCTAGGGGGGGGGAGGGTTTTTTTTTCTCTAGTTGAGTATCTGTTAAACTAGAATATCACGCTTGTAAATATGAATATTTGCAAATTATAAACCCCCCCTTTTTTTTTCATTATTGTAATAAAAATTCTATTTATTGTTGTATTTTATCAAAATCAATATCATAAGAGATATTACAACCACAACTATGCTTTGCATTTGGATTGTCAATTACTTGAAATGTGGATCCAATTAACTCTTGCACATAATCTAGTACAGATCCTCTCAAGAATTGAAGTGAAACATTATCTATCACCACTCGCACACCTTCTTTTTCAAATATACTATTAAATAAATAAATAAATAAATAAATAAATAAATAAATAAATAGGCGTTCACTATAATAATGGATATAATTCTAATAAACACTTACATGTCTTCTTCGTCTACTGTCTTTGTTAATTCCATTTTATTTTGGTATCCATGACAGCCTCCTGAATCAACCAAAATACGCAACATTTGCTCGGTATCATTTTCCTTTTGTTGAATTATTTTTAATTGCTATTGATAAGAGTATTAATAATACAAACTTTTTTTTTTTTTTTTTTTTTTGAAACATCAATCAATAGAGCTATACCTTGACAGCTTTCTCTGTTATACCTATCCCGTCTTCTGCGGAGGCAGGTTTGATAACTACTGATTCAGGTATACTAACAAATGATCGCATCCATAACCATTGTGGTTTATTATTATTATGTTTATTTATTAATTTCTGTTTGTCAACCGTGCACATTGTTAAAAATCTACTTTGTCTTGATAACGTAGTTTTATATAACTGTAAATTAGCTGCTTTAATTAATGTATTTTTAATCATTTGGAATGAAGAAAGATAGGAGAGAGAGGGGGGGAGGAGGAGGAGGGGAAAAGAGTGCAAGAGAGAAAGAGAGGGGTAGCGGAGAGTAAGAAGTATAAGGAAGGGGTAAAAATAAAAAAAAAAAAAGAATCTATCATTTTTCCAAAGAAAGTGTGACTAGATAATGATTTTCATTAAGGCATTATATAAATCAAATGCCAAGAGAGAAAAGGGTTGTAATGGAATAGAATATTTAAAAATGAATGACGAATACGATCACAAGCTAAATATGTATCAACACATTTATGCGTATTATTTTACTGCTATGAGTGAAGTTTATATTACAGGACATAAAAAGAGGATAGAATTATCTAATAAGAAATTTAGCAAAAGACTATAAAGGCTGCTTTGACATTTTAGTTTAATAGTACATTATCTCAAACAATAATCATTCACTTTTTGAAAATAATAATATCATTCAGAAAGAATGATAATGGCTAATAAACACCCGATTGAATGGGCTTAGTGATTTGTCAGCTAAAGAAGAAGTATGGCATGAATAAATAATAAAGAGCTTTAAACGTCTATATCTTTTATCCTTCACTAATATGCATGTATATAAAAGCAAACAGAAATAAGTAATACCTTATAGAATCATTAACGTTATTTATTTTTTTAATTCTGACCTGAGCAATTCTAGTATCCTGAGTTTAACCTGTTTTCAAAATTCATTTATAAATCAAACATGTGTCCAAAAAAGGAACAAATAGGACTCGAATACGAAACATGCATGCTCTCTTCCTTTATAAAATGCAATGAATAAAATAGCCAGCTCTTTAGTGGCTTTTACATTTCAGTTAGTAATAATCAGTCATGTGATCGTACTTGAGAATTTATTGTTGAGGAACAAATTATGCTACATAGATAAGGCTTTGTTTTTTGTTTTTTTTTTCGTAGTTGAGAATCAAGTATATACATATTTTAAATAATTAGATAATCATATATAAATTATGTATTTTTAATATATGAATGTTTTAAATATTAGCCAAGCATATATTATTTAAAGAAACAAGACGTTACATTTGGAATTATGCTAAGCAGGAGTGTTATGCTGTATCAAAATATCTCTGTCACACTATCTATAAAAAAAAAAATTCATAGAATAAATAAATAAACCTTCTTTCTCCTTTTACTCATAATGTCTCAACCTTATTATGGTCAACAACAAGGTGGTCAATACTATGGTCCACCACCGGGAAGTCAACCAGGTTATTACCAGCCAGCGTAAGTTTCTTTTCTTTTTTCTTTTTCTTTTTTCTTTTTTCTTTTTAAACGGTTATTTATTATAGTCCTCCCCCACAAACAATCATTGTTCAACAAGAAAGACCAAAGGAAAATGATCATTCATGCTGCTGGGGATGGTAAGGAATATAGGACGAAAAAAAAAAAAAGATGATATAAGCTTACATAAGATGTATATGTAGTTTAATAGCCATGTGCGTTTGTTGTGCATTAGATGAAATGTGTTAAAATATAGCATAAAAGATTTATCTTTATCAATAAATTCTTTAATATGATTATCGTCTTTGTTTTTTATCATTAAAATAATTTAGTAATGTGTTTGTTTGGACCTTCTGCTTTCTCTTTGTTTTTAATTCTGGACTATGAATCTTTATAAATGTTCCACCACAAGTACGTTGATGTTCATCAAACCATGGATCAGCGTGTTGAGGAGGTCTATGATAGATATATGATGATCATATTTAATATCCATATTACACACTATCCTTTCCTCTTCTTTATTTACCTGTTCATAGATCGTTTTACTATTCCAAAATAAGGTGGTTTATCTTGACAAATACCCTAAAGAGTTATTATGTATTTGTGTGTGTATGTATGTATATAGTGTACATGTACATGTGCTTACATTGCATTGCCAAACGTGAGTTAAATAGTAATCCACTTCAGTATGAAAACTATGTATAATAGGTGTTCAATACTACTCTGTACCCTATATAGATGTATATATCTATCTATTTTACGAATGATATACAGTTATGTTAACATTAGCCAGTTTATTGATTCGATCTGCTTCATATAAGAATTCAGGGCCATGACCATCTATTATGCAAATAATAGGAGAATAAATACAAATGTACACACATGTCTATTTATATTACATAAGCTATTTCATTTACCTCTGTCTGTGTTTCTTTGAGTAATAAAAAGATAGGCGTGTATCATTTCATGCTATATAATCATCATAAGATATATCAGGTAAACAAATCACTCATTGTCTAATATACCAATAATGTTTCTATCATGTCACTTTTAGGTCTAAATTTAAGTAAAGGTTCTGATAAGGCAATAGTACAATAGCCACCTGGTTTAAAGGTACATGTACCAGCACTAATAAATTGAACATTATATGTTATTTCTTTTCTTTTTGTAACTCACTAAAATCTACCATCGTGACATTCTTGTTGACCATCTTACTTCGACCATGTCAAGCTGATTTCTGAAATAAAGACGATTAAACAACATAAATAGCTCATGTAGATCAGGAATAGGTTCATCTAAAACACTACTACTACTACTACTATTATTATTATTATTACTATTATTTTGATTATTTAATAATGATGAACTATTATAACTATGATCAATTTGTAATCTTTTTGCTAATTCAAGATCCTGTTTATATATTTCTAGTAATTCTTTCTCTTCTTCATATAACTTCTTTGCTAATGCTTCATCCAAAGCTATTTGATCTTTCATTTTCATATGAAAAAAGTAAGAAAAAAAAACATTTTTTTTTTTATTTTTATTTACAAGTAAATATCTTGACAACTATTTTTTTTGTCTCATATATTTAGGAATAATATTCTGGTTTTTTAATATTTATACCATATTCATTTAATGCAGCTGAAAGGTCTTCCATTGTCAACACATTTTTTCGTTCCTATAAACTTGCTATTAATTTTTTTGTTTTGCTTTTAATTTCAATTGATTTTATACCTTTCCTGATTTTTTGATTCCAGATTGTCTAACTTTACAATATTGAAAAGCATCTGTTGCAATATCTGCTACAAACTTCTGTGTGGCCAATGCTAATAATCGTTTACTATACGGAATTAAAGTGAATAAATAATCAAGTTAATCAATGTACATATATATATATATATATATATATTCTACATTACATTCGAACATCATCACAATTAAATCCAGCTTTATTTAAATAGTAATCAGTTACTGCATCAGGTATCTATAGTTTATGATGTTTTAGTTAAAGATCAAGTCATGTCAAACTATGCTTACAATAGGTGCGTAATTATCCATGGTTGCAAGGAATTCAGCCATTGTTTTTTCTTTTTTAGATGGTATATCAATTACAGGTGGAGGTATAACAGGTAAAGTTGGTGAAGATGAAGAAGACGATGATATGTTATTAGTCGTTGTTGCTGAAGGCACTTGAAGTAGACTATTATTATTATTACTACTGTTGTTGTTGCTGTTGCTACTGGTTGATTCACTCATTTTAATAAACTTTGTTTAAAGGGAAAAAAAAAAAAAATTGAAAATTCTTGTTTTTTTTCTTTTTTAGCAGAAATTTTGGTTTCCTTATTTAGAAATTTTATTTTTCAATGAAATAAGAAGCTCTATAGAAATTTTAGTATTCAAATATATGAAATTTAGAAAAAAAAAAGTTTCCTAATTAGCCTTAACCATGAATTTGTAGTATGCTTATAGATAGCTACCAAAAATTAAATTAAATAACTTTAACAAATGTTGCTATCTAAAGACTACTATCTTGATATGTCTTATGAAAGATGACTTATTTCTTGTTACAATAAAGTAGCTAGGATAATACATTGTCTTTATTATAAATGGTTATAGGAATAGCAAAGGAAATTCATTAGATAAGGACAAATATAAGTTAGATATCATTGGATCTTTGAAACTTATCAGAGTAAAGATAGCTGATACTTATACTTTATATCTGTCTGTCAATAAAATGTTTGTCTAACACATAATTTATAATATAAAACTACTATGTAAATAGAGTATACATGTTTATAGAAAATATTACTAGTTAACAGTATCTAAACTAAACCTAACTCTTATTTATGCTATGAATGGAAATTAACCAATAGCAAATTGAACTCATAAAAAAATAATAATAATTAAACTTCATGATATAATATCAATGAATATGTAGCAGCGTAGTATTAAAACAAAAAAAAAAGCTTATTTATTATAACAATGGTATGTTTCAGTGAGCAGATGACTCTATTTCTGTTGGCATAGGTGTATTTAAAGTTGAAGTAGGGTTATTTGTTGTAGTTGTAGCTACTTGAATTGAAGAAGGCGGCTTTGCACTTAGAATATGACTTGGTGTAGGTGCATCTGTAAACAATTGAATTGCTTGTCGAACATAAGAATCTCCAGGTTTATACCATTCAATCTCTAAATCATCTACTATGTCTCCTAATCGACAGCCATTAGCTACAACAACTCGGCTTAGTGAAGGAATCATATTATCTTTTGAATCAATTCGAGGTCGAATTTCGCATTTGACTCGTTCAACTTCATAAATATCTACAAAATAAGATTTGATATAATCACTATAACTTTGTTCTTGGTCATACACATATCCAAGATCGATTATCAGTTCAGAATGAGCATCATTTTTGCATTGTTTCCCACCAATAAAGATAGCCGATTCAAGTGTGATATCTGAATGTTCTCGAATCCAATCAAGAATTTGTCTACGAGTACCATAAAAGATCCAACGATTCGTATTATTAGCACTTGAAACTGTAATTTTCGAAGATAAGAGAGGTGGACAGACAACATGGCCAACTTGACCGGGTAATTCATCTAGACAAAAAAAATTAGAAATTAAAATATTTAGCTTCATAAATCCTATTTACTTATTTCATAGCCGTAGATTAATTTCATTTCTTTTTGTTTAATAAAAAGAAAAAAAAGAAAAAAAAAAAAAAAAAAAAAAAAAAAAAGGAAATAAAAGGCATGAATTTATATTTGCCTACAAAGTCACAACACATAAAAAAGGAAGTGTATTTTTATTTTATTTTTTTTTTCTATTAAGAAAATATTCTTTCTAGTTTTTCTCCAGATTCTATTTATAAACTACGACGATAATAAATACCAATTTGCTCCATCCAAGACTTTGCAGTACCAAAGAATCCTACAAGTTCATAGCCTGAGGGTGCTTCTACAATATGTATGTCACCTCCTTGTCCGCCAAACCAAGGACTTAAACGTCCACTACTCATCTTGAATTGTAAGCCATCAATCCAAGCACCACTGCGTACCACAAGACCTTGTATACGTTCTCCAGGAAACACTTCAAATTCAGAGTTACCACCACCAGACTTACCAATCACACTTTGACTTCCATCTTGCCAAATCAATTTAAATCCATCAAAGAAGCTTCCATGATGGACAATGATTTTTCTTAGAGGGGGTTTATTAATAAAAATCACATTCGAGGCATCACCTCCCTCTCCGAGTCCGTAGACATCACTCTTGAGTATATTAGTATCCTCTCCAATACCGGGTAAACGGATACAATGAGTGTTTAAAAATTCTATTAAATTATCTAGATGTTTTTGTTTTTGATTAACACAAGTAACTTCAAGTTCAATCTTTTCATCAGGTCGACAATGAGATCGAGCACAAATATCTTGGATACTCAACTTTAAAGCTGTAGGTTGAGTTCTTTGGAGGAATTCTAAATGAGTTCTATATTGTCCATTTACAAATATTTCAAGCATTGACAGACCTGCTGGTGCAATTATTTCAAATTGGCCGTCATCCAAGGCTACAAAGCTGGGTGATGATGAATTGGGTTTGCCTATAGGTCCATCTTCAGGAATTCGGAATGCAGGATGAAATCGAAGTCGTATTATATCTGCTCTGTGCCTATATATATATATATATATAAGTAACATGCGTATCTCATAGTTATTGAAATGTATATATGTATATATTTATATATATATTACCAATGAGATCCTCCTTCTGCTTCTGGTGGAATAGGTGCCAATCCTGGTTCCTTTGCTACAAATGTACGATTCCAATTGTTATAGCCACGACTCATAATACCTAATATTGATGATGGTAATTAGCATCAACAATTGAGATTTAACCTATTATTTTACCTGTAGGCGTATGTGTTAAAGTATATGAATGGCCTACTTCATGCAACTTTCAAAAAATAAATAAATATTTAATATTTAGCCTTTTTTTTTCTTTTCTTTTCTTTTATTCTTTTAAGCTTACCATGGCTCCCATACCAATATTGCACGCTCGCCACCAATTTCCACTTTCATTCGCATCATTTGCAACATATCTTGTATCAGTCATTGTATTATTTAGTAGACTTGGTACAATGTCTTCAATTGAAGTCGGCCAAGCATGCAATAGATGAGATCCGAAGACGCCCAATGCAGTATCACCTGCACCACCACCTAAGGCCGTATGACCTAATGATACCTGCTCAGTTGTATCCCAGTGTGAATCTAAAATTAATCCTGCAACTGTGCAGGGCTTATCAAAGGGTGGATGCCTCTCTAATTCTTCCATAAAATAATCAAATAAACTATCAAATTCTTCATTACTATATTTGCTCTGTTGAGCACGACGAATATCACGTATCTCAGCTACAGTATGTCTTGAACGAATAATGTGAACACGAGCTGTATGTCGCATTCTACCTTCCTCTTGGCTTGATACTGTATCAGGTAACCATGCCTCATCTAATTGAAAGGTACGACGTCCCATACCATTCCGATACATTTGCTCGGCACAAAATACTTGCCACATATATCCTGCCATACGAAGCTTTTTAATAGCAATCTCGAGCGTGTTTTGTCCTTGCTTTTCAGGTGGTACATCAAATAGAGCAGGAGAATCAGATCCGATCATGATCACTAATGACAATGGTGGATTTTGTAAAAGAGGTAAATAGTTGACGTGGAAATGGAGTTGGTCAGTGTTATGTCCATTAGGGAACACAAATGTGATAGTGTTGGGACCAGGAACTAAATGAACCATGGCCTTGAAATAGGAATCAACACAGGGCCAAGTTGTTTTAGGAAAATCATTACAAAGAACATAAACTGGTTTATCAAATTTAGAGTTACGAGGACCTGCACGGCCATTAATAAGAAGAAAACGCTATATATTTATTATTTAATTGTATCGTTTTATATAAACAATTTAATCACTACCTGATAAACAGTTTCTCCTTCTTTTACATTCGTTATTTCAATATTATCATCCAATGACGGTCTTTTCGGAATAGGCGGTGGTGGTGTTTGATAATAATTCATTTTATGCAAAGCAATACATATACAAAAAAAAAAAAAAAAAAAGGTAATTAAATGAGAGTAGTCAAGATTACATAATATATAACAAGAAGTCACTTGTATTAGCTGAGTATTTGTTGTTTCTAGTAATAACGAAGAATATACACATGTCTTCCTCTTCAACTATTTTCTATACAATGAAGAAAGAAAGTATAGTCTAATATAGCTAAATGTAATTTTGGCACACTGTAAATCATTAAGGTGCAATAAACTCTCTATTATTTGTTGTATTTGAGTGTATTACATTCTTAACAAAAAAAAAAAAAAAAAAAAAAAAAGTAACTTTTTAAACAATAATAATTTATTTAATCCCAAAGATATACGTTGTCTTATTCTTTAACTTCTTATAACAAAAAATACCTTCTACAAATACCATTGATTTGTCTGAGTTCTTAAATGATAAATTATGAATTTTAACTTTGCTATATAAGCAATGAAAGGAAGATTCCTTAAACTTAAAAAACTAATATATCCAAATTTACCATGATAGAACTTTATAAATAGATAATTTACAGTTTACATAGACTTCCAGAAAAGTAAACAAAAAAAAGCAACAAAATAATCTTTATATAATCCTTTTTAATAAGTAAGAGATGTTCTGTCAAGCTTAACCCTGATAAAAAATAAAGATTATTAAAGTTACTGTAACTAAGTCAGTAATTTTTTTTTTTTTTAAAAAAAAATACAAAGTTCAGTGACTGTCAATACTTTTTCGTTTATCTTCCAGTCAGTATAATCAAAAGTTTTTTTTTTCTTCCTTCTTTTTTTGTGTATTGCCCTTCTCCTTCACATTACAATGAGCGAATCCAACACAGTTATTGGTATTAATTTTGGTACTGCATATACTTCTATTGCTTATTTGAACAAGGTAATTATCAAATATTTTCGAAATTTTCTGCAATGTATATATATTCATGATGACTTATAGGATGGTCGCGCTGATTGTCTTGCTAATGAAGAAGGTGATAGACAAATTGCCTCCGTTCTTGCTTTCCATGGAGATGAAGAGGTAGAATTTAATAGTAGAATCAACACAGATATAGGAGTTATTTATTTATTTATGTTTAATTAGGTCATTGGTTCTCAAGCCAAATCCGACATTCCTCGTCATCCTAACCAAACCATCGCCAACTTCCGTGCTAATATTGGAAAGAGGTAAATATAAATACATATATAAATATATATGTATATAGAATAATAATAATAATAATAATAATATTGATCAATAATGCGTTAATAGTTTTACTGAAGCAGAGAACTTGACTGGCTCTGCTGCTCCCATTGTAGACAAGGCTGGTGTTCCTGCCTATGAGATTGAATTACCTTCTGGCAAGACTGTTTTTACTGCTAAGGAAGTTTCTGCTAAATACTTGCGTCATATTCGTGAATCTGCTGAAGCTTTCTTGGGTACTGCCGTTAATGGTGCTGTCATGGCTGTACCCTCTTATTTTACTGAGAAACAACGTGAGGAATTGGTTTCCGCTGCCGAAGATGCTGGCATCAAAGTGATCCAATTGATTCATGAATCTGCTGCTGCTGCCTTGGCCTATGGTGTTGGTCAAGAGAGTACTAACAAAGATCCTCAAGATAAAACCATTGTTATTTGTGATTTGGGTGGTCATTCATTTGATGTTACTGTTTTAGCTGTTCGTTCTGGTATGTTTACTATTTTGGCCACTGCTCATGATACTAAAGTTGGCGGCGCCTCCTTTGATGATAACTTAATTAAGCACTTCACAGCTGAATTCCAAAAGAAGGCTAAGATTGACATTAATAATAACCAAAAGGCCCTTTCTAAACTTCGTAACGCTGTTGAGGTCACTAAGAAGATGTTATCCTCTGCCAACTCTGCCCCCTGTTTTGTTGAATCATTAGCTGACGGTGTTGATTTCCATAGCACAATTAACCGTATGCGTTTCGAAATTTTATCTAAGAATGTCTTTGCTCAACTTCAAACTGTTATTCATCAAGTTCTTGAAAAGAGTCAATTGGATGCTTCTGAAATTGATGAAGTTCTCTTAGCTGGTGGTTCTGCCCGTATTCCTAGATTTGCTCTCAAGATTCGTGAAGTCTTTACTAATGAAAATACCAAGGTTTTGAATGAACTTGAATCTGATGAAGTTGTTGCTCGTGGTTGTGCTATTCAAGGTTCTTTAGTTTCTGGTTTTGAAAAAGAAGATATCGATGCTGCTATCCATCCTGTTGTTACTTTAGCACCCAACACAACCAAGGCTATTGGTGTTTTGAATGCCAAGGGCGAATTTATTACTGTCATTCCTCGTGGAACCGCTTTACCTACACGTCGTGTCTTTGAATTTGGCAATGCTGAAGATAATCAATCTGCAGCTTATTTGGCACTTTATGAAGGTGAACATGTTATTGAAAAGGTAGAAGTGAAGCCTGAACCTGTTGAAGTTGAAGATGATGAAGAACCCTATGAAGAGGAACCTGAAATTGTTACCAAGGTTTATACTAAGCCTGCTGCTCAATTAGTCGAAGCTTCTCTTCCTCTTGAAAAGGCCGCTAAAGCTAAGGGTAGTAAAATTGAAGTCCAGATCACCGTAGATGCTCAGGCTAATGTGACTTTAATCATGCGTGAAAAGAATGGATCTAAGGTTGTTAAGGTTGAAGCCAAGAAATAAATTATTCATGGTTTTTTTTTTTTGAAAACCCTTTCTTCTTTTTTTTTATTCTTTCTTTCTTTCTTTCTTTCTTTCTCTTCTTATAATCATTCCTATCAGCTCTCCTATACATGTATACAAATTCACTTACCAATAAAAACCGATTTTTTTATAGATTTCAATAATGTGGCTTGTATATATAAAAGCTTGATTTTTAATTTCCTTTTTTTTTTTTTTTCATTTACTTCAATAATGTTATTTTGCCCTAATTGCGCAAATTTACTTTTAATCGAGAACGACGGAGGACAAGCATTTTTTTGTCAATCATGTCCGTATGTTTATAGCATTCAATCGAGAGTATGTACATTAATAGATTTTATTTATAGATGCTAATATTTCACCCTTTTTATGTGTATACACATTAGCATACTTCTCGTAAAGAATTAAAAAGAAAAGAAGTGGATGATGTATTAGGTGGTGCTGATGCATGGAAGAATGTTGATACTACAGAAGGTAAAATTAATAATGTTTAATCCTTCTATTTCATTTTTTTTTTTTTTTACTAACAGTAGTTTACTTTTAGTTACTTGCCCTAAATGTGAACACGATAAAGCTTACTTTATGATGATTCAAATTCGTTCAGCTGATGAACCTTCATCTATTTTCTATAAATGTTGCAATGATGATTGTGCCCACCAATGGCGTGAAGGATAATTAGACATCAAGGTTATTATTATTATTAGATTTATTTTTTCAGATACCTCCTTATTGTATATTATTATTTTATTAAACTGATGTCTTTTATTACAATTTTTTTTTATTTTTTAACTTGTATACGGTATAAATAAATTAAATTAAATCAAATTAAAAAAAAACAAGTTCGTAGAAGTTTTAGTCTGATATCGCAGCATCCTTTGCCTTTTGTTGATAAGCATCCCTCATCATTTTTAATTGGATTTCGCAATTCTCTACATGACGCTGGGTTTCTACTAATGTATCTTCTCGTTCCTGAATTAATTGTCTCAATCTTTCCTTTTCATCCATCTGTTCAGCTAATTGCCCTTTCAATGTTGCTACTTCATTTCTAGCCTTTAAATTAGCAGCTTTCAACTGAGCCATCTTTAATTCCTCTTGTTGTTCATTTGGCTGTTGCTCTTGTTGTTGCTGTAGAGCATCACTTAATTGTCGGGTTAAGTCTGCCATTTTGACAGCGTTATCACGTACTTGTGTTTCTGCCTTCTTCACTCTCTGATAAGCTATCTCCAATTCTTCCAGAGCTCGTTGTTGAGCATTTTGAGCTTCCTCTGCTCTCATCTGACACTCATGAGCTCTCTCTTCTGTCGTTCGTCTTGCCATTCGATCATGCTCTGATCTTTTCTTTAACTGTTGTACTAGTTTCTTCTGAACTTCGTTTTCCTTTAGGACTGCTACTAATTTCTTTTCTAATTCATCACAACGATCCATCTCTAATGTCTCATCACGTCTATGCGATTTGAGAGCCAAATACTTTGTCTTGAAATAAGCGGCCTCTTGAAGAGCAGCAGTTCTCATTCGATCTGCTTGTCCACATCCCTTTGACTCTTGAGCAATTTGGGTACGCACACGACGTAACTCAGTTTTGACAGATACCAACTGTTCAAAGAGCTTAAGTTTATCGGCTGGTAAATCATCTACCTCCATCAACAATGTTTCATCGGCTTCAGCAGATGCAAAAAGTGTTGAGTTTTGTTTGCGTGCGAGGGCAACTTCAGTACGCCACCAATTTTCTTTAGATTTCAAGGCTACAATAAGAGCATCTCGAGACTCGATTTCTTGAATAAGTTTTTGTCGTTCATTGCCGTCGTTGTCATTGTCGTTGTCGTTGTCATTATCATTATTATTGGATGGTTTAAATGCAATCTTTTGACATGCTGTAGGGGTATTACGACTAGATGAAATAAGGGCTGAATTCGGTTGTGGTGATACAGGTGATGTAGTATCATCGTGATAACGAGAGGGTCGAGGCTTGTTACGAATATCTTCATAGTCCATGGTATTCATAACATTATTGTTTAATAAACCAACTCCATCACGTGGAGGACGAGGAGGAGGAGGAAGTGTTGTTGTATTATTTGGTGATGAGCGTTGTTGATTAGGTACGATTTGTTGAGCCATAGCCCATCTTTCGTCTTTCATAGCAGCAGCTGCTGCTAACATATTTGTTTGCATTAATGACGGATCGTGTTCATGATGCTGTCGACGCATATCTGCAGTAATATCTGATTCGTTTTGTTGATAAGGTAAAGGAGATGTAGCACGAGGACGACGAAGAGCTGCTTCTGGTACTGCTGAAATATGTCTAGGAGGCCTTGCAGATAGCTAATATGTATATTCAATATGAATGAGTTCACTTATATATGTATATATACCATGAAAACTACCTGACTTGAATTTTGGTTTTCTATATTTGGAAAATAAGATCTATGACGAGGAGAAGTTAGACTAATAGGACTACTACTATTTGTAGGAGAAGATTGAACCATCAAATCGTTTTCGTTAGTAGTAATGTTAGTGGTGGTATTGGCAGGCGACCGAGATTGCTGTATTCGAGTCCCATATTGTTGTTGTGAAGAATGTCTACGATCTTCAATTGGGCTATTATGAGGGGAATCAACATGTGGAATATTTTCTATTGGGTATTTAATTTTTGTACTATCTAAAATATAAACAAAAGAAGCATCTTCCATTTTAGATGTACCGTTATCACCACCTATAACAAATAGGCGATCTTTTACAGTTGTCATTGTTAATCCATGACGAGGAGAAGGAGCTGGTCCCATATTTTGAAATCTAAACCAACGTCTACCTATTGATATGATACAAAGAAGTTTAAATATGAATGTAGCATTTTTGCTGGGTTTTTTAACAAGTCAATCTTACTTTTCACTCTAAAGGCAAATAAATCATTCAATTCTATATTATTTTCTCCTTTACCACCTATAATATAAATCACGTCTTCAGCCATAGCAGAAGCTGCTGATTCACAAGCAATAGGAGTTAAACCATCTGCTTCAATTTTTGTCCATAGTCCAGTATATAAATCAAAGGACCAAAGATCATTAAATAGTCTACGTCCATTTGTGCCTCCAAAACTAAATTTGAATTGATTAATTTTTGTTATAATTTAATTTAAATATGTGTAACATACATGTAAAGCTTGTTTTCGTAAATTTGAGAAATATGACCTGACCTAGGTTCAGGACATTCATTGTTATAACCAACAAATTCCCACCTTGGAGCAGAATTAACTATAATTGAAAATTTCACTGAGTAAAAAGCCTTTATATATAACAACTTGAAGGAAAAAAGAAACAAACAAACAAACAAACAAACAAACAAAAAATAAGGATACTTACGAGTACTAGTATTACAAATAATTAAATCATTAAAATAATTTCCTTCATGCTGTCCTCCCCAGATATAAATAATGCCCTCATGAATGACTGCTGTATGTCCTGATCTTTCAGCAGGTTGAACACCTTCCATCTGAATGCGTGCCCAATGTTTCGAATCTATGTACAGTTAAAAGCTTCTCAATAATCCCTTCTTTCATTATATAAAATGTAACTTTACGTAAATTCAAAATATAAAAACCGCCATCATACTTTTCATCAGGAGCAACTGGTTTACCACCATAAACTAATATGTGTATTTATATATTAAATAACACGTTTTTTTTTAACTTCAAGTAGATAGATAAAATACAACTTACGCATAATATGTCCATTTCTAAAAATCATGGCAGATGATATTCTTGGACTTGGTATATCACCAGAAGCATGAATACTTGTTGCCGAAAGATTATCTAACATGTATTCCATAAGAATAAAATTATGTTTTGTTTTATGAGTCCCAACTTACTGGCATCAATATAAAAAAGCTCCTTTTTAGTAGAGGTACGATGAATACCACCAAAAATAATAATACCCTCGGACGAAGCAGCAACAGCAGCATGTCCTGCCCTTGGAAATATACTATTACTACCGCTTAATTTCTTCTGTGACCATGGATAAAGTGTCTTATCGTTATTACTGCTTTTATTAGAAAGTTTAGAAAATAATGACATACAAAAATGATGATGTTGATGATGTTGATGCTGCTGATGATAAATTTGTTTCTTTAGAATCTAGTTTAATTGTTGAATTTTTGGAATCCAATGTGGATTTATTTTTATTCTATAACAAAAAAAAAGGAATGTAGTATTATATTCGAATAAATGTATTTGTTTTAAAAAAAAAAGCGTATTGGAAGAAAGCAATTTAGGGCTGTCTATTAAAAAATAAGAATTTCTAGGTTGTACCTGAACTTATAAATAGTCACAAACAATTACATAAAAAGTTCGACTTTTACACTTTAAATATGTAGATGATGTTAGTTTTTTTTTTTTTGGACGAATCAAAATTAATCTTTAGACAATTTGCTTACCTTTTTTAGAAATCAAACAAAAGAAAATTAGTATTCAGACGAATAATAGAGATTTATGCTTAGGCTTTTTACTTAATACTAACATCCAATAATGTAGTATGTTGACTGATAATTATCAAATAATAATTTAGACGACTTTTTTTAACAGTCATCTGGGGTAATTGTTTTACAAGCAGTTACAATCCTTGGTGTTAATTGATCTGTCTCTATCAAAAGATGACATTTTGTGTGAAACTTGACCTTTGACCAACATTCTTCGATAGGGTTTAAGAAAGGTGTATAGGGCAGCATAAATAATGCTTTGTAACCGGGGGGTTTTTTTTTTATACAATCTGTAACATATTCAGAATGAAGAATCCTGCATTTGTCCATAACAATGAAGACTCCATGTTTTCCTTGCTTATCTAAAATACCCATATTTTGTTCGATAAATTTTAATACATGGTAGGCGAGAGAATGATTATGGAAAATTGAAGTCTAGAATACGAGATAAAATAGTACTTTTATATGTGCTCTACCACTTTCAAACCATTTTACATATTTAGCAACCTTATAATTCGATTATTGCTTCCAAAATGATGGGTGGTATATCTTCAGGTATTGTTTCGTGCTCAGTGCTGTTCTTTTAGATGTTGTCCTCGCCAATTTATCACATTTTATAATTACATATCATGATGAAGTCACACATGATTGTGGAAATTTATAAACTTTCAACGAAAATGTTGTTATTCACTTCTTTACTCTTTTTTATGTTTTGCCTTTTTCTTCCTAAATGATCTTTATTTTTTATATTGGCCTTAAATGAATCACTTAAAAGTAATAACTTTAAAAACATCTGTTTCCGGTATACAGTGGAGACGCGAACTTATACCAAGGCTAAAAAATCTTGTATCAATCGTTAACATACTTGCTACCCATACTTTTGCATTGACAAAATTTATATTCATCAATGAGTTGGAAAGAAGTGAGTTTTTTGATCTAGAAAAACACGCCGAAAAGGATTTTTACGTTGAAGTGTTCTTGGAGCTCACCAAACAAAATCGTAAACCTTCTAAATCAACGAAAACTAAAGACTATAGAGATTTAATACGAAAGTATAAAAACGAGTATTGTATCTTAACCAAGTATGATCCCATCGAGTTGAAATACGCGCAACAAATAGCAGCATATGAGTGCGCGAAGATCGACACAGCGTACAAAAATTCAGTCATATTACAATTTGGAAATCGTTTCCGGATGTTCATTAACCACCTTACATAACAAAAGGCCAAGATAACCAAGAGGAAACGAGAATTAAAGAAAGCCAAGAAAAGCGAGAATGATATCAAGCAAATCATTTCTGACGAAATCACAAAGCCGTTAACCCAATTGAAGCTTTTCCTTGCCTCCGGTAATACACAGAATATGCCAGCAAACCATTTGGACGACAAGGGCATCAAACTTATTAAAGAATTATTTGGTACTTACGAATCGCGTTGCGAATTTATGAAAGCAAGTATATATTATGACTGTAAGGAACAGTCTTTGAAGCACCTTAAAGCATATTACAATATGGCAAAGTACTGTGAAGAATTAAGCTGCAAATCATTCATGTGTTTCCCGCTCCGTCGAACGTATGTGCCATGCTATATGACGATTGATACGTTGATCGTGAATAATCATATTCTGCATAATACAAATAGATCTAATTTAGACAAGGGCTTCATTTGGAGCCAAATAGTCAGCCTCTCATCGAAGGGTATGAAGGATCAAGGTGCTTCGAAATCTTTAAAGTTTCGCGGAATGATTCAGTCTGATGGGGGTAGGCGTGTCGATGTTGAAGCAAAATAAAGAGAGTACAAAGGGTGGTACGCGTGGTACCAGACTAGAAGAAGACGACAACTTTCGATACATACACCAGTTATCCAAAACTGAACTCGAGGAAACTACCGGAAGATGTGTCCTTATTGATACTGGACGGAGAGATATGCTCTATTGCATGCAGGAGAATAGTGAATCTGGAAAAGACAAACACACCTATAGATACACCAGCAACCAGTGTGCGGTTGAGACGAAAAAAAGAAAATTTAGGAAACTATGCGACATAAAAAAAACCTACGTCAGTGAAGGAGCATGAAAACTATCTATCAAGATTTCCAGCATCAGCAATCAAAGTAGACAAGTTCCCTGACTATCTCAAAGCACATTCTATAGTTAAAGATCCACTTCGAGAGCACTACTCAAACGAAAACATACCCCACAAAAATGCTGATCTGCTTCCCTTTCGCAAGTTGAAATTATCATCTATCATAAATAAACAACAATCCGATCATCGCTTAGCACAGACTTTGAAGTAACAATTTGGAGATGATGCTATTCTCGTTCTAGGGGACTAAAATGCCGGAAATACCAAGTACCAAGAGCCAATTCGTGGGAGAGGCGTAAGAAGGATGCTCAAGAAGCATGTTTTCTCTGTTTTACTTATAGATGAACATAAAACGTCTTCACTGTGCCCTACTTGTAAGATCGGTAAACTGGAGACTTTCAAAAAAGTTCGAAACCCACGACCTTTTCGTCGCTCGAAATATCACAGGATGAAATGCCATGGACTTTTACGGTAAGTTTCATTTCTTTCTTTTTTTTAAAAAAAAAAAAAAAAAAAATACGTATTAATGAGGTCTTTACAGATGCCTCAATCAACAATGTTTGGAGTTCCTCCGCATCTGGAACCGAGATCTTGCTGAGATCTTGAACTTTCGTGATATTTTGAAGGCTCACTGAGAAGGACTTGGCTACCCAAATCGGTTCAAGAGACAGTCTTTGAAACGCCCCTTACCCAACAATCAACAAGCCTCTTCCAGAAAACTTTTCCGCCATATGCCACCCAATGAAGGCCACGAATCTGCCTGAGGGACGGATATTGATATGGTAAACCATGATACAGGTGAGTTCTTTTTTGATTCGTTCAGAAAAAACTGACATCGTCTGAATTTACTGTAAAAACTATAAACTGGAGTAGGAAATGAAATTAGTTCAACAGGAGACAACATGTAAAAAAAAAAAAAAAAAAAAAAAAAAAAAAAAAAAAAAAAAAAAAAAAAAAAAAAAAAATAGCTTTTTTTTAGTGCAAGAAAGAATAGCTAATAAAAAATATATGCAGTATTGAATATAATTAGGGGGGAAACATCAAATTGTGAATAGACAATGTTAATATGTAGTCTGCAGTTAAACACTGATAATAAATATATCATAATACATGTTTATAATAATACCGTTATTTTTTAATCATTATATACTTTCCAATAATTAGATATAATAATCGTATTATTGCACTTGTGGAAGGCCTTCATACAATATATTATTAGTAATTTTTATAATGAATTCTGGGAGCATTACTTACTATTTCAATATTTTGCTTGGGCAAAAGTTAAAGTAGTTTTATTATAAACACTATACACACGCATCCAAAAGATAATGCTAGAGTTTTATTAAACATATACAATCCAAGGGCAGTCGAAGAAGACGACTATAAACACTGAGTAAATCTATCATGTTGTACCTAACAATATGAGATACATTTTATCTTGATCTATATAACATTATGATAGCTTTATTATCCTCTTACATTTCACAATGAAACGATAAGCTGGTAAAATAGAGTAATGTATTAACTGAGCTTAGTTATGTAAAGATAAACGTCTTTTTTATTTGAACAAAACAAGTTAGCTATTCCAGCAAGCTCAATTGCCAAAGCATAAAGTAGATCTGTGTATTTGAGATATATTTAAACTAATAAATATTAGTGTCTATCCACCTTTTTTTTTTGTATGGTTTAATCTAAAAAGATGCTTTAATAAATAAGCTTAAAATGCAATGATTTAACTAATGTATGTCCTTGTCAACAATTATAATCATTTACAGTTAGGTGTATACATGTCGTGTATTTTTATATACACATACATATTTATACAAATCTGGTCAAAACGAATCTTTTTATCGTTATTGCTGTTTAAGTGAATAACCGTCTTCTACGTGACTGGTTTTATTAGATTTCACCACATCTTTTCTTTTTTTTAAACTCAATTTAAGCTTCAGAAGCATAACTAATCATAAAATATGCTGCTATCATATTTTTTTTTTTTCATTTGTGTTTGTTATTTCTGAAATGGACGCATCTGAACGACAGAAGTATACCCCCTCACACCTCCCGAGGGCGTATAGGCAACTGAAGAGACACTCCAGGCTGATCAGGCCCAGCCATTTCACGGCCGTGGAATAGCCGGTTGATGATCATAAAGAAAAAAAAAAAAGAAAAAAAAAAGGGAATTTTACAATTTTTTGACCCCCTTTTTATACCTTTTTTTTCCCTTTTTTTAAGGAGTAAATTCATTCAAGGAGTAAATATTTTTATCCAATCAATTTGAACATATTATGTATACATTCTTTTATTTATGAACATGAGTATCATATGCTTGAGAAAAAAAAAACTTTTTAGTCATTAATAAACAGCCAATTGGAAGGGCTAACATATTTCTGTTTATTTTTCACTAATACGACTAAATACATTCATATATTATATGTAAATAAATAAATATTTTGCACATTCATCATATTTATACACGTATAAAGCACTGTAGTAGTAATTAGATGTAAGATCATTAGTATATTTTTAAACTTATTAAATTAATATAAAGACATATATGATAACTATTTTAACAGCTGTTCTTTATTCTAATATATTAACTTTTTTTATTTAGAAGAATGTATTTTCTAGGAAGTAAAATAATTTAACTCTTTTTATATATTTATAAAACTACTTTTCTCTCTCTCTTTTCTTTACTAAAATGTGATGTAGGTTTACGTTATTTAGTTAAATTTGATATATATCTGAAACAAGGCCTAGGTTTTGGTTTAATTTATTTAAAGTCAAAATATAAAAACTGTAATTTAATCTTTAACTATCTATAGCTACATTTCAAAGTAACAAAATACCTGTATTAGAAGCCCTATTGATTACCTCTTAACTTAATTCATACTATCTTATCATTCATTCTGAATACATTATTTTGCTGATAATACCCAATTTTCTAGTATAGCAAATCTCTAGAACTTGTACTAGGTATCCATAAGCTTAATTGCATAAAATAGATCAAACATTTAATTGACTATTCCATAAATAACTAGACTACTTTGCTTTAAACCTTGATCTTTATTATGCCTTTTCTTTCTTTTTCTTACCTTTTGCCTTACAGAAGTTTCTCAGTTAATTATTTTTTTTCCTGATATAATTTAGTCAAAACAAACTATTTAAGATTGTTAAAATTTTAATCAAGTAAATACTATACATTTGATAAACTAAACTTAACTGAATAAATATAATATTCAGTTTGATTAGAAGCTTTATAAATAAAAGGTAAAGCCTTTTAATGAATTGTTGGATAATTTATTGTTTAATTAAAAGATGAGACTTTATTCAATTATTTATTAAAGCAAATGCTTTTAATTCTTTGAAGTTTGCAATTATGTTTTTCCTTCATAGAAACAGATATAAAAACATCAGGCAAAAAATTCTATTGGATATTACACTAAGGTACCGAAAACCATTATTTTCAAAATATTAATAGTTTTTTTTTTTAAAATATTTATTTTTAATTAGTGTTCCTTTTTTTTTTTTTTTTTTTTTTTTTTTTTTTTTTTTTTTTTTTTTTTTTTTTACAAGTGCCTATATAAACTAAATATAAATCATGTCAATGTTCCTTTCCAAATTACTTTCTGGAAGGAATGTGGCTAAAACAAAACTCGAACTATTAAGTGAAGCTTGGACCAACATTCAAAAGTATTATGAAACTGCAGATGGTATATTATTATCCTATACTATTTGTTTAACCAATTCTGTTTTAACATCTCTTAAATGTTTTTTTTATAGATCCTTTAAAAGATGCAGTTGATCTTACACCCATTCCTAATAGTTTACAAAACATAATAAAGCTAATTCAAGCAGAGGAAGTTGAATTTCAAAGAGCAAGTGGAAGTCTAGAAACAGGTCCCTGTTTAGAGTATTTGCTTCAGAAACGTGTGTTAGAAGAGCTTGTTGAATTTGCCAAAGTCGATGTAAGTATTCATTTCCTTTTTTTTTTCTTTTTTAAAAAAAAAAAGACTAAAGTAAATATGTTTAAATATATTTATTAGACGCCTTTTGGAATGCGTATTCATTGCCTTCGATTTTTTTGTAGTTTAGTAACCAACGTTCATGCTCAGTTATTACCAGAAAGGGCAGTGCATGTTCCACTTCAGAAACTAATTACATCATCACATCGCTTAATTAGTCGTCATTATGAGGAATTAGCAACAGAAATGGAATCCTGTTCTGAAGAAAGACTTGCAGCTATTTCCGAATTATCATTAGAACTTGTAAAATTAATGCATGGTATATTTTCTCACTTTAAAGGGGCTAATGCGGCTTTAATGGATTTGTTTTTTGAAAGAGGTTGGTGTCGTTCTAGGGGTGAACATGTTTGGAGATGCTCAAAAGATGGAAAAACACTTCATAAACGTCGAGAGAGTTTTGAAGAGAAAATTGCTTGGAGCATGTTTTTAATGGTAAAATAGTGTTTACTAAAAAGAAAAAAAAAGTTTAACTATTTTCTTATTTTTTGTTTACATAGCCTCGATTTGACATGTTCCAATATCTTATTGATTTTATGAATATGCCTGGCGAAACAGGCGAAATAGCAAGAGAAGCAATATTATTTGCGTTGAGATTATTAGATAATGACCCTGAATATGTATGTTATATTGTTGAATATTCTAATTTATGCGAAGTTATTGTAAGTTTGTACATGTATAGTATTTTTTTTCTTGGTAGTATAAATACATAATACTGATTCATACTAATTCATTACTTTCTATAAATCAGGCTGAGCGATTAGCACTTTTCTTTGCACACTTGCCCAAAAATACAGGTGCATTTACTATATCTAGCAATAATCGAATTAATTCAGTAAGACCTTCTAGGAGACATATCAGATTCTCAATACCAGCAGTAATCACAAATAACAGCCTTATTATTACCGTTAACGCTCAAAGCAGTTTTAAAAAGAAACGCAGAAAACGAAGCCCCTTCGATATCAATTTTGCTCGTACACTTGAATCTATACAAGATAGAGAGCGCATTGTCGATGATTTTTATAGTTTTTGGGAATATTTAAATGATGTTGCTCGAGTTGCAGATAAGAGATTAATGACAGCACTTATGGCACAATTAACTACAAGTTTCTGGCATCCTGTTATATGTACAGCTTTAAGTTCGCCTTCGGCTAAAACAGCCACGGCAGCTGTTGCTTACACAACTGAAATGATTCGTTCGCTTACAGATCAAAGACTACTTTATGTCTTCTTAGTTGTTCTGCTTGGGGAAGATAGTGGTATAGGTAAAGATATTGAACCAGAAGTGAAAACAAATGCGCCTATTATGGACTTTATTGATGACGATCGTGATGATGAGACTGTATCAAGTCAAACTACAAGCGATGATGATATGAAAGGATCAAATAATAATTTTGATGCTACTGAAGGATTAACACTACGTTTACTTTTAATTAATCGCATTGATTCTGAAAATTATGATTTGGCATTAGCTTCCTTACGTCTATTTGATACCATTTTGGAAACATATAATCAATTTGCTGTTTATAATTTGGTATTAAGGAATTATTTGGATATTTCGCCAGAGGGAGAGTATATTGATGATGAGACTTGTGATACAACTGATACTTCCTCACTTGGATCAAAAGTTGCTGATGATAAAGTAAGTGCTGTTACTATAGAAGGCCCAAAAACAGACGAATCTACTACAGGAGATAAGGACTCTTCATCTAAAAAAGACATTAAAACAAAAAAAGTTCGTTGGCTTGTTGAAAGGTATTAAGAGCAAAATTTATTGATATTTACGTGTATGCTTTAACTTTATATATAACTTTTTTTTTTTTTTTTTTTTTTTTTTTTTTTTTTTTTTTTTTTTTTTTTTTACTTTTAAAGGGTACTATCCCTATTACCATTAGAAGATGAATTAGAAAGAATGAAATCACCTCCACTTTCTTCAGTAATTTCTTCTGATTCATTTGCATCAACTGTTTGTGGACAAAATGATACCAATATAAATCCTTATACCGTTGTTCCAGGCAATAGCTATGATGATTATTTCCATGAAGCGCAAGAAAGATTTCATTATGCATTATTAGCAAAAAACTTTTGGCAAACGCCATATCCTCCTATCAAAACACGCAGTGACTTTGAACGCGAAGCAGAGGATCGTCATGGCCGTCCTGCACGCCCTACAAACGATGATACTTCTGTAGATGCTACAACTGGTTTAAATACTCATCATACTGCTACAGATCAAGCGAGCGTCACCAGTATTGTCACAAATAATACATTGAAAAAACCTGAAGCCTATGAAGGATTATTTCTAAGTCGTATCTTTAATCAATTTCAAAAGATGTTAGAATTACCTTTAGAGCAAAATTTGTTAATTACAAGTATCTTACAAAAGATTTCAGGCGTCGTTGATAAGCGTACAGATGGAGTGATATGTGACTGGCGTGCTGTACGTATTGGGGTTGACGGTACACTTTATGGTGGTGTATGGGCCTTACCTACAACAAAGGGTGTGCGACGAAGCCTATATGCACTTTTAGAAAAAATCACATTTGAAGCATTAAAACGAGCTCAATTAGTTCCCAATTTTGAGACTCGCATTTCGATAGCAAAGAAGCGTGGAATTATACCAGGTGGAGGTGGCATACCACAGCCACAAATTTATGCTTCACATACAACAGACCATCGGTTACAGACAAGGCGCGATAGTAGTAGTAGTAGTGGAAACATAATTATCTCACCTCGTACTAGTGATCACACTCTTAGAAGCCATCCCAGTTTATCAAAACTCGTGTTTAATAAAGGTTCAAGTTCATCCTTAAATTCTTCATCAACACGAACTGCATCATCTTCACCTGCGAAAACGAAATCAACAGGATTGTTGCCTTTACGAATTTCAAAAGATATGGGTATTGGTGGAGGTATGCAATCACCCAATGGATCAAGTTCACCATCAGCTACATTCTTTCAGAATTCACAACGTCCAAATGCAACGCCTGTCACTATGACAAATCCCTTTGCAAAGCTCTCTAATTTCGTGAATGCCTACATTGTTTTGCAAGAATTTTGTAAAGAATTGGCGGCTGTCATTTTAGTTCGTCATGCTACAAATTATAATGAGATTGGGTTTGTTAAATATCAAGAGCAACGAGAAATGATGATGGTTGATCCTATTCAAGGTGCGCCCAATACCTCAACGATGCAGGGATATCAGCAGGATTGGTTATTAGACGAAGGTATTATGGATGATGATGAGGATATGAATTCTAAACAAAGAAACTTCGATAAATGGAAAAATAGAATCTCTGTTGTATCTACTATAGCTGACTGGCGTAGTGTTCGTAGTTTAGATACTATTGATGAGGCTATTACTGCACGAGTACCATCAGGAACAAAAGATTCATCTGAAATTATGAAACACCAATAAGTTTAATGCCATTTTATTCAATTTTTACTGTATATTAATTTAAATAAAACCAAAAAAAAAAAGAAAAAAAAAACGTTGGTTTATATTTATTTTAAAAGAGCAGACGAAATAATGATGCCGGCTGCTACACCAACATTTAAGCTATCTACAGAACCATTCAACTTTTCCTCGGCAATTGCAGATGGAATACTGATAAATCTATTGCATTCATTTCTAATATTTGTACGAAGCCCAGTGCCTTCATTACCAAGTACTAATATCACTGGTTTATCGTAAGTCTCACGAAATTGCAGAGGATTAAAGGAGGGTTGAGCATCTCCTACAGCACCTATAATTTCCCAGCCATTAGTATGACTTTCTTTTAAAAACTTGGCCAAATTAGTTGCTGAATAAATATCCATCATTTCAACAGCTCCAGAGCTGACTTTTGAGACAGTTGGACTTAAGGGGGCACTATTTTTACTACAAATTAATACACCATCAACACCAAAAAAATAAGCCGTTCTTAAGATAGAGCCTAAATTCTAATATATAAAAACGTTCTAGATAACTGTCTTCCCTATTAATTTTCACTTATTATCTTACTTGAGGATCTTGCACTTCATCTAAAGCAATCCAAAAAGGCATACGACCATTAGATGGCGTATTAAACTGAATATTTGAAATGCTTTCACTGTTTAATTTATTTTTTTGATTTCCTCTTTTATTTATTCTTGGTAGAGCCTCATAGAAAGTACCATTTATATTTGTTAATGCATCTATTTCTATTGATTTTATAGGTGAAGCTCTTAGAACAACTCCCTATATTTTTTTAAAAAAAAAAATTGTAAGAATTCAAGCATTTATATACACATATAATATGCATGTCTTATTTTACTTGATGTGGTCTATTATCTGTCAAACTATTTAATCTTCCTTTGTCAACAGAAACAATTTTTAGTTCAGAAGTTTTTGCCAATTGAAGAATTTCAAGAATTAATGAATCGTCCTTCTTTTGCTTTGTCTTTTTATTGTCTGATGCTTGAATGAAGATCGTATTTAATTTTGATCGCTTCTTGGCTCGTAATGCAGAAAGTACACTAGAGATACCATACACATGTTCCCAAATTTTTAATTGTTCGAATTTAAATTTATGTTCATTCTTGGGTATATACGGTTTGTATTTAGTGGCACTAGTAGAAAAAAGACGTGTCAATGAACGCACTGCACTTTGATGAATGACTGACATGCTTCGAGATAAAATAAATGGAGGAAGAAATTCTCCCTTTCCCCTCCTTTCCCCCCCCCACTTTCTTTTAAATAAAAATAAATTTTAGACAGGCCGCCGCTATAAAACAATCGTTGTTGTAATTTGAATAAAAAGTATTACATAATAAAAGGCACGTATTTTCCTGTAAACAGAAATACAAAATTGGTATAGCAAAATTTTATTGAAATGTGTTAATAAATTAAATGGGAAAGGAAAAAAAAATGATTATAGCTATATTATTTATCTTCTTATCGTACTACGACCATGTAATTGATACATATGCTCGAGTTCAGCTTCCAATGCTTTAATTTGAGCATGCTGCTCTTCAAGGTCCTTGTTTAAACGATCCCGTTCAGCAACCAACTATAATAAATAAATAGAATCTTTGGTATAAATTATATATTAAATAGTTTGAATAGAGTCTCATTCATACCTGTGCTTCCCATTGACGGAAGCGATTCTCTTCTTCTTTAACTTGCTTGGTAAAATTCAGACGAAGATTGTCTTCATCTTCTTTAAACTTGGGATTTTCATATCTCTTTACTTTAGGTTCACCAAACTTACGAGTGCTCATTTGTGTTTGACGATAGTTTTCATAATGAAGTTCTTCTGTTGTTGAAATCAAGTCGTGCATGTGCGACCGAATTAATAATTTTCTTAACTTCTTAAAGTCACAATGCTCTTCATTTTCTACTTCAGCTACTCCCCACGAGTATTCTCTACCTTTAACAACTCGTCCATCATGTGTACTTACATCTTGAGTTGATCCAATAATAGCAAATGGCATGGATGTCATAATACTTTTATTAACTTGAGTAGTTTCTTCATCTTCACTTTCAATAGGACAAGAATATATTTGGATATGGTTAGCTGCAATAGAATCTAAAATCTTTTTTTTCGAGAGAGAGAGAGAGAGAAAGGGAAAGAAGAAAATATACGAGGTTATAGAATTAGATCAATTGTATATAAATAAAAAAAGGAAAATAGACTTACATTTCTCTTAAATTGAGCCAAATCTTTAGGTGTAAGTGTATCTGCTTTGGCAACAACGGGTATTAAATTAACTCTTGTACCAAGGTGCTTCATCACCTCAATATCCAAAGGCTTAAGACTAATGAATATCAAATTTCAGTGTTATTTTATCGATTACATTTGCCAAAAAAAAAAAATTCTTACGTATGACCAGAAGGCCTAATAAAATAGAGGCAAGCATGTACTCTAAGATCGATCCTATTTTGTCTAATAGGTTGTTGTTCTTGAGCCATAAAGCTTTCATGTTGATCATCAATAAATTCGTATACAGGCATCCAACTATTATAATTATTGACATAATCACCGAAACCAGGTGTATCGATAATTGTTAATTTGACCTTGAAGTTCTTTTCCTCGAGTTCTAAATAATAAATCAATTTATAAAATATTCATGTGGAGATTTCTCTATTTTATTTACCTGCTTTAGTAATTTCGATTTCTACAGTCTTTTCAATTTGTTTTTTGTGTCGTTTATTCAATGCTTTCTCGGCTTTAATACCTGTGGTGAATAAAGTGTTTACAAAGGTGGTTTTACCAACTCCAGATTCACCTATGAAATACATATATTATTTTTTAATATCGTTAACAACTTTTTAGCCTCCTCCTATCCCCTGAGCTTATAACTTACCACAAACCATCAAGGTGAAATTTGCACCACGTTTTGAAACAATTTTATGACGTTGATTAGGAAGATGAGCAATACCTACACCACTAATAGCTGAAGGAGACATTTCTCTCTTTTTTTTTTTAGAAATATATATATATGTGTATATGAAAAAGAAGAAAGGGTAGTAAAAAGATAGAAATAACAACATTTAATCAATAAATTATTACAATTTTATCTCAGTTTCAATACAGTGTAACAAGCATATTTAAAATAATAGTTTATTGAAGATCCCATTGGGCACAAAAAGATGCTTGATTTATTATAGCAAAAATCCCCGGGTCGGTTCAAGGGATTAAGTGGGAAGCTGAAAAAAAAAATAAAATAAAATAAAGAGCATATTTAGAATCAAGGAAAAAGTATACTAATTACACTGTCAATGAGGGAGGGGGAGGAAAGAGAGGAAAGCCAATGAACAAATCTCTGTTCTAATTAGGAAAGTACAGTGGAGGCAAATCTTTATCATAAACAAATAATTGAGTCTATAAATGATAATACAAGTGACTGGTCAACTTATAAATCAAGAAGTATCGTGTTAAAAAAAAAAGACTATAGTTCGTGTATAGGAATCCTATATAAATAGAAGGATAAGGGAAGTTTAATTGTCTCAAATACTTGATACCTCGAAATATATCTGAAGATAGTATATAAAGAGTTGCTTCACCAGCAGTTGATTTATAGTGCTTCGGATAATAAGTCAAATAACTACTGGGAAAGAACCAAAGCAATAATGGCTACGTATAATATTATGTTCAATAAAGAATAAAATTGATAATTAAAGAAAGATATATTAGAATAACAGTTTATATAAACTTGTTTGAAGAGCATTCATTATATTGGTATAAAATGTTGTTGGCAATTAAACTTGACAGTTCAAGTTTTTTTTTTCTTTTTAACAAGTCAAGGAATGTTTGTCATGCTAGCAGTATTTCCTAATTGGAACAGTTGAAAAGTCATACTATTTATAATATTGCAAAAGTAAGTAAAGGTGATGAGTTGAGGAATAGAATAAAAAATATACTCGTAGGAATATACAAACATATGCGCACAGATAACAGCTTAACTGTATGTTGTATAATTTTAGTGAATGGCGTATTGAAAATACTATATATCTTGCTAATACGCACTTTTTTTTTCTAAAGCATGTTAACAAGATACTAAAGAATTTTAGATGATAAAAGTATAAAAGATATTTTTATCTATAAGAATAACAAAGTACTTTTTATTTTATTTAATCCACTATGAAAGAAATTAAGGATTGTTTTATAAAGATGCTTCGTTAATATCAAAGAACATGAGTAAGTACAGAGTATATTGATGGTAATTAAATAATACAACCAAAATCAGAATTGTACTAAATCTTCTTCGATAGTGCACACATAGCATAAACAGTAAGACGACGTTCAAGCATGATTTACAACGGTCTATTCTATACCTCAAGTAGAATGAAGATGCCAGTTTACGATTAAAGAGATTCCTAAACTTCTCTTTTGCCTTTTCAGGCTTCACTTATAACTCTGCTCAAACAATCAAAGGTCATGCTCACTACTTGCGTCTTGTCTATGAGGATAAGGAAAATGCTGGTGGATTATACTTTCCCTCTTCATTTGAACCTGTCAATATAAGTAGCAAAAAAAAATACATTCTGTGATGTAGGTTGCTGTCACTATTCATTTATTACGATTATTATTTTGTTCGTAGTTGTTTTAATTTTATTATTTGTCCTTTATTCTACGTTACACACATTTACTTGTAAAAAAAAAAAAATTAAATGTATTAAAACTCAGAATATTTATAGAGCAGAAAAATAATTATCTCTTAATCTCTATATTGGCCCATGATGGATATAAATTTACACACTTGATTCCATTATAAATATAATATTTGAAGGAAATAAAGATAACTATTAATGTAATCTACAAGTAGAAGACAAGAAAAAAAAAAGTATAAAGATGAAACTCTATAAAATGTAACATAACTCAAAAAGGAAATAAATATTTATATATGTATCTTTCATAATATTAAACTAGAAATAAATAATATAATAATGAACTATTACACGTATTTTATTATTATTATTCAATATCCTTTCATTTCTGATATAACTATCCTTTCTCTATCTTTACTCATTTCACCATATCCTATAACACGCATTGAAAAAGATCCACTACCACCCGTTAAACTTCGTAAAGCATTAGAATAGCCAAGCATTGAACTTAATGGAACGTGAGCCTTGATCACTTGCTTTGGCTTATATCCGTCCACATCTGAGTTTGTCAAAAGGATATCTTTAGGAGCATATACTTGCATGTCTTCAGTTGACTTATCTTGTTCACTCTCTTTATCTTCTATAGATGATTCTAATCCAATCACATGACCTCTGCGTGTACCACTTAAATTACTAACAATACTACCAATATGATTTTCATTCACCTCTGTATAGACCTCCATCATAGGTTCGAGAAGACATGGGCTTGCATTTTTAATAGCTTCGAATATACCATTGGATACACATGCTGATATTGCACCGAGTGTTGTTTCTTGACCAAATGTCTTTAAATCATAAGCTTTGACTTTTATTTTTGTCAAGGGGAAGCCTAAGATTGCACCACGCGAAAGCCCAGCTAATAAGCCATTGTGAACAGCTTCAGTTACTTCTTCAGGTTGTAAATGTGTCTTACTACTAGTCAATGTATCACTCCCTGTTTCTAACGAACCGCCATCCTCTGCTAAAGTAACGTCTGCTTTTAAATAATTACCAGAATTAGATATCCAACCATCTTCTAATATCATCTTTTCGTTATCTGTATCCAAGGCTTCATGTATCGGAGACACCTCTATACGGCATGCAGCACGTGCTCTCTTGCCTAATAATTCTCTATCATATTCTGCTTTGACGTCTGTCTCATTCTGGCAAGTCTCCCTATAACTAATTCTCATTTTCCCCATCTCGACTTTCACCTTAAAGTCGTTTATTAATCTATCTTTCACGATTTCTAAATGTAATTCACCCATTCCACTCACAAGCATTTGCCCACTCTCTTCATCAGTCCAGAATTGGATCGAAGGATCTTCACGTACCAAGTTAGTAAGTGCATTCTGTAGAGCTGTTTCTTCTGAAATAGAAGCTGGTTCTACAGCAGCGAAAAATGCTGGGTTGGGTATCTCGATATTTCCTAATTGGAGTCCATTCTTGATAGCGTTTGTATTATTTGATTGAACGAGTGTATCTCCTGTACGTGTATCCTTTAAACCAACAATAACACCAATGTTACCAGCACTGATACTAGGTATTTCTTCTACATCTTTTGCATACATTTGTAATAATTTATTGACTCTTTCTTTTCCCTTTGTTGTTGTATTAAATAAGGACATTCGAGTATTCAATTTACCTAATATGAGTATATATTAAAAAAAAAAAAAGAATAAATATGTGTAATATGTATATTAGTCAAAAAAAAAAAATTCTTAATACCAGAGTATACTTTTACAAAAACTAAAGGGCCTTTTTTAGAATCATGAATGACTTTAAATGCCAAGGCACATAGATGATTATCATTCAAAGGCACAAGCGCGGTTTTCCCATTATTATATGTGACTAGAGCGGAAGGTCTATCTAAAGGACTTGGAAGATAGTCTATGATAGCATTCAACAAAGGTTGAACACCTAGATTTTTAAAAGAGGCGCCACATAAGACAGGTACGGCTTTATTAGAGATTGTAACTCTTCTGATAGCCGATTTGATTGCATCCGCCTTTACACGCATATGATCGCCCTCTGCTTCATCCAAAAAGACTTCTACAATTGTATCATCCATCTCTGCTAAAGCTTCAATCAAGGCCGTTCGTCCTTTCACAGCTTCTTCTACCCACTTTTTATCTATCTCCAAATCTACTTTATCTAAAGGGGATCGTGTGAAGACAGAACCATCCTGATGAGCAGGATCCCATTGAATGAGTTCCATAGATACTAAATCAATCATACTGCATAACCCCTTTTGGTGATCATGAGAGTCATTTTCATTTATCACGGGCAATTGAATAACAAGGGGTCGTGTACGCAACTTTTTCCACATCTCACGTACTGTCCTTCCAAAGGCAGCACCTACTCTATCCATTTTATTGATGAAAGCAATACGAGGAATATCATGACGATTTGCTTGTTTCCATACTGTTTCTGTTTGTGCTTCAACACCCGCCACACCATCTAAAATCGTTACTGCACCATCCAAGACACGAACTGCTCTTTCAACTTCCATTGTAAAATCAACATGACCCGGTGTATCAATCAAGTTGATACGATGACCTTGCCAACCAAATGTAATAGCTGCACTATTAATCGTAATTCCTCTTTCTCTTTCTGCAGCTAGATAATCCATTACTGTATCTCCATCATCAATATCTTGGATATGAAATTAAGTTTAATTGTGGATAAAAAAAAAAATTGTATACATATGTATATATATGTATGTATGTGTGTGTGTGTGTGTGTGTGTATGTCTGTGTGTCTGTGTGTACAAGTATTACCTCCGATACGTTTTGTTACGCCTGCATAGTAAAGCATACGCTCTGTTGTAGTCGTTTTACCTATTTTATTTTATAAGGGGGGGAAGGTTATAAAAATAAACAAATAAATAAATAATTTACCTGCATCAATGTGAGCAATGATACCAATATTTCGTGTTTTTGGTATAGTGAAATCTTTAGCATCTATCAATCAATTGATTAGATTATTCAATTTGTTTTTTGTTCCTTTTTAGTTTTTTTATTATTATTATTATTATTTGAAAGAGAAAAAGATGTTACTAGTTGTGTAAGTTTTGAATTGTAAATGACGTTGAGTAGATTTAATTGTTGCAACATGATTAGCTGTGTGAAATGTTGACTTTTTGAATGAAGTAGTAATGTATCTAAGCATTGTTTCATAAAAATACAATCAAGGAAAAAAAATAATGATAATAATAATAACAATAACAATAATAATAACAATAACAATAAAAATAAAAATAAAAATAATAAAAATAATAAAAAAAAATATAACCGGGGGTTATTTCCCCTCTACACTATTATTTTAGCTGTTATTGCTGATACAGTGAGAACGGTAAACTTTGTCACTTTGAGAAAAATAAATGTCACTTTCCAAAAAATTAATGGCACTAAGCCGAAAATGATTGTCCCTTTATGTCTAAAAGCTTTGTCCTTTTGAAATAAAAAAAAAAAAAAAAAAAAAAAAAAATGTCACAATACGTTAAATCAAATTGATCTAAAAATGATATGTATTTTTTTTTTTTTTTTTTTTTTTTTTTTTTTTTTTTTGATTTCACTAAAAGTTGCTTTTGATTTAAAGGCAAAATGTTCACATTCTAAAGCAGATTTTGAAAAAAGGAAAGATGTGCTGAGGATTCATTCATATCTATTTTTGATATTAATAGACACCTATCCATCACATTATCATAACATACTTTCTAACGTGTTCTTGCTCACCTACCTTAGACTAATCACCTTGAGCAGCACATGGCAAGATTAATAATAGAAGGAAACGGTAACGGTGACGGTTATGATTGTAGTCGTATTTATAACTAAGTTAATAGAAATAAACTATCATTTATTACATAATAAAGAGGTTATAACATTCAGTCTTAATAGCAGTCATCGAGCATTAAAAATAATGATATATAGTGTATTACATAATTACAAGAATTCAATAGGTTTATGACTATTATATTCAATCACATAATTATTTATATATGTATCTATAATGCTGATTATTATTATGTAATAACATCTTAGAGGATGCTAATAATAATAATAGTTGCATTAAAATAATTGGTATTATTGTTATAGCTGGAATATTCACTGTGAATTAATATGAACGCGTTGCTTATCCCAGAAATAATGATTGGGTATATTTTTAGTAACAGCGACAGCTAAAGGAGAAAAAAGATAAAGTATATATTACTGCATGCAGGATTATTAGGAGACAATATTTAGACTGACAATTTTTATACATAATGCAAATCATACTCCTATTAATATCACTTACCTCGCAAGTAAAAAACATATAAATAGCCCTTGTCATTTTTCCGTATAATTATTTTCTTATGTACAATGTTTGTATTATTTTTTTTTCTTTTAATAAACTATACACAGACTTATCTTTTCTTTTTTCTCTTTCCTTATCCTTTGAACTCAAAACAACTTAAATCAAGGAACATTGGATCCTATGATCGTCCTAGGGCTCTTTCTTACTCGTCACGAACTATATCAAATTCCAGAGCATCATAGGTCAGATGCAGCCTTAATGTTGTTATCTTCTACTGCAAAAGAGATTCTGTCAAGAGAAGACCATAAAAGGTTTAAGAAATCAAGCACTTTCCACCAATTAAATCAAGCTAAAAGGATATTTGCGCGAATAATTGAAGAAAACGATAATCGAGTAGACAGCATCAAAGAATTGTGCAGAAAAAGGAATACTTGCGATTCAACAAATACAAAAAGATTTGGAAAAGGATAATACAAGGGAAGAGAATAGTGTTCCAACAAAGACATATACTACTGAAGATGCTCTATTTATTGAAAGTTTGAGCAAGCCGGGAAAAAAATAAAAACTGGAAACTTATAATTAACAGAGGCAAAGCAGAAGGTTTGTTTCAATCATATAAATCATCTGACAGTCTAAAATCCTCTTACCATCATATCCAAAGACGAAAGAAACAACAAGAATAATTTTTTTTACTCATGTTTTTATTATCGAAATAAAAGTTTTTATTTTAACTTTCTCTATTTGTTACAGCTTCACATGTCAAGCTTATAGTTTCAGTTTCTAAATTGTGGTGAAAGATAAGTATTTTGTTTGGATTAGATATAAACTGGCACAATGATGTAAGTGAAGGTCTAGGCGTATTAGTCGCATTTATGTTGACTGAATCAGGAAAAAAAAAACAAAAAACACTTCTGCGCCCAAAAGCTGGACTTACATTGCACTAAAAATAAATCGTCAACAACACTGAACTCGTTATTATCCATCAGACTAGAGGGGCCATTGATAGAGATAATTAAAACTGTAGGCAAAAGCCTAAATTTTCCATAAACCATCGTATAGTACTCAATAGTGTTCAACATTGTAACGTCGTTAACTTCCTCGTGAACAGCAACAAGTACTGGAATAAATCTGTCATCATTCGTTTCTCGCAAAGCATACAAAGTATATACACCTTTGGTAGCTGTCCATTCAGTTTAGGTTGCAACATAGCTATTGGCAGGAATACTTGCATCTATAGACAATCTATGTGTTAGATATATACCGCATCTTTATACAAGTAATAAAATACACTACCAAATAGAGAGTGAACAACCCGATTTATGATTTTTGGATCACTTAGTAACAATTTACTCAAGAGATCTTCACCAGGCTTCCACTTCAAAGGCAGGATGAGATCTTCACTAGGATTCCGCTAAAATTGAATGAGCTTCTTAATTAGTCTACTTTTTTATACAATCGAAAACCTAATTTGCTTATTTACAATTTTGAGTGGACATTCTACAATGGGAAAAAGAGGATGAAATGACTAAAAAGTTTATATGTCACTGTCACTGTTTCCTTCTATTATTAATCTTGCCATGTGCTGCTCAAGGTGATTAGTCTAAGGTAGGTGAGCAAGAACACGTTAGAAAGTATGTTATGATAATGTGATGGATAGGTGTCTATTAATATCAAAAATAGATATGAATGAATCCTCAGCACATCTTTCCTTTTTTCAAAATCTGCTTTAGAATGTGAACATTTTGCCTTTAAATCAAAAGCAACTTTTAGTGAAATCAAAAAAAAAAAAAAAAAAAAAAAAAAAAAAAAAAAAAATACATATCATTTTTAGATCAATTTGATTTAACGTATTGTGACATTTTTTTTTTTTTTTTTTTTTTTTTATTTCAAAAGGACAAAGCTTTTAGACATAAAGGGACAATCATTTTCGGCTTAGTGCCATTAATTTTTTGGAAAGTGACATTTAATTTTTTGTTACGGACATTTAATTTTCTCAAAGTGACAAAATTTACCGTTCTTACTGTACTGTTGTTGTTGTTGTTGTTGTTATTTTATTTTTATTAAATTCTTTTGTGTTATACAGTTTCAGATGTGTAGAATGTTCTTTGAGGAACCCTTTTATGATCATGCTTGTTGTCAATATACATGTTTCTTGAGCCATATAACATCAGATGATGATACATGCATATACGTATGCATGCATGTATAGCATGATTAGGATGTAGGTAAGTTGCCATGTGTGTATAGAAGTACTAAACAAGCTTGAGCATTAAAATGAACACAACAGACTTTATGTACACATATAATATTTTTTTTGTTTTCCATATAAGACATATACAAATAGGTGTGTACGTATGTATTTATGGTCATCATGGTAATACGCTTTTATGCATGTTATATATTTGCATATTATAATATAAATTTTTTTTTATTATACTAAATATAGTTATAATCTGATGACAGATTGATATCTCTTCTTTATCCTTATGAACGTAAAATATTGACAAGTTTGTAACATCTTTTCTTTTTTTTTTTTTTAGGCTTCTTTTTTTGAATTCTTTGTATTCAATTATATTTTATTTTATTGGTGAGTAAAATATGTATGTTCTTATGATGAAGGATGATCTTTGCAGCCCTTATTTTTTTTTTTTCATCTCCTCTTTTTTTTTTTTTTTCATACATGTATATTTTTATTTATAAATAAATTGTCCCTTTTTTTTTTTTTCTTCTTTCTTTAACCTTCTTTCCTTCCTTCCTTTCTTTCTTTACATATAGACTTTTTTTGTACATACATGTTTGAATTAAACTTTAATAAAGATAAACTAACACAAGAACAATTAAAAGAAATAGAAAAGGTAAAATAAAATCACTTTTTTAATGACCAAGAATTCTAATGGAATTTTAATAGAATTTTAAACAAAGTTTGAACACAATAAAAGAAAAGATAACACTAGAATTTAACGTGTTGTTATTAAAAAGTCGCACAGACCTTTTCGCTCATGTTTTAAGTCTATTTGTTCAATGTGATGTACATAAAGTGCTCCAAGTTACTATTTCCCAACTATTAGATTTCTTGATCGATGTTGCATCTAATTATACAGAAGCACCTTATCATAACTTTTATCACGCTGTTGATATAGTCACTGTCTTGTATTATTTTTATCATCATCTCCAAGCAGATCATTATTTAACCGATGTAGATAAAGTATTTTTAATGATTGCTGCTATATGTCATGATATAGGCCATGTAAGCAAGAAGACCATACAGATAGACGTAAATAGATGCATATACTAACTCTTCTTCTTTGATAGCCCGGATTCGGTAATTCTTTTCAAGTCAATACAAATACTGAATTAGCTAAACGCTACGGACACACATCTACACTTGAAACATATTCTGTAGAATTAACAAAAGAATTAATAGAGAAACATAAATTTAATGCATATCATTTAGAAATGAATCAAATGATTGAAAAATTTATTTTATCAACCGACATGATCTATCACACAAAATTAACTCAACAAATGAATCAACTCACTACAAATTTAACATCCATTATCAATCGAAAAAGAAAGCTTGACTCTATAGAACCCATCTCTACTTTAGTAAACAAAGAAGATAGACAAAGCTTATGTTGTATTTTATTACATGCTGCTGATATTAGTAACATGGCACGGCCTTATGCTGTCTCTCAGCAATGGTCAAATCAGATTGTGAAAGAATTTTATTCTCAGGGAGACGAAGAAAAGAAGAGAAAAATGAAGATTTCACCAGGAATGGATCGTGAATCATGTTCTCAAAGATCTATTAGTTTAAAATTCCAAGAAACCATCCTTCCATACTTTAAATCCTTAGTCTCCTTATTACCCAAATCTCAACTCTTGGTGACTTGTCTTGAAGAAAATCGTACCTATTGGGAGTCTAATACAATTGAATCTATTCATCATTCCACCAACAATACCACTCTTCTTTCTCCTCCTCCTTCTTCTTCTTTATCCACCACCATCAACACAGCCACAATTGTTACTTATAAACGAATTAGATTACGATATAGAAGTCAAAGTTACCCCACTGTATTATACAATAAGCATTTTATTATAGAAAAGACCAATTTACTTCCTTTAGTTCATTTTAAATCCTCTTTATTACATGATACAACAATGAAAAATAATGTAGAATCTATTGTACTTTATCACCCATATGATATATAATAAAATTAATTTTATTTATTACAACGTAAAACAGAGCAAATTTTTTATTATTTATTACTTAAATCAACGTCAATAATAATAATAATAAAAGAAAAGAAAAGTTTTCTAATCGTAACTTTCTTTTATTAAAAAAAAAAAAAAACCATCAATCTCAAGCAATACTACTAGAAAGGGTTGGATCTGGATTTAAAAACTTTTTTCTTTTTCTTTTTCTTTTCTTTTTTTTTGGGGAAGAAAGAGATGATGAAAGAATACAAAAATCTGACTATGAGTGAATTGTGCTAAAAAAGCAGTATTTGATTTAGGAAATAATTTTATGAGGAGTAAATACAGCAGTAAATAATAAAGTCTTTATAAATAATACACCTCTAAATAAATATATATTAAATAAATAAATAAATAAATAAATAATCCCAGATCTTTTTTTTTTTTTTTTTTTTATCTTTTTATCTTTTCTTCTCTTCTTTACCTTTGAATAGATATTCAATCAAAGGAAAGAAAGAATGAATAAACCAATAGGAATTTCATTGGAATCAATATTAAATGATCCTACATCAGATATATTTAATGAATTTACAACTTATTTAAATCAAACTTACTGTGTTGAAAACTTGACTTTTTGGCTCGCTACACAAGAATACAATAAAATAGGACTGCAACAAGAACGACAGGAATTAGGTGAAAGAATGATTCGTCTTTATATTTTACCAAATTCATCACAAGAAATTAATATTCCTTATTGTATACGACAACCTATACTTGATTTCTATTATTCTCATAAAGATCACTATACAAGATGTCTTTTTAATGAAGCGGCTGATTCTGTACTCGAATTAATGAGAGCCAATTCTTTTTTACCTTGGATATCATCTCTTGTTAACCCAAAGCATTATTCAACAACATGGCCCTTTCTTACTAATAAAGAAAAAGGAACAAATGCTTCATTAAAAGGGAATCTTGATAGCTATTGTCAAAGTTGTTCCTTTTTAGATGATATGTCATTGATTCATTCTTCTTCTTCTTTCTCGACACATCACAATTTAAACTTGGATAATAATAATAATAAATTCTTCATCTCTTCAGCTCCGCCTTCCATCTCAACTACTTCTTCATCAAGGACTCAGTGTAAAAGAATATGGAAACAATTGAAAACTTCTCTTTTAAAACACCGAATATCCATGACAACAGCTCTTGTAACGAAACATCCAAAATCATAATATATCCATGCCAACTATACTATATGCATGCAAATGTGTATACATACCTTCTTCTTCTACTTCAATTATACTATATATAGTCATCAATCACTCTCCTTATCAAATCATATATACCCCTCCCATTTATTTACTTGTATACATAATAAAAAGTTTATTAGACACATCTAGAATCTTCTTTATAATAATTCCTATTTTGTCTATTTTCTCCTTTTTATTATCAGTATTGTTACTGCTGCTGCTGCTGCTATCTAGACTAGACTAGACTAGAATAAAATGAAGGATCAATATTGGATAATAATAAATTCAGGGTTATTTTAAATGAAAACAGTAGTTTGTCTTGGAATAACCAAGTTCCCCCAGTAACCATCCTTTGTTTTTTTTTTTTTTTTACTATGCACCAAGACCCTCTTCCCTCCCCTCCCCTTTATTTTTAACTACTACTACTACTACTACTAACTATCGTGTTCTTTATGTTATAATAAAGATTAGGTAATAAAGATTTATTCTTAATAAAGAGTATAATTTAAATAATAAATAATAGATGATAAAGGTATAATAAGGTATGTACAATTGTGATTGATTATTGACTGTATCGATCGACTTCTTCTTTTTTTTTTTAAGCACCCGTGTTTGTAACATCATATCCAACGGAAACATGATTTCTGTGACCATCACAACTCATTGGATCATAATAATAGCCGACTATATCAGGATGATTTGTGGTACGCATTGGATCATTCATGTATTTTTCTGTACTAAATGCAGCCAAGAATGAATGAATAGCAGATGACCGTGATTTTGAAGGTGTAATTGTACTTGATGTTGATAAACTATCTTCTGATAATTTGTTATTATTGAATAAAGAAGACAACTTGATATTAAAGATCATATTTAAACAAGAATAAAGTTTGATTTAACCCTTTTGTGTGTGTGTGTGTGTGTGTGTATGTGCGTGTGTGTGTGCGTACGTGCGTGCGTATGTTTTTTTTTATTTTTATTTTTATTATTTACTTTCAAAACCTTATTTATATATAAGACTGAACGGCTTAAATAGTTAGCCGCCAAACGTCAATTTATTATAAGGAGGAGCAAGAAGATCCACGGAATAATCCTATTTTCGGGAAAATATAACATTTTCTTTCTTTCTTATTCTTTATTTGATCTCTAATTTTCATCTCTTTTTGTTAAAATGAAATAAAATAAATTGATTTACTCTCTTTCTCTCTTTTTTTTTTTTTTTTTCTTTTCTTGGAAAATTTACTTTTTATTTATCTCTCTCTTTTTTTTTTTTTTTTATCTGGTCTTTAATGATTCTATTTCGGATTGAAACGGATATATTTGATTATATATTAAAATATGTAAAAATTCAAGATGATTTGATTTCAAACTCCTCTCACCAAAAAAGAAAATCAGGATAACACTTTATCCGTAATGTAGAATACTACAACATTATTGTGTTTTTTATCATAGTCATAGAAGATCAAAAAAAGGAAAAAAAAATTTTTTTTTCTTTCTTTCTTTCTTTAACTAGTAGCAAATAATAATTCATTTCTTATTTGCATAAGCTATTTTAATAAATCGTTTATAGGAAGATACATTACTATGAACCATTTGGTGGGAGAGGCAATAATAAAATAATGATACATTTATCCTCGCCAATCATATATTAAGGATAACCAATTATGATTTAGCATTATTTACAAGCCAGGTAAGAAAAGAAAAAACTACTATAACCTCTTATTATTAAAACTAAGGTCTTTTATCATTTAAATCTTTTTAATTGTTATTAATATATTCGAGTAAATAGATTTCGTTTGTGTGTATGAACTTGGGGGGGGAGGGAGGGAGGGAGGGAAGAAAAAAATTGAATTCTGCTTGATTACATAATATATCTATTTTCGATCCGCGTTTTGGGTAGTAATAATAATGGAATGATGATGAGGATGGTTAGTACTTGTTGGCCTTCAAGTAGTACCGCTTATTACATGCTATAGATAGATGGTATCGAAGGAAATGAAAAGAAAAGGGAAATCAACATTCGTTTATAACTTGCTTCATGTCGAATGAGAAATAGAAGATGTTTAAAGATGTGAATTGTATAGAAAATAATGAGTAATCTTGTTTTCCATATTTGGTGGATGAGATGAATCACCAGGAGTAGGTTATTATTTTTAAATATAAATTTGACTAAAGTCTTGGCAACGATCAGGAGTAGTCTTCTAGCCTTTAATAGAATATCATCTCCTTTTCTTATTTGATCTCGGGCAACTTGCTGATATTGCCAATAAGAGGAGAAGAGAGTCGTAGTCGTAGTCGTAGTCGTAGTTGTAGTAGGAGGAGGATGATAAGTTTCGGGAAAATAAATGGCATGTATAGGTGGGGGTGTTGAGGGAGGTGAGTAAATATCTCCTTCTTTTTCTTTTTGTATATTCATTACAAACAATTAAAAAATATATTTTGTATATAATTTTATATTTATACAAAATACTATCATATGTTACTACTAAACCTGATCTCCTCATAAAAATCATCCCCTCTTTTTCCCTCCCACTTTTTGTGTGTGTGTGTGTGTGTCCCTTAATTTATATATTTGTATATATAAAATCTAATTTTATTTCTAATATATTTGCTCTCTCTCTCTCTCTTTCTTTCTTTTTTTCAAGTGGGAGATAAATACAAATATGTATATTGAAAGAAAAGAAAAAAAAAGCAATAGCAATTGTAGTAGCAGTAGCAGTAATAGTAATAGTAGTAATAGTAATAGCATTAACTGTAATAAATAATAATAAAATGAAAGCGAATAGGGGGGGGAAGGGGTAAATAATAATAATAAAAAATATCTGTTTTTTCTTTTTTTATCTAATCTATGCGGCCGGCGCACTATGTCCACAAATAAATCCAGAGCAGATTAAATCATCATCATTCATTGAATGCGATAAACCAGGTGAGATCAAGCAAACACGAGCTAATAAACGTCTTAATCTTTCATGTGAACTACGACATCCAGCTATAAATAGAGATAGATGGATTGATTGGTTAATAAATTATGTGAATACAAAAGTAATAGTATTTACCCATAGCAGCACGTTCAAACCAAATCGTTGCTTGATGAAGATCTATTGTAACTCCTAATCCCTTTTCATAACAATTAGCTAAATGATATTGTGCAGCAACATGATCTTGTTCAGCAGCCTTTTTAAACATGTCAAATGCAGCCTTTAAATCCTTTTCAATACCGATACCGTTTTGTAAATGAGAACCTAATTTATCCAAGGCACGAGCATGGTTTTGATTAGCTGCTCTACGATACCATTCAACTGCTTTTATATCATCCTTTTGAACACCAATTCCATTTGCATAACAAAAGCCCAAGTTACACTGAGCCCATGGATTATTTTGACGTGCCGACTTGTGGTACCAATAGACAGCTCGAGAACAATCCTTCTTGACGCCTAGGCCCTCTTCATAACAAAAGCCTAATGAATTTTGAGCCAATGCGTTCCCTTGTTCAGCGCTTTGACGGAACCATTTAACAGCTTCACGTTCATTCTTGGGTACACCAATTCCATTACGATAGCAATACCCTAATGATAACTGAGCAGGCGCATGGTTCTCTTCAGCACTCAGATAATACCAGAATACAGCTTCTTGCTCATTCACTTGCACACCAATTCCATTTTGATAACAGTATCCTAATGAATGATAAGCAAATATATTGCCTCTCTCTGCTGATCTCTTGTACCACTTGACTGCCTCTACCTCATCTCGCTCCACACCAATCCCATTTTGGTAACAGAAACCTAAATTATGCTGTGCCCTTGCATGACCTTGAAGAGCCGCCTTCTTATACCAATAAGCACCTAAGCTATCGTTCTTTTCAACTCCAATTCCGTTTTGATAACAATAGCCTAGATTGCATTCAGCCCATGGATAACCTTGCTGAGCGGACTGTTGATACCAATAGGTAGCCCTTTGGAAATCTTGAGGTACACCAATACCATCTTCATAGCAATAACCCAATGAATTTTGAGCAAAGGCATTTCCTTGTTCAGCAGATAACGCATACCATTTAACAGCCTCATGTACATCTTTTTTAACCCCAATTCCATCTTCATAACAATAACCTACATTATAAATAGCGACCGTCTCACCTTGTTCAGCAGCTAATCGATACCAACGCATCGCTTCTAATTCATCCTTGGCTACACCAAAGCCCTCACCATAACAATAGCCCAAGATACCTTGGCCACGAGCATTCCCTTGTTCAGCACTTGCCTTATACCAACGGAAGGCAGCGTCTTCATCCTTTGGTACACCTACACCATCATGATAACAGACACCAAGGGCATATTGAGCATTTGGATCTTGATCTATTGTAGCAGCTTCAATGATCCAATCCACTGCATTCTGACAACGTTTCACTCTTTCTGCCCAAATCTCTGCTTCAACACGATCAATCTTAACTGAAGGACGGCCATATTTTCTCAAAAAGGCTAAACGAGCCATCGAAAGACCATCCTCTAGTTGACGAGCAGCTGAGATATAATGCTTTTCTGCTTTTACAAAGTCTTTTGTCACACCTAAACCAAATTCATAACAAAACCCAAGGACACCTTCTGCTTTTGCATAATTAAAAGCGATTGCTTTTCTAAAACAGCATACAGCTTTCATTGTGTCTACTGGATAACCTTTTCTTCCAAAAAGATAGCAATTTCCCTTTTCAAAATAATGTTGTCCATCTTTTAATGTTGTTGCAACCATTGTATTATTATTGTTGTTGCTGTTGTTGTTACTGTTGTTGTTGTTGTTGTTGCTGCTGCTGCTGCTGCTGCTGCTTTTATTAAGATTTGTATTGTTTAATTTATTTAATAAAGCTTGTTTAGATCTACAAATTATATTTGAAAATGAGGAAGAATTATTAGAAGACATAAAAGAAAAGAAAGAGGAAGAAAAAGAATAAAAAAAAAAAAAAAAAAAAAAAGGGGCAGGAGATAAAAAAAAGCTATAAAAAAAAAAGAAACCATAATTTATATATTATTACTAAATTTATAAAAGATTGGTTTGAAATTTTAAGTGTCACAAAATAATAAAATTATTTATTTAAAAAAAAAAATCCTTAATTTTTATTCGTTTTTTTTTTTTTTCTGTGTAAACTCCTCCTATTTCATCTTCTTCACTCCTTCTTTTAAGTCAATTACTGCTAGCTCCTTTTTCATCAATAACTAATTATTTCCTCCTTCTTCTTATTCATCCTTTATTATTATTATTATTATAAGCCTCACGTGGTTTTATATATAAATATATACATGCTAAATTTCATCTTCACTATTCTCAAATCATGTTTCAAATCCTTAAACAAAGCCAAACTAAATTCATTATCCAAAGGTGAGTTTTTTTTTTTTTTTTTGTTTTTCTTGTTCCTTTTTTTGATTAATTAACGGATCGGTGTTGTTAATAAATAGCAATAGCTTGTGTAGCATTAGGCTTAAGGTAAATAAGAAATTGTTTATTTATTTATTTACACCCTAAATATAGATGATCATGAACCAAAAAAAAAAAAAAAAATGTATGTCAATTCATTTTAATACAATTTATTCTAGAGTCTCTCATCTAGTTGACATTGCACATCTTGAATTGACTGAAGCAGAAACTTTATTATCGAAATTAAGAAAGGTAATTAAAGAAAATAGATATATTTGATCTCCGAAAACATACACACACACACACACACAAACAATAGATATAAACAAATCCATCAATAGCATCCTTCTTGTCGTTCATTAAGGTTACTTCAATTTAAAGATAGATTTACATTTTTATGTAACATACATAGACTTGAACAGCATTTAAAATCAACTATTCATCATCCATCTCAGTTCATTTTTATTGCTGTTGAAGGAAAAGAACCACTTAGAGTAAGTAAATGTTTATCCTGGATTGTTTTTTTTTTTTTTTTTTTTTTTACGTTAATTTTTTTTTTTTTTGGCAAAGTTGAATCAACCACCCATTCATTTAATTGATTGGTTAAAAAATAAACTACTTGAGTCAAGATTGATAAAAGATGATAGTAAAAGAGTCACATATTATTCACCTATCGTACCTCCTTTTATGGTAGCGCTTACTGGCTGGGCTCTTGAATATCCTATCATTTATACAACCCATTTAGAAACAGATGACCCAGAGATAGAATTAGATGAATGGGAACCAAGGTCAAATTGTCTTGGTAATCAACGTACCTTGAATCTGATTCAAGTCTACTTGAAGGACCATATGTTATTTAGTTTTTCTTATCCTTCTTCTCTTCTTCAACGACAACAACAAGACGACGACGACGACGACGAAGACAGTAATAGAAGATTGGAATCAGATTTAAAACTCAAAATTAATCATCGATTGGATGAGATTCAATCTGTTCCTGATTGGCTGAAACACGTGCGTTGTGACATAAAAAGAGAGCAAGTTCAATTAGATAGATTTGCTCTTTAAATAATAATATAGGGAATCAATAAAATTAATGTCCTTCTCTATTTCTATGATTTTATTAGCAACTATGAGTATTTTGTTTTATTTTATTTTATTTTGGTCTATGTCTCTTGGGACAGTTCCATGCGATATGACCCAAAACACCGCAATAAGAGCAACCACTAGTTGAATTTGGATTGATGACCACCAAAGTGAATAACATGACCAGTAGTGTAGTATAACAGACTGAAATGAAATAAAGAGAGAGATAGAGAGAGATAGAGAGATAGAGAGATAGAGAGAGAGAGAGAGAGAGAGAGAGAGAGAGAGTAAGTGAGTGAGTGAGAGTGAGAGTGAGAGTGAGTGAGTGCATATATAGAGTCCTTTTATATAAATATACGGAACAATAAGGTTTATAATAGCAACAGATATAACAGAAAATAAGGTTTATTTTTTTCCTTTTTTTTTTATTCTTCTTATTTGGATACAATATACGTGTCAAAGTATTTTATGATATTAGAGTATGCTAATTTATTGATAGAATGATATACATGCATGCATGTTGTATTCAATGGCTGTACATAGAGATGATTGTCTTACAAAAAGAAAAAAAAAACTAACACTTTCTCTTCCATTTTTTAAATATGAAGAATCTTTTCTTCCTTCTTTTTATCAATTTTGGAAGCACTAAAAGGATACATTCGAGCTACATCTACAAAGGCAGCAGAACCAGAATCATCATCATTATCTGAAACAGAAACGGTTTCTTGTGTTGATACATCATGATCGTGAGATACTTGTCTATGGCCGCTAGTAGTATTGTTTTTGTTTTCAGATATAGATTCCTATCATAAATACCATGGGGTTCATTACATTTGTGTCTCTCTATCTTGATACATATTCATATATTTATATAAAACACACATATTACCTCCATTGCTTGTGAAAATTCTTTTGTCTTTCGACTTAGGAATGATGAAAAGTTTGAAAATATTCTTCCAGCATGTTGTGTTGTTGTTTCTAACAAAGGCGAAAATGATGGTTCCAAGATAGATTTATCAGATTGATAACTAGAATGTGAAGATGGATTTGCTGATTATCATTAATTTCTTTCTTTCTTTATTTTTTTTTAATTTAATTTATTATATCTACCTTCATCTGAACTCTTTTCCAAATCATTCCAAATAGCATTTAATTTTGATTTACCATTAGATACTGCTTTAACACTACCTGTCATAGCTCTAGATAATGTATTTCGAATAGGCGCCAGATTTTGTTTAAGTTGTAAATCACGTAATCGACTATAATAAGAAATGACAAGTATGAATATATAAATAGATATATATCGAACATATCGATTACTTTACTTTGATAAGGTATTTTGTAAATCTATAATAGATATATTGCCCATACCAGGATGACTACTCATTTTAATCATTCATTAATCGACAAACAAACAAACAAAATAATATATATTTATATAATTACTTTACCCAGGTTCTACTATTTCATATATTTCATGATCTGTATATTGATTCCATTTCTTGAAATTATGTGTGTCCCACCAAGCTGTTAACCATTTCATTCCATAATCTGATAAATAATTATGTGCTAGATTAATAATAATAATAAAAAGAAAAGGATTAAATATCTTTTATATATACGTTTCCCCTCTTTTTTTTTTTTTTTTTTTTTTTTTAATAACAATACCTTCACTTTCATCTGTCATAATAGTCTCTTCATGTTCAGTTTGATGATCTAAATCCAGCATATTTTTATAATGTGCATGATCAATAAGATGATGTGCTTGCGCATATTTAATACTAGATAATAGGGATAACATATATTCTTCAAATCTTGCTCTTAAATAATCATCTGATCCAAGATAAGTATTTTGTAGTGGTCTACCAGGATCTATTCATTCATCATTTCATATATCAATTTTAAGTAGTCTATAATATACTCATTTCCCTCTTTTTTTCTTTTTTCTTTTTTACCGTTTTGATTCCATGTATCATTTAATACTTTAACCATGTTTTCTATCCATCTACGATCTGCTATAGTTGGACTCACAAGTTGAACAAGTTGAGGATTATAGAATTCTAAAGTACCATTCTCTACATTCACTAACACATCAATTTTAATATCACTCTTATGATGAAAAAAGATTTGATTTGTTGTGCCAACGATATACGATTTTGTTTGTTCTGATGATAACATTTCAATTTGTTGTAAAGGTAAATAAGGTTGAAAAAATGATCCCTATTTCACAATGATTAGATAAAGATGAATCTTTTTTTAAATACATATATCCCTATACCTTTTCAAAAATATGAAGAGGTAAACCCATATATTTTAATAAACTTGATTTACTTCCATCTGATAATACTTTTGCTTCAATTGTTGTTTTATTTTTATCTGATGAATCTAATTCTGGTGTTCCTGAATCTTGTAAATTCCTTAATAATTCTGGTACAAGTGATATTAATGAATATTGAAATGTACAAAGCCTTTCTACTGGATAGCCATAAAACAAGATCTAATATATATATATATATATATATTTTTAATGACACGATCTAGAAATAATAATAATAAAACTTACTCTTTTTTCAAGTAATAATAATTTTAGTAACATGAGTGTCTTTGACTTGAATTTGTGTATTAATTCCCGTAAAGATGTTCCTACAAGTCATAAAATAAATGTATCTCTCCCTCCTTTTATGCAAATGATTTTTTTTTTTTGGTTTATATACCCATATATAATGTTGAATCATCAATAGGTCCATAGAAAGTATGATTCAAGTTATTATAAAGATTCTAAATAATAATAGTTAATATCATCATAAACTACACACACACATATATATATATATATATCAATCTTACATATAAAATGTCAAGTTTGGTGAAATCTTTTTGATTAAACCAGGCAGCAGTGATGACAGCAAGTTTTTGTCTTAAAGGTCCAAAAATTGGCTAAAAAATGCAAAGGGAGAATTTTATATCAATTTAACGTTATTCATATTTTATATTTATATACATATATAACTCACTTGTCGTGCCAACACAACAACAGCTTTTTGTACAATCGATCTAGTTACATCAGGAGTTTTGACTAACAGATCCTATATAATATTCATATATACATATATATTAATGTTAACATGTATAGATTCAAATAACAAAAAAAAAAAAAAATAAGAAAATTAACTTTTTTTTTTTACTTTAGAAGCAATTTGTCGATTACAAGAAATACCAAATAATGTTGTTTCTGCAACTGACCAGCCTGGTACAGGTGGTAAATGAAAATATGCAAAATCTTCGTCTTTTTGATGTGCTCCATCTTTTGAAAAGAAATGAAATGAAATGAATTGTCAAAATAAGGATTGACTCTATATATATATATATATACATGTATATGTATATAAGCTCATGCATAATGGTGTTTACCAGGTAAAGCAAGAAAGGGTAAAAAACTCCATTCCTCAGGTAATTCTAATTTTTCTAAAGTTTGTTGCATTTTCTTATTGTCTTGATGGTGAGGTAAAGGAGGCACACAAAACTCTACTATCGGACCAAAAGCATGATGAAATCCAACCACTAGAACAGCTGCTATTTGATGATTTTCATTTTGATCTAAGAATGGTAGTGCATTGTCTAAAGAAGAATTATTATCAGACATTATGAAATATGCAAAAATCAAAAAAAAAAAAGAAATAAAATAAAAATTAATTTAACAAAAGTCTTGATAATGGTGACGCTGTCTTATTTATTGTAACAAAAAAAAAATGGAGTAAGTTTAACATACATATTTTATTTATTAAGAAAATTTACACACAATGAGCGCACTGATAACTATATGTCAAAATTGCCCGGAGAGCTTCTTTTTTTTTTTTAAAAAAAAAAGGGGAGGAGGAAGGATGTCTAAATGGCAGAACGGAAGCTTAATAATGGGAGTATCAGTTATTAAGTGCTAAAGACGCATGCATACATCCAAACAAAGAGCTTTTGACTCAAGTTTATTCATGATTGTAACGGTTCTTTTTTTTTCTTATTAAAGGGGGAACAACTTCATATAACAAAGGTTGGATAGTTGGCCAACGTATAGTCCACTGACTGTAATGATGATGATGCTTAGTAGAATGGATCGGTAGTAAATTTAATAAAAACGAAATAGGATTTGACATAGTAGGTAGTGATTGAAGGCGGGCAGAGCATATCAAGAGACATTCAATGATATAAGTTTTGGTGAGGAACTGGGGTGAGATGTTGGATACAAAAAGTGGAATCATTGTTAGGATACCACCGAATACGACAATCACATTCAACAAAAGACACAAGTAATCATTAGATGGGATTATTAAAATAAGAAGGACGGCGCTGTGAAATCAGGTTAGAATTTCGAGGGAAAGTCCGCAAATTATTCAGGTTCTCTTGAATAATTGTGCCCAGAACTTTTTTTTTTCTTTTTTGGACAAAGTGGGCTGGTGACTATTAAGACTATTTTCTGCATAGTTATCTATGCTAATCAATTTCAGCTTTCCGAATCTATCTAAATGGCATGTTTTCCTTATAACTTTGTTTATTAATTTAGCACTAAATAAACTTTATGAATAATACTCATGCATGCTTTTCAATGCGGGGCGTACTTTCATTGTTATTATTACTTCTTTAATGAATGCAGAAATATAGCCAACTTTTGAGTGTGTAGTATGTAAAGCTTATCCTTAAAAAGAAAAAAAGGAAATGATTGATTTATATACTATGTATAGACTCTCCATTTTATTTCATTATATGATTGAATTCACCTAGTCATCATAAATAATTATGTGAAAAATAAAAGGAAAGAGAAAGAGAGAGTGAGCGAGCGAATGAGTGAGTACGCTAGAGATTTATTATAAAGGAGTGATAGGTTAAGGTATGAAGAGTAAATGGGCAGACTGTTTTTTGTTAACTTCTTTTTTAAAAGAACGAAATAATCCAAGGTGTATTTATATCATTTCTAAGGTGAAGGAATTAGCTTCTACATTTGTAAAATATGTACTACGTACATGTAATTGTATTTGAATGCTTGTGTAATTTACATAATTTGCAATTTAATGTTATTATGTAATATATTATTATTCGTATTTAATTATCAAGTAGCCATTCTACCACACAAACAAGAGTGAAAACTCTTTGTTCTCTAATTCAGATATGATGCATTTGAAGGAGCAAATACAAATATAAACAAGTCATTATATACAATTACTATGAAGAATGTATATTTCTGTATTTTTTTTCTTTCTAAATTCAATCTTTACTTTTTCCCAAAATGAATCCTTATTTTGCTGTATCGTATGGTATAACTTTAAATATTTGGTTGGTCTCAAAATTATTTTTGAATCGTTTCATTATTTTTTTTTTAAAAAAAAAAAACTGAAGTAACAATAATGCGTAGCAATTATTAAAATGATGAAGACATTCACCTTCTATTCACTCTACAACAACAAGGATAAAATAGTTCTAATATTGAATGGTAACATATCTCTTTCTTGATTCAATTGATAAATAATGTTTTAGAAAGTATATTTAATTTGGTATGTTTGTAGCTGTGGTAGTTTATTAAAAAAAAGGGTCCAAAAAAAAAAAAAAAAAAAAGTCAAAAATAAATAAATAAATAAAAAATAAAGACAGATCCGAGATATTATTTAAATTTAGACAAAATTGGTACAAATGATCTTCCTTCCTTCATTAAAATAATAATATTTAGCCGTAAATAATATATAAAAAAAAAGGAGTTTTACTTTATTTTAATCAACAATATAATATTATCTTGATTAAACATTTTCCTTTATTATTTAAAATATGTTTATTATTAGAGACGCAAGATCTTTGCATACTTTTTTTTTTTTTGTGTAAAATAATACAAACTGCGTGTTTATTGTAACAAGTTTGTATCAATAAATATTTTTTTTTTTTGTATTTTAAAATAACGATTCTTCTTTTTCTTTTTTTTTTTTTTCTTCAAAAAGAGAAGTACGAATAAACGATAAACACATAACAAATTGGTTGTTTCTTTAGATTAATTTTTAAAAAGTAAATAAAAAAAAAATAGATGTAAAACTACCGAGTATAATATTCTCCTTCTCCCTCTCTCTCTCTCTCTTTTTTTTTTTTTCCGAGGTGTAAAACCAAAAATCGGCTGTCTTTTATATAAAAATGTTTATTATCATTGTGATTGGTTGGAAACGTGAGAAAATTATTTTAACGCGGGATTTTAAAACATCAAAAAGCAGCTATTATTGCCTTTTTTTATCTTTCAACGTTGGGTTCCAAGTGCACATGTTCAATTTCAGTGTAGTCTGTTTAAAACAAAAACAAAAAAATTAATCATGTGAAGAAGTACAGTCTTCCATTTTCTTTCCTTTATTTATTTTTTATTTTTATTTTTATTTTTTTTAATTTTATTTTATTTTCCTATTTCTATTCCTTCTTCTTTTCGATTATACAACTTATGGTGTGTGCCACAAGTAATAGTAATAGTAATAATAGGATGGCACCTCAACAACAAGTAAATAGCAATCATACTGATTTTGATATGAATATGGAAGAAGATGAAGAATCAGAAAGTGATTCTTTTTTGGATGAAATAATAACTTCTTCGACTCAATCTTCCACTTCAATTATACCTATTTCTTCTTCTTCTTCTTCAACTACTACTACTACCACTAAAAAGCGACCTGTCACTCAAGCTCTTTTCCTTAATTTTACATCTGACCTTTCACCTCAAAAGTTGAATAAAAAGAAAAATAAACCAAAAAAACAAACAGCATATAGAGTAAATGGTGTCAATATTTTAAATAGGTACTTTATTACTTGAAAAAAAAAAGAAAAAAGAAAAAAAAATTTTTTTATTATTATTATTCATTCATTCATCAAAATCCCGGTATATTTAATTATTTAATTATTTAGAAATAATCTTGATAGTAAGACTGCTATTGAAAGAATTCAACGTAGACGAGAAAATCATAATCATGTTGAACGTAGACGTCGAGATAATATAAATAACATCATTTTTGAATTATCAAGTGTAGTTCCTAATGCAGTTCAACAAGGACAAAAGCCTAATAAGGGTAATATTTTAAAACTCTCATTAGATTACATTAAGGTAAATAGAATAATAAAATGTGAAAAAGGAGAAGTCTGTCTGTCTAATAATAGAGTGTGAATGATGATAGGAATTACAAGCTGAAAATAATAGATTAAAAGAACAGTTAAATCAATTTACTTGTTCTTCTTCTCCACATTTAGATAGCAGTCATCCTATTAGTTTTTCTTTTCAACACCAATCTCCGTCTGCACCTAATTCACCTCATTATGTGTGTAATACGAATACCATAAAACAACAAAGTGCATCTGTTCCTACTTCACCGCTTTATAATAATACCACTCAATTATCTATGAATCAAACTACATTTAACAAAATACCTGCCACCACTTTTAATAATTTACCTCCCCTCTCTTTACCCCCTCCTTTACAGCAGCAGCAGCAGCAGCAGCAGCAGCAACAACAACAACTTCAAAATGTCTTTTCTTCAATGACTGTTTCATCTTCTACTACGTCTTCTAATTCGTCAGGCACTTCAACACCTACAACATCATCTACAACTACTACAAATACTACTCATCCTTTTTATCCTTATCCTCCTCCTCCCCCTCCTTCTTCTTTCTATATTCCTCAACCTTCACAACAACACAATTTTAGACCTCTATTACAAGATACAAAGTCACATCAACCACCTATCATTCAAACACATCAAATCTCTTTATTACCTTCTCTCCGTATGAGTGGATATGAAAAGATATATGGAAGTGTATGTCGATATTAATGATAATAATATATAAATATGTATATTGTTTGTAAATAATATAAAGTCCTTTTTTTTTTTCTTTTTTTCTTTTCTTTTCTTTTCTTTTCTTTTTTATATATGATAATAAATCCTTGTATCCCTCTTCTTCATTCAGGTTTTGTCATTAAAAGACCTCTTTTTGTTGAATTTCTTTTTCTTCTATTTGTTTCATGGTGTTTTTGACTTTCTTTATGATCAGAAGAAATGAGTTGATCTGTTGTAGTAGCAAAAAACATGGGAGTACTTTGTGAAGTTTGAACCATGACATCTAGTGTTGTTGTAGTAGCATCTAATCTTTTAGGTGGACATAAAGGACTGAATTCATCATATCCTTGTTCATCAATAGGAGACATGAGTGTCATATGGTGTCGTACATTAAGTTGTGAAGTAGATCTTGTTTCTAACATGGGTCGACCACTTGAATAATGTTTCTTTATAGTTGTAGTAGTTGTAGGTGTTAAAAATAAGCTTTGTTGTCTTTGTATTTCACTTAATCGACGTAATCGAAGACGATATAATATTTTATCAATTGTCAATTCAATTTGCAAATGATTTTTTATAATGGGCATTTCTGTGCAGTAAATAAATAAATAAATAAATGTTAACTTCAATATATGGGCATTGGGTGGGATAGTATATTTACTTGGCCATGTCGCTCTTTCACCACGTTGTACACAATCCATAACATAGTCAGGTGTAGGATTTGAAAGAACTTTAAGGAAATCTGCATAACCAATCTCTGGTATAATCGTAATATCTCCAGAGTATTTTTGTGACATGATAGATTGTATTTTATAAAAGAAGGAGGGCATAATACCAAGTTCTGTCAACTGAAATTTAAAATCATATGAGTTAAAGACTAGGCTAAATTGGTGAATCAAGTCTTACCTGTGTGCAACGATGTTGTGCTTCCGTTTTAGCCATGTGCATACAAAAATTAGCGACTCGTCTAAATCTGGATGGTGTAATCGTCTTTTGTAGAAATGGTATCACGTGTGGATTGACTTGACAAACAATAAAATGATTTACATTAAATAATTCAGATAATTTATTCATTGGTAAATCACTAAAGTATCACGTTATTTATTATGTTTACATCTATACACACATCACTCATACTTACTTTTCAACTGATCCATCAATATATAATTGATCTTTATTATAAATCATTAGTAATAATATAAACATCTATCTATCTATTTTACCACTTGGATTCCATGTTGATATTTTTCCATTTTTATCTTTAGAATAAAGAGGTGTAGATCCATAAAATACTGGTACTGCACAAGATGCCGCGCTATCATTATTTTAAATGCATATATATATCTATGTTAATTACTTTTTAATGTACAAAAATAAACTAAAAGACTTACACAGCAGACCAAATTAACTATAATAAATTAAAATTAATATAACAAGTGGATATCTTTTTTTTTTCTTTTAAAAAAAAAATGCATGTTACTTTACCACATCAGGAGCTGTTAAATAATTTAATAATCGAGGCATATCATATAATGTAGATGAACTAACGGTAATATTTAAAATAAATCGAGTCCTATTAAATGCTTCCTGTATTTCTATTAGACAAAAAAAAAAAAAAAAAAAAAAAAAAGAGGAGAGTATTGTTTTATCTTTATTTTGTACCTGAAATGTGATATCACCTAAATTTGCTCTCATAGCCTCTTTTAATATTTCAACATCAAATAATTGACCTTGTTTCATAAGACGAAGTAATCGAATATAAGGTAAATCAGGTTTACCTTCTCTTTCAAAAACATCCTATTTTAAAATTTATTCCAGTCAATAATAATAAAAATAAAAGAAATCAAAAATATGTATATAAATGTTATTTACTAAGCGAACTACAGATGCATCAAACATATAAGGTATTTCATCATTTGTTTTTGTACAAACAAGTGCAGCCATAATACTTCCACTAGAAGCACCTGAAATAATTCTCGGTAATAATTGTGCTTCATGTAAACATTTAATGACGCCCATATGATTTAAACCTAAAAAAAAGGAAAAAAAAAAGACATCTTAATATTCCTGACATTACTTTACATGTATTTATTCATTTTCTTTCTTTCTTTCTTTCTTTCTTATTTGTTTACCTAATGTACCTCCACCACTTAGTAATAAAGCAGTTCTACCAAAACTTTGTCTAATATTCATAAAGAAATCATGTCTTGCTTTTAAATCTAAAGTAGAATCTTCTTCTTCTTCATCACATATCCAGTTTAATTGTTGAACTACTTCTTCAATATAATCTGAAGTTAAATCTTTTGTACCTACTCTTGAATAAGCATAAAGCTATTATTCTTAACATATAAATACAAGCGCTCATTTATATATATATAATCAATTTATTCTTATCCTACACTGAAATACCTTTGGATTACCCATATCACCTAAATTTCTAGCTAAACTTGTTCTTAATGCAAATATCATAGCTAATTGTCCTTTATTAGAAAATCGAATCTCTCTTAACTGGTCTAGTCTTGTCTTGATTAATTCCCAATCATAGTCAGGCGATTCCATGATCGTTCTCCATTTATCAAGACCTTTTAATCGTGATAAAATGTGAATATGTATTTTACTCTTCTTCCCTTTTTATGATGATAATGATGATGCTTATATATTTATATGATTTACCTTCTATTTTATCCAACATGGATGCTGCTTCACACCATTCTTCATAATTCGTTGCCAGTTTAAGTAAGTTTTCGTAATAGGCCTTAGACTGGTTTAGTTTAATTCGATTACATATTCCCTAACACAAATGTTTTATAAACTATACATTTCTTTATTTTTTATTTTTTTATTTTATTTTTTTTTTTTTAAAAAAAATCTACTTTTATTTTACTGTAGGTAAAAGTGAAGTCCAAACGAGTGATTCTGGTAATATAACTTTTTGTTCTTCTGTATTCATTCAGTTTGTACAAAAAAGAAAGTAAAAAAAAAAAAAAAAAAAAAAAAGGGAAAGAAAGAAAAAAAAAATATCATGAGAAAAAATAAGCCCCTTTTCTCTCTCTATCCCAAATAATAAAACTGTATAATTATTGGTTTAAAAGAGCCACATCATATGAATGATCTTTTTTTTTTTTTTTTTTTTTTTTTCACATGTCAAATGAGGTAGTAGTTAGTTGTAGTAGTACACACATACCACATACAAAATAAAATAAAATAAAATAAAATAAAATAAAATAAAATAAAATAAAATAAAATAAAATAAAATAAAATAAAATAAAATAAAATAAAATAAAATAAATAAATAAATAAATAAATAAATAAATAAATAATATTTATTTTATATACTGGCAATAATTTCTTGTTCGACATTATCTTCTTCTTCTTGCTGTTGTGGCTGGAACGTTTTTAATACAGCTTTCTCCTCTTCTAAATCTTTTAATCGTTGCTCCTTTGAAATACCAGACAGATATTTCCATTTAGGAATATGTGTACACACTTTCTTCATATTGTTTGCAGTTGATGTATACCAACTCTCTTCTATCACATATTTTCTAGAGTAACGAAGACAGATTTCATTTCTAAAGTTTTCATATAAAGATTTATTATGCACACGCTTATTTTTTTTTTGTTAGATATATTTTTAGTATCCTGTGTATGTGTATGTATGTATGTATTTACCTCTCTAATTCTATCATGATTTGCATATTTATGAGATTGATGAATCAAGAAATCATTAGGTAAAACCCAATAATCAATACCGGAAATAAAGAGTTCAAATAGACAAGCCGCTTTATTAGCACCATAACCAATAAATCGTTCATCACACCAGGGGGTGCCTTCCTTTTTATACACGATATAAGGTTCATAGGAGAACTCGTATTCAGTAACAGGATATATGTCAGTCGCTTTATACCAATGACTGTAATTGGTCGCCCCATGTCCAGTCGCCCAAGAACTGTGAAAGCGATCGAGTTTAAGTTCATTCACCTGTCGTATCACATCTGATTTCTTTGTTGGAAACGTACGCCAATCAAGGCCATCCCTTTGGTTTACATATTCAAAGGCGGGTACGACGATCGCCGTCTTGCCTGAGTCTAGCATCAGATGCAATCTTGGATCTCCTAAAATCGTCTTTCGAATATCCGTACAGAGATGGAAATCAACATCGAGCATCATGAGATAATCAGTACGTGTAAACAGTTTCGCTATGTTTCGCCACATATTAAATTGTCGATCGTATCTATCAATGATTAAATGAATATCAACATATCCTTTCATGTCCTCGTTCGAACTATACATCTTTGTAAGTTCCTTGATCGTCGCTATTTTTTCTTCATCATCTAATACATGAACTGCTGCTGAAATTGGACCTAAAGAAAAAAAAAGGAAAAGAAAAAAGACTCTTTATATTAATTATAATAATGATAATAATAAAAGACAAAAAAAAAGGGAGAGAGAGGGAGTGAGAGAGGGAGAAAGAGAGAGTGAGAGTGAGTGAGTGAAAGAGAGAGAGAGAGAGAGAGAGATTGAAAGAAGGGGGTTAGGGTGGGGTGGTGAGAGAGAGAAATCGAGAAGAAGGGGAAGGAGGAGGAGGAGGATGAGGAGAGAGAGGATAGAAATAAATAGAAGGGGTTCCATACCTTTATAATTTGTTGCAAGTCGACTTAATACATGAAAGCGATTACGAGTCACTAAAGTTGCTAAAGTGATATCTTTTGCTTTCTTTATTTTAGATGCTTTAAAATAATAAGGTGTAACGTTATCTAAACCCATACTACTAGAAAATAATTTAGATTTTAAAAATCCTTCAGAAATCTTATGGGTAATAATATCATTGCCTACAATATATACATATATAAATACATATTTGCCAAATAAATATAAATATAAATGTATATATATGTGTGTATGTATGTTTATATCTATCTATCTATATCTATATACCATTTGAACCTGGCCAAATAATTTGATGAGCTGTTGTTTCTTCTTCTATCTGATTTCGTTCAGTTGCTGTTGTTGTGACTTCTTGTTGAACTTGTTTATCCACTATAATGATGGGCGGTTCTTGTCTTCTATTTGCAATAGTATGATGTACATGATGGTCTGAAAAGTAATGACTTGTGGTATAAAACAATGAAAGTAAAACATAGATAAAAAGAACATGTTTCGCTAGTCTTGATATCTTAACTTTTGATTCTAAACGCATGGATATATATTTATCTATATGTATATGTGTATATTATTATTATTTTATTTTATTTTTAAACAAAAAAAGGAATGGAGTAATAAAGAAAAGAACCAATATTTATTATTATTTTTTTTTCCTCTTTTTCTTTCTACCCTCTTTTATAGAATGAAAGGAGAAATTAAAAATAAGGGGAGAAGAAAAAAAGAAAAAAAAAAAAAAAGCTTATAAGGGGGAAGAAAAAGGGAACAAAAGTGACGAAATAATGCTTGTTATATTTAAAGGAGAAGGAGGAGTTTTCTTTTTTACAACTATAACTAATTTAATATATTTATTGTTGCACAATGAATAATAATAATAATAATGTAGCTTGTACACAATTTATTTATTTGGCATAATGCCCATAAACTAAATCATAACCATCAAATTCATAAAGAATACGATTAGTGCGCTTATAACCATTCAATGAACTCATAGAACGCACCATATGAGCTTGACTATGATGTTCCTTGTGATGGGAAGTAAAGTAAGTTACAGTGAAAGAAGAAGGATCGAAAATATTCAAGACTCTTGTAATTAAAATTTCAACTGGACTTTGTTCGCCTTGACTAGCATGCGACTTCTCAACGGGTATATTGCACTCAAAGGAAGCATAAGAACATTCAGGTTCAGGCGTAACATGGAATGTAAAATAACGATCCTCCCAAAGACCATTACTAGAATAACCACAAGGTTCAAACAAGTAAGAGTCAAGCTTGGCTTCTGGATAAAGTTGATCGATCCCTGCCTGCTTGTCTACCCATTGACCGCCGGGGATACCACTCTTTGTCTGTTTGGGATCATGATAGAAATATTTCATCTTTTCAGGGTTCAATCCTGTCATATGAATCTCTATCGTTTGATCAGGATGAGAGTATCCTGCATTACCAAACGGTGAAGGATCTTCAGAATCAGAAGTGACAGGTGTCGAAGCGCCGCTCTGAATTTCATGTTCCTGCATTACACCACGTAAATGAGGTAAATAAGGTTGTGTGATATTATGTAAGACATCATCAGATGGTTTTGTCAAGTAAAGATGCCATTGATCTTGACGTTCTTTGCCCACAATATATGCAGATCCAGCATCTATAAAAAAATAAATAAATAAAAGAAAAAATGACGTCAATATTATACTCTCAAAAAAAAAAAATTAAAAAAAAATTAATTCAAAAAGTTCGTGTTTTGTTTTCATTACCAAAATATTTATCTAAAAATTGAACCTCTTCTTCCCATGAACGATGAGGGCCCACCTGACGTTCAGGGAACATAAATGCCTTTCTAGAATAAAATACTCTCCAAACCTTTTCGAACCCACAATAATGTTTAGCAATCTCTAAAAGTCGAGGAATTGCAAATAAAAGAGTGGTTGTGCCACATGTTTTAATAATAATTTTGTGAGGATACACAAACATAGATGACTCGCTTTTAAAAAAAAAAAATTAAAATAATGTCAATTTTTTTTTTTGTTCGAACTGGAGTAAAAAGAAAAATTTTTTTTTTTTATTTTTACTTGATCTTGATAGACCAAAATTAATGCTTACCTTAATAAATAAGCATCCACATCCGGGTTACTAATAACATTTAATACGGTGCATTTAACTAAAGCCAACATTTTGTCCAAAACAGGTCGAGGGATAACGCGAAGTCCTCTCTTTTCTTCACGGTTTTTTCTTTGAGGATGATTAGAGAAATCATCCTCTGATTCGTCTGAAGAAAGATTTTGGTGTTCTTTTAAAAGCTCGGGTGATTGGGAGAACCAAATCTCCAAAAGCTTTTCGGGGCCCTCAAAGGCACCTTCTTGTGCAGAATAGTTTTCACCGGGAGCACTAGGTTCAATGTTGGGATAAATTAAACTAACCATTAAAAAAGGAAAAAGGAACCTCTTTTTTTTTGTGTGTGTATGTGTTCTTGATTAAAAAGAGAAAAAAATAAAATAAAAACGATGTGTTACGGAGGTCGAAAGGATAACTGTACTGCTTTGAGTACAACTAGTGTGAAAAGGTGGCTGTTTGGGACGGCTTCTAAAGAGATGTTGGGCTATTCACTGTGACGTTCAATAACGACCAGTTGCTATTTAACTTTTTTTTTTTTTTTCTTTTAAGAAAAGTTTTATTTTTACAAACAAAAAGAAAAAAGTTTGTAAAAAAAAAAAAAAAAAAAGAAGTTAAAAAAAAAAGTTATATTGAAAAAAAAAAAAGAAAAAGAAAAAAAAACTTTTGATGGCTTTTGTTTTTGAAAAGGGAACATTTCTTTATACAAGATCCGAATTGAACGTTGTTATTGGTTGTTTTATTGCTATGTGACTATTAAACAAAATATTTTTGAAGTCAGCTAAAGTTACTCAAAACCATGAACAATAGTAATAAATCAAACAAACGTCTGTGGTGAAGATACTTATTTTTAATATCAATGCAAAAGCTAAAAAATAAATCAATAATGAAGCTTTATTTTTATTCTATTTTTCTAGTGAAAGAGAAATATGTACAAAAATATATACAAAGCAAACAACTTGATTTTATGCCTTGAGAAAATAAAAAAAGGAATATAGTTGGAAGAAAAAAAAAAAACAAATTTCTCTCAGTTAAAGTGCACATCCTTATTATAGTTTCTTTTTCAATAAAAAAAAAGGTTGGCTAGTTGCTTTTAGCTCTCCCGTACCTTTTCGTTTATAATATCTAACCTCGCAAGATGGTGTGTCCTCTTTTAGGGCTGACGCCTTTTTTTTTATCAGTAAAAACTTTATATCATTTATAATTAACAACTGTTCTGTTCCTAATATGGCCTTCTTCATTATAAAGAGTATTATAAAAAAAAAGCCTTTATGATATCTATATATGATTCAGAAAAAATATTCTATACTTGAAGAAATTATTATAATTTATGAGGAGACTAGTTTTGCAAAGAATGGATTAGATCACGTTAGAAATACATTTTTCTCAAAGAATGAATGATGATACTATTTAAGGACTACTACTTTATTTGATGGCTTATGATTTTGGCACTGTAAACAAATTGAATTTGAATAGATATTTAAAACATACGTCATCATTTTTCTTATCCAATAAAATGATTGTAAATTGAAATATGGCGGTGATTTAATTGAAACATGTTGAAAAAAAAAAAATTGATGAAGAGATTGAGCTTTTTTTTATACACGATAAAGTGAGGGAGAAGGAAAAAAAAAAAAAATAAAAAAAAGTGACAACTAAAATAAAATAAAATAAAAATAAAAATATGTCATATTCACCTGAACTTTCTCCTAATAATTATTCTGATGAAGAAAAGACAAGTCATACAAACACTCAACCTACCATCAAGTTGAAATTGAAACTTAATCCTTTCCCTTCCGCAACCACAGTAGATGATAAAAAGAAAAGGAAGCACAAGAAGAAACATAAAAAGAAGCATAAAAAAGCAAAATATACTGAAGAGGAGACTTATTATGATGAAGATCATGAAGACAATCATTCAATTGAATCAACACCCCATGTTTTTGTAGGTGGTAAAAGGCCATTTGCTTTATTACAACAACAACAACAACAACATTATCCACAATCAGACGATGAAAACAACGATGACGAGAGTGATCACTATGAACCAAACGAATCGGATGCAGAAACTTATCATTCAACAGATACAACACGTTCAAAGACTAGTAAAACCTATCGGTATGAATCAACGAGTCCAACTTATCCATCAAAGCTTGCAACACCAGAGCCTATGATACCTGAAAAATTAACATCGAATGAACCACAGCAAGCTAAAAAGCCATCAAAGCTGGGTAGACGACCATCTTCAGTAAAACCTAATAATGGTGAAAAACCTAAAAAACGAGGCCGACCCACGAATAAAGCAAGGGCTGCTGCCTTATTAGCTTCACTTCCACCTAAAGTGCCTGAATCTCAGAAAAAGGATCTAAAAACAGTCCTTTTGAAATTATTGGACAATATTGAAAAGTTAGTTAATTAGATGAATACAAAAAAAAAATTATTTATAGATTTATAACATTGTATCCTTTTTTTTTGTTTTCATTACATTTAGGAGAGATGCTTATGGATTTTTCTTAGAACCTGTTGATCCTAAATTAGTCCCAGATTATTTGAAAATTATTAAATCACCAATGGACTTTTCTACGATGCGCAAAAAGATCATGGCAGGCGAATATACAAAAGCAGATGATTTTAGACATGATTTCAATTTGATTGTAAATAATGCTAAATTATATAATGCGGTAGACACTATTTATTGGAAAAGTGCAGATAAAGTGTATGAAATTGGTTCAAAATTAATAGATCGAGCAGAAAAACAGATTGAAGAGGAAAAACTGAACGAAGCATCTCAAGAGGCAACCAATAATACAGATGGTTATTATCAACACAAAATACAGGATAGCCTTTCTTCAAGAAAGGTATCCATCTCATTTTCTAGTCGCAAAGATTCATTTACTATTAAAGAAGAAGATGTAGATATTATGGGCATTGATACAAGTATACCTACCTTACGTAAACAGAGTAGACAAGGCTCAGAGATGAATACAAGAGAAACAAGTGTAGACGTGGCCAGTTCACGTGGAATAACTCCTATTCGTTCTGTCAGTGCACCTTACAAAAAGAAAAAGAAGAAGGTTGCTGACACAGGCGTTATTTATGGTCCAGATGGGTCACTTCATACAGTAGGAGGAGGTAACATAGGATGACTTGAATCCAATCTCTATTCTATTTTATTAACTGATTATTTACAAAAAAAAATAGTGTCTGAATTAGATACTTTATTACCAAAGGATCCTCCTTTTGCAGATCCTCCTCAACTTATCACAGCCAATCCTGCTGCCCTTCCTTCCGCTTTCTTTTTAAATCGACATTCAGCAGATGAGTTTTATAATAACAAGCATTTAATTCATTCTGCTCGTTTTTGCGACTTTGGGCCTTTTACAACATTAGGTGGACAACCACCTGGGGCATTTTATACGGCTTTAGATGCCTCTTATATCTATCCATTATATGGTGATGATCGAGGAGAAGCCTATATGAAGAGTTTATGGGATTTTGTAGACGAAGATGATGAACCCATGTTCAAAGAGAAAATCGAAGCGACTGCCACTCAATTAACGCGTGGTGCATGGAAAGTATTACAACAGGCATTAGAAAGAAAGAATGAGAACTTTGAAAAGAAAGGAATAGATGAGACAACATTAAATAGATATGAGACTATTGAAACAGAATTTGGGCCTGTAGATGCAGCTACTATAGTGGATAAAATAGAAACAAAAATGAATACATGGACAGCCGTAAACCAAAATCAACAACTTGAGCAACAGCAAGACAATGTTAAAATCGAAACTCGACCTTTATCAGAATCTCCTGCTATCACAACTTTAACCCCTTCAGAACCTATGCCTATGTAAATTGATTCTTTTTTTTAACATATAATAAATAAATAAATCATTGTGTGTGTGTGTGTGTGTTTTCCATTACTGCATATTTCTATTATAGAGAATAATTTCTGGGTGGCAATTTTTTTATTATTATTATTATTATTATTATTTTTATTTTTATTTTATTTTTATTTTTATTTTTCCTCTTTTTTTTTTTTCTTTACCTTGTAATTCTTTAATACTAAGAATGGCGACAGAAATAAAAAAGGTAAGGATGGGTAACATGGATTCGAAGCCTTCGTTCTAACTCTAATTAAAATGAAAAAGTCCAAATATCGATTTCAAAGTGAGATTCAACAAATGATGTTTGTATTTGGTGAAGTCTCAGATCCATTACAGGAAGTAACGCTATTAGTAGAAGATATTGTTCGTTCACAAGTGATGGAAATAGTACGTACTATATATCTATCTATCTATATATATATATATATTCTACTTAGAATAAAGAATGTTAATTTTCTTGATTATGACTAGATCATTCAAGCAGCAGCACAAGCAAGTCGTCGTAATTCACGTTATTTGAGTGCAGAAGATTTAATATTCTTAATAAGACATGATCGTGCAAAGGTCAATCGTTTACGATCTTTTTTAAGTTGGAAGGATGTTCGAAAAAATGCTAAAGACGCTTCAGGAGATCAAGTAGAAGACGTTGTGGAAGAAACGAATACAGGTAAAAAAAAAAAAAAAAGGAGGAGGAGAAAGGAATTTTTATTCTTATTATATAAATAGGCAAAATACATAGGAGCATCATCAAGTTGCCATGGGAACTTGTGAATCAATTTACCGATGTCATCACTAAATCATTAAATGGAGAAGATGATTCAGAAGACGAGGATGAGATAGAAGCCTATAATGATTCTATCCAACGATTAAAAGAAGCTGATGATGTTACACGAGCCATGACAAGAGAAGAATATGTTCATTATTCTGAATGTCGCCAAGCCTCATTTACATATCGCAAAGGAAGACGATTTAGAGAATGGGCCAATATGAGTTCATTTGTGGAAGTGAAACCAAATGACGATATTGTTGAAAGTTTAGGGTTTTTAACGTATGAAATGGTATCCAAGCTAACAACGACTGCCATTAAGATTAAACGTGATTGGATGGAAGCTGAAGGTAAAAAAGAAGAAGAACATATAGGTTTAGGAGTTTGTGGTTTGAAGCGGAAGAGAGAAGAAAATGAGAATGAGACAGTATTTAACCATCCTACGCTTGTTGTAACAACGGACGGTATAGAGTCTACATCCATGCAATTAGATGATAGTCATGAACTTTACGATGAAAAAAAAAATAACAATAATAATAATAATACATCATCATCATCGTCGTCGTCGTCATCATTATCCGATCCACCTGATACTGATAGTCGAGGTTTATTTTCATTGCCAAGCTCAGAACAAACACCTTTATCAGCAGAACATATCCATGAAGCATTTAGAAGATTACAACAAATACCACAGCCTGTAAAAAATTTTCGAGGAGGTTTAGTACGTACTCGAATCTCACTTATTTAAAAGTTAATAAATGTACATAATTGATCATCAGTCTATATATCTTGCTATCAAATAGAGGCTTATTTATAAGATATACATAGAGTAGAGAGTAAAAAGGAGGGGAATAACTTGAAATAAATAATAATTTTAGCAATAAATAAATAAATAAATAAATAAAGAGAACCTAAGGATTAATTAAAGGGCATTGACTAAATAATTCACGTTTAGCAGCAAATTGAAGAGCAGCTTGGTAATGAAACCAAATACCACCACAGACAAAGATATGCCAGAATTGATGTGAATGACCAAGGTGATCAAATTTACCCGGCCAGAATCTTTCAGGAAATTGATTACCGTAGATAATGACGCCTACAAGATAACAAGCAATCGATTTAAAGACGGGAGTTAACCAATTAAACGTCTCATATACACCACGAACAATACTAAGATGAGCAATGATAAAAGCACTAGAGGAAGCCAAGGCAACAAAGAAAGCAATACGAAGCCAACGACAATCCTGTCTATCAAACCACGCTTGAAATGGCATACTGACACCAATCACAGCCAATGTCGATGTAGCAGTAATATAGGTGTTACGAATTACATCTTGACAATAAAAGCCATAATATTCACAAAGTATAATACTAGCACAAATCAAGACAGAGATACCGACATAATCTAAACAAGCGACTTGATGGTATACTTTCAAGTTATTAATACCAGACAAAGTATGCCAGACGGTAGAACACATTAAACATTTACAAGCAGCTAAAAAGAAGATTAAAAAGACGATTCGATCTTTAATAGGAATACTTGTCATTAATTCTGAAAAGAAGAGTTCATAAACGCCAATACTAAATAATGTAATAAAACCTAATAAATGTGTCCAAATGTTTCCACTTTCATTATGAATATAAAAGAGTGAATACCAGCAATCAGCTGCTGATTCTAAAAAACGATAGCCTGTTCGGATATACTATAATTGAATAAAATTTTTTTTTTTTTTTTTAGTATTACAAAACAAATAGAATACATGTATTTACCTGATTACTTTGCCAGGGAGTAGGAAGTTCATCATAAGTCAATAAGCGAGTTGTACCATAAGAGACGGCATTTTTCAATTTATCAATATGTTCGTTAGCAACACCTGCGACTTCCATTAACTTTGACTCTAAACGTTCACGCATCTTATCCGCACAACCTAAGGCGTCTGAAATTTTTCCGTCTAATTCTTCCATTTTAACCATGAATGCATCAATAGTTTTGTCCATCATTTCACCACTACTATCCATTTCAAGCTCATGATATTTCTTTGATAATTCCAACATGGCTCGTATAAGATCAGGAGGTGTTATCATATGATAATAGTCATCTGACGTCTTGACGTTATCATCAAGTTGTTGAAGGACTTTATGTCTTACTTCAATGGCATTCTTATAATGTTCCTCCCATTTTGAGACAAAGTTATCAAGTAGTAGATAAGCTGTTTTAATTTTTGTTGCAGTATACGTTTGAAAACGCTCACTCTTGACGACTCGATGAGATTCGAATTGTGATAAACGATATTTAAATTTTTTCATCAAGGGTTCAAGATTATTCTTGAAGAAGTCATCAAGATCTAAATTATCATCATGATGAAGTACAGACTGCGGCCGAATTGTTAATAAGTTCTCCATTGTAATAGAAAGGAAAGAGGAAATAATATGGAGATGTTTACTATTGTTTCAAGTTATAAATGATGTGTATTGATGTGTATGTGTGTTTTTTATATAATCTATAAAGGTTATTATTAAATGTCTATTTTAAATATTCCTCTACTTTAGAAAATGAGTAATGTTATTAATAAGATGATGATAATATTTGAAGAAGTAAGTGTGAAAGAGAGAAAAAAAAAAACAAAAAAAAAAAAAAAAACTACTGGATACTTATTTATTCGGACGACAACAAATGACTGTTTTTAGTTTAAAATAAACCATCTTTTTATGGAATATTGCTACTTTAAAGAAGAATAAGATTACCAGAGTCGTTTATCATGAAATAAAAGTAATTCTTAATTGTTCACATATTTCGATATGCATTCTTTGATTTGATCTGAAAGCTATAAAAGGATGTATAGTGGTATTTTCTTATAGAAAAAAAGAGATGTATAGTAATACTTTCTTATAGAAGCTTTAACAATTGCCCTGTCATTTTTAGTATATATGTTTAACAATAGGGAAAAAAAAAGAAGAAGTTATAAAATGAGTGAAAATAGTAAAGAGTAAATAAAACCATACAAAGTGAAGTCATTACACTCATCATCTTCTCATTTTTATTATCTTTTTTAACGAATCTTCTTCTTCTTTTCAACCAAAAGCATGATTATTTTGAATTACAAATTTAAATCCAAACATTGGGGGGGGGGAGAAGAATGAAAAATTAGCCAATAATAAATTGTTGGTCGTTCCTTCAACAATCCTTGTTGACTGCGACTCGGACTCCAATGTGGTAACAAGCTCCAAGAGCCGCGCTTTATTTTCCTTTTATAGATAAAAAAATAATAATAAAAATAAAAAATATACTAGAATCCCCTTTTTCCCTTTATACCTTCAAAAGCCGCGCATTCGTGGAAAAATTATGAGTGATATCAATTCAACTATTAGCAATGAACGAACATACACCCAAAGCGAAATGGAAGCAATTGTCCGAGATGTCGTCAAAAAAATGGACATTGAGAAAGAAGAAAGAATCAATGGAGTCGAAATCCCAAGACAGGTCTCCGAGGAATTGGAAAACACTCCCACGCATCAACTTACTGAAAATTTCAAAAAGTTTAGAAGAGAAACCCAACGATACGCTTTGGGAGAATGGACAACACCCGAGAAGATCAACAAATCAATTGCCCCTTATCTCAAAAAACACTCAACAGAAACAGCTTTGGTTGTCAACTCCATTTATAAAATCACAGAAAACACCAGATTCCAAGCAAAGGTTGCTATGGAAATCTTTGAACAACTTCAATACGTCTTGGAAGAAGCAGACCATGACGAAGCAAAAGACATCATCAGCAGATGCAGGGAGCAAAGTCGACGACTGGCAGTCTTTGGGTTGGCCACAGCAAAAGCTCAAGAAAGAGAAGCAAAAGAATATTCAGACAAAGCACTTAACATCCCATTTAGTATCCGCCACCTGGAAACAACAGAAGAGGATAGTAAATCTAAGAACGCCTACAGTGACGAATTTCTTAACAAATACCACCAAGCCAACTTTAAACGAAAACTCGTTCAACAAGCCAGTAGTAATCGTGGAGGAGGACGAGGAAATGGATTCTCAAGTAGAGGATATCAACGAGGAAATAGAAGCTTCGGATATGGAAGAGGTAGTAACAGAGCACGAGGTGCTTTTTTTGGACAGGGTACCTCACAACGGTGGGGAACCCCGCACAACAACAACTCAGCCCAACAACAATCACCCCACCAATCCAATCACACATCCAACCCCCAATAAAATCAATGACGAATTACAGCATCCCAGCAGACGGCATAGGGCCAGGGGGTCGACTACAACATTTTCTCAAGAATTGGCAGTCGATTACAAAACACCCATGGCCATTGTCAGTGATACGAGAGGGTTATCAGATACCTTTGCTAAAAAAACCAACACCTTGGAGATTACGTCGTATAAAGCTAGACCAGATAGAACAATTGGCAGTGGACGAGGCAGTCAACAAATTTATCAAAGCGGGGATAATAGAGGTATCACCAACGCAGAACACAGATTATTTATCCAATTTCTTCACAATACAGGAAGCGACAAAACGTCGACCGATTTTGGATTGCCAAATGATCAACAACTATATCCAGTGTCATCACTTCAAGATGGAAGGGGTACCTGCATTGAGGGAAATCATCGAGAAAAACGATTTTATTTGCAAATTGGACCTAAAGGATGCTTATGTGGTCACCCCAATTCACCCAAACTCAAAGAAATACTTGACTTTCCAGAACAAAGGAGTTGTTTATCAGTACAAAACTCTAGCATTTGGGATGAGTGTCAGTCCCAGAGTATTCAGCAAAATGATGCGATTTGCAATAGAACCATTACGAATACAGGGAATACGCCTAGTATATTATTTAGACGACATATGTATTCTGGGTGCGACGAAGGAAGAGGCAACGAACCACACACAAATAGTACTGTCACATATGGAATCATTGGGTTTCCTAATAAATTTCCAGAAGAGTGTCCTAATCCCCTTTCAACAACAGGAATTCCTAGGCTTCAAATTCAATACGAAGACCATGCAGATAGCAGTCCCAGGGAAGAAGATCTCAAAACTCATGGTTCGAACCAAACAAGCTATAAAAGCCACACCTCACCAATACAATTGTCGATGGTATGCCAGTATGATGGGGAAGATGACTTCCATGATTCCAGCCATCGGAGAAGCCCTGTTACACATCAGATACATGCAGAGGGATCTCTCCCTAACACTCAACAGACATCTACAGAATTGGAATGCACCAATGACACTATCGGAGGACAGCAAGAAAGAACTGCAATGGTGGACAAGTTGGATGGTGAAGAAGAACGGCCTGCCAATAAAGAAATTAGCACCCAATCAACCGAAGGCGGCAACAATATATGTAGATGCGTCAGACCTAGGATGGGGTGTGAGCTCTGGCACGATGCAAACCACTGGAGCATGGACGAACGAAGAGAACACCATGTCAATCAATGCAAGGGAGCTGACAGCGATATATTTTGCTCTAAAACTACATGCCAAAGACTTCAAGAATCAACACATCAAAATATTTACAGACAACATGACTGCTTTGAAATACAGCAGCAAGTCGGGAGGCACAGCATCTCGAACACTACAGGACCTAGCAGTGAAGATACAAAATCTATGCAACCACTACAATCTCAAAGTCGAATACGAACACATACCAGGACTGGAGAATATTCGAGCAGATTGGCTGAGCAGACAGCATCACACCGCAACAAAAAACTTACTCTACGAGGCCCTATTACCGAAACGGCTATTTCGAATGATCAACCAGAGATGGGGTCCTTTAACAGTAGATGCATTTGCAGACAGGATGAACACCAAACTACCAATATTTTGGAGCATGCGACCAGATCCGGAGGCAGCAGCAACAGATGCTTTTCAACAAACGTGGAAAAAACAGGGAATGTACCTATTTCCTCCATGGAAGTTCATACCGCAAGTGATGCAGATAATAAAACAGCAACGAATCCAGAAGGCAGTATTAATCACACCGTATTGGCCAACCCAGTTCTGGTTCCCGTCCTTATTGCAAATGAAACACATCAACAAACCTCTGATGTTCAAGATAAGAAGATGGAAGATGACCGCATGGCACTTATCTGCAACAAGAGGAAAACCGCTGGTCACTTGGAAGAGGACACAGTGGAATTTTTGACACATGCCCAGAGACGTAAAACACAAAAGAACTATAATACTGGGTGGAAAAAATGGTCACAATGGTGCGCAGCACAACCAGTACCAATACAGCCTACCACATACGACGAAGCCAATGTATTACGTTTTTTGTTAGAAAATCGACACTTTTCATACCAATACCTAAATAGTTTGAGATCAGCTTTAGCATCTGTCTTTAAAGTGTTGCATCCAGAAAAGGGTCCGTTAGCTGCAAAAGAACCCATAGTTGAATTCTTTAAAGCAAAACGAAGATCAGAAGTCAACATTCCTACCAAGCAAAATCTCCAAATATGGGACACAAATATACTGGTGGACTATATCGCAAAAGAATGGCCAAAAAATCAATCTATCAACTTATATGAATTACAACAAAAAACAATTTTATTGTTATGCTTGACGACTATGGCAAGACCAAGATCAGATGTTGGCAGAGTGCAGTTTAGAGATGTACAAATGGAGCTTAGAAACGAAGAACCAGTGTCAGTTCTTATACATTTCAGAGAAGCGAAAGAGACTCAAGTGAAATCTGTTATACTAGGATTGGCAGATGACAATGACATGTGCCTTGTTTCCACACTTTTTGACTTTTTACAAAGGTCGAGCCATCTTCGCAATAACCTTCCTATAGACCATAGTTTGTTTTTGGCATTCATTCTCGAACCAGACAAGGTGAAATCCGCTAGTCCTTCTACTGTAGCTACATGGGTTTCAAAAGCAATGGAAAAAGCGGGTATTGACATTAGTTCTTACAAACCACACTCTATCAGGTCAGCTTCAAGCACCAAAGCAGTTGAAAATGGAATAACGATTTCGGAGGTCAAACAACATGCTAATTGGAGTCATAATTCCAATACATTTGAACGATATTACCTCAAGCCAAGCACGCAACTTAACGACAGCACCAGAATAGCAAACTCAATTGTTTCTATCAAAGGAAAAAATACCACATTGGAGTCCGAGTCGCAGTCAACAAGGATTGTTGAAGGAACGACCAACAATACGTCCGTTGACGAAGACGAGGATGAAAATGTGGTAACAACCCGACCCACATGGCTTTCTTGGCTACAAGAAACTTGGAAAAATTGATTCCAACTATCTTTTTATGTTTTACTTTTAATTCTATATTTATTTCATTCATGTTCCCCTCCCTTATATCAAAACCAATTGAGTTTTCTTCCGACTTTTGAAGGTATAAAGGGAAAAAGGGGATTCTAGTATATTTTTTATTTTTATTATTATTTTTTTATCTATAAAAGGAAAATAAAGCGCGGCTCTTGGAGCTTGTTACCACATTTTCATCCTCGTCTTCGTCAACGGACGTATATTTAAACCTTGTTTTTCCTATTGGTTTAATCAATAATTTCATTCCCTCCAATGATTTAAACAAATGGGTGGTTATAAATACATGAAAACTGTCGTCATTTAATTTTCTAAAATGATTCTAGTTATCATAGACAAGACAAGTTTGAATCTGTTTGTTTCAGGAAGTTACCATTACTGTGCACTGTCTTTTTTTGTCACACTTTGAATATGTATACAATAATTGAATGTAGCCCGAAATGAGAAGAAAGTTTAATAATACAGTTGACAAAAATAGCTTGGTCCAAAAATAAAAAAAAAAAATATTGAAGAAAGTGGGACAGTCAATGAAAATGGGACACTAATATACCTATCATTTGCTTTAACCAATTTTTATTTTATTCAAAGCTTTTTTTTTTCTCTCTCTTGCATTTATTTCCTTGAACTTTCTTATTTTGCAATATGAACGAAGAATTTACTTTTGATGGTGAGACAGTACCTGTAATGATTCAATCATACATGGATTGAGAAGAGTCTGCAGCAATAAATGCAGAAAAAAAAAAAGTAAAATAGCTAAGAAGCAGACTAGCTCTAATCCTAAAGGGCCCTCCCTTGACAGCAAGAATAAAAAGAGATCGTACATCACAAAAAAAAAAAAAAAAAAAAAAAAAAAAAAAAAAAAAAAAACGAGCCAAAAGTAGTAAACTTGATCAACTTGATACAAGAGTTTGAGAATATGTCCATCCGTGAAGCGAGTATTATGGGTGGGGACTACCTAAGTCAACAGCTGCACGTAAGCTCAAAGAATGGAACGAAAGGACAAGTAACATAGATAAGAATGGCTTTCCTGATACTATTACGATTGGAGAGCATAAAGGTCGGACAACGATACTTCTTAAAAACATGCACACTGTCTTTATTTTCGAAATGTTACTTAATAAGCTAACAATGACCGCTGAAGCTGTTATAGATCAACTTTGCGAGGAGTTTAAGGATATAAAAAATTTACTCCCAGAATCAGTAGCACACCACATGAAAAAGAAATGCCGCCCTCACTTACAAGCGTATCGTGCCTAGTTACTTTGCTAGAAATGCAGATGTAACATTTTGCCAAAAGACGAAATGCTGTCACTTATTGGATTTCACCAGACTATCGATTTTATAAATGAATGCATATTCCTGGATGAAGCTGGTTTCAATAGGAGCATGCATCGCTATTATGGCTGGTCTGAAGCTGGAAAACCTTGCAAGATCAATGTTGAGACAAAGGGACCCAATGTCAGCATTTTAGGTACTATTGACAAGAGTGACCTGATTACACACTCTCCAGAAAAGAAGTTATTATGAATACAGAAAGCGGAAAACAATCACGAACTGAGGAAACAGCTACTGCTACCAAAAAGAAGGGTACAACTAGCAACGACTTTCTCGAATTTGTAGAACAAGTTCTTACTACACTGGATGTGGCCAACATGAACTACAAGTATTTACTCCTTGACAATGCGTCCATTCACAAGGCCGTGTTTATTCAGGGATGGGTGGAACAAGAAGGATATTGGCTTCTGTCTTTGCCACCCTATTCTCCTTTTTTTAAATCCTAATTGAAGAGTTCAGGTCCAAGCTATAAACTGTTGTAAATAATGGCCCCTCTTCAGTCAGACAGAAAAAAGAGAAAATTAGTGAACGTATTCGCAGGGCGTTAGTGCATATCAGTAGGGAAGATTGCAAGAGTTGGATACAACATTCCTTGTCATTCTGGGCAAAGATGTTTAAACTATGAAAAAGAGTTGTAAAGAACAAAAATAAAGATCATATAACTATCTCATTTTCATATTGGTGTCCCATTTTTAAAAAAGGTGTCCCACTTTCTTCTCAAAATGACCAATGATTTTTTTTTTATTGGACCAAGTTATTTTCGTCAACTGTACTTGTATGTTAGGAATTAATCAAAAAAAAAAAAATCCATGTTATACACATATCAGATGATGATAAAATACTTGATTAAAAGAACTTTTCACTTTTATTGGAAATTTTTATTTTATTTTATTTTATTTATTTATTTATTTATTTTTTTTATTTTATTTTTTTTTTTTTTTTTTTTTTGGTAAATGACTTTATTTCTGTTAGTTGTTTAAAATAAAACAGTGTAAATGGAAGAAAAAGAAAGAAGGAAAGAAGGAAAGATATACTCAATAGAATAGTTTATTGTGGTGACATTCTGTGTAATAATACGTGTATTTATACATAATGGATTCCTCCCTTATTATTAAATAAAATGTTTATTTATATTCTATTACCAAGATAAATAAATGCTTGAAAATGATAGTTAATTAAACATAATGGTTCTATTTTTTTTTGGTGACACTTTAATCTGACAGATGATAATAGCAATACTACTGCTATTTTTTTTTTTTTTCATCTTCTGCTGCTGTTGCTGCTGCTTGCTGCATAAATTTTTTTTTTGTTCTATATATAAATTTGTATATATAAGCTGAGAAAGAAAAGAATAAAAAAGAAATAGGAGAATAGAACTTTGTTGTACTTCTTTCCCTTTTATTTATTTATTTATATATTACAATGTCTTCTTCTCTTATTAAGGATATTACAGAATTAAGACCTATTGATCTTAGTTTAGCAGAAACTAAGCCAGCTTTAATTGCTGTTAGTCCAACTGTATCTATTCAAACAGCCCTTGGAAAAATGTATCATAATAAGATTACATCCTTACCCGTCTTTTCTCATAATAACACAGAAATTGTCAGCATTGTGAATCTTTTTGATATTTTATTATATCTTGTTCAAGGAAATAGTATTGAAAAAGAAAAATTGAAATTAGATGAACCAGTAGAAAATGTGTTGGGACTTGATACAGATAGAGAAAGTTATCGAATTCATAAAGTAGATTGTAAAGACAAACTTATTGAGGTAAAAATGTAGAATAAATAAAAGAGAGAGAAATTAAGTTATTTTTTTTTTTGTATTTGCAAGACTTTACGTGCTTTTGCTTCTGGTAAACATCGAGCCCTTGTTGTAAACTTTGATGATGAATTAAAAAATCCATGGATTTTGTCTCAAACTGACATTATTCGACATATTGTAAAGTATCCAGATTCTGTTTCCAATATACTCGACTTAAACTGTCGTGTACAAGATTTAGAAAACTTGGTTTCTGAAAAGCAGTTAATTACAGCCACCGACCTCGAAAGAGCTTTAGATGTCTATCATCTTATGGCTGAAGAGAATCTTAGTGCTGTTCCTGTTATTAATAAGTATGTATTCATATTCTCTCTTTAACTAACTAAATAAATAAATATGTATATGCATCTATGTACTCATTATATACATATAGAAATAATGAGTTTGAAGGTGATCTTTGCGTAGAGGATTTACCAGGTGCTAATCTAGAACATATTGAACAATTGACGCTTACATGTAAAGAATATATCAAGGTACATGATAGAATAGAATATGAAATAAACTCACTCATATACATTACATACTTGTACAATTAATATAGATTACATCAGATTATCTTACACCTTCTGTCGCTACATCAGATACCACTTTAAAGGAAATTATTGATATTATGATAAAACAAGATACTCATCGTGTTTGGATATTAGATTCAAAAGAATCAAGAAAAGTAACTAGTGTAATTACTATGTCAGATATTATGGGACTTTTATGTCTTTATCATAAACCCTCTCTTTTTTAATATATTCTTTATGAATGATATACAACATATTGGCATAGGTTATATATACATTTATATACACATATTTGTATATGAATATATTTTTATATAAATATTAATTTTGATATTTATCCATAACAGCTATTGCCACTGATCCAAGTGTTTGTCTAATATATTCACGTTCGACATCATGACCTTTTTTTTTTTTTTTTTTTTTTTTTTTTTTTTTTTTTTTTTTTTTTACAATTATAATTAAAATGAATGTTTATATTATATATCATTTTAATCTTAAACTTACTATCTTCAACTTCTCCCCATCGCTCCATTTGAGAATTCATTTCAACATGAGCAGCTTGAGCAGCTTGTTCAACTGAAATTCCCTTTTTAACTAGAGCAAGACCAATTAAAAAGCTTTTAGCACTCATTACAGCTTTTTCAAAGGCTGCTAATTCTAATGGATCCATGGCTTCAACACTCGCTCTTAACTTTGTCTTTGTTTCTTTTGGTTGACAAAGTGCAAAGATATCTGTAGTTGTATTGATCTTCACATCAAACCTCTTTTCTACCCATTCAATAATTGGCTTCCAATGAGCATCTTGAAGTTTTGTCAAAGATTCTGGAGAATTTTCAAAATAACAAACAGAATCTGTATCAAAATAAGACATAAGTTTATCAATCACTGCTGACTTTAAGTTTGGATCTTCAGAATGAGCAGGATCAAAGGCATCCATTGAGCGTGCAACAATAGAAGTCTATTTGAAATGAATTAGTTTGTAATCAAAAACGGAATGTATACAAATAAGTGAGATTATTTTTTCTTAAAAAAAATTACCAAAGGTAAACTATGGGCTTTTAGATTCGTTGTTTGAGCATCCCATTCAGCAGCTGTTAATAAAGCTAAATGTCGTTTATTTAGAGGGAATTTTACAATATGCTTGCTAGGTGTACGTAAGTTACGGTGATCGAGAACCACAGTAATACCATCTATGTATTCCTATATTATTATGTATCTGTATATACATATATAAAAGAGTTTACTTTATTTTCTATAACCTTACCTTTATCTTCTTTAATACCAGCACGTTTCCAGAAACGAGTTAAGGTACGCTCAGCACCTTAATAATAATAATAAAAAAAAAAAAAGTAATTAAGAAGGATTCAACATTTTTATTTTTTTAAAAAAAAAAATGATCTGAAATTACGTTGAGTAGCAACTTCCTCTTGTTCAATAGTAACATTACGAACTATATTTGTTGAATGCAATAAACGTCGAAAAGTTGTTAATTTATTATTATTTGAAATAGGTTTCAATAAAGATCTCAAGCTGAACATGTCAAAAAAAAAAAAAACCAGGGACAAAAAAAAAAAAAAAAAGAACCTGGGGTTTATTGTGCAATCAGCTTATTACTACTAATTAAAAAAAAAAAAAAAAAAAAAAAAAAAAAAAAAAAAAAAAAAAAAAAAAAAAAAAAGTCCGATGATAAAAGGTGGTTGTTATTGCTCGTGCAACTAACTAACTACTTTATCCCTTATTATTATTATTTGAAAAAATAAGGGTGTTACACATCTTTTTAATTTCGAATTTTGATATTAGTCACTTTAACAAAAAAAATAAAGTAAATAGAGAAAGACTTTATTATATCTTCTTCTTTGTTACAGTAACAATGCTCATTTTCTTTTATAATAATTTACCTAAGCATAAGTAAGTAAGTAAATACATACATTCACTGCTGCTATACTAACAATCTCTAATGCTTTGTTGTGATACATCATCCCATTCACTCCATAATAAATCCAATTACGTTTTGTGTGTGTGTGTGTGGTTGAGGAGTTTTTATTTTATTTTTTTTTTGTGGCTATATTATTTCATTCTCTTTCCTTTTCCCCCCTTTTTTAGCTTTTTTTTTTTTTTTTTTTTTTTTTTTTATTATAAATTTAAATCCCCTCCATACTGAAAAATCAAAGTGATATTTATTTATTTAATTTTTTTTCCCTCTTTTCCTCTTTTCCCTTTTCTTTTTATTATTAAAATATAACATACATACATTAATTTTTAAAATGACTGCATCTGTTACTCGTAGTGGTCGATCTTCTACTAAAAAAAGTATCCCATCTACAGTGGATTATATTGTTACAAAGACAAAATCTTCTTCTGTTAAAAAAAAGAAACAACAACAACAACAGCAGCAGCAGCATCATCATCATCATCAACTACTGCGTGCTAACAATAAGAAGGATTCGGATCTTGAAAATAGATTAAAAAAAAGTCAACAACAACAAGAGCAAGAGTATGGTTATGAGTATGATTTTTTGATGTCAAATTACATATTCATTTATTTTATCTTATTAGACACAATGAATTAGTTGAAAAAATGAACGTATCTGAACATCCAGAATATGTTCGTTTGATGACTCAACTTGATCAGTCAAAAAATGAACGTTTACAAAAGGTAGAATGTTGGAGAAATCTGGAACGTCAATCAATTGAAGATTGGTTCGCAGCTCAAAAAAAACAAGCTTGGAATGAGTTTTATGTAATCTTAAAAAAAAATTGAAATGATAAATTCACAACTCACCTTACCTTTTTGTATTTAGTATGCAAAAATGAAAGTACGGTCAGATCTTGTAAAAGATGCACAAGAAAAGATCACAAGACTTAAGCAGGAATTGTCACAATTAAATAAACAATGTAAAGAAAGAAAAAAAGAAAATATAATAGATGGGGTTGGTGGTTTATCTTTTATTTTTTTTTTAATCTAATCTAGTAAAAATTCAAGTCTCTAAAGAACAAAATGAAAAGAAATATGAAAATTGGATTCCACCCGAAAGACTTTATACAATTGATATCCTTTTTCTATTCTACTCTATTTATACTTACAAAATGGATGTATTTATCTATCTTTAACTCTTTTTTTTTTATTATTATTATTACGTTCGTTTGTTGTAGGTGCTACTGAAGAAGAAATAGATCGTGATCTTAGTTGTGCAAGACAGCCTTACAATGGAGACAATACTCCTAATTTAGTTTATTCAGATTATGAATCTCGAAGTACAACTGATACGGTTGAAGAAGTCGTTGATAATCATCATAATGAATTAGTGACATCCAATGATACAACAACAACAGCAGCAGAAGATTCGACTGAACAACAACACCACCACCACCACCACCACTATTATCAACAACCAGTTTGTTACTATCCATCATTATCTACACCTACACCTACACCTACGTCTACATCTACATCCACATCTACGTCTACACCTACGTCTACACCTACACCTATACCTACCTCTATCTCTGCTGCTTCTTCTTCTTCTTCTTATCAATATAATAATAACACATCACATTCTTCCTCCTCAGCTATCATCACTTCTGATCTATATTCTTCTCCTTATGAAGGAAGACAACATAAATGGCTATCACCTTATCATTCAACGACATCAACATAAAAAAGGACGATATGGATGCCTTGTTTGCAATCATGATATAATCCTATTTTCTCTCTTTTAATCAACAATGTTTTGACATAATAATAAACTTTACCTACAATAGTCAATGTCATAAAAAAAAAACGAGTAGTAGTAAGGAATTCTATTTTATCATTCTCTTTTTCTGCTCCGAAAAAGGAAAGAAGAAAGATAATACATGTGAATACATATTTCTCTAAAAAAATAAAAAATAAAATAAAATAAAAAATAAATAAAATGTGTGGGGGGAAAATAAACCTTGGATTTCATTACTTGAAAGCTTTACATGTAAATAATAAAGAGAGTATGATTCCAGTTTATACTTCTTTACTCTCTCTTGTATAACAAATTACTCTATTTGGAATATTTTACAAGAAAATGCGGAGATTTGTCTGCACATATAAACTTTAAATATAATAAGGTCATGAAAAAAAAAACAGTATTATAATAATTATTTATTAGCTATAAAAGAAGGCCAAGTTGTTGTTATAATAACCCTCTTTTTATATGTATGTAAATATGTATATGTATATGCTGATATATATTATTTCTACAGTGTAAAAGAAATAAAATAAATTCCACAGAAACTGGCTTTAGTTTTTTTTTCAAAAAAAAAAAAAAAAAAAAAAGAATGCTGCCGTTAATAAAATAGGATCAAGATTTACATTAAGTTCAAGACAGTTCTTGAAAAAAGTTGACTATGACTTAACCTAGCCCTTTCCATAAGTGATTCGTACGACTATGTTGGTGTTTCAGTAGTATATGAATCATCTTTAGTGTTGACTATATATCTTACAAGTAGTGTATGATTTGAATGTAAAACCCCGTCTTCTGGATGGCTTATATAGAATACTCATGATTGATTGATTGATTGGTTTATTTATTCTACTTTTCAACCTTAATTGAGTCGAGTCGAATCAAACTATCATCCTATTATTTGAACCTAAGACTGTAGTTAGTCCTCTAGCCTGCCTAAAAAATAGATGCGTGTTGTCCTTCAAGACGTGTAACATTATCTTCAAATTAACTGTGTAACCTTATCTCAATATTGGCGATTCTACTTGAAACATATACTACAGGATCTTTTCTCTTCCTTTACTATTCTTGTTTTAGGTTTCATCATACATGATGTAATATACAAAGAAAGGATAGATAGATAGATAGGCTTTGTTTATTATATACACAAATAGAATCATTTTTATGAACAAAATGATTATTATTACATATTAAATATATTTGTATATAAAAAAAAAGATATTTTTTCTCTTCTTTTTTTGTTATTAAAAATCAAGGAAAAGATGTCTAAAAGGATCAGGTGAATAATGATTACCATATTCTTCATCTGTTTCTGGATATTTATCGAAATGACTAGCGTCACCATCACCACGTATATCGGGTACATAAGGAGGTCGAATTTGACGAGCCAAGACTCTATTAAAGTCTACACCTTGAAACCAAGCATGACGTTTAATATCTTCACTCCCATCTTTCAAGTTACCATATCTTTTTGTTAAATCAGCTGTCAAGAGACGTTTTAACAAGTCCCTTGAATTGGGTATAAAATACTGAGGAAATTTCACACGGCCAGCAAGAATTTTTTCGTATAATTTAAGATGATCATCATCATAAAATGGTGGATATCTATTGAAACAAGTTCAGTGGAAAGAAACTATAACTACTATTTTTTTTTTTTTTTACCCTGCCAACATTTCAAAGACTAAAACACCTAAACTCCACCAGTCTACAGCTCTTCCATAACCTTTTGATTGAATAATTTCTGGTGCTATATACACATATATATATATATATATCAGTTTTATCGTGATTCTTATTATATATATATATTTCTAATATCATACCTAAATAGTCGGGTGTCCCACATAAAGTCCAAGTAATATCAGGAACATGTTTGGCAAATCCAAAATCAGTAATCTTAATATGTCCCTGACTGTCTAGTAACAAATTTTCTGGTTTTAAATCTCTATAAATTACATTTTTTGAATGTAAATATTCAACAGCCAATATAACTTCTGCAGCATAAAATTTTGCAACATGATCAGGGAAACGCTTTAATTACATATAATAGAAAGAAAGGATGAAGCGTTATTGTCTTTTTTTTTTTTCCTTTTTCTTACCTTTGATCGTCGTAAGATAGAGAATAATTCACCACCAGGTACATAATCCATGACCATATAGAGATGAATTGTATCTTGAAATGTTCCCCACATATTAACCAAGAAAGGATGTGCAACTGATTCCAAAATATGCTTTTCATTATTCGTATGTTCGACTTGCTTCATACGAACCACTTCCGATTTTTTAAGTACTTTAATAGCATAATATCGACGATTCACACGAGATTGAACAAGATGAACACGACCAAAGGAGCCTGTACCTAACGTACGCAAGACATTAAAATCTGTCAATTTAAGTCGAGGTCGATCCTGTCGTTGTTTAATAATCGTTTGATCATTATAGAGTGCTGATCGATCATGATAAGCTTGTGATTGGACTATAAGATCTTCATTCTTTTTTTTATGGTTAGCTGCTGTATCATTTGCTGTTATGATTGAACAAAACTCAGCATGAGAAGCTATTTTACAACGAAAAAGAAAGAAGAAGAAGAAGAAAAAAAAATAGGTGTTAATCATGTGTTTATTACATTTAAAAAGTCTCGTTTACAGCTGTCTTTCTTTAATAGCTGCAAAGATTCAATTAATCCTATATAACAGACAAAATAGAAATGAATAGTCTCCCCTTTTTTTATTTATTTATTTATATAAAATGTATGTATGTATATACCCATGATGATTACCACTAACTTGAAGTAAATAAATAAATAAATAAACAATTACCTTCTATACTCTTATCTTTTTCATTTTTCTCTTCAAGTCGAGATGATGAGTGTTTAGTTTTCATTGCAACATCATGTTGATGATGAGATGACATGTTTAGACTTGCTAGATTCGAAACAAAAGAGTTATGGTGTTGTTGTTGTTGTTCTTTTTGTGGGGTAGAAGAAACCTGATTTTGTTGTTGTTGACGTGAACCTTTAGCTTTATCGATAAATTTGTTTATAAATGACATTTTTTATTATGTGTATAAGAGAAAGAAAAAAAAAAAAAAAAAGAGTTACAAAAAATAAATAAATAAATAAATCCATACACATATTTATATGTATTGTGTCCTAGTCTAATTAACTTAAATTGATGTCTGGCAGCAAAAAAAATAAAAAGAAGGAGGGGGGTGGGGCAAATAAAAAATAAAAAAAAGGAACCAAAATGTGGACATTGAAAGTAGTACTTTTTTTTTTTTTTTTACTCAAAATTACTTTTGAAAACAAACCAAAAAAAAAAAGAAGCATGCCTCAACTGCTTTCAAGATCTTTAAATCACTTTTTATCCTATGTAAAAAGTTACACACAATCAATGATAAATTTTTAGACAACAACAGTGAATTGTAAGGTTGAATATAAAATGCTCAATTATCATTGGCTAATGGTTTCCAAGGTGCATCATTTTATATCCTCATTCAGTTAAAGACTTTTAAATCTAAAAGAACTTAATAATATAACATTTCTGACGAATAAATCTCTTTTTAATCAAGTTGGATTCTTCATCATAAAATAGGATAGCTGACTTTTAAAAATGTCGACCTTAGTTACTTGTGTCAAATTTATATGATTTAACCATTTTTTTTTTCTTTTTCTCTTCCAGAATTAATGTCTACTACTAAACGTAAAGGAAAGACAGTTCCTTGTGAAGGTAAAATAAGTTTAATTATCAAATAAAAATAAATAACTAAATAAAAAAAGTTCCCTTTCATATAATGTCTAATTTGAATTCTTTTATCAAATAGGTTGTAGAGAAAGAAAGAAAAAATGCACAACTGGTCAGCCTTGTGAAAGGTTATAAAATATGTATACATACATATATACACACATATACACACACACACACACATTTATATACATACATGCATATAAAAGAACTTGTAACTAATCATTCAATTTTGATCAATAGATGTAATCGACTTGGTATTCAATGTTATTACATTAAATCAGTAATTCCACCAAAAATTGAATACATTGAAGCTGCTTATAATCAACAACTTCAATTTCACATCAACATGTTGGAAGAAAACATGAAAATTTTAGAAAAAGAATTATATTCTTTAAAATTACCATTACTTGTTGAACAACAAAAATATATATTGGAAGATACTAACTCTGACACGGATTCTTCAACATCTACTTTTACTTCTTCTTTATCGACTTATAATAGTAGCATGACAACATCAAAAGACTGGAAACTTACATTTAATAAAGATGGAAGCATAAGTATTAATACTGATATTCAATCGCATTCAAACTTATTAAATTATATAAAAACATTCAGTACAATACAAGTGATAAACAGGCAACCTACATTACCTGTTATAGGATATCTTAAGCGAAATGGGTTAAGTAGTATAATTCGAAAGGGGAGTTATTTAGCTACAGTACAATCTATACAGAATCAATCGCAACAACAGCAACACTATAATAATATATCTCAACTGTCTGTATCACAGCCTTTATTTTCTCTTTCCTTCTTAAATCTTCCAGAGACATCAAGAGTGAATGATAAAGTTCCTAGTATTCTTTATGAAAGAAAGGAGTTAAGTTTAGAACTCATCAATACCTATTTCTCTTGTTGCTTTTTAAATCATGTTATCTTTCATCAAAAGACTTTTTATGATATGTTTATAAAGGATCCATCGGATTTAGAGACTTCACCTGTCGTCTCTGCTCTTTGCGCAATTATTTTAGTCATTCATTGTAAACATATTATGGCTATCGTTCCCTATGATCAACAATTTGCATTAGGAGAATATTATTTTAACAAAGCACGTTCATTCATTTCAATTCAATTTGATGAACCCACACTAGAGACCATGATCACTTATTTACTCATGTCACTTTATAAAGGGAAAATATTACAGCCCAAGGCATCTTATATGTATCTTGATATGGCGATTCGAATACGTCAAATATTAATAGAAACTGTCTATAGACAACCTCATGTCTCTTTAGAAAACAACTGTAGATCAGGAGAATATGAGACGTTTGTAAGACTTCATGCAGCCTTTCTAGATGCGACTCAATTTATTCAGTTTATCAATAATCAACGAGGGATACCTTTAAATCGTAATACGGGTGGAGGGCCTAAGGCGCCTATGACATTGGATAACGAAAAGAAATCTTTCTTAAGATCCTTTTATTTAGCCTGTCAAGATTTCTGTCTCTCAAGGGCTCTACCAGATGAAACTCAAGAGATTAAGCGAGCGATTATGAGAGAATATTATATAGGACGCATGAGTAAGACGATGCATCCTTACCTTATTCGTGTTCGATTTAGTGATGATGATTGTATTCCTCTTTCCTTTATAAAGGACATTGAACGAGATATAAACAGATTATATTATCAACAGATACCCAAAGAGAATCAATTAAATTCAACTATCTTTGAAGATGGCATACATGAGATTGAGTTTAAGAGACGTATGAAAGAAGATAAACGATCTAATCCTGACTCAGTAAGTTTAGCAGCCCAGTATTTTCAATGTTTAATTGCATTGTATGAACCCTATTTACCCATCCTTCCTGTCTCTCCCACATTGACTCACCATCTACTCACGATTCAAGGTCTCCCGATTGAGCATGACATGTTACAAAATCCAAATAATAATAAACGAAAAAGAAATGTCATGATGGATGAGCAGGACGTATCATCCTATGATCTGTTGGCTCATACTTTACGAGCGCAAGCCATTTGTTATAAAAGTGCTATTCAAGTCGTTCGATTATTAGACTATCAATCTACAGTCCTCGGTACATGTACAATATCATCCGCTAATCTCTTATGTGCTTGGGATATCTTGATACGAAATTCATGTCTTGCAATGACGGAGAAGGAAATCGAAGAAGAGATAAGAATTAAAAAATTCTTATCGATACAAGAGGTTCGACTCTCTCGAGAATATGCTTTGAGATGTATTGAAATCTTTAGAAGAGGTTATATGTTTAATAGTGCAGAAAAAGAGATTTGGGCCTATTATGAAGCAGTTGCGAAACAATTATCAAGTACATTATGTCAACCAACTCCTTCAACAGCGACCTATTGGGAACCTGCCTCTATTTGATACATGATCATCATCATTTTTTTTTTTTTTTTGCATTGTATTCATATTTTAATAATAATAATAATAATAAACTTTTGTACACATAAGAGGACATGATCTATTTATCTTGAATATAGAATAAATTCATCATGTGTGTTTGAATCATTGTAAGTGACTGCAAATATCCGTTTTGGCCAAGGTTCATGTACAAAGAAATAAACGAATGAAGATAAATGAACTGATAATTGACTTGATAACCTAGCTGCTTCTTCATCACCTGTTTTAAAATTGCCACTTGTTTCACGAACGAAACCCCAAAGTAAAGGTAATTCAATTGCATTTAAACCCACTAATAGATAAAGAGAAAAAAAAAATATAGATACATTTTTCGTGTTATTACACAACATGTATATACAAATATATTATTATTATTATTATTTATACATTTCAAATATATAATTTGAGCTTTGATAGCACTGTTTCTAAACATCCAACTATGACCACTGTTAGGTTGACTTTGGCATGATTTACATGGCATATTGACATGATATCCAACTACATTACCACTTGAAGGAAGATATAAGTGTGTGTGTTTTTTTTTTCGTTATCTGCTAGTCTAATATTCCATTTACATTACTTTACCAGTTTGTACAAGCAAAATCTCTGACTCTACACCGACAAAAAGTTGTAGGATAATCACCATAAATAAATCCAATTCTACAAGTAAATAAATAAATAAATTAATAAATAAATGTATATGTTATCCCTTTATTTATTTATTACGTGCTAGGAAATAAATCAGTGGAATAGAGTTCAACTGTTTTTTCATTAGAGGCCTAAAAAGATCTTTATAGATTGGAATGGTGATGATAATAAAAGAAAGGGCTTATGAAACTTACTCTATTTACATGCATTCCTCGGTCGCATAAAACGATATTACAATCTTTACATTCAATTCTATAAACATGTTCACGATGATATTCTGTTGCAACATGAAGTATACGTTGATATTCAAAAGAGATCTGTCTGTAATAAGTATCAAGACTATTCTCTCTCATAAAAGTTCTACCCATTGAATTAGTTGATAATAACATAGTAGTCCTTAAAGGTCTCATTCATCTATAAACAAAAGAAAGAAAGAAAGAAATCTATTTTATGTTATTTTTTTTTATTTTATTTTATTATATGTACAAGGTTTTATCTATTTTAAACAGTGAATGTAATAAAAATTGATTCAATAGGTTTTATACATTAATCTTCATTATGACCAGGATAATGTTGAGTCCAGGGAGGTGTGGGACCTCTCCAGTCAAGCTCATTTAAATTATATGGAGTTAAAGTAGTAACGGTCCGATATGTAGTACTATCACCATGACTAGAAACACTACTATAATTATTAGGATGACATGATGATGATGAAGAAGAAGAAGAAGTTCGTCCTTCAGAACATGGACTCTCTGATAAAGTCAAATGCATAGGTGAAAGTGAAAATACTCTTAACTTTTTTGAAGTATTCTTTTCTACCATCTCATTATCCTCCTCCTCCTTCTCTTCCTTTTTTATTTTTATTCGTTCTTGTTGTTGTCCAATGATGGGTACACTATAAAGAATTGTAGTAGTAGTAGTAGTAGCCGTATTCTTTTCTTCTTCTTCTTCTTCTGCTACTACAACAGAATTTATTGTCCTTTGTTGTTTAGGTGGTGAAAGTCCATTTTGAACAGAAGTTAGTATTGCAAACTGTTGTTTATTTACCTTGTCTTGACGATGATAATTAAACTCTTGTTGTTGTTGTTGCTGCTGCATAGATAACTTCGACATGGGTTGATTTGCTATAATGATACCTTCATCAAACATATTTGATTCAGTTTCATTTCGTCTAAATATCGTTTCATCGGGTATTATTTCGATACCTTTCTCCTGCTGGCTCTCGTTTAGTGTCAGGGATCTTTTTTTCTTTTGTCTGTAATAAATGAAACCACTTGTAAAGAAAAGAAGAGTCATTACACTGCCTAGACCAATTAATATCCAATGCCATGATTTCATATCTGCCATATGTAACAATAATAATATTAAAAGGTGAAAGGGAAGGGAAGAAAGAAGTGAGAAAAAGAGATTACATAGGAGTTTTATTTTATTATGTTGTAATCTTTACAAATAAAAGTGTAGGACAACAACTAATAAGGAATTTGAGTATTTAAGTAGAGATGCTTCACATGTGGTAAAGAGTAGTTAATCAATACAAGGAATAATGAAATAAACTTGCAGAAAGAAAAAAAAATTATAATATACATTACAATGAAATCTATGTAAACTAATTTATTGACAACATTTAAAATATCATTTGACAGTGAGGCTACTATTTTATTCTATTTCAGACAGGTCTATTTGAATACATACCAGAGTCTTGAGAGTAAAATGTATACAATATGTGTATAAAAAGATACACTAGCCTTTTCTTTTTCTTTTTCTTCTCCCATTCTTTACATGTGAGAATGCATTCTTTATAGAATTAAATCTCTACAAAAAAAAAATAGTTATAAAAGTTACTTTTGTTATTTTGTGCTTTTATTATTATTATTTCCATCTAAGCCATGAGGAAAATGGCTTGGAGCTATTGCTCTATTCAATAAGCATAAATAATATTCTATTGGCTACCTTTCAACTTTAACCAATTGTCTCTCTTTCTTCTTGCAGTTTCTAAAGATATAATTAAAATACAGTGCATAATAATTGCTAATGTATGAAGACTTCAACATAGATTTGTTGTAACCATCATACCGCTAATATGACATATACTATTTTGGCTTTTCAAGTTTACAGCTGATCCAATAAATTATGTCGTCTGGGCTGAACAAAATGTCGCCTAATCAGAAATAAAATGTCGCTTAATTAGAAGTAAAGTGTCGGCCAATCAGGAATTCAATTTCGCTCTCACAGGAACAAAATGTCGTCCAATCAGAAATAAGTTTTCGCTGTCATAGGAATAAAATGTCCCCTCTTAGTTTTTCTGAGGAAGCTTTTGATTATCTCTTTCTTATAATGTCTATTGTAGCCTTACGAGATGAAGAACTCTTTTTTTTTTTTTTTTTTTTTTTTTTTTATGAAGATGGACAAAACAATATTTATAATGAAAACGGTCAATTAACGAACGTATGATCCAATGGAAGATGTCATGTCAACTATCGACGATCCCAATATTATTCTTGAAACCTTGGTTGATCATTCTTCTTATATGAAGAATAAGCCATTGGAAAAAACAACCAACTGAAAACAAAAAAGTCGACTACTTCAAAGCCAGTGAAAGTTGCCTCAAAGAGGACAAATGCAGACTATGGCATTAATCAGAGGATGACGTTCATCGATCGTATGATCGAATTACCTGTGGGACAGAGGTATGCCGCTGTGGTCGGGAGAGAATTAGGTGTCGAAGAACGAACTGCTCAGCGATGGTGGAGAAGCTACGAAGAGACTGGTGAAGTGCCGATCAAAAAATCAACCAGAAATCCAGGACGCCCAAACAACTTCACAGAGGAACACAAAGCTCACGTCTTGGACCTCGTTGATGACGATCCATAGGTTACTGTTTGTGATGTTGTTGAAAGTTTGACTAAATCCTTTGAGGATTTTTCGCTTACAAAAATCAGCCATTCATAAGCACATGAACGAAACTTGTAACCTGTCAGTCAAAAAACCAAATTTCGAGTCTGAGAAACGCAATAGTCCTGAAAACCTACAAGAGAGATACGAGTGGTTTATGAAATGGAAGGATTCAGATGCTGACTTCACGAAAAACTGTATTTTCATTGATGGATGAATCAGGGTTTCGTATCAATATGCGAAAGAATTACGCGTGATCTAGAAAATCAGAGCGTGCGGTTGTAGGCTAACTAGTGCACCGGACAACTACGTCAAATAAAATTGTGTAGTAGACTTATTCGTCATCATTTTTTTTTCTTTTCTTTTAACCATTTCAAACGACAATTATATATTCTACTTTTATAACTTTATTCTAAATTGCTAACAAACTAAATGTCTTTATGTTAGGGTACGTCTCTGTTCAGCATGTCCTGATTCCTACTCTAAAAGAAACGTCTTATTGCTGTGCAATCCTAGCAATCCTTATTGATTAACAGCAAAAACAAGACAAATGATTTTAAGATAAGCTCTTATTTTACGTTTCTATACTTTTTTGTATTTGAAAAACACAATGGTAAAGTACACATTTACCCTGCCCTACGCCGGAGAAATTTGTGGCTGCAGTTTGCCTTTAACTAGACACCCAGCTACGAGTGGGAAGCTGTCTTTTTCCTCGAATACAAGGAATAACAAAAGGAGGGCTTATTCTAACTTTTCACTTTTTTTTTCTAGAGAAATACTTAATAAATACTTTGTTTGGATGCTTTCAAAAAATGTTGCATACATTACAGTAATGGTTGTGATGGAACGTAAATAAAAAATAAAAGAGAAAATAGAAGAGAGAGAAAAGGAACAAAAGGAAATATAGTTTGAGACTGTTTTTTATTCAATAAAAAATAAAGAAAGTTAAAAGAAAGTTAAAGAAAGAAGTTAAAGATTATTTTGTGTCTATACAAATGCTTGTATTTATATTAATGAATCCTGAATCAAAGAAATAAAAATAACCGTCAAATAACATGAGTCATGAAACAGTGTTAGTATTCGGATATACGTCTTGTTGATTCAAGAGACTGATCTATGGATTATCTATTGGGTGTTATAATGATCTGATCAAGTTTTAAATAAAAAATTTATTGTTTAATCTGAGTATATGTTCCTGATATCTTTTATGTTTTATTTTATTGGATCAAAGACGACTTGAATCCTTTGTCAAGGTTATAAAAATAAATATTAAGAAATGATACGATATCTTATTTAGTTGACACATTTAGATAATTGGATGTCCCTAAATTTTATATTATTTACAAGATGTTATATACAGAGTTTTATTATATATTCAGGCTCATAGTTTATCCTTTATTATGTAATTCATCTTTTATAATATTATTTGTGCTTATATCCAGAGCTTGTTCTATAACAAATATCATAAAAAGGTTTATATATTCTATAACCCAACCGATATAACAAAGTATATCATTTGATGTTCCAATATAGCTTATTTATAATAATAATAATAATAGTAAGTGTTAATAATAAAAGAAGTAGTTTTTTTTTTTTTTTTTCCTGTTCATACATGTATATTATAGACTGTTCCATAATCCAATGATAAGGATTACAAAAAAAATGAAGGCAAATCAAAGTAGTAGTAGTGGTAGTAGTAGTAGTAGTAGTGGTAGTAAGTAACACTGGTATTGTGTAGTGATTATTAACATTTGTAAGGATGTGTTGGTAGTAGTATTGTAGTTGTAGGTATAAATGGCGGTGGTGGTATAAGTGGTGTGTTTACAGTAAACATAGCCCTATGTGTATCCTCTATTTCTGATGAAAGTAACACGGGTGTTTGGAGAGTGACTAGAATTCGCAGCATATTTAGCCCAAGCCTAGGCTGTGGAATCGAATCACTTCAAGGGTTCCCCACCAAATCAAATGAACCCTTAATTTTTTTATTTATTCTTATTTTTTGTACTACACCAGCGACTCCTTTTTTTTTTCTTTTTTCAAGCAGCAGCAGCAGCATGAGTAATGATGTTTTATGACTATATTCTACCAAGCAACGGTAGTAGGTACAGGAGGAACAGTAGTAAATACAAATTTGCTATTATTACCTGACACTATTATAGTTAGATTATATATTAGAAATAAATTCTTACACATGAATGTGTACTATGTACCTTGGTATCATTATGGTCCTCAAGACATAAAAAGATAATAGAGTGTCTAAAAAGCCTTATTTTAAGCACATACAGATACAAATCTATAGTTGCTGTGTTTGATCATAATCAACCTCTCAGGATATAATCACAAGTAAACGTAATGTACAGATTCATTTAATTGATTAGCAAGCTTCTCTAGCTAATAATATACATTATGTTATGGCTTACTTAAGAATAAAGACTTAAAAAGATCTACCAAGAATATTGTGATAACAATGAATATCTCTCTATAAACTAGTGTAAAGAAGAGTGTTCCTGATTACTTCAAAAAAAGAAGATATTGACAAATATAACAATTCTGTCACTGTAACAGTAATAAATGCAAGGATATTTCTTTTCTAAGAATATTCAATATTTTTTCCTTTTACTTTATTTTACTGAAACATTATCTAGATGTTGTATAATCAAAATGAATAATTTAGCTCTTCCTTTATCCAATTTTACATCTAAAGTTAATATTTTGCCTCATCAAAAAAAAAAAAAAAAAAAAAAGTTGAAATGAATTACCTAATAAATCCCTTGTTCCGTGTAGTATATTATCAAATACTTGTCAATGCCTACAAACCTGAAGGCTAAAAGAGGTTAAGGATAATATTTCAAAAGCTGTAAATTATACAGGGAAGACAGCAGTAATATGAACATTATTGCTATGGATTATTATTATTTTTTTAAGGAAAAAATAGGCATCATCAGAACAAACTATTCTAATTGATATCTTTGTTACAAAAAAGAGATGATTATACTGTTCCTGAGCTGAAATGTAGCAACAGTAGAGATTTGAAAAAAGAAATGCATTTCCTCCTTTATATTTGGTATATTGTAACATGTTCTCTATCATTCTTCTTATCTCTCTTTTAATTTTTATAAGATTCTTTTAAAGCCATTATAATCATTGGAATAGAACCAATTCATTTTAATGTACGTTAAATAAAATAAATAATGATATAATCTGTATCTTTTTGTGAACCTAATTTGAATGTCTGGCTTCCCACTTTATAGAAACCTTGACGTGTATAAAAGTGAATAGCTGAAGGATTATGCTCCCAAACACCTAACTACACCACATTATTTGCTTGTCTAATTGATGGGCTTTTTCAAGACTTGATGTTATGAACTGATTAAACAAGCGGATCAAAGAATTCATTATCTATAACATATCTTAGTATTTAAAAGGGGGTGGAAAATATTACTGTGAATGCAAGTCAAAGATACTTAAACTGGTTTTCATAGCATACATCAAAGAAGCTAAAATTGTTAATCTTTACAACATCATTTGGGCAAAAGAATGATTTTAAGTACGACATAAGGGAGACTAGACTTATCAAATACCCCTTGTTAGAAAATAGTTGTATATTGTACAAATGAGATGCATATTAGTTGCCTAAATAGGAAAAAGAAAGTTGATGAGAATATAAACAAAAAAGTGAAAAAGAAAAGATATTTATTTTATTTACTTTACTTTTCTTTAACATAAACACATTTCATATAGCCATAAAAAAGATACAAAATTGACAACATTTTACTATTTTACACATTGTTACTTTTTATAAGAAAGGAAGAAAATTAAATAATGTAACTGTGTGTATGTGTGTATTAAATGTGGGGTAACACATATTCTTATCGATTTCATATGATTGTGACTGTAATTTACAACAACGACCTCCTTATTCTTATAAAAAAGTAGATATTCAAAGTTATTTTTTCTTCTTTATCTTCTTTATTATTACTATTTCTTCTATAGGTAAGTCATTAAATAATACTATTTTATTCTTCTTCTTCTTCCCTGCCCTAGGAGGAAATTCTTTTTCTCATGGTTACCACTTATGTACCGGGCTCTTGATGAGGAAGACACC